ATCTGTCAAATGACTAATCGGTCAGCAATAACTTTCATCGATCTATGTATGTACTAATCACCTAGAATCGATCGTAATTGCTGTCACAATCACTAAGAAATTTGCGTTTCCAGTTACCATAATTGTCTCAGAAATATGAGCAAAGCGTTTGTTGATCTTGTGGAACAGAAATTCCTGTTCATCTGACATAGTTTTTGTATCGTTACTGACAGATGCCTTGACGACACTCTGAAGTTCCTTATCCAAAGGACTATCATTACATACTGATTGTTTCTAGCTAATATATATCATCAACAGCATGGTATTTTGTGTTTTACTTTGTAGAAAACCATATATAATAATAATATGGATCCAGGAGTTTTGGAAAAGTTAGTCAAAAAGAGTTTTGCAGTATACCTCAAAGTTCTTGCAACTATGGAAAACAAGGAAATCAGCCTTAATTGCCAGCTTCTACAAAATTGCTTCAGGTGTGAACATTAACAATGCTTTTTCTCCAGCAATAAATCATCCAAGGAAAGAAAGGCATCGAAAGAGACTAACAGAATTTAGGTCTGTGATGGATCATGGTGAGTAGCGGTATTTGTTATTATTCACACCCCTCCCTTGAGCATAAACGGATAAGAACTTATAAGACTAGAGTTCAAGATCAAAAATGGTGTACGAGGAAACACATAAGCAATACGTGACGTGAACTTTTTGTGTAACTTCATTTTTCACGATAAATGTTTTTGTTCTAATACCAGCCTAAATATGTTCTTCGGAAGGAAGAAACTTTCGAAGGACATATTCAAGCTTACTGGCAAAATAACATTCGGTAGATGGAGTTGCTACAATGACTCGACATGAGTAGCTGACTTGATGATTGTTCTTGACTTCACCTGTAATAACCTTATCCCGCTGCGTCAAGTATTCCGTGTCCAGAATGAAACCTGTGTGCCTGTGTACATTCGGCCATAAGAATGACTTTTCGTCATAGCCTAGTGATATTCCATTGTCACTAGAGACCTTTGTGGGTATTTTTTTCAAGAACCTGGATATTTAAGTGGGTTACGGAACCTGCGGACCGCCCTGATTTCAAAAAGCCTGAAACATGGGTTGTAGTGGCTCCAGTCGAGGTTGACTATGAGCACAACTACAAACCAATTACTTTCCCAACTCTGGTCGTCACCTTGGTGAACCGAATACAGAGAAGAAGATTTGATCCAGAAGGAGGAGTGTTTTTTGACGATTTCGTGGCATCGAAAGAATGCCGAAATTGTGCCAAAGAATATGGGCGAAGATACAACAAGCAGTATAATCAGTCCGGCAACAAAACAAACGGAAAGTGTGTTTATGGAGTACGAATAAACAAAATCTTCTGTAAAACAATTACTGCTTTAACTGTTTATAATAATGAATGCTTCCATTTAACCAATCGCGTTTTCTTCGCAAAAGTGGAGTTGCTACGGCAGTCCGCTGCTAGAAAGGATGGACACTTTAGATACGTAGTGCTGGCCTTCATAGGACTGGTCGACAAAACGTGCGGCTGTAGGATCTGAGGGTTGACGAACAGGAAGTGATCATTGATTCTCGAGTTGTCATCGAAGATTCGTTACGTAGAAAGGTACCAGGAGTAACGTGCTTTATTTGCTGCTCGAGTTGGTGTGCCACACTAGAGTGGTTTGTATCCATAATCTGATGGCGTTAGTAGGAGTTCTGACCAGAAAACGCCGCAGACGTAGGATGAAACCAGGTCGAGTCAAGGAAACGGAAGCGACCATTAAAACCAAGTTCGGGGTCGTACGTATGCCAGACGTGGTCGGAACCAGTGCGTCGTCCGAGTACATTGACAAGGGCGTGGATGATCAGGCCAGCTATCGACATGTTTGAGTGAAATCTACGGTACCAGAAAGGCGACGGTCCTAGGCATAAGCTCAGGATAAGAAATCAAAGAAAAAGAAAACAGGTGCAGCAACCATTTAGAAGGAGGTAGAATCCTGTACCCTATATATTGCTTATTGAGAGGCCAGTCTCAAAAGCGTGCAGATAGGTTTACATGGCCACCAAAACATGAGATGATAGTCTCGTTCGTACCTCGTGATTGAGAGCTTGAGACTTGAATCTCACCCCAATTAAGGGGCGGTATGGTCTACTGATCTGGACTTAACGCTGGAGTCTCATCCGTAGATAGTGCAGGAGGCGCGTGCTACTGACTGGGACGTGAGAATGAGGTCTCTGATATATTGAGCGTGGGGTCTGAAAGAGACATAGAGATCCTGCTAGCAGGTTTGATGGGTCCAGCATTCGGTCTCTACTTATCGAACAGGGCACTGTCATCGACGTGCGCTTGTTCGAGATAATGTGAACCGTATAGATTAACCTTTTGGCTACTGGAAATCACGTGAAAAATTCTTTCATACGGTTATGCTGTGGTTCACGCAGCGAATCTACTAATATTAAAACATATGAACAGGTAAATTACCCATTAGGGAAAGGGACTTGTCGATGCTGTATTCCACTTGACACAGAGGGCAGTGTTCGCATGTACACAGTCGTTGGACGTTATCTGTTATACAAACCATACATGCTCCGTTGTGTAAAACCCCCGGGAAGATGCAATGTCTGATACTCGGTTAAGTTGGCTGGGAATATATATATCATTAAATAAGTGATCATGCGCGAAAACTCACCATTGATTCAGTACATATTTGTCTGAGCGTTGAGACCCTTCGATTCAACATTCGACTGAGTGTCGATCAACTGCAACCTTCGTGAATCGAATAGCAATTCATAGTGGTGCAGGGAATCGATGCAGTATACGGTTGTCGGAACATCAGAATGGATGAACGTCCACAGATACTGTCATCGATTATTTAGGTTGATCTTTATCCTTAATTTACCGTAGGTAGGAATCGCAGACTCATTTGAAGAGGGTAGTCGAGTCGTTGTAGCTTGAAGCTTGCTGCTACCAGACTATACGGCAGAAACTTGGGCACCTCTGTCCACTAGGTACGTAGCTTTAGTGAGATAACCATGCACGTAAAACAAACGACAAACCTGGATTGAGGGTAACGAGAGAGTTTGAAATATAATGATCTGCACCTCAATGTCTATTATTTTATCATAATTTTTATACCTGTACACCATTTAGAGGGGTTGTTGCAAACATAATGTATATTAAAACATATCAATAAAGTTAATGCAACAAACAGATTGAGGATGGAATTATAGGCACACCGTAATTGACTTTCTTCGTGAAAAAAACATCAGCTCACCAACTGTAGCTGGACCAGTTGAGGTTGACTATGAACACCATTGAAGGATCACCATGAAAAAGGCTGTAAATACTGTTAATTAAGGCGAATCTGCATGCTGAAGTCAATTCTATTATGGTTCGTATAAAATCAACAACGCATTCCAATAAGATACATCACTTATACTTACATATCCAGGCGATAATTGATTATTTTAGATTAAACATTTCAAGTCATTATTTGATAAATCTTTCATAAAATACTCAGTTCACGTTGAGCTGGATGCTCTGTAAACTAGTGTTGATATTATAGAGAATCGAATAATATACTACTTCGCGGGATAACAAACGTTAATACCGTTACTCTAAGAATCAGAATAAAAGGCGATTCTAGAGGAAGAAGTATATTTGATACTGGCCTCGTGATATCGAATTAATATCGAGGCAAGAGGGTGCACAAAGGGCAAACGTCCACACAGGAGACGTGCGAACAGTAGAATGGGAATAACACGCGAGAGGTAGTCCCTAGTACAGTTAGACAAGAGGTGTACAATATAAGAATTATTGTCAGGATTAACTACAACAACAAATGTTTATATTTCAGCAATTGTGTTTTCTTCGTAAAAGTACACCACCACAATATATTTAGTGTCTAAAACCGATAAAGCTAAATCTATATTTAACAACCTAGACACAAATATGAGTGCAGTTTTACAACATTGTCATTAGCTAGCTGTTTGCAGAGCTTCTGAGGAGCAATATGTCAAATGTTACGAGTTTGTGCTTTACTCAATACAGACACCCTTCATCACAACCTGAAGCACAAACTAATTTCTAATGAAGTGTACATAGATAACCGATGTTGTCTTTGCCTAGATTGTGGTGGTGAGTCAGAAGATGTAAAGTAATTGGAAATATGTTGATCACAATTGCTAACGACAACCTGATGGCAAGAGTCTGATCCTGATGCTCTGTGATTACGACTGTGACTAAATATCTGGAGTTTTCGCAATACGACTCAGTGGCTTTGTCCCAGATTAGTTAAACTTTGGAGATGCCGGGGAGAACCCTGAAATCATAGTAAATTTTGGAGCTTTTGGTTGTTTTTCTCCAAAGTTAACTGTGAGAGCTTCCCATTGTTTATATGCTTAGTTCTGAAATCCTCTTCTTAATAGCATTATAATTTTTCACTTATTATTCTCCACATTGTAACTAACTGACCTTCGGTCTGGTAATGTGATAGCTACTGGTGTTCGGAAAACTCACTGCCCTGAAACGGGACATACAAACTCACAAACCACTGCCAACTGACTAGAATTAGGCAATCGAGTGGCTAAATCCCATTCACAGGACACTACGGAACACCTGGAACTTTACCGAAAGATCAAGAATCGGGCGCACAGAAATAGGTTGGTTTATACTAGCTAGTGAAAAAGATATTTGGCAAATTGGGAGATTTGGATTATGCCTGACCAAAAATTATTTGGGCTTTGGGTCAGGCTCGGTCATTTCCCATGCCGATATGACATATTTAGTGTGCGTATGGCGTACATGGGATTACTAACAAAAGTCATTCTGCCTTATGTATTTCAGTCAGGCTGGTTTCAAAACTATACCACTCGTAAATCGTCGCGACAGCATGATATCGTTGAATATTTGTTCAACATCATGCATCACTGCGATGGAATCATTTCTGTTACTTGTTGAATGGAGTACGGAGTGGCTGGATCAAAATTATATTTGAAACTGTCTTGATTTAATCGCTTCCCGGGAAGTTCATAAATTGTCGATGTGACGCACCAATCGTTTTATGACAAATTGACCTTCAAGTGCTCAGTAACTTTCATAGTTAGGCGAAGTTACTGGAGAGTTGCCGCGTACTTCATAGTGTAGAGTGGTTGCGTACTACTAATCTGCGTTTGTAGGTCATCATTTTCGTCGTAAGTCATAGATTTATCACATAATTTGACTGAGTCAACAGTGGTGACTTTTTTCTTTCTCCCACTACTGTCGTGCTCAAGCGAACAAAACAAGAAATAAATCCGGACCTTTGAGTAAATTATATCTGAATACAAAAGATAGTGCATAAAGTTATCTCCCTTTACCTCCTATCCCGAGCTAATTAGTTTGGACTCAGGAACTTTTTCTTTTATGGGGAAGGGTTTTGAAATCAGCATTTTTACCTTCCCCTGTGTGACTACTCCCCCCCCCCCCAAGAATGTACACTGAATTGTCTAATATTATTGCTAGTAACATTCTATCTTCAGCTGTAGTCTGAGAAAATTATTGTTAGTACTCTTTTAGCGTACATCTGAAAACTCCTTAATTCAAACAAACTACTAGCGCACGCAAACGTTAAAATACTATATCTGATTCATTTCGATGCACTCGATGTCAATGATAAGGTTGCAGTAGGTCTAGTAAATGTTTGTTTAACAACAAATACACTAGAAGTAGTCGTAATGACATCCTTGACAGTTAGGAACGGCTCTTTCATCCTTTGAATTCTGAACCAGATCAGCAGTCGATAGTTTTGAGTGTTTATGTTGAGTGCTTGCTATAAATTCATTGTAAAATATAGCAAGTGGTAATACCAATAGTGTATGCCGGCGTCGAAAAGACGAAAGGTATGGGTTGACTGTGACAGTTTCCGCTTAAGTTATCCTTCTCGGAAAATAAAGCTTGTTCAGTTTGTTGGGAAATATTTTCTGTAAATTCAAATGACTGGATTTGCAGTACCTTTAAGTTTCGATCACATACGTTGTTGATATTAGCTTTTACTGAATTAGACCAAATTAATATCATCAACAGTATTTATGTTTCACTATCTATCTATGTTTCACATAATTTCCAGGTTGTCATGCTTGATAAATTTTCAGATTTTTCACTATCTAATTTTACTTTATAATCGTTTGGATCACATAGCATATGGTTTAGTGTCCATTAAAGTAGTATAGTAATATAGTAAGTAGAGTAAATCGTATACACTAATATCAGTAATAGTTGGAATTTCTTTTGAAGCACTTGCATCACTACAGGATTTTCAGCAAGTTCCTAAAACCTAAACACCTTATGTCCTGGGACACAAGATTCGCATTTCAGTATGGTTTCGAGATTTGCCTTATTTTAAGTTTTGTATTGCTTGGAATTATCGCATTTCATATACGTGCTTTTTAAGTTATCTGATTTCTCATTTTTATCAATAGGTTCTTGAATCGATCTAATAAACTTCTACCATACATTTGGAACCTTATCCAAGTCACGGCAAAACCTGTTCCCATTTAAGGTGGACACCTACCAACAGACTTTAAAAGATGCAGAACTTTTCGCATACAATATGGATGGGTGACGTATGTTTTGTCCGGTTTTATTTCTTTCTTGATTTTGTAGCTGGAACCTTACATGGATGAAATGTTTATTAAACGAGCTTTCGAGACATCGGGTGAAAATATAGTCAGCGTAAAAGTTATCCGGAATAAGGCAACTGGTCAAACTCTTGGTTATGGTTTTATAGAATTCGCTAATTCAACATCTGCTAGAGATGCAATGCTTAAGTTGAACGGCAAGCTAATTCCTGGAGCTCCAGTGAGTTTCATTAAAACGAATCGGTTGTCTAATGCTAACTTTAAGTCCATTAAAGATTTCTATTTGTATTTACAAATCAATCAAGATTTTCTGAGGCTCTGTTTGGATATCTTATAGATTTCTTTTAGCAATTGATTTTTTCACAATATAACGCAAGCGTAGTCAGTCAGCTAAGTCGTAAAACTTGGTAAGTACATACATCAGTTCAAGTTGCCATACCATATTAGCAATCGTCAACTCAAATTCCACAGTGGTAGAGGAGGTAGCAGTATTAGCAGTAATGGAGAAGATTAGGGTTCAAAGATATGATTCGGGAAGTATATCTTAGTGAAATAGATTTAACAGTCGAGAAAAACATTCACAAGGAGTTTACAAAGTTACATTAGAGCTTTCTGTATCCATGCTGAGATTTCGTCGCACACCAGGCCATCAGCACTGATGAGACTCCCAAGATAAGTGAAGCAGTCAGCATACTCAATCACTAGTTCATGTGCCCATGCTAGCCAGTCCTGAAGCAACATTTTGCATTTCGACGGGGAGAATCGCATTCCAAACATGCTTCATTGTTGCTTAAAGTGGTCAGAAGACTGCGTTTTGTCAGCGTTTTCACCGAGTAGGGTTATGTCATCAGTATACTCTAAGTCAGCAAGCGAGTCTCCTAGTAAAAGGTCTACTCCGGAAAAGTGAGACGTCAATAAAAAATTTGAATGAGAATGGAGAATGTGAACAACCGTGATGGACACCACTTGAAGTATTCAATTACAATGACAGTTCGCCTTAAGCTCTGACTCGACCAGTAGTGTTAGAGTAGAGGCTGTACAAGTTCAATGCACTTTGATCCGATAATATACACGGCCACAAAACCTCACGAACGATGAAATCATATGCCGCTTTAAGGTCCAAGAATACAACTATTTTCGGACGCCGAAATGTGTGTCTTTATTCTAGGGCTTGACGAAGTGTGAACATACGGTCTATACAGCCATATCCAGCCTGATTTTCTCGTTTCTGCTCTTCACGAGCTCTAGTTAGGAGTCGAAGTTTTATCGAGGCGAAGCCACATATGCCGATGACATAGTTCTATTCTGCGAAGACGCTGACAAAATGCAATCTTCTGACTACCCTAAGCAACAGTGCATGCAAGTTCAGGATGCGGTTTCCCCCCTCGAAATGCAAAATGTTGCTTCAATATTGGGTTGCGTCGGCACCTGAACTAGTGATAATGAGTGAAGTAGAAGAACGTGTAGACCGCTTCACGTATCTCGCGAATCTCATCAGTGCTGATGCCCTGATGACTGACGAAACCTCAGCTCGGATACAGAAGGCTCTGTTGGCTTTTGCCAACTTGCGTCACTTATGGCGTAGGCGAGATATCCGTTTGCTGACTAAAGGACGAGTGTACTGCGCAGTAGTTTGCTCCGTCCTACTTTATGGCTGTGAAGCATGGCCAGTCAGAGGAGAAGATATTCGTAGGTTACTTGTTCTCGATCATAGGTGTCTCTGAAGCATTGCTCTTGTATAGTGGGACAACCAAGTAAGCAATGCTGTTGTTAGGGAATGGGTGCTGGGTAAGGATAGCAGGTCAATAGATGAAGTAGTGAAACTTCATCAGTTGAAGTGGTTAGGATATGTGTTACGTATGCGTAACCACCGACCGCCTCGTCGAGCTATATTTTGCGATGTAGGAATAGGTTGAACGAAAGCTAGGGGCGGCCAGACCAAAACATGGCAGAAATCCACGAAGGCACTAACAAGTGGACTGAATCATGTTGGGATCCGCGAGACGAAAGTCACCAATGGTTAGAGACCTTGAACGACATGGCTCAGAATCGTTTGCAATGGCGTAGGTGCATCCACTGTTTGTGTTCTCTCTAATTCTAACCTTTTGAATTCCTCATCATCTCTATCATTCTCCTTCTAAATTTATTTCACTGAATTATACATCTCGGATCATATCTTCGCTCCCTAATCTTCTCGATTACTGCCAATACTTTTACTACCACTACTACTATGGGATTTGAAGTGACTATTGCATCTGTATACTAATGTGGTATGGTAACTTGAACTGATGTACTTACGTACGAAGTTCTACGTTGTAACTGACTGACTGACAATAGAGTCCTAATTTTTTTTAGATTGGAAAGCGACTTATGGAATTCATTTTTACCTCATCTGTGCTTCAGTCAGTGGAAGCGTAAGCATGGACTACGTAGAGGCAACGCTGTGTCCGTGTGTAGTAGCAGTGGGGTTTCCAGACACGAACAGTGATTCACATCGTTCCTTTATTTTGGTAAGGTGAGGTCTAATGAGTGAATGTACTCGGATCCTGTATACTTGTTTCGGAGACGCAGCATACCTTAGTGGCGCGAAATCCTAGAATCCTAGCTAAGGAAGCTCTTGTCCTACTTGACACAATCTCCGAACTTTAAAAGCTCCATCATGTACTTTAGAGCAGGGTTCCACGTGACCATAAATAGCATTTCTTGTACTTAAATAGTTGTCATTAGCAGTGTATGATGATAAGGTTGTTCGAGAAGGGTTAGTCGTGATACAAGAGAGTTATTAGAGGAAACTGAGAAAGAATTTGATTGTGAGCAAGTTTATCTTACGTGCTCTTAGGGATATGAGAGTGGGTGTTACTTCTCGGTTGCCCACACCATGAAAAGGTATTTCTCGAGTGACATGAAAAGCTTGGGTTAACGTTGGTCTTAACAACCTGTGGGTGTGACCGCAGAGCCCGAAGGAAAACTATTTGAGGCTCGCCGCGCACTGTCTTTTTGTGGAAGGTTTTCAAAGTGGTAGCTCCACCCTTCCAAAGGCTTTACCGATAAAGACGGAGAGGAATTGTTGTACTTCGTTGCAATGGAATATTTGCGAGTTTTGAGGTAGCTTTTTTCACTGATCGATATTGGTTAAAGAACCACCAGAAGCTAAGTAACATTAAGCAGTCTAAAACTCTCCAACAGTACACACCAACTATTCCATGCGGACCGAACCGTTAACTTTTTGTCTTAGCGTTGAGTGTGTTAAGTTTCGGTCATGATCTACTATAACATACTTCACTCCGACAAAGTTCAACTTTGTGAGATCAGTGAAAGATGTCAGCAGTTGCAATAATTAGCAATAATCATGTAGTATCGTAAATTTAGGTTATAAATGTAAACTTCTGTATCCTGACACAATAGTGGTCTAGAATTATAATACCCCTAACAAAGCCGAAACGTTGTGGAGTTGATCCACTATAAGTCAACAAAATTTCCCGAATCTAGGACAGTATGGTCGTTCAGTGCTTCCTAGTTCTCATTGTCAAGGTATAATGAAAAACTAACTTCATACTGTAATACCGCTTTTGTGTCATAACTTTTTCGAATGATTTGTTTAATTTTTTTTTCTAGACAAGAAGATTTAAACTTAATCATGCTAGTTATGGAAAAGATAGCACTTCTAGGTATGGGATTTTTTATTTACTAATGTTCATCTGTTTAGTAATGAATGTTCGTTATTTGTTGGTGAACTAACGGAAGATGTTGATGATCTTGCTTTATTCAATGCTTTTAAAAAGTATCCAACATGTCGTTCAGCTAAAGGTAACTATCATTATGGAAGTGTATTATTAATTTTCATAATTAATAGTTGTGATGACAAACGGCAAATCTCGTGGATATGGCTTTGTTCGTTTCTTAACTGAATCTGATATGGACAAAGCATTGATTGAAATGCAAAATTATTGTGGTTTAGGCTATAAACCGATTCGAGTGAGTCTTGCTATACCAAAGCGTTATAATGCAGATGGAAGTTTGGTTGTTACTACTACAGCATCTGAGACAAGTTCAGTGGTTCCAAGTGGTAAGTATGTAAATATTAAATGAAGCATTTGATTGGCGTTCATGAGTGTTTTTAATCGAATAAAGTATCATCGAATTCAACTAATGTAGAGCCACAATTGGAATTCTTGAAGCATTAGAAGTCTGTTTTATCCTATTGTTGGACTTCTCATCAGTGCGTATCCACGACTACGTGTTTGGGAATAGTCTCGCACGTGAATGTTTGACCATTGAGTCCACATCCAACAGTGTTCGTGCCCAACTTCAATTAATCCACAATGTTGTGTGACCATCTACCATCATATTCGGTAGACCATTGCATCACACCCGATACGGTCGAATCCTCACTAGAATTCTGAGAATTCTCTCTTGAAACTAGTCACTAGTAAGCATATACTGATTATGAACTCAATGATATTCATAATCTTATACTGATCAATAAAGTATATTAGTCTCGAATAAACTTTTCTGTATATGTAATTAGATTAGTTTTTAACTTTTTAAGCATTACCAACCTTTCAAAAAAAGTCACTAGACTTTTAAACAATATCCAACTCAATCAAAATGCTTAAATCCAGTTAAAAAATATGTGTTTTACTTCTTTTCGTCTTATTTATCTCTTAGTTTTTCGTAGGGAGTTTTAGTTTAAAACTATTCTGTTAACTGTTCAGAAACAATTAAACTGAATCTTCATTCACTTTCCTTTTTATTCACACTACGACAGTCATTTTCTTTGGTCTGAGACTAAAGGAAGCATATGGTGGTTCACCGTTCGAATCACAACTATTATCGGACGCCTGTATGTGTATCTGTTGCAGGGCCTGTCGTAATGTGACTATCAAGTCTATACATCAACGTTCAGGTTGAAAACCAGCCTGGTTTTCTGTAGTATGCTCTTAACGAGCTCTAGTTAGGCTTATAAGTATAATCGAGGCTAACAATTTAGAAACTATATTAGTTAGACTGATTCCTCTGTGATTTTCGCAAGAAGATTTTTGTCCTTTCTTGTAAATTGGGACAATCAGCGATTAAGACTAGTCAGATGGGATTACGCCCAGTTCCCAGATTCCACCTAAGATCTCAGTCAATCTAACTGCTAAAACTAGACCACCATTCTTAAAAATCTCACAAGTCAATCAGGAGCCCCCGCTCTCCATCGCTTCAGATTTCCTATAGCTTTCTCAACTTCGTAAAGACTCGGAGGACTTATATCGATTTGCGATTCAGGATGACTGGAGATCGTGGGTAACCGAATTGTTCTGCCCATCGATCCAATCTCCTGGATTGAGAATGAATAACGAGACCATCCTTTTCCGAAATATTCTCACTAACATTCGGATTCCTAATACCGGTTTCCTTGATAAGTCTGAATAGATGCCTACTGTCGCCTATCGCCGTTTCCTTTTCCATCTTTCGCTACCCACCACTGTTCTCGATCATTGCGAAAGCTTTTTATCAGCCTGCGCTTAAGTTGACTTCGCTCTTCGTCATGTTCAGAGCCATGCGGGATAAGTTTACTAGCGTCTATCAGTTCTGTAGATGCCGCTGAAATCCACGGCTTCTCCCTAACCTTGTGGTTCACCTTACTAGCAGATATCACTGCTGTTTCCACAGCCTTTTGGATATCATTCCAAGCTGCCTCAGGGTGTACACCACTTACTACAAGGCGGCCCCATAACTGTTTTTCTAGTTGTTCCTGAAATATATTCTCAGCTTTATTATCGTTAACTAGAGCACTCAGAGGTTCCCTTGAGATGTTTTCCCTACGTCCAGTAAGGCGCAAAAAAATACGCGCTCGCACGAGAGCATGGTCTGAGTCTCAACAAGTGTGTCAGAATGAGCGATAGTCTTCAATAGACCCAATCCACCGATGACTTATAGCGATATGATCTAGTTGGGTCCATCGTTGGTCTGCTTTGGGGGTCGCCAGGTCATGAGATGTTTTTCCTCATGCTTAAAGTTAGTGTTTGCTAGAAATAGGCGGTTATCTGAGCGTAGATGGAGCAGACGGTCGCCATTATCTGTTCGATTAGCTGCGACAACATAAGATCCACTCAGGTTTCTTTCCTTTGCGCAGAGTCTACCTACTTGAGCGTTAAAGTCGCCAGCCATATATATATATATATATATATATATATATTTGTGTTTATTGTTTGGTAGCTAAATACGTTTCCTATTCTTGCCTTTTTGCTCAGCTAGTCGTTTTTGGGAGGAGTAGCATGCATCACGTCCAGATCTCGGACATCTGCATATCTAACACTAGTCAGTAATTCATTCGCCGTAGAATTATTAAATGAGTTTTTTTATTTATGTAAACACAATAATTGGTACAAAAGGGCACCTAAATGTTTATACACCGCACAAGCCATTAAATTTGTGTTTGGGCTGATATATTGCATGGAAGCCTAAACCGAAGCAATTGGTTTTCTAAGGAGGCTACACTCCGAGGCTTTGACCTAAAAGTTTAGTTCACAAGGTAATGGAGCAATGCCAGTAGATGCCATCCTATGGTAGTCAGTGACTAACGGTAGGTTCATACACCAGACGGTCGCCATTATCTGTTCGATTAGCTGCGACACCATAAGATCCACTCAGGTTTCTTTCTTTGCGCAGAGTCTACCTACTTGAGCGTTAAAGTCACCAGCCATTATTACTATATCAGGGTGCCTAACGTTTTGAACAAGTTTAGAGAGGTTTCTGTAAAACGTATCTTTCTCGTCGTCTGAACTGCAGTCAGTGGGAGCGTAGGCAGATACAACGAAGAGGCAACTGTGAGTGTCCCTATCCTTCCGAGTTCGTACCGTCCCGTTCAGTCGGACATCACATAAGCGACTGTCTATCGGGATGCAGTCTAGGAGAGTTGATTCTGCCCTAGGACCTAATGCTATACCTAAATCGACGAGGCTATGAGAAGCAGCATCAGGACATCCAGAAAACACCAAGCGTAAACATTGTTGTGTCTCTATCTGCACTAAGTGAAATCAAATTAATGATTTTACTCGGATTTTGCATGCACGTTTCGGAGACACGACATACATCGATTGCTCGGGATTCCAGAGTTCTAGCTTATGAAGCCTGTTGCCCTTTTATGGGATTTCAGGAGACCAGGAATTATGTTTCGTTAGACAACATCTTCATTCTACGACAGGTTTTGGAATACAGACACACATTCAGGCGTCCTACAACAGTAGTATTTCTCGACTTCAAAGCTGCATTCAAGTCTGTCGATCGTGAGGTTCATTGGCACTGTCTGTCATTAAAAGGTGTACCAAAGAAGTACATTAACCTTATACAAGCTCTCTACTCGAACACCACTGGTCAGGTGAGAGCCTATGGCGAACTGTCATCAGAATTCTCCACTTCAAGTGGTGTACGTCAGGGCTGTCCACCTTCTCCATTCTTGTTCAATTTTGTCATAGACACGCTGCTGGATATAACATTATCTTCGTCTGAATTTTCAGGAGTGGACCTTCTAGCAGGAGGTCCGCTTGTTGACGTAGAATATGCCGATGACATAGTTCTATTCGGCGAAGACGCTGACAAAATGCAATCTTCTGACTACCCTAAGCAACAGTGCAAGCAAGTTCAGGATGCTGTTTCCCCCCTCGAAATGCAAAATGTTGCTTCAAGATTGGGTTCGCGTCGGCACCTGAACTAGTGATAATGAGTGAAGTAGAAGAACGTGTAGACCGCTTCACGTATCTCGCGAATCTCATCAGTGCTGACGCCCTGATGACTGACGAAACCTCAGCTCGGATACAGAAGGCTCTGTTGGCTTTTGCCAACTTGCGTCACTTATGGCGTAGGCGAGATATCCGTTTGCTGACTAAAGGACGAGTGTACTGCGCAGTAGTTTGCTCCGTCCTACTTTATGGCTGTGAAGCATGGCCAGTCAGAGGAGAAGATATTCGTAGGTTACTTGTTCTCGATCATAGGTGTCTCTGAAGCATTGCTCTTGTATAGTGGGACAACCAAGTAAGCAATGCTGTTGTTAGGGAATGGGTGCTGGGTAAGGATAACAGGTCAATAGATGAAGTAGTGAAACTTCATCAGTTGAAGTGGTTAGGACATGTGTTACGTATGCGTAACCACCGACCGCCTCGTCGAGCTATATTTTGCGATGTAGGAATAGGTTGAACGAAAGCTAGGGGCGGCCAGACCAAAACATGGCAGAAATCCACGAAGGCACTAACAAGTGGACTGAATCATGTTGGGATCCGCGAGACGAAAGTCACCAATGGTTAGAGACCTTGAACGACATGGCTCAGAATCGTTTGCAATGGCGTAGGTGCATCCACTGTTTGTGTTCTCTCTAATTCTAACCTTTTGAATTCCTCATCATCTCTATCATTCTCCTTCTAAATTTATCTCACTGAATTATACATCTCGGATCATATCTTCGCTCCCTAATCTTCTCGATTACTGCCAATACTTTTACTACCACTACTACTATGGGATTTGAAGTGACTATTGCATCTGTATACTAATGTGGTATGGTAACTTGAACTGATGTACTTACGTACGATGTCTTACGTTTTAAATGACGAACTGTAAACTGTGTTGTGTTTATATCTGAACGAGGTGAGATCAAATTGATGAGTTTACTCTGATCTTTAAGTTATTTAAAATGTGAAATCTCTTGAAAAATCTGCGTAAATTAAATGTAATCTTTCTGAATTTTATTATTATTCTCATTAGGTATAATAAAACTCTCTATATATATTGATAATGTATAGCTTGTTTTCATTACTTCTTCACTAATCGTTACCTTGTTTATTTTTTTTTTGTAAGGTATGCCTGATCCATTCACTGCTGCAGTTGCAGCTGCAGTAACAGGGAATTCTGCAGCTCAAGCAGAATACTATCAAGCTTATCAACAATACTATCAACAATATTATGCTTCTCAATATGCAGCTCAATTTTATTCCAGTGAATCATCTACCAATGGTGATTTAACTAATTCTGGAATAACATCCATTGCTGGTGGTGGTACATTGATAGGCGATGCTACAGTTCAGCAACATGCATTTGTTGATGCAGCTGCTTCACATTTATACGCTAGAGCACTTCAACAAGGCACTGGTTCACAAGAATATGCTCCAGGTTATTATTATGATTATTATTATAAAATCATTAAAATTTAATCATTTATTATGTTTAATGCAAAATGATTGATTATTTAGTAAAGAATTACTGTGGTTTAGTGCTTAATCTACTGGTTTTTTGTTTAGGTTTCATGCGGTAGAAAGTGAAGTTGTTTGATAGAAACCTCCCAGTTTTAATTGTCTCTTTGAGTTAAAATTTATCTTCTTATTTCAATCTATGACTTTAAGAGAACACTTGTTTCTTATCAAACCATTAAAACATCATTGGTGAACATTGAATCATTATCATCTAACAAGTTGGTGTTTGGCACCAGTTATTGTATTTTTCAAGTAAATTTATCACATTACTATCTATCTATATATTGATGAAAAATCCTGATTCTTTAATATCAAAACATAAAAATGCTTCATGATTTTAAGAGAAATGAATGATTTTTAAACTGTTGTTAGTCATAGCTTTTATGAAAATGTACTTTATGATATTATCAGTGGTTATTTTTGTCTAAGAAATTATCACTTCATACATGTGTAACATCAATTTTAAAATGATTAATTTAAAGAACTTACTCTATAGTTACAAAATTCAAATATCATACCATGATTAGTTTTATCTTATATTTGCACCATACTCTATTTCAAGTTCTACCTTGCTTATGCGTATTCCTATCGACATGTAGTTTTTTGTCTTAATAATTCACCTATTGTTCTATTCATAATAGGCAGCTTAACACCACAAATTTTATACAAATTGTTTGCGTTCAATCTCTATACCCTAATTTAAAACATCTAAAGCGGTAACCAATTACCATACCATTCGTGCAAATCTTACTCATACAAAATACAATGAAATTGACCAACATTGTTGTTTGTGGTTTTCAGTAACTTCTTGTTTATAAGTTTTTTATAAGAGATCTGTACTTGTACTTTAGTTTCACTTTTGATAATAATAATAATAGTAATAATAATATGTTTGACTAGATGGTAAACAGAATAATAATGGGGCTAAATATTCTACACGGAAACTTTTCTATAGTTTTGGTAAAAGTAATTTAACAAAGGATTAGGAACTCTTAAGACATGGCATCTATCCATGATGTCAGTAACTAGTGATCTGAGTTATGTGGGAAAATTCTGATTTGTAGCTTGTGCAACAAATTGCAGACCTAAGTTTATGTAATATAGAATAACCCATAACAGTGTCAAGGTATTTTATAAACGTACAAATTTTGAACTTAGTACTTTTTTCATACTTTTCATTTATTCCGTGCATTTAGTTTACAATTGATATCGGTGTTATTTATCCTATAGTTTGTATGTTTCCATCTTGTTAGCTATTATGCATAATGTCGACTTGAATTGCGACACATTCGTATCATATCCATGAATGATTGATGAATTCGTATGTTATTCCCTTTGGTAACTCATCTTTTATATAATCCTATTTAATATTTCGTAGGTGTTTATCTGATCAAGTGTTAACCGCAATCATTGTTTATTGAAATCATGTCCTTATGTGATTTGCTACTCGTTCAATAATCAATGATGTTCATTCACATTTTAGTTGTGATACTACCTTTATGTTTTTAACCAGTTGGTGTTACATTTAGTAGTTTGATTACTGTCAGTTCGTTTTTCCAACACTCATACTACTATTGTCCCTACAGTATTTATTTTTCACCCTATTGAATCACTTGAAGATGTTTTTTTATCAAACTACTATTTTTTGTGAGTGGGTCGTGTTAACAATTAGACTGTGAGTGTTATCCATTTCGTTTCTTTTAGTAGCAATAATTACGTCGTCGAAATAGGAAATCAGTATTTTTCCTTTTAATGAAATGGTATGTGTAATTCGTTCTACTTTCAAATTTATGATGTTTGCTCACCTCCCATCTCCAACTACATCAGTTGTTTGTAATGTTCTAGAATCTAGGAGCCAACTAAGCGTGACAGATTTGTTCCAAGTAATCAACCTATAGTGTACCGCTTGTCTTTCCCAATCCCTGAGAATGAGTCCTGGACATGTGGAACACCATTATTTATAAAACAGAAATAAAATCAATATTTGGGAATACTTTACTATATGTCGCTATATCATCCCAAATATTTTAAAACACACTTGTTTGTATATGATCTGTTTCAATATCTCTTCACTTCTAATTCTTTATTATTGCTGCGAGTACTCTCCATTTCCTCATTATTTCATTATTATTTCTTTACATTGTAATGATGAATTTTCATTTATTTTTTCTTATCTAGAACCACATGTTTTGTCATCAGCTTGTGATCGTCCACGACATGTAGATGATTTAGATGAAGTCTTCAATTTTCTGGAGGCATCACGATGGCATGTCACTGACCCATCACTAGGATTGTTTATTAAAATAAGACCATAACTACTATTCATGTTTTATTCCTGGTAGAGTTCATTGTGTCTCCATAAGTTTGAATAAAGTGTATTGAGTTTTTCTATTTTAATTATTCAGTGTAAATACATTTGAAGTTTATATATATGTACGTCTTCATTTAGCTTCATGTAGGCATTTTATTACTAATTTGATACGGTCTTTTGTAAAGGGATGATCCTTGGTTTTAAATAGAATATTTTCCCTTTTCATGGTAAAGTAGCCCTAGTAACATTAGGATTTGTGTTGGAATTTTTTGCACAGATTAAGATATAGACCAATGGATCCATCTAAACCGCACTAACAGGCCGTCTAGATACCCAACCACAAACTGCTGTTTCAATCATTGATGTGAGGCAAGTGATGTGATTTAATCTATAGATGAAAAGTAGCGAAGTTACTGTGTTGTGAATATTTTGGAATGGTGAAACTAGGTTACATATTGTTTTGTTTCGGCTTTATTACTTATATTAACAGTGGTGAGTCGCTTTCCGTCCCGTGGTTTCTGAGTAACAGTAACTAGAATGACGAGCTCATAATAGTAAATAAAATCCCGAGAAATACCAAAGCATGTAAACTTTTTGAGTCCCATCTCAGATAATGAAGTATAACCTATATATCACGGGCGTATTCTGCTAATCAGATTGTTTCTGGACTCTGAATAACACCTTTTCATACTCGGGAAATTTTCATATATCAAGTTTACTTTATTCTAAAAATGTTCATTTGTAAATTGCTAAAATTATTCTTAAGCTAATCAACTAATTCAATGGGTTCTAAAAGGGGTTATCTTCACTACATTCAGATTATTGTTCGCGTGTACAAATTATTCCTAATCTTACTGTTAGTCATTACACTTAGGGATGCGTGTATCATAATTGTAAATACCGACTCATGTTTTGATTGCTCAGCATTCGTATACTCAAGAATACCATAACTGTCACTTTATATGATAAAAAGTCTTTATCCTAGGGGCGGACTTATCGCTTGTTTACAAATTGTTGCATTCTGTACTGTATTACCGTTCATTTGGTACTGTGGGTCATGAAGTTTATTATGGTTGGTAGGTAGGTAGGTTCTGTATCCAGGATGAACTATGAGTAGAAAGTGGATCAACAGTATGGTCAGTGGTTCACAAACAATATAAATCTTCAAGAGCCCAGTGCGAATGCACCACTTCTTCGGGAAATCATCACCACTAAGAAAATTCTGGGTCCTAATAGGAAAACAAATTGCTTTAACTAGAATCAAGTGAACGAATTCTGACCATTTAGAACAATAAGAGTCATTCCGAAGGACTTGGTGAGTAGGTATAACAGTTCAAATTGCCACATCAGACTAATACAACGCAGAACTTCGTACGTAAGTACATCAGTTCAGGTTGCCATGCCCCATCAGCACAGAGACGCAACTGTCAGTTTAAATCCAACAGTGATAGCAATAATAGAAGTATTGGCAGTAATGGAGAAGATTAGGCACCGAAGATATGATTCGAGAAGTATAATTCAGTAAGATAGATTTAGAAGGAGAAAGGTAGAGATTATGAGGAATGCAGAAGCTTAGAATTTCATAGAACACAAAGAGTGGATGCACCTGAGCCATGTCATTCAAGGTCTCTAACGATCGGTGACTATCGTCTAGCGGACCCCAACCAGGTAGCCTACATCTAGCAACATGACTCAGTTCACTTGTCAGTGACTTTATGCATTTGTGCCATGTTTTGGTCTGGCCACCCCTAGCTTTCTTCCAATCTACTCCTGCACTGCAAAACATAGCTCGTCTCGGCAGTCGGTGGTTAGCCATACGTAACACATGTCCCAACCATCTCAACTGATGAGGTTTCACCACTTCAATTCGCCACATCACATTAGCACAGAGATGCGATTGTCAATTCAAATCCTATAGTGATAGGGGTTGCAACAGTGATCGAAAGGATTTAGGATCAGGGGAGTATATCACAGCGAAATGAGTTTAACCAGAGAAACAACGGTAATGAGGGATGCGGAATATTCAAATTGGAGAGGAAACGGAGGATTGGTGCATCTGCGCCATTACAAGCGATTTGGCGCCATGTCATTTACAGTCCCCAACCACCAGTTACGATTGTCTTGCGAACCTCAACAAGATGGTCGATACATACCAACATGGCGCAGTCCAGTTGTCGTTGACTTCGTAGTTTCGTGGCATGATTTGATTTAGCCGCACAGTTTTCTTTTAAAGACTTCGTTTATGGAAATGCCTCCATGCATACATTTGCAATTTGTTCTTATTGACTCGTTCAGTTGTACATTTTGTTAGTCTATTCGAATCCATTTGAGATGATAATATGTGTATTTTATTATAGTTTCTATTTCTTCCGCCTTTACTGAGTCTCTTTGTTCCTTTCTGAACCGCATTTATGTTGTTTTATCTGGTACTTAGTCTGGTCGGCAGCCATAATATCTTGGTACTCCTTTGATTGTCTTGCTTGTATTAATTGGAATGGTGCATTTTGATCGTGAATTGAAACATTTTTCCAGATTAGGAAACACTGTTATAGAGCAACCAAATATTATCTCTCAAACGAATCTGATCTATTCAGAAAGGATAGAATAGCATTTATTTGTTGCTATTGATTTGCTTAATTGAAAAATTGTTCGTGTAATAACTGAGTGGTAATAATTGTTTAGGCAATGATATACATCTATATTTATGATAAATATTAGAACCGTCATTTACCCAGTCACTTTGTTTTGGTTTCAACTGGCAAATAGCGCGTATCTAAACTACCTAGACAGTTATTTGTGAGTCCAAACCTACAGTTGTAAACAAATCCCGTTTGATTGAAGTTGTTTGGCTAACGTTTCGTGGATTTCAATTATCGCTTCTGAAGATATTTTGTCGCTTCGCTCGTCTTTCCGAACACTCGTCTAAGGAAGTCAAGCTTAAGGCTCGTTGGGGTTAATGGAGCCAAACTGAATGATAGATCCCCATTTACAAAGCAAATGCCCTTTGATGTCCTTATGTGTCATGGTGCAGACTCAGATAAGATTAATTATCTTTATGGTAATTCTAGTCATAACTCGATGTCAGATGACGTAAAAAATCTTAGTTTAGATGAGAAGCAAGGGCTTTGAATTATCAGAATATAGCGTAATGTCTATAGCGCCTGTTGTAGGTCTAAAAACACCAAAGGTTTAACTGAGTTATTTTGATGGACAACCAAGAGGGTATTGGAAGTTCGTAAAGCAGTTTGACACTTACGTAGCATCAAGAGTCAATGATGATAGCCGATGTTTGTTGTATTTGGTATACTATTGTAAGGGTAGGGCAAAAGCAGCCGTTTGACGTCGTATCGTGATGGAAGCTTCAGCTGGTTATAAGACGACCAGGGAAATTCTAAAACATTTGTTCGGATAGTCGCATGTAATCACCAAGGAAATTTATTCAGTCTTGTAAATTTTGATTATAATGACGCAGAGCGGCTATCGAACCTGGCTATAAGAATGGAAAATTGTGCTGTGGTCTTGGAACAGATGAATTATACTGCAGATCTGAATTCTTCAATAAATATACAGCGCTTTGTCAGTTTACATTCATTAACTAAATGTCCTTGCCCAAGACAGACAAAGCTTATACCTTTGCTCATTGTGTGAGGCCATAAAACTCAGTGATTGCGAAAAAATAGAAACTATATTAAAATGCGAATATTACCATCTCAAATGAAATTGAACAGGCTAACAAAATATACAGCTGAACGAGTCAATATTAACAAACTACAAATGTATACATGGAGGGATTTGCACAAACAAAACCTTCAAAAATGGGTCTTACACTAAGTACTGACTGCCTCGACGAGGGTGGGTAGGCTGGAAGAAAGCATGAGTCGGCTTGACCAAACATGGCACAAATATGTGAAGTCGCTCGCAAATGGGCTGAGCCATGGTGTTAGGTGCAGACTACCTGGTTGGGGTTTGTTAATTAATAGCAACCGATGATTAGAGACCTTGAATGGAATTTCTTTCAATTGCGCAGATGCACCTATTCTTTGTCTCCTTTCAAATTCTAATTTTATAAATTGCTGTCCATCTTCAGCCTCATCTTTAACAATTTATTTTCCTCAGTTATACTTCTTGTATACTATCTTCAAACCAAAATTCCTCCTTTTACTTCTTATAATTTTACTATTTCTATGACTATGTGCTTTGACCTGAAAATTGCCTCTCTGTGCCAATGAGGTAATCAACTTGAACTAATGTACGTTCATACGAAGTTCTACGTTTCAGATGACTGACTTGATGGCCCTGGGATATAGGACAGATGCTTCGAAAACACATTTGTTCGAATTCCAGTAACCTACAAATATCCTAATTTTATTGCTGGCCATAATTACCACACATGAGTTAGTAGGATACAGAGGACATCACTGCGGTAAACTCGCCCTTCGTCATAGGATACACATTTCGGCGGAAGTCGGTCGAGCCTTATGCGTCGATGCCGAAACTTCGTCAGGATTTAGGCCATCACGAACGACGAGTCTCCCAAAGTAGGTGAAGCAGCCAACAAACTCAACCACTTCACGCCCTATCACTAATTCATGTGCCTATACAAGCTGATCTAGCAGCAACATTTCGCATTCAGAAGGGGTTGAACTGCATCTCTAATGGGCTTTCAATTTTGATGAATGCGGTCAGGCGACTGTACCTTGTGATGGTTTACAAAAAAAGAACTATATCATCGGTGTATTTTAAGTCTGCCAGCGAATCTCCTAGTCGAAGATCAACTTCGGAAAAGTCAGATGGTGAAAGTTTTTAAAAGCATGTCAATATCAAAGTTAAATTAAAATTGAGAAACTGGACAACCGTGATGGGCACCACTTGAAGTAATCTGTTCTTCATACAATCCACCTCAATCTCTGATATGACTGATAGTGCTCGTGTATCGAGGCTGTATAAGGTCAATGTACTTCTCTGGTACACCTTTAAACGACAGATACCGCCAAAGAACCTCATAATCATTGCAGTCATATGCCATCTGTCATATGACGCGTAAATGTGATCGATGCAAATGTTGACTTCCTGACTGTAGCTTTTTACCGTTATCAGATGCATCTAGAGTTGGAAGTACGACTTCACTTTCGGACCATGAGATGCCGGGTTTAGACGTACCGTTCTTCAGTCGATCTCTTTGAGATATTGTGACCTAAGGAAACGTGTGTTTCAGCCAGTATAGCTCGGTTGGGTTATCAAGGTAGGCAGACGCGACCACCACGTTAAGGTAGAAACTACGGTTGAAAAATCAAAAACGAATTGGGTATATCATGAGATCTCTTCAACCACATCCCGATACAAATATGCTTCAAGTTGTCACTCGTCTTTGGAATTTTAGCTTTTCTACTAATGGCATGTTATAATTTCAGGGAAATTCAAATTTAAAATCCCACATAATCATTAGTCTTGGTACGGCTTTAATCCGTTACGTTATGCACGATCTACTGAGTGGGTGATGTTTATCTAATAAGATTATCAGAGGATGTGGCATCAATGAATAAAGAAAAATAATTCACTCAACGATTCCAGCTCCAGTACTATTCTTGTTACTATATCATTTGTTGCTTTTTGCTAGGTTTGTCACCGAGTATGCTTGAAACTATTGCGAGTTTACTTTAGTTGGAATACGAGGGCGAGGATAGAGGGTCCGGCGACACGACATGCTACTCAAATCCGATTATCCCAGTCGTCATTGAATTAACAAAGAAGACTTAATATGAAGTGAAACCTGTATTCTACAATCATCCAGAAAGTATGAGGTCCGAGTCCAGAAGAGAATCAGGATCCCGGACTAGGGATCCGGGTCCAGATCGGGGTCATGAACCGTTACAGATAATGCGTATTTATACAGTTAGGTCGGTTACGGAACAGCGTCGAAGTCTGTGAAATTGACAGTTAGGATGGTCAATAGGAAACAACAACTGAAGCGGCACTGATAGTCAGGACGACCAATAAGAAATAACATTGGTGTCTAGGACGACCATAAAACTGACCAGTAGGAATCAACCAATAAGAGTTGACCAATAAATCTTTTAGGATATTGTATGAATATTCCAACACTTATATAACCTAAACATTGTTGGTTAGCGATGCTCTCTTACCCACGATCTGAGAAGGCTTCAAAGTTAATGTTCACTGGATCTAGCAGTACGATAGCTGTTAATGAACCCACTGGGGCCATCAGAATGATTGACGTAAACCAGTATTAGTGACTAGCTACGATGTGATTAATTAATCTATATGATATGAAGTATGTAGCACTACGCCACTTCCTGATGAAGTTCGAGACAAGAAGCATTTGTTGAAATGTGATGGTAGTCAACAGTTGATTTGCTGAGGACATACATATTTTCAGACCTATCACAGCAATCTATAGTACAAAGCTGGAAACCAGTTTCTTGTTGAAGGATTTAGAGATTATTCGTCTCCTTCGTACCTGAACACTGAAATATTGCTCAATCTGTTCAGCTAAGTGTTTGGAGGTTCCTGAAGTTTTATTTTGAAAGCCTTGCTTTTGATAATCATTAATGTGTCATCCATTTTATGTTAAATTATTTCTACTTCCTGAAACAAATATATTACACTAATTCCTATGAAAGAAAATTGCCTAAAACACAGAAACAAGTCTCTCTTCCTTTTCTTGGCGAAGGTTGAAATTTAGAATTTTACAGCTTTCCGACCTCCAAAGTTTCTACTGGCGTAAAGATTTGTAAATCGTGCGTTGATTCTGGTTTGATGGTCTACAATGTGGATGTAGTGAGCGAGTCAAGATACAATATTGCCTATGCTCACCACTAAATGTTCCGTACGGTCTCGTCTTTAAGACAAAATAAATCCATGATTGAGTATTTTATTGAAGGAGAACGTTGGTATTACATAGGGAGCAGAGCAATCTGGTATCTTGACTCGCTCACTACATGTATTTCCTCACTCATTTGCAATATAATACTGAGTGTAAGGTCATTTACCAGTCGTGGCTACAAAGACAGAAAATAAATTTTTTGAATGGCTTTACTCAATGTTATTTCTAAATACAGCTTTGATTCATTCGTGATAAATCGTAAATTACTACTCAGATAGAAAGAAAACCTAGTTCCAACTCCTGTATCAATACTCTATTCATAAATCACCAGCAGTCAACACAAATCTAGGTTTTCCTTATTAATTATATTAAATAAGATAACGACCCCATAGCCTTTAATTTGGTATAGCAAAATACAATATACCACAATTATGTTCGACTAATTCAGATTGATAGATTCCTCTATAGAAGCTAGAACAAATTCACTTTGGAGTTATGAGTAGTTTACACAAGATACTGAAAAGAAATCAAACGCTAGAGATGAATACACCATATCGCTAGTTCAAACTCAATGAAAATGAGTTCCATTCGCAAAAACGTACTTCAATACATCTCAGTACCATGCATACAAATAACCAGATGTCACTGAGTTTACCCCTTTATGTTACTGAGTAATTTAGGTTGTTCAGACTGGAGGTAAAATAGCGAAAACAGGATGTTTGAGATACGATGAATCTTAAAGACGATGATAATTATCTTTCGCCTATAGCATTACGTGTTTTCATGATTCCAAAGAGTGTTTCATTATCATATTTTTAAATTTAATAGGATTAAGCCAGATTTTAACAGTATTTGAAACCAATTTACTGACGGATGACTTGACAAATATATTTATTGATCATTGTTAATGATGCACACATAACGAACTTCAAGGTCATTCACCGTTGTGAAGCCCCCGAATGAGTAATGTACTTACTCGTGGTCGCCTTTCACACTCGTTCTCCAACTCTGATCAGGATGCTTTCGAAAGTAAACTTTTTATCCTGCATCACTGTGTATATGCATGTAGTTGTCAATGGTAGATATTAGGCGGCGACGTGTTTTCCCAATCTCTCAAAGTTTGCAAAATCCTTAGTGTTCCTCAAAATTTCACAAATCCTGCTGACATTTTATCCGAAATTAGAATTTATTTTGAGGAAATACTATTGAATTGTAGGTTATTTCTGTTTTTAGTCTCCTTTCCTCGAAAGTTGCTGTTTGGGCTTCGCCATAAAGTTGAATGATTGTTGTTCACAGGCGTCATCCTAGTCGTTTGTTAGTCAGTAGAAAGGCTAAAACTACTGGTTTAAGCTCGACCGCTTTAAAGAAAATGTTAAGTTTGTGTGTAGTTTAGCTAGGATTATATAACTACCAACGCTGTTAGTGCGATGTTTAATATGTGATAAAAATAAGATAGGTTTCAAAAAATGTCTTACAGTTTATCGTAAAAAATCGGCACTACTCTACTATGCATTTGACGATAATTTACAACTTTTATATTAGATATTGGATGTTCAAAGGGTAATGATAAACGACAGATGTATAATAAGCGGAAGGTAAAGCTTCTACTTACGATCACAGTTTTGACTGTCATATCTTTTAAACAATTGACTTTTTATTATTACCGAATTTATTGGCAACATCCTCTGTCCTGCTTGCCAGCACTGATTTCAAAATTCGGGTATAAATTCATGCATTCTCAGTGGGTGAAAATTCTAGGTGGGTGAAAACTTTACAGCTTGAGAAAATTAAGGATAAATTCTGGACGAAACATTCCACATCTCGAAAATTTTAAGTTTTTTCGACACATTCCCCAAAAGTTCACTCAGATATTTCGATGAAACTTTCCTAAAATTGGTCGGTTTTCCTCAAAAGTTGGGAGCTTGTGCAGTTCCAGATCTTTCGCTTAGTTTAATATCTTCCACGTTCCACAGATATGGCTCAATTAACCTCAGTCAAAAGTAACCACTGTTATTGTCGAATGTCCTGCTGACTGGGTATATATTTGTTAGCTTATTTCTGATTCATTTCTATGTTATCCTTATAATAAAAGTCTGATAATCCCGTTATTGTATATGTTTACCAAAAAACTTCAGTTGCAAATTAATATTACCGACGTTTGTGGAATATGCAAGTTAACATAAGTATCGTTGACATGATTTTGCTCAAGTACATACTATCAAATACGTTCACGTAGCCACTTGAAACCCTTATCTCATCTTTTGAGTAGTCTAATTTCATTAGCCCAAAATATGTGGTCAGGCCGAACGCATCCGGATATGTTCTTTTCTTGTTCAATATACTTGCTTTTGGTTTTGTGTAGTAACTAGAGTAAAGAAGCGGGGGTTCACAGTAAAGGCAAATAAAACAAAGTACTTGAAATAAGCATTTACTTTCACTGGATTTAGTTTTTGAAACGATAGTATTGCCATTATGATGGTTGTGGAGATCACTGAGTTTTATCGTGATTGTGAAACATTCTCACTCTTAAACCTAAGAGCACTGCTTTTTCTTAGTGTGGGACTCTTCAGCAACGTGCATCTACGACCTTACTTCGCGACCCCCAGTTTAACACTCAAACGCTAAGCCTATAGACCATTGGACCGAGATCTAGTGATGCAAAATCTAACTCCTATCAATCATTCCCCAACATTTCGCTACCATGTCACATTGTCTTTGGTGGTTAACTGCCAGTTTAGAACAGTTTACCTCCACTGGACACGGGTTCTCACTGGAACTCGTGAAATTTCTCAAAACTGGTCACTAGTGGTCAATAGTGTAGAGATAAAGCATACGCGTCCGAGAACGGAGGTTCTGGATTCGATTTCTGCGTGTGGAGTCGTAAACACCTGCTATAATAGAACAAAACATCAGTCAGATTGTCACAATTGTAAAAAATTATTGACTAAAATTAGATTTCAATTTGATTTTCTATTTACATTGCCAACTGTGCTTTTTTTTCTATTTTGTAGATGCAATAATCCGAGTGGGCACAGATTTCCAAGCTGACCTTCCGCTTTTCCAAGGCGAACCACCTCCAAGCCTTTTAAACCAACCAGATCGTGGAGTTGCTTTATGGCGTCCAATACCTGAAAGTTTTCATGATCAATTGGAGGAATTTTTGAATACAGCTACTGAAAAATATGGGTAAACTACTAGCCTTCATATGCTTATTCATATATAGCAATATGTATTTGATTGTTTTCCGATTAATTTAGATTAGTTTCTAATTTCTCTGTCTAGTGATTACTTTAGACATTCAATAGCAACTGGACTGAGCCATGTTATTGGGTGTAGACTACCAGGTTGGGGTCTGCGAAACAATAGAAACCGATGATTAGAGATCTTGAATGACATGGCTCAAAATCGTTTGCAGTGGCGCGGGTGCATCTATTTTCTGTGTTCTTTCAAATTCTAATCTTCCGAATTCCTAATCAGCTCTATCTTTCTCTTTTTAAATTTAGTACACTGGATATTACTTCTTAAATAATATCTTCGAACCCTAGTTCTTTCCATTACTGCTAATACTTCTACTAGTTATACCACTATGTGGTTTAAATTGACAATTCCATCTCATTGTGCTAATACGGTATGGCAACTTGAACTGATGTACTTACATACGAAGTTCTACATTGTAGCTGACTGACTTAAATATTCACCATGCATACTGACATTGTCGTAGCTGTATGTATAAATGTCATGTAATTTGATCATTCACGGTGATCTTGTAAACTACCTCAGTCAATGCAGGTTAATTACTTTAGTAATTGGTTTATTCCTCTTACAAAAACTATACCTAAAATTAACATTGATCTCTTTTATTGTGCACAAACATTGCTTTAGCTGTGACATCTTTGACGATATATCTATCCTTTATACCATAAGGATGATTAAGCCAAGTACAGTGATCCACATATGGTTACCTGACTGGGTTAATACTCTTGAAATGGTCTGTTTTTCAGCAACGATTATGATGAAATAAAAACATTCGTAGCCATTTGGTAGTCGAGTAAATATCCCTAACTTGAAGTTTAAGACTAGAAGTTAAGTATCTAAGCCTAGCTGACGTTTAACCTCAAAATGGACGTTATAAGCTACTAACCTATTTTTAAATGGTCTGATAAAGCCGGGAATCGGGAGATTCCTCTCTCTGATTGCCACAAGAGGACTTTTTTCATTTCTTATAAATTGGGACAATCAACGATTGAGACTAGTCAGATGGGATTACGCCCAGTTCCCAGATTCCACCTAAGATCTCAGTCAATCTAACTGCTAAAACTAGACCACCATTCTTAAAAATCTCACAAGTCAATCTATCAGGAGCCCCCGCTCTCCATCGCTTCAGATTTCCTATAGCTTTCTCAACTTCGTAAAGACTCGGAGGACTTATATCGCTTTGCGATTCATGATGACTGGAGATCGTGGGTAACCGAATTGTTCTGCCCATCGATCCAATCTCCTGGATTGAGAATGAATAACGAGACCATCCTTTTCCGAAATATTCTCACTAACATTCGGATTCCTAATACCGGTTTCCTTGATAAGTCTGAATAGATGCCTACTGTCGCCTATCGCCGTTTCCTTTTCCATCTTTCGCTACCCACCACTGTTCTCGATCATTGCGAAAGCTTTTTATCAGCCTGCGCTTAAGTTGACTTCGCTCTTCGTCATGTTCAGAGCCAGGCGGGATAAGTTTACGAGCGTCTATCAGTTCTGTAGATGCCGCTGAAATCCACGGCTTCTCCCTAACCTTGTGGTTCACCTTACTAGCAGATATCACTGCTGTTTCCACAGCCTTTTGGATATCATTCCAAGCTGCCTCAGGGTGTACACCACTTACTACAAGGCGGCCCCATAACTGTTTTTCTAGTTGTTCCTGAAATATATTCTCAGCTTTATTATCGTTAACTAGAGCACTCAGAGGTTCCCTTGAGATGTTTTCCCTACGTCCAGTAAGGCGCAAAAAAATACGCGCTCGCACGAGAGCATGGTCTGAGTCTCAACAAGTGTGTCAGAATGAGCGATAGTCTTCAATAGACCCAATCCACCGATGACTTATAGCGATATGATCTAGTTGGGTCCATCGTTGGTCTGCTTTGGGGGTCGGCAGGTCATGAGATGTTTTTCCTCATGCTTAAAGTTAGTGTTTGCTAGAAATAGGCGGTTATCTGAGCGTAGATGGAGCAGACGGTCGCCACTATCTGTTCGATTAGCTGCGACACCATAAGATCCACTCAGGTTTCTTTCCTTTGCGCTGAGTCTACCTACTTGAGCGTTAAAGTCGCCAGCCATATATATATATATATATATATATATATATATATATATTTGTGTTTATTGTTTGGTGGCTAAATGCGTTTCCTATTCTTGCCTTTTTGCTCAGCTAGTCGTTTTTGGGAGGAGTAGCATGCATCACGTCCAGATCTCGGACATCTGCATATCTAACACTAGTCAGTAATTCATTCGCCGTAGAATTATTAAATGAGTTTTTTTATTTATGTAAACACAATAATTGGTACAAAAGGGCACCTAAATGTTTATACACCGCACAAGCCATTAAATTTGTGTTTGGGCTGATATATTGCATGGAAGCCTGAACCGAAGCAATTGGTTTTCTAAGGAGGCTACACTCCGAGGCTTTGACCTAAAAGTTTAGTTCACAAGGTAATGGAGCAATGCCAGTAGATGCCATCCTATGGTAGTCAGTGACTAACGGTAGGTTCATACACCATTGGTTACATCAATATCCTGGAGCCGATGTGCATCATTGTGTTATACTCGTCAATTGATATACTTGAACTATTGCGAGTTCACTTTTGTCGGTAAACGAGAGCTAAGACAAGTGATCCAGTGATACCATAGGCTGCTCTAATCCGAGCGTTCCAAGGTCCTGCTAACGGTATCCAAAAGTCTTGATATAGCGTAGAAAGTGTATTCTACAAGTACCGAGAAAATATGAGGTCGACAGATAAATTTTATTTAGGCATCATAGAAACGTCCTTGGGAGAGCCACAAAAATAGCGTACTAAAATAACACATCGACCAATGACAGTCAAGGATTTTCCTGGTGGGAAGTGTAATCTCAAGGTCAACTGATCAGCCCACGAATAAAATCCAAAATGGAGACTTTTATCAAGTTAGTTCTGGGGATTCAACTTCCCCAGCACATTGGTTTGGAATGAGGGTTTTCCAACTCCTCTAAGCGAATGTTTCGTACCCACTAATCTAGTTTAAACATCATTGGCTTTTCATCCTCTGAATTTGGTTAAATAACACCTCAGCCTCACTATGAAGTATTGTATAGGACTTTTTTGACAGTGGCTCAATACGCGTAGCTATATTAGAGTATTTAGAGGCTAGATTCAATTCAATTTCATACTTTATAAAGATTATCATACTGTCTTTATTTGATTACATATTTATTCGTGCATATATATTTCTTTTTTACAAAGTTATTCAGAAGAACAAGCACTTGCTTTACTTACATGGCATAAAACTGATTTTGATTGCGCTTTAACAGATTTATGCAATTTTAGTCCAATCAAATATGAATGGACAATATCTGAACGACGAATATTTTTTATATCTGTAGACTATTATAATAAACAATTTCATCAAATTAAAAAACTTGTAAGTGTCTGCTTCATTTATGAATTATAAATAAACAACTTTTTTATTTACACTAATTGGTAATATATATATGTATATATATATATATATATATATATATATATATATATATATATCAATTTTTTTGTCATATCGAAATTAAATTGGTGACAGTAATGATTTATATATTTTTAGTGAAAGAGATTTGTACGGATTGTTTCATTTCCTTATTTGAAATTTACGAACTGATCTTAGCCAGATCATCATCGGAAAATTGGAAGCACTGACTGGACAGCCGTCCCATCTTAGTATGTGGACTTTTTAGCAGTGAGCATCCAATACCCTTTAAGTTTATTTGTATATTTATTTATTTAAACAAACAAGCACATAACTAGACGGAAGTAGTAGTACAGGAACAAATTTGAAATAACTTCAGCGAATCGATTACCTCGAGTGGTGTTCGTCAGGGTTGTTCACTTTCTCCATTCTTATTTATCTTTGTCGTTGACCTGCTTTTAAAGATAACACAGCCGGTACCTCAATTGGTGATAGGTAGTGAAGTAGTCGGGCGTGCTGACTGCTTCACTTATCTTGGGAATCTTGTCAGTCCTGATGGCGTGGTGTTTGCCGAAATTTTGGCATGGATACACTAGGCTCGACTGACTTTTGCTATTTTGTATCACTTGTGGCGTGGGCGAGATGTCTGTTCTCTAAACAAAGGATTAGTTTACTGCACAGCAGTTCTCTCCGTCCTACTGAATCACAGGTGTAAAACATGGCTACTATGAATAAAGGGTGTTATTAGAGTACTAGTATTCTATCATAGGTATCTTCGAAGCATTGCTCGTATATCCTAGGACGACCTAATGAGCAATGCTAATGTGAGGAAAACTTACTTACTTACGCCTGTTACCCCCAATGGAGCATAGGCCTCCCACCAGTTTTCTCCAACCAACTCTGTCCTGGGCTTCCCTTTCTAGCTCTTTCCAGTTTTTATTCATTCTTCTCATGTCTTTCTCTATCTCTCGGCGTAATGTGTTCCTTGGCCTTCCTCTTTTCCTTTTGCCTTGAGGGTTCCATGTAAGGGCTTGTCTCGTGACGCAGTTAGGTGCTTTTCGTAGTGTGTGTCCTATCCACCGCTTCTTCCTGATTTCCTCCACTGGAATCTGGTTTGTTCTCTCCCACAGTACGTTGTTGCTGATGGTGTCTGGCCAACGAATCCGAAGTATTTTGCGTAGACAACTTTTCATGAGTACTTGTATCTTCTGGATGATGCCTTTCATAGTTCTCCAAGTTTCCGCTCCATACAGTAGAACTGTCTTGACATTTGTATTGAAAATCCTGATTTTGGTGTTGATTGAAATTTGTTAGGAAAAGGGTGCTAGTTAATAATGGCAGATCAATTGATGTAGTAGTGAATCTTCATCAGTTGAGGTAATTAGGACATGTGATAAATATGCCTAAAAACCGACTACCTCGACGAGCGATGTTGTCTGATAGGGGGGTAGGTTGGAAGGGAGCTAGGTGTGGTCAAACCAAATATGCCACAAATCCATGGATTTATCGACAACTGAACTGAGCCGTGTAGTGAATATAAACCACCTGGTTAGGGTCCGCCAGACACTCGTAGACTGAATTATGTGGCTCAAAACCGTTAGCAATGACGCGGATGCATCCATACTTTGTTTTCTCTCAAATTGTAATCTTCTGAGTTCCTAATAACCGTTTTTTCTCCTGTAAAATGTATTTCACTGGATTATACTTCTCGAATCATTACTTTGATTACCGCTAATACTGCTACAAATTCTACCACTATGGGATTTGAATTGACAATCCTACTTGTCTGAGCTAATGTGATATGGCAACTTGAACTGATGTTTGTACATACGAAGTTCTACATTTTCGCTGGCTAATTTGAAACCTACCCTACTCGATTTACCCAGATCAACTTGGTTGGTTATCTATTTTTTTTTACTTTGAAACTATCTTCTTGGTTCGTCACTATTCAATTCACAATATATTATACATGATTGATGAGTTCAATTAATTTATTGTGGTTATTCTGCTTATCATTTATGATTAGTAACTTCACAATACTCGATTTACTATTTCTATACTGTTGTTCTTTCTTACTTCTTGTCTCTTTTTCTTTTTCATATAAAAGTTTCCTAATCGTACTGTCAATGAATTAATTCTATTCTATTATCTTAATAAACGTAATCAACAAACACTACATGAAATGGGTTTATATGGGGCGAAATGGTCTAGTTTATGTAAACATGGTTATTTAACTCCAGGTATTCTACCGCTACCGGATAATGCCCCCGTAAAGACATCGACCAATAATCATCAAGTTAGTTGTTGTGAATAATTATTTCTAGTTATTGATTCATTTTGTTTTGGTTACTTGAATCTCCCCATTGATATGATGAACTGCAACTGATCAGTCTTGTTTTGTTATTTATGTACATCTTGTGTACAATGCCTCGATATTGCCATTAGGTCAGAAGCATCATGAACAGAGTTGGATGGTTGCTAGTAGCTGAAATCAAGACGCAAGTTCTATCCGGTGTGATACTTGTCAGCTGGATGCATCTTCACACCAATGCTTATGTCCATACTAGGACTCTAACACAGTACTTTTTTTCTAATTAAACAAACACTGCATCACCTACTAAATTCAAATAGCCCCTGTTTTTGTGAAGTTTAGTTTTTTTTGTTGTTTGTTTTATTTACATTCCGTTGTCGTTAATTTACAAAGATATACATCCATTAAGTCGTAAAATAATTTATCCAGAGTAGGAATCTTTTTCAAGTTGTACGATAGTCTATGTGTATGTGATAAGTTGTATGTCGGTTAGAGTCCGGTTAGTTATTATGTAAAATTTGATCTTATTATTTTCAATGCATAACTAGTCAATCAGTTGCAACGTAGAACTTCGTACGTAAGTACATCAGTTCATGTTGCCGTGCCACAATAACACAGAGATATAATTGTCAATTCAAATGCAATAGTAGTAGAGGTAGTAAAGGTATTAGAAGTAATCGGAGAGGTTAGGGTTAGAAGATATTATTCAAGAAGTATGATTCAGTGAGATAAGTTTACAAAGATAAAACTAGAGGTGTTGAAGAATCCAGATTAGGATTTGAGAGAACACAGAGAATAAATGTACCGGCGCCATTGCAAACGGTGTTAAGCCATCGTTTACTAACATCTAACGGACCCCAACCAGGTAGTCTACAACTACCGACATGACCCAGTCCACTTGTCAATGACTTCATGGATTTCTGCCATGTTTTGGTCTGGCCGCCCATAGCTTTCTTCCAACCTACTCCTACACTACAAAACAAAGCTCGTCGAGGCAGTCGGTGGTTAGGCATACGTAACGTATGTCCCAACGAACTCAAGTGATGAAGTTTCACTACTTCATCTATTGACCTGCTATCCTTACCCAGCCAGCACCCGTTCCCTAACAACAGCATCGCTTACTTGGTTGTCCCATTATACAAGAGCAATGCTTCAGAGACACCTATGATCGAGAACAAGTAACCTACGAATATCTTCTCCTCTGACTGGCCATGTTTCACAGCCATAAAGTAGGACGGAGCAAACTACTGCGCAGTACACTCGTCCTTTAGTCAGCAAACGGATATCTCGCCTACGCCATAAGTGACGCAAGTTGGCAAAAGCCAATCGAGCCTTCTGTATCCGTGCTGAGATTTTGTCAGTCATCAGGCCATCAGCACTGATGAGACTCCCCAGAAAAGGGGTTGTGAAGATTGTGAAATTCCTGTTAAATCATGATCCAATCTAAGTTAAGTCGCTATTGAAAACCTGGAAGCATTAGGCAGACGTTTCACCGCAGTATCAGACTTCTCAGCAATGCATATCCACGTCTCCGCACATGGGAGTCGAACTTAGGACCTCCGGTCTTGCTAAACGAGAAAATTTGTAAAACATGAGATAGATGTAGTTAATAGGATGGTAAATGTAATTGTGGTTATCGCTAGTTTGAAGCGAACATGTGTAAAGAGTAGTCAATAAACCGGGACAGAAACCATGCTTACTGGCGTCAATATATGTTCCTGGAACTGTAGTGGAAAGTTGTGACCGCTGGAGTTCAATCCGCGTCTTGTAGGAGACAGTTGTTCACCTCAGGCAATGGATAAAGATTGAGCAACATGGGTTCATTGAAGTTAGACATAAACACCATGGGATGCTAACTCAGTGGTCTAAAAGTTTAACATTCGCACGCGAAACCGAAGGTCCTGATTTTGATTTCCGTATGTGGAGTCGTAGATACACACTGTTAAGAAATTCCACATACTAAGATGAAATGACCTTTCAGTGCTTCCAGGTTTTCGTACGTACGAAGTTCTACGTTGTTGTTGACTTGACTGACTATATAGTCAGGAGTACGACTTCACCCTTTAACCATGAGTTTATTTCCCTCAGTCTTATCGGTTTTCAACCTAAATGAAACAGGCCTTTCTGTCATCATAGCTAGATTAGGTCAGAATATGCAAACTCAACCAGTGTGTCAAAGTAACAGTTATGATTCAGGTTGATTACATGATACTCAGCTATAACATAAGTGATTTAACATATTCGTTTTACAGATGATCAATTAGATACCCTTTATTTCCGAATAGGTTCTTGGCAATAGCCAGGTAAATTCTTATAATTTTGCATGAAATTTCAGTTAAATGAATTTATTTCTACATTTCCTTTTGTGTATATTCATTCAACATAGAAATATGACATCGATTTAAATACAAATGACCCAGTTGATGCAGAAATTAAACGTTATTTCGACATGTTGCATGGTTTTCTCCTATTACCAGAATTTGAAGAATCTAATCCAGATAATGAACCTGGCAGCGGCGGCGTAAGTGGTGCTGGTGCTGGTGGTGCTACATCAAGTATGCATTCAGATTCTGAACTAGAAGTACGTACACCATCTTCGACTACAGCAACTGCAATCATCAACAATGAAGGTAGTGAACAATTAGTAGACGATGAGCAAAATAATAAATTAAGAAAAGATACCAATGGACCTGGTCGTAAACGTCGTAAACAATGTGGTGTTAGTGGTAAAAGTCGATCGAATATTACAGGATTTATATTATCTCAATCATCATTAAATTTATTACCGGATGATTTTAATCCAACAAATCGTTTATCTGTACGTAAACATGCACGTTTTGAAGAAGAGATTGCAGCTGCAGCGTCTGCTGCTATAGCCTCAAATAATAATAATAATAATCAGTTACGTGAAGAGAACAACAAAAACAACAACAACAACGAGTTAATTGAAATACCGACTAGCATAAATCCTGGTGTACGTAGTTCTAGAAGAGGAATATTATGTGCTACTACACCTCATACATTAAGGTATTATTTAGTTAATTTTTTTATTAATGTGTCAACAATACGATAAAAAGTTGACAATTTTTATATTTCTTTTTATCTCCGAAATTTATCGGTCAATTTTCTGTTGATTCAATGATCTTAATTCGGGTTTTTGTTTTATTTGATCAAGAGTTGATCACTGAACAAAATTTGTAATCATTGAAATGAACGAAAACAAACTACTGATCAATTGCTGATAAACAATGATATGATATATATGACTGAGTGATTATTGCTGTTCACATGAGATCAAATAATTCACGTAAACTTCTTGAATAATTTAACATTAAAGATGAGATTACTAACTAGAGAAAAATAGGTTTATCTGTCTAATGTGTATTGCACAAAAGATTAACAGAAAAGCAAACATGAGTAAATATTACAAGTAAGTAGGAAGGAATCAAGTGTTTTTTAAGTTTACTCGTACTCTAATCAATTAAGACCTTACTCCATATATCAATTTTCCAGGAGCTGATAATCTGGGAACTATCTGTATCAATTAAATTGATTTTTTTTGGTAAACTTATAACTAATTCAAAACTACACTATTATTAATGAGAAGATTTATATTTTTCTGCTGATATTTTTGGAAACGACTTCATTGATCTTTGTTGGTATGTATAGAATCTCTGAATAATTTGTTTGTTTTTTTCTTGATTATTCAACTACATCAACATTGTAAAGAAACGATATTGAAATATCTATGCACCGCACAAATCAATTAGTTTGTTCGCTCTCTTGGGATACTGATAGGATACCCAAATTGAAGCAAGTGTTTTCCTTGGGGGCGAACGATTGCCTGAAATAAACGGAATCCATATATTCTTTTTTATAATTACCACCGTCTCACAAACGTGGTTCGCCTAAGTATGATGTACGAAACTGAAGCGAAGGTTTATTTCATAGCACATTTTATTTTTCAGAAACAAGATCACAGGTCACTAAAGTAGTGAGCCCTATCTCAAATAGAACGCAACCCACATTAGTTTAAAAGGGAAATTCGTTTTTCACATTCTGAATTCAGATAACCAACACCTATGCTGCATGAGAAGACAGTGAATAGGACTTTTCCAACAGTGGCTATTTACGCAGAGCCATATGAAAGTATTTGGAGAAGGTAGGCTAACTTTCCCCGTTCTTGGTCGTAACACGGGATTCATGCACCTCTGGATCAACGCCTTAGTATTGCACAAATTCATAGTAGTGCATTCTAACGACCTGGCACTAGAAAAAAGTACAGTCATTTTTCATAGAACAGTGAGAACACGTAATTGATCTGAAAAATGTGATGTATTTGCGCTATACATTTCGAACAATCTGGTCACAAATATTTACTTGTCAAGACATTTTATACGAAGATGAATAAAAGGTCAATTAAATAAAAGTTCAAATAGACATAGGGTGATAATTGTAAATAAAGGAGAGAGAAAATTAACGTAATGTAGAAAGAATAAGAAAGGGTAGGAAAATTGTCACATTACCTGAGGCTTAAAGATTACCAAGGTAAATTCAAGGTTATGACAAATTGTTTCTGCACACATAAGGGGGGTTTTAATTTTCTAATAGCCAAGGCCTCCATAAACCTCAAAATTCGTCCTTCAACATTTCTATCCAATGTTTTGAAGGCTGTCTTGATGTCAATCTTATGCCCTGTCTCAATTATGTGTTTTGTGATCGATGAACATGATTTTCTATTTCCAACGCTAATCAGCTCATCTGACGTTAACTGATTTTGAAGCCACTTAGGTACATGTTCCATAACCCTTGATTGCAAAGTCCGATTACTCCTCCCTATGTATGTGTCCACACTGTCCAGTCCAGGTCGGTTTTCTATAAACAGAACGCTTTATAGTTCCATTCCATATAAGTTCAGTAATTCAGAACCGGTGGGTTTTAACATATTCAATTCATCCTTATTGATAACATTCATGTTTAGTAGCTTCATTAGATTGGAATAAACTCTCGATTCTAATTATATATGGATTATATTATTATATATGGATTACCCAAAATCAATAAACCTAACAATCCACTAACATCAATATTATCACCTATACATAAGCTAGCCAAATGGTTAGCTAAATTACTTAGCCCAATTCGTAATAAATTGTGTAAGTTTTCCCTGAAAGATACATTTGAACTAATTGATGTTCTTGATGACATTAATATTAAAGAAAAGACTATGCATTCTTTTAACGTAAACTCCCTTTTTACCAGTGTTCTCCTAAAGAAAACTGTTAACTTTCTTTGTGACTATATATTAAGTAATTTCCCTCTTTTTCCCATTCAGTCAAGTCTGCTGAGAGAATTAATTTTATTATGTACTCAGAAAGTTCATTTCACGTTTGATGATGAACATTTCCAGCAAGTTGATGGCGTTGCTATGGGTAGTCCTTTGGGACCTCTCTTAGCTGATGTTTATATGGCATATGCTGAAAATTTTTGGAATGAGCACATCAATAAGCTTACTCTGCAGAGGAGATATATGGATGATATTTTAATTATATGTGATAAAGAACTCAACGTCTATCAGTTAGTAGACAACTTCAATAGCTTTCAGAATAACATTGTACTAACTCATGAACCAGAAAATAATAATCGATTGCCTTTTTTAGACATACTGCTGAATCGAAGGGACTTCGCAATCAAGGGTTATGGAACATGTACCTAAGTGGCTTCAAAATCAGTCAACGCCAGATGAGCTGATTAGCGTTGGAAACAGAAAATCATGTTCATCGATCACAAAACACATAATTAAGACAGGGCATAAGATTGACATCAAGACAGCCTTCAAAACATTGGATAGAAATGTTGAAGGACGAATTTTGAGATTTTTGGAGGCCTTGGTTATTAGAAAATTAAAACCCCCCTTATGTGTGCAGAAACAATTTGTCATAACCTTGAATTTACTTTGGTAATCTTTAAGCCTCAGGTAATGTGACAATTTTCCTACCCTTTCTTATTCTTTTTACATTACGTTAATTTTCTCTCTCTCTCTCTCTCTTTATATATCCATCTATCTGTTTTCCCTAAGCAAGAATTATTAATTTATTATTATCATTGACCATTCAATGTTAATTGTTCGTATTGTTTCTCTCTTTTATTCTCTTTTGAATATTCTTTATAATATGTTCATATTTGACCTAATCATATTTTGTTTTGCAGACCAACATTACCATCTGGAGTGTATCATTCACATAAACAATTTCTTCGAGTATGTCATTACACAGCTGATCAATATAATCAAGAAATCGATGACTTAAAGCATACATTACAGGCATTATGTAAACAGGTCGATGAAAGCAATCAAGTAAATGGGATTTTTATTTTTCTCTCTCTTTAATTTAACCAAAATGTGATTGCACCTGATGGCTGTTTCATTGGAAATAGCCCCTGTCTGCTTTGTGTTAAGCTAAATTTTTTCTTCTTTTGAATGTGTGTGATTTCATGAAAACCACAATTCCTATTGTATTATCTAGTTTAACAGCACAGATCAATTTCATTTTTTGTTTTCCTGCTTTTATTCTTCTAAACTTTCAACTTCACATTCATCTTGTTAAGCATCATTTACATTGACCATATGAAAAAAGGCTTTGAATGGTGTTTAATCTTAAAACAAATAGAATACAATAAAATAAATAAAAAATAGAATAGAATGAAATAAGTAAAAAAAAGAAAACAGGCTTGTCATATTGTTTGTAATTTTATTTTAAGTTATTTAACATGAAGTTGCATATGATCATAATTTGTTCATCCTGCAATGTTGTTGTACAGTTGATCAAAGGAAGATAATATGCAGTTATGGCTTCACTGACAATCTGATTTAGGGGCCAATGAAAAGGTTATTTGATAATGTCTTTGAACACAAATGTATATTATTGGTCAAGAAATGTATTCATTCTCCAAGGGGAAGGAATGTTTTTCAAGACGAGTATTTGTATCTATTATCCGGTAACCAAATAGACTTTCTATTCCAATCTTGTCATCTTGCTCAAGTAGTCAATTGAGGAGGTTAGTACGTATTAAGTTCAGATCTGGCACATCTCACATCATAACACTGTCGTTAATCAATAGGGAAATATCAGAGGTTAATGAACCTGTCCATTATTTCCAACAACCTGTTAACTTATTTATCAGTGTACATTCAATCATTATGGTTTACTCAATGTTGAAAAGATCTCGCCTGTTTTATATATATATATATCCTTATTGGTACATCTCACTCTGAATTTGATTTATTTAAAGCTTGCTCAACGTGAAACTCAACTCTTGACTGGTATCTCATCGTTACAACCTCCTTCATTGCCTATTGTAAGTAAAAATTGTAACTATTCTGACACGATATTCGTGTTATACTACTTCGTTGTAACTTAATTTATAAACATTCAAAACAATCTTAATCTTTGCAGTATGACAATTCAAACTGTTAGTATTTCGGTCACCTTCTAAATACCCGAGAATAATGAGAATTCGCTCTCCCTCTCTAAATGCTTTTATAGGGTTACTGTCAGGGAAGACGTACTCAATGCATCATAGCGGCAGTTTTGATTACGAAATTGAGAGGAGGCAGAGTGGGTATCCAGTTTTTAAGCCTGATCGTTGGGTACTGAGTATATACTTTGTCAAGTTAAGAAACCCTCATTCCAAACTAATGGCGCACATCGACTCCAGAGTTCTGAGGTAATAAACAACGTGCGAACCTATTGTTAGTGATCAGTTACTAGACGACTGAATCTTTGAATGTCGCTCCACTGTCTTGTGAATTAGACCCCCCAAGGGAACCACTTGCTTCGGTTTGGGTGTCTGGACAGAATCCCATTCCGCAAATAAATTCAATAATTTTTATGGTGTACAAATATAAATATTTTATCTATAAATCTAAATAAATATTGTATCATAAAATGTATTCACATAGACTGTATTTGCTTCGCAAAGTACAAACCGAGATATTGCAGTGGCTGGCAATCTGTTGAGAAGAGAATAAACTTTAATAATATGTCGATTGATTCCTGAACTGTCCACTTCCGATTGTCAATCATTAATTGTTTTGTGAAAGAAACTTGATGGAATATTCCATACTCAGAATTCCATACTGTACTAAACATATATATATACATATATAATACTGAATGAAGCCATTTTTATTATTGATTACTTCTCTATAGTGACTGTACAATTGTAGGGAATTACTGTAATTGTTACCTTGTAATTAATTCCATTGAAATAATAGAAATGTATGTATATATGTCTCTTTTTTTTTCTCTAGGATCCTTATTGGAGTCCAGTAGATATACAAGTGGCTTGTCATGCTATCGGTAAATTAGGACGTGATTATGAAGGTATAGCTGAATGTTTATTAAATAAAACACCAAGTATGGTAGCTACATTAATCGAAATGCATGGGCAACAATTGAATTTAAATCAATTAGCATCGATGTCTCCAATTATCATGCTTTGACACTATTCTCTCTCTCTCTGTCTCTCGACATATTATATATATATAAATCTATGTAAATAATATCTTTCTATGCATAGAACTAATTATTTAATTTTTGTAAATTTCTATCATATTCCGTTGTCGTCCATGTTATATTGTTCATTTCAGATTTTGCATTCTTCTTGTATATGTGCGTGTTTTTTTTCTTCAATCATGCAATTGTTATGGTTATGTAATTCAGTGATTCTTATTCATTTAATGATTATACATTTTGTGAATAAATTCTCCACTATGAATATGAATCCTCTTAGTGTTTTTTTTTTTTTAAAAAAAATGATATTTCATATTCTACAAAAGCTGCTTCATCGTTCTATTATTGTTATTGGTTTTGAATAAAATCACACTCATACACATATTTATATACACGTGCATATCATTCATCATGGTTCTTTTGTAGGGGATTACATTACTATATTCAACTATAAATCATGATGCCCCATTCAATGTGTATTTTATTGCTCCTAGTTTACATTGTGATTTTACTGGAAAATATATGATCAAATTAGAAATGTCAATTGGCATAGTGCCGATTGTGAATAATTCATTAAATCCACACGAAATAAGTAGGTAACCAATCAAAACATGTGTGTGTATACTTTTTGCGTGTTAATCAATACGAGTAAAAATTTATTGATTGTCTACGTTTACAATCAATTAAGGATTAAGTAAAAATTTCGGTTGAAGATATGTATTCAATGTGACTAGTGCAATTGTATACAAAGTAAGTCCATTCATAGTGTAAATTACGGTAAGTAGGCAATAACTGGTTTTCCTTGTCTAACAGTTGAAAAACTCCTAAGGCACGGAAGTATGGCTTATACAACGAAACGTTGACGCACATTTAATGGTAATGACCAATGCTTTCAGTGTAACAATAAATACTGTACTTGAGTCACGTGTCTATCGACCATGACAACCGTGTGCATTTTTATGCGAAAAAACTAAAAGCGACACAAAAAGTCAGCATCTTCGGTAGAGAACTATTAGCCAGCCGCCACTAAACACTTGCAATACATGTTGGAGTACAATCCGTTCACGTTAATCACTGATCATACACCTCTAACTAAAGTCTTGATACACAATTACGATAAATAAAATCCGACTGAATTTCGCTAACTAGAATTCACTTCACATTTCACAACTTGCGTACCTCATATCGGGTAGAACTCATCCCTTTGTACCTTATAACTTAAGACGAAATATTTCTGGATAAAAGTCATAATAAAGCTCACTACTGATAAGCTTGTATAGTCGAACATAAACAAAGATTTACGAAAATCGACACCAGAATGTATCGAGTGCTAGAAGTCGCCACAGGAGTCTTCCCTTCAGCTAACGGTAGATTTGACCATATTTATGTCGACATTGTTGGGCCACCACCGATTCCAAAAGAGTTTGCTCATTTACTTACATGCATACGAGCTGACACATAGCTGTCCTGCCAAAACAAACCATCTATGGAAGCTTCCTAGACATTTTAAAAAGTATTTTGTTTTCTTTCTGATACTCGACAGTAACTGTCTAGTTTTTTATTTACGTAGAGCATATAAACTAGTGTATAATAGGGTGACAGAAAATGAACTGAATCACGACACTTAGTCAGTCCATGAAGACATTGACTTTGTGACTGAGCTATGCAGGTAGGTGCTGACTATCCGGTCGGAGTCTGTATGACAATAGATTTTCAGTTTTAAACTTTCTCATGCACAACTAGTATTTCACATATACGGACTAATTTAATTTATTATAACTGTGATCACCAATCAACTATTCATTAGGATGAGCTAAGCAGCCTAGAACATAGATGGTACAACTAACGACCGCTTTTGCTTTTCTCAATGTCAAAGCTGAACCAGCAAGTTTACAGGAACCTACAACGACGACCATTTTTTGATGTTGTCTGACGATTTAAATTTTTAATAATAAAAATCTAATTCATATCAAGTGGTTTATTTAAATGCTTCTTTTATTAATTAGTTAAATAATAATGTTAATAATAATTAAGAGCAGTAGCAAGGAGGATAATTACCAATAAAGGTGGTACAAACAGAAAGAAATTCACATAATAATATTACGGTAAAATTGTAAACATTCTGGTTGGTTGTACATAATATTTGGTTGTTAATAAAACTAATTGTAATGCTTTTTTTAGTTAGAAATGCAAGACATGCTGAAATACAATACATTTTTTTTCTAAAAGTTGTATTCATCTCTCATAAAAACTAAATGTCGATTTATTATTGTTATTATCATGAAGATAACACATTTGTAAATTGACAAACTTACAGGATGATTGGAAATAAAAGGGAATCAGGTCATTATGAAGTGTGGTACACGCAAAAGGGGTAATATTCGTTCATATAAACAGACGCAAACTAACAACAAATAAGACAAACCAATGTAGCTCATTATGAAATGAGTAATTAAGTAAAATAGTAGCAGTAGTAGTAGTAGTAATAATAATAATAATAGTGAATACATTATAAGGGATGTGTACAATAATAAATTTGTGACAAACAAAGAAACACAATCGAATGTTATTTTGAACACATCAAGTTTAGCGACGTTAACAGAAATTAGTGTTTGTGTGTGTGTGTGTGTGTGTGTGTATGGACAAACAAATTCAGCAAGCAATATGCAAGTTTACAAAGTATAGAATCTTCATGAATTTAGTTTGAAAGAAATATATGAACACGAAAATTATGAAAACTTGAAGATTTCCATTTGCTTAAATATGCTTGTCATGTTACACACATATTATTTAAAAATTGAATCTAGAAGCATTTGAATCCTAATCAATCAATATGATTGAATAACTGTTTATTGTATCATAGTAAAATACACTGAAAAGTGTATACATACAAATATCTTATACGAATAGTATGTTGTGATTGTGATTTTCTGTCTTTAATTAATGATTGATGTTATGGTTCTCTAGAAGCTCGACCATTTGAAACACTTGTTGCTCGTGAATTACCACGAGATGATGATCCACGAGAAACTGTATCATAACTATAAGCAAATATTATAACAATGTAACAAAAAGAACAAGTGAATATACAAACGAGTTGAATAATTCAAATAGGATCCATTAAATGTGACGGCTTATTGATGAAGAAAGTATATTGGAAATAAAACTGTTTAGGATCATCTGGTCAGTTTGGGCAATTGAGTCATTGCCATAGGTAGTTAGCATCGCTATGTTACGGTGAATTTTCATCAGATTTTTTTATCATTAAACGCTGTTGTATAAATTTATAAGAGTGGTAGGTAGTTGGATAGAATACCCTAGACCTGATCAATACACTAGTTGGGAATCGTTGGCAAAGTGTATGTGTAGTCCAAAAGTAATTCGGATTCGGCCCTACATCATTCAGTGGCAATGAAATCCTATCCATTATCAGTCCTCTCAATATTTAAGATGCACCTTATTGATTAGTTTTAATGAATAAAAGTCGAAGTTCAGGTTTTCTTCCTGATGACCTCCAACCAGTGAACATTTAAAAAGTGTATATGCTGTCGAAATCTTGAGACTTGTCGAGATCATTAAAATTTGATTGATAGATTTCGACTGTCATTAGGAATTAAACAAACGTAATATTGAAATTATGAACTGGTCAACGTTAGATAGCCGTTAGAGACCTGGAAACCCTGTTCGTCATAATATGTGACACATCATCAGTGCATGTCAACGTTCCCGTAAATGGGAATCGATACCAAGCCGAAACGGAAGTTCAGTGCTTACAGGTTTCCATTGGTAGTCCAACAGTATATCGGTTCATGATTCAATGAAACTCAATAATTTCCACAACGTCGATTACTGACAAAACATGATTTTAGTTACTATAAAGCGGGCCATCATTGTAAACATGAAGAGAGCTGAATATGCTCTATTTCCTAAACTTTTCTTATATTGCAGCAATGCACAACAAATGTTTACAGGATTGATAGACAAGATAATTCATTTGGAGATTTCAAGAACTTATGAAATACACGAATCTCTAAGATCTAGAAAAATACAAATGATTTTATGAACAAATCCATACTTTATTCTTTTCACTATAATGGGATGTTGGACATTGTTGAGTCATTTTGAAATCATGAATCGATCAATGTTAGACCACCATTAGAAACCTAGAAGCGCTGGATGGCCGTTTCGTCCTGGTATAGTACTCAACAGCATTACACATCTGCGACACCCGCTGCACGCAGAAATCTAATCCAAGGCCTTCGGTCTTGTGCGCGAACGTCTAACCACTGGAGGTGTGAGCCAGCACCCAACAGTCGAATTTCGATCAATTCACGGTCTTGAGTAACCCTCACTGGTCACGATTTCTCTCTTAAACTCGTAGAAACTTCCTCACGGAGCTACTTGCTAATGAGCTCATGTTAGCTTTCGCTTATAAGGTTGTGGAGATTGTTGAGTTACATTGAAATCATGAAATTGATTGCAGTTAAACATAAACATCGTTGGATGCCGGTTCAGAGTTTAGATGTTAAGCATTCGCGCGCAAGAACGAAGATCCTGAGTTCGATCCCTGAGAGTAGTGGGAATCACGGATGTGCACTGTTGATGAGTCCAATACCAGGAGGAAACGGTCGTCCAGGACTTCCACTTTTCTAATGGTGGTCCAACATTGGTCGATTCATGATTTCAAAGAAACCTATACTTGAAAAAACTGTCACATTCCAATCGAGCAATAACAATAATAATAATACTAAAATTTCTCAATACAGAGAATTTCAATAATTTGTCTAAACTTCATAAAGAATCACATCTACAACAATTTATGTTCATTGGGCTTACAATGAAAAAAATCATCCAACTCTATTAGTTAAATAATCAGAAAAAATTAATTTTCGTAAAATCATTTCTTAATAAACAATATTTCTTGAAAAAAAGAAAAACCACTTCATAAGTGAAAATTTTCTTGAGGAAAAAAATTATTACATCAAGGTTGTTTGTGTTGAATAACAATTATGTTGTTTAACCTATAGACCATTCTCACTTACTGATCAGTTCAAAAATTGTTTAAACTAGTTAATAATGACAATAATAATAATAATAATTATAATAATAATAATAAATAATTGTATGCTTGAGATTTTCTACCATACAATTAACAATCAAGAAACATTGGTGATATTCTATGTTTCTTAGGCTCAATGTCTTCATAATGACAACAATTTTGTTGTTGCTTTAAACAACACATGTCTTACACGTTATAAGTAGAAGCGAAGAGTTGATTTATCTGGCAAGTATTCAATTACTGTCCTGATGACCTTGAATTGCCATCCTAAAAAAATTTGTTTAACTCTAATTATCTTCATAAGTTGTAACTGAATGGAAAATATGCAATTGAAACTACCGATTCTTAATGTGTATCTACATAATTAAACTTGGCGCGGATCGGCAAAGCAAGAGTTGCATTTTTACAATTGAAGAACATCTGGAACTCAAAGCAACTATCAACCAACACCAAAGTCAGCATTTGCAATGCAAATGTCAAGACAGTTCTACTGTATGGAGCGGAGACTTGGAGAATCACGAATCATCCGGAAGGTATGAGTGTTTATTAACGGTTGGCTAGACACCATCAGCAAAAACCTACTGTAGAAGACAAGAAACCAAACTCCAGCAAAGGAAGAAGCCATGGGATTGGATAGCTTACACATTGAGGAAATTACCGAATTGTGTCACAAAACAAGCCGTAGCTTGTAGCCCTCAAGACGAAAGGAAAATAGGAATATGGAAGGACGAATTGCCCCGTGAATAGCAGACAGACATGAGAAAAATGAAGAACAGTTGGATAGAACTATAAAGGACAGCTCAGGATACAGTAGGTTGGAGAATGCTCCTCGGCTGCCTATACTCTACAATGTGTAACAAGTGTAAGTAGGCAAGTAAATAATCAAACTTACCGTGGTCTTAATTTTGATTTGATTTCAACACGAGTAGAAAGTACAATTGGTTCTAAATTTTTCGGTGCATTTGCATCAGAAGCTTCTAATGTCAATGTGTAAAATCCTTCATCATTAGACATTACTTGATCAATAGCTAAGGTAAGTTCACCATCTTTACTACGAGTAATTCTTCTACGACCATCATATGTTAAAGTTCGACCTGATTTACTCCACGTAGCTTTTTAATTAAAAGAAAACATAATTAGAAATTAAGTACTCTATTTTCATATTACAAAAATAATTAGTTCATCAGATCACGATATAACCAATATTATTACTAATATCCTTTGTATCAAGATACTTCATTCAAGGAGCCAATTTATTAACAGAAGTCAATCAAATCTAAATAGTGAATGATACTGTGTATAATAGTTTTCTAATGAGTAAGGATAAAACCTAATACTTACTTGTGAAACAGCTTTAATAATCCAACTTTGAAAGTTGTTACATTATAAACTAACAGTAATTCATTTGAAACCAATCAGTGTTTTGTTAGGATACGATGTACTATTCATTAACAATCTCACTTAAAGGTGAAAGTAATATTTTAAAGTATTTGCATGGATTTGGTTTAAAGCTGTTATTTCACATTTCTGCCCGAGATTTTCGTTAATAAGTGTGAGTGATTATTAGATTATACACAATCGGAAGTTTAACGATTTTTTCAATTGAATGTATCTGTTGTCTGCAGAAAAAATTTAGTGATTCACGGACTACTGAGAGTAAATCTAAATTGACCACTTAACATGGTTTAGTAGGTTGCATTATTTTCATCATCGGGTTAATCATTTTGGTGGTTGCGGTAGATTCGATGTAAGGTTCACTACTTGAGTGGCCGGTGATCTGATTCTGATATTTACAAACATTTAAATATGCTACCCTTCAATTCCCGTATATCATACTTAGGCGAACCTCGTTTGTGCGACGGTGGTAATAAGAAATCAAATACAGATTCGATTGGATGAGTTTATTTTGAGCAGGCAGACATGATAAGGAGAAGCACACAAGCAGAGCAAAGTGAAGAGGAGAAGGAGAGTGACCAACGCCTTAACGATGAAGCATGACTAAATATTTATAGTCAGGCAAAATAAGCCAGACATGTAATAGGCAAAGTAGGTGATGCACACAAATACTGCAATAGAACCAACCAATCATAAAAGCGGATAATTGACAAGGTCAAAAGACGACTGAATAATAGTAATTTGGGCAGGATGGATTAATTAATTTTTCCGAAGGCTTGAACAAGCCCTATTGGCTCGACATAAAAATACACGCACTATAGTGGTCAAACAGACATTTAACTTACTAACTACTTATCATATAAGTTTTCGTATTTTTTTCAATTTTTACTCTGAACTCGTTGAATGTAACTTATTTCGTTAGATGAAGTATTGTTTAGTGTATAATATAGTTCTCTATCATTGATCATGAATTATGTATCTAATGTAATGTGATACACTCTGTGATGAATAGTCAGTCAATCATTTTGACAATCAGTTGCAAAATAGTATAATAGTATTATATCATAGTTTAGCAAGAAGGTAATATTTGAAATTTCACTGTAATATTATGAAAATTTTAAAGAAAACAATATTTATCGTCTAATCAGTTTATGATACTTACGAATGTAATGTAAATTTGTATCAACACGACATTTCAATTCAATAGGATTGCCCTCTTCAACTTCGATAGCCTTAGGCAATGGACATAAAACATTGATGTATCCAGTTAATTTAGGTGAATCTGAATGTCGTTCTCTAGGTGATGCTTTAATACCATTCTCAGATAACAGTGTTAATGACGAATCGGTATCTTTTTTCGAAGCAAATGATCCATTCATCATCATATCTGATCGACGTAAATCATTTTTTTGTTTGACTGATTCAACATGAACAATACAAGTTGTTCTTTCACGACCGAATCTATTATATGCAGTGCAACGATATAAACCTGCATCTGAACTACGTACAGTGTGAATACGTAAATAAGCCAAACCATTGCCATTTGTACCAGGTACAATACGTGGTGGACCATATTCATCGGGAAGAATTTCAAAACCATCTTTTTCCCTATTTTTATGTATTAAATAAAAAAGATTTCAAAAAATCAATAATTCAAGTATTCGTTTAGACATAGTCTTCAAGTATAAATGTACCTTCAGTAACGATTATTGACACTTATAACTAAGATTCTCTAATTCAGTAATAGTCAGTTATAAGCAACGTAGAAATCTGGGATATTTATGCATAAAATTCGAGTTGGCACATCTGTCATCATAACAAAATGAAATTATCAAAGAAAATATCAGTGTAATGGATAATCTGTAGTGTGTACTACTCAAAATGAAGCCTATAAGTAGTAGGCAGTGGAGTTACTGCTAAAACGAAGTGTCGGATCCGAAGGCATGAAGGGATCAGTGTTTTGAAGATTAGAAAACATGCAGCAAAAGATAGCCAGTAATACGTTTGCTTTGCAAATGGATATATGATGATTAGGTGTACACATTCCGGCTAGTGAACTGCCTCCCCAGCTTTTCTTCTGTTTCCCATTATTATGAGTATATATATATGATATATTTGCACATCAAGGGAAAAATTACGATAATTTCGAAACTTAGAACGTGAAGGATAACAAGAAGGGAATGGAGTTTCTTCGTTAGGACTAATTCTAAACTATGTCATTCAACACCTCCAACGAATGGTTAAGATAGTTACACTGACTGCAACCAAATAGTTTGCATTGTCACAGTTCAGTTCAACAGTCACTAACCTTATTAACCGTTATGACGTCTTGGTTTGGCTGTTTAAGGCGTTCTCATAACTTAATTCTACACCAACCAACATTATGTATTTCAGTAGACAGTGGTTACGATGAAAATTTATTTCCTCATCAACGAATTTGCTACATATACTTAATACTCTGTGTCATAGCTCACCAGCGATTACTCGATGATCCCAACATACACAAGTAATACTTTGAAGACATCAATGGTCAAGCACTATAAGTAACCTATCGATATCCTATAATTGTTAAAAAGGATATTTGTCCATAACAGATTAGCTACAGAACATAGCAATAATTATCAATGATAAATGAATATGACAATGTATTTTTGATCATTGCTAAATAATAGTGTTGTAATTATAAAGACTGGTAACAAAAAATTGAACTATCATGTATGTAGCTAGTTATCACTGATTCTATTCGTTGAATCAATTAATCAACTGAAACATTTGTCTCTAATCACATGTCTTAATTCATTAAATATTCTATTCATATTTCTTTATGAGAAGATTTAAATGAAGTTAAGTGTTGTGATCAGGTGCAACTGTAAAGTTGATTCGTTCACAATTTTTCATTTCATTTCATTAATAATGCAGTATGATATAGTTTTTTTCGTCAATAACATTAGTAAACTAACTGTTGATTAAAAAAAAACAATCTTTATGCTATCAATCTGTTTTAGTTTTCTTTCAACGTCCCTTTTCTAAATGGTGGTGTCATTACAGTTTATCCAATCATCTATTTGATTTTAAAATCTGTTTGTCATCAATCAGCACTAATTATTCATGATTAATCATTAGAAAATATTTAAATGACCGGTTCATTTTTACATTTAAATCATAGCTGTTTTGTCTTGGTATGGGGACTCATCAGCGGTGCGCATCCATGACTCACACGGATCGAAACCCAGCACTTTCGTGCTTGCGCGCAAACGCTTAACAACCTCTGAATAACTGAGCTAGCATAACATTTAAAATAGGTTAAACATTTTTATTTTGTCATGGATATAGTAAAAATATGAAGATGACCAGTGTACTAATGAATTATCATCACTCACCAATACATAATACGTTCATATAGAAGATATTTCAGGGATTTTTTCTAATTACTATTATTATTAGGTAGAATAAATGAATATATAAATAAGTAATAAGAATGACCCAGAGGTTAGGCGTTTGCGCGCAATACCGAATGTCGTAGGTTCGAATCCTGCAAGTGGCAGGAGTCGTGGATGCGCACTACTGATGAGTCCCATACTAGAACGAAACGGTCGTCTAATGGTCCCAGGTTTCTAATAGTGTTCTAACATTGATCGATTCATGATTTCAGTGATAAGAAATATTAATTGAATTCTTCAGTGTGAAAATATATTGTTTATTTACTTACCATTTAAATTCAGGTATTGGTTCACCAATTGCTATCGTTTCTAAACATAAATTACCACCTTCTAATATTGTATAATCACGAAGTTCTTTAGTGAATCTAGGCACTTGAATTTCCATTTTAGTTGTACCTTGTAGAATGCATGAACAACGAGCTTCACCAGCAGAATTATATGCAATAACTGTATATTGACCCAAATCATCTTTACACACATTTTCAATACGTAATTCTAAATGACCACTGTGATTCTGTGTAAATTAACGATTAAATAATAGAAAGGAGTGTTAATGACTATGATGATGATGATGACTATGTTTAAATAAATAAATTAAACTACTTTCCAATCGCTTAACTCAAAAATTAATGTTTGTTCTTACAGTTAAACAAAAACGCTGGTTGAAATAGATTATTATTTATACAAATTGTGACTATTATGAAAATAGAATAATGCAAATGAACAATTATGATTTTTCTTCATCCATCTCATTAATTAAATAAGAAGTATATCCTTTATTAATGATTTCTTTATAAGATTCGTAAGCGTCTGTTAGAAGATGGTTGGAACGTCTGGTAACCGAAGTAGTTAACTATAGACCCGTCTAACAAATGTGAACCATTAAATTTCAAATCAATCATTAGAAAATATGATATTTATTATAAGGTATAAAGATCCTGGATACAATTCTGTATGAGTTTACGAATGCTAATCCCAAATGTAAATGATACAGCTTTATAGGATCATTTGGTTTTCAATAATATTTTAGTTGAATTCGAACTTGTGGTACAATGATGTATTCGAACATTGGAATTCTATGACTTTGAGCTGAAATCCTGAGAGATCCTATGACATGTGTTACAGATGTTTAGAACGTGATAATTTCTCTACAACTAATTTGTGTCGAGAAAAAAATATAATGTTGAATAGTAATTAGACATTTTATAGTTTAAAATATAAATCGATTTAAATATCATAACAAAAATAATCATACTGACTTTAGCAGTAATTCTTGGATCGTCAGGTGGTTCAGTTGAAAGTTCTATACCATCTTTTTGCCAAACGATTGTAGCTGATGGTTGAGCTAATACTGATGCAGCTAATCGTATTGTGCTACCGAAATCGACTTGTTGATTACGTAGACGACGAGTGAATTCAGGATGACGATGTCGAATACCACCAGCATTCATCATATCTGAACCAACGTAACTTCCACGATCGAATAAACCTGTGAAAAGCAATTGATGTTTAGTAAAAAAAAATACTTTAAGAGATGCAAATAACAATTAAGTTGAATTAGGTATCTGTAGTGATGATTAGACATGAAACAACTGATTAATTTCCCTAACTAAATTTATCTTTCATGTTGATTGTTGTTTAGTCAGCTAGTTTTCATGATACAAAAGTTTCTCATCGACTATACTTGTTTGTTATGAATAATTTACGAGAAAAAAAAAGGCTGGTAATAAGCCTGTTAATGATAATTTAATTTATCATTTATTGATTTATCATGAGAGAAGATGAATTACAAATATTATTACATTAATCGAATATTGGTGAATTCAGTCTAGAAATAATATTTGCACTTCCCTCTAATAATCTATTTTAACTTACCGTATAAAGCATAAGCTATTGAAAATTGTATATCTTGACGTAAAAAGTATGCACTTCTATTGATTTACAATGCATGTTTTACTAAATGTAAATACACATTGAACCATTCAACCAATTTGATGTTTTATACAAAAGTCATTAAAGCTGTGTAATTTAAAACTGAACAAGATTAAAAGAAATCAACTTACCACGAACATGTAATGCTGCTTCAGTGATAGCAGTACCTGATGAACTTGTTGCAATGCATGTATACGTTCCACTGTCACGTGGTACAGCATCTTTAACTAAAAGTGTATGACTAGATGTATTAGTTCCAGATCTTTCAGTTGAAGTTTGTGATACACATAGACGTATTCCATCGGTTAATAAAGGTTTACCATCTTTAAGCCAACGTACGGTTGGTGCAGGTTGACCACGAGCACAAGTTTCAAAACGAGCAGCACTTCCTTCAACTACAGTAATGCTTGTTAATTCTTTTAGAAAATGTGGCGCTTCTGAACCTTCATCGAGCGAAGCTATGAAATAAGATAGTAACAAAAATCACATATCATTCTTCGCCAAAAAAAATAGTGAAATAAGAGGTTATATTTTTAAAAGGAATCTCGATTTATATGTTACATAATCGCACTAAGATAATCAGGTGAAAGAATACACTAAAATGTAAGAATTCCAATAAACAGAACTTTGTGCAACTAATTTATTTGAAAATTCCTGTTATAAAAATAAACAATCGGCATTATTGTTTTCATACACACAGAGATCTCTTTATCGTTATGAAAAGAGAGCAAGAACAAAGATTTCAGCTGAATAAAATAAATTCATTTTATTTCGTTTGGTTCTTGCCAACTGCTTACAACCTGTGATATTTAAAAATCGTCAATACAAAATTGGTTTTAAATTACTTACATGAAAGAGTTTCATCAGAAGTTGCTATGACTACATATTAGTTTAGTATGACAAGGGTGTAAATGATTTTAATAGACAATAAAAGATTACAAATATATACATTATATAGAAGAACTTTCTACAACATTGATAATACCAAAAATCTAAAAGGCTAGAAATGTGATTAGACAATGAATAGACTTTGGTAATAAATAAGAAACAAATGAGTAAAGCTCAGTCAGTTAAACTAAGATTACTAGTCTGAAAGACAGTTGAAATAGAAAGTAATGAGGTAATTGGTTAAATAAAAAAGATTGAACAAAATCTAATAATTTAATGAAGGAATATTTATCATCAAGTTAAAGAAAGACCAACAATCATCTCTTTTGAATACCTAATAATCAGGTTTCAGGCTCTGGCTAGCAACAGCCTCAGAAGATTGAAACTTGGCTGTTTATAAACCAACTTCAAAGATTGCAAGGTAATCAACCTGATGTCATTTATCCAAGAGTTGTTTGATGATTGAACTATTTAACGTAGACTATTCTTTTTGTTCGAAGGCTTTGAGGAACATGTTCTAAAAATTCAAGGTAAGTTCTCCTTTCTGTTCGACCTATGTAGCTGCTTTGGCAGGTACACGTAAATTTATAGATACAGTAGGCAGTAATATCAAAGAATTGCTTGTTAACAAGTAATTAAACATGTTGTTTTATACAGATTAATCTATCCCATGAAATAGTGTTTTGATCGGATAAAAACTATTTAAATTCAGATAAAGACCATACCAAGTACTTTTCAAATAAACTGAAAGTTGAACTGTTCCATCTGTCCTACGGTGTAAGACACTATGAAGAAATTGATACACATTTATATACATATTTTGGCACTGGTAAATGTAGGAGATTAAGAATTCTGAAAAATCATATGAATAGTTTCAAAAAATGACATTTTCGTGGACAAGAACGATACATCGGAAAAGACCATGAACTCTCCGGCAACGTCCGTACCATTTAGTTTGTCAGAGAATTGGAATGAATCTCTTAACGTTTATGCTGCTAATGTCTGACCGATTAGTTCTAATTTATCTTTTAGCCAACGCGCAGCTTTGTACTATGGTGAATTGAACATTGACAGAATAGGTCTAAGCGGAACATCAGACACAAGATTTTAGAATCATTGTAATCAGGATTAGTAATTATTTTCTTTTTTTACATCGAAGTTCTCTAAGCATGCTCATGATTCGTTTTTTTTTGTTGAATCAGTCAAATTCCTGTTGGGCTTGTTCACCTCAAATCTCAGCTGATTGTTTAGGATTAATTTTATGCTAGTTATGTAATCAGTTGTGTTCATTAGAATGACACTTGAACCTTTATCTGGTCATAAGATCATTACCCCATCATTTCGTTTAGTGTTGAGTAAAGCTGTTAGGTGTTCTTTCGAAAGAATATTCGATATCGTTGATATGAAATATTGGTTGGAGATATCAACTAATTTTGATTTGAACCAACTTTTTTTCCATCATTCATTGGGTGTAAATCTTTTAACTGGTCAATAAGATTTTCGAATAGAGCTACTGTTTCAATCCCGTTAGTACTTGTTCTTGGGATGTGAAAATTCAGTCCCAGTGATAAGGCTTCTGTTTTTTTATAGTATTCAGCTTGATATTTGATCAGTTGTTGATGATTTTATCCCATAGAAGATATTTAGTTTATTGACTAGTTTATTAAAAACACTAGAACACTAGCAACTTCCGGCGAAACTCTTTCATGTAAGTAATGTAAATCTACTTTGTGATTATGATTTCAAAAATATTACAAGGTTTTAAGCAGCTGGCAAGAACCAAACGAAATAAAATGAATTTATCTTACTCAGCTCAAATATTTATTCAAATATTGTCTTCAATTAGATCGTCATAAGGCTTTATTCTGATATACTTGAATATTTTAGATGGAAAATATTAAACCAATCAAGGCAATTTTAGAGTCAATGAAACAGATTATTTAAGTACACATAACAGATAAAAGTACAAGTTGACAGTAGAAAGACAACTGTACTGTAGGTGGTAAGTGTTATAAAAATACCTTAACAAAAGTTTTTGTCTTCGTTGGAAGTAGTAGGTCAAATCTAGATAAACAGACTTTAAAATAATAACCAAAATAACAGTATTAAAATTACGTAATAAGATGTGTGTAATATAATTGGATGATGCAGAATATAAACGTAAGCTAAACGACGGACAAATACATGATGAGAAAAGTGATAGTTTATTAAATCATATCCGACTAAGAAAGGACAGGAGTGTCACGAATTTCTTTTGAGCGTGTAAGCTAAGATTACAGGTTAGGAGTGCTACAGTTTCTGCTATATCTAGGAAACGGAATCGAACCCTTTGGAAAACGACGAAGTTATTGGATGGATCACTCCAAATGATTCGGTTTTATCTACCATATGGTCACTGTCAAATAAGTGTTGCTAGACAGAGTTGCATATTTTCTTTGCCGAGCCCTCTCCAAACCATGCCGAGAGATGTTTACTTAAGCGATTGTTGAGTTCCCTAGTAGTTGGCTCAATATAATTATCTCTGTAGGAATAACTGAATTTGTAGATTCTTAAGTTCGTCACCAAGTATGCTCGAAACTATTACGGGTTCACCTTAGTCGATAAAGTAGACCGACAATAAACCAGCGTCTAGGTAGGTTACCCTGAAAAGTTTACTAATGAAAAGCCTTGATATAGCGTAGAAAGTATATTTTACAAACACCCAGCAAACACAATGAATTCAAGCACACAAATCGCGTTTATTTATACGTCAAAGAAACATCCTTGGGACAGTCACAAAAATAGCACACTAGATTACACAACAACCAACCACAGCCAAGGATTTTTCTGGTGGGAGACGAAATCTCAAGGTCAACTAATCAGCCCATGCTCGGAAACATAAAATCCGAAATTAAGGCATGTATCAAGCAAGTTCTGGGGATCTAACATCCCCAACATAGATGCACATCGAAAAGGTGAAATTCTGGTAACTTGTCTCTAGTTTGAGTGGATATTACTGATGTAAAATTAGCTGCCTAGAATTCCTTGTTTACTGCCCTCACTAATCAACCATGCAAGATATGACTAGCCATATCCTCATTGAATTGTTGAACGGACAAACGGGCAAATTTAACTATAACAGATAATGTGAAAGTATTGAATTAGAGAATTACAAAAATCAACTGATGAGCATGTTAAAAGAAAAACACCTTTAAAAAAAATAAATCACATACAAAATACTTCAATAACAGCCGAACATGTTTGTGATCCATATTTGTTAGTAGCTACTAAAGAATAAAGTCCTGCATCAGCGGTAGAAATATCAGATATTTCAAGTTTTAGCATCAACCCTGAAGATGATGGACCATTTAGATCTTCTTGGTAGAAACGTCTACGTGATGAAGCTGTTAATGGGACACCATTATGTAGCCATGTGCACCGAGGTACTGGTATACCACAAACTGAAAAGTGAATATTGGACAAAAGTAATTATTTATCTATCAAATCAGGTTCATAGCTTAATTGAAAGTAATATTCCACAAAATCAGTCTACTTGTTGACAATTAAACAAAGAATTAATGATAACAAATTTTAAACGAGAATTAATTCATTTTTATCTGAATAAATATATAAATAAATAGGGTTAAGCGCTACTGGATATTCGGTCACTTGAATAAATCAGTGGTTAGTACGTAATATTGCGCTTAAGTTCTCTATCAGGACTGAACTGTACTATTATTCAAGGATACTCAATAGGGTGTTGAGGCAAATAGAGATTAATGTGAGCCATAATTAATAACTGACAACAATCTACAGGTTATATAACTAAACATTTAAGTATTAAATTTATAAAAACTTGGAGTTTGTTTGAATTAATTGTTCAGGTTAGCGTTTATTCTTAGCAAGTTGGTTATCAACAATTCTCCTTCATCCGGGCTTGAGACTGGAAGTAACGCCAGAAGGAGACACTATCAGCAGTAACCTACTGTGGAAGAGAACAAACCAGATTCCAGCTGAGAAAGAAATTAGGAAAAAGTGCTAGAGATGGGATGGGACACATATTGAGGGAAGCACCGCACTATGTTACAAGGCAAGCCTTAAATTGGTTTTTCAAGGTAAACCAAAGAACACATTACATGGAGAATTGGAGACAGACATCAAAAGAATAAACAGTAATTGAGTAGAACTGGAAAGGAAGGCCTAGGACAGAGAAGGTTAGTCCTCAGCTGGTCGTCAGCTTGTGCTCCAACATTTGTAATTAACCTGTAATTTGTACATTACCAAACGAAATAAACATGAATTCATTTAATAAATAATAATGTACAATAACTAACATATATCTTTAACTATTTGATGTAACTTACCTTTAACTTTCATTTGAACTTTACCACCAGTGGTACATGTCATATCAACCAAGGGTAAAAGAATACGTGCACCTAATTCACTTGTGACTGATAAATCAGAATTAATACTTGAACGTTGAGTTGTTGATTCTATGGGAAACAAATTAATACATGAAGTCAATTCTAACTGATTTATCTGTACAAGAAATAAACTTCCAATAAGTTTATGTTGAACAGTAATATTATTTGCAATAGAAGTTTAGGGTTAAATTGTCAACTTCAGGAAACTAAAATCTTAACTCATATTCTATAGAATTACTTGGTCTTCAGTTAAAGTTTATTGATTAATTCAGTTTATTTGTATAAAAGTAAGTATTCGGATACTATTACTGTTCATCGTGTATTTACTGGCAATAAAAACTGCTGGATGTAGCCAGTTGGAGAGATGAATAATCATTCATTAAATAACTAATGAGCAAATCATATGATACAGTATAAATAAGTAAACAGATAAAAACATACTGAACATTGAATATCTTGTTTTACCTTTCGAAATAAACTAATTCCCTGTAATCTCTAAGCAACTTACAAGCGAACGGTACTGGATTCGAGTGTCCGAGTAAACGTCACTCTGGGATGCAGCTTAACCCATCTGACGAATCCCAAACAGGTCTAAATGCACCACTTGGATTCCACTAACAGCCACTACCTATCTCTGCTTATAAACCAACAGGTAGTTTTGACTTTATGTCTGTCAAATCGATGGTGAATAAGTGTAGTAGGGGAGTGTGAGATAATTCAATTCTGAGAGACCTTTTTTAAGTATACAGTGAAAATTCAAAGTGTGTATTTTCCCTGTGAAATGACTCAGATAGCATGTATTCAGTTCTAGATGGTTTTTGTAACATTCTTCACCTGCTTAAAATGATAGAACGCGCAATTTAGCAATCAGATAAACAGTTATCAATTGTTATATATCTGAAAATCAATCACATTGTAAGAGAAAAGAGTTTATTTTTATTAAATCTTAATTTAAATTCAGAATAACTTATTACCATGTACTTATGGCTTGAATACCATTGCTGTTTGCTTTTAACGATATCTCTTTGTTTACTGTTACAAAGTATGGTAACATGAACAATTTTTGTGAATTTTTACTGTATATCATCAGTTTGTTTGATATAAAATTACAGTTTAGTATATCTAATAATTTAAATGATGATTAGTGAAAAGTATTTCTTGCTAGTTCTACATTTCTTTGTACTGACTAATGTGTTAAAAACTATTACTTCCTAACATCTACTTGTTTTAAGATCAAATGTTAACTGAACAAGAAATTATAGTTGAATTATTTAAGATTTAACTTTCTTTTTTGTCTTAATTCATCAACAATTATTTACAAAAAAAAATCTATCTTATTATTATTACTACACTTACCATAAACTTTTAAGTTTGCTGAATCCGATACTTGACCATATCGACCAATAATGGTAACTTCATATGTTCCAGCATCATATACTGTAACATTATTGATATGAAGTTTAATATCACCTGTTTCTGTATCAAAAGTACATACATAATGTTGTGTTGATGGAGTTTTTAATGATGCCAATGGATGACCAGTGTTTAATTCACGACCATTTAATGACCAACGAATTTGTAAATCACTCATTTGATCTGAAAGATGTGTTGTTGACTTTTTCATTTTTGGTAAATAAACAGCACAACGTAACACTGTTGTACTACCTTCTGCAGCATTGACTGAACCCATCGGTGTTAATATTTCTGGTGCTTGACCACGTGGTGTAATTCTTGCATGTACAACAATTTCTTCTGATTCTTTAGATGTTGATGATGATGATGTTTGATAATCATAATAATAACGATGATATGAATCATGCATAGAATCAGTTCTAGATAATTTACGCATAGACAATGTATCATTTGCGTCAATATCATTATTATTGTCATTCATGTAACTAGCATCTAACCAACGTAATAATCTTGTATAAGCACGTTTATTTATTCTTTCAGCAATATTATCTTCTAAAATTTCATCTTGTATTTGTGATTCATAATTATTATTTGATAGATTTGATGAATATGGTCTTGATAAAGAAACCGATTTGAAATGATCTTCTTTCTTTTCTTTTTGTTCAATTGTCTCATATTTTTTACTTGTCATACTTGTGATCCATGGGTGTTCTAAAGCTTCATGCACTGTCATTCGTTTTTTTGGATCAGTATGTAGTAAACGTTTAGTAAAATCAATCATTTTTGATGAATAATGCATTTTTTCAAGTTTTTCTGGTTGAGGTGACCCTTCTGTATCACCAGTAGTCCTATTTAAAAAGAAAATAAACAACTTGATTTCTCAGATTTTTCTGGTTTCCAAATTGATGTTGAAATACACAAGATTAAATTTCGATGGTCAGTAATTCCAAACTCTAGAAAACCATTGCTTGAATTTTATAATTTACATCGAAAACACTGAATCTTAATCAAATTATGATCAAAAACTACGAATCACTGGATAGATGTTTCTTCCCAGCATGAGCATCAACGACCCCACCTGGAGTCGAACTCAGAAACTACAGGTCTTACTGGTAATACTTGATTTTTAGACTACTGACTAGACATGTCTAATATTTCAATAGTGACGGATTCATAAATTTTCTCGAAATATTAATTCTTAATTGAATTACTAGTTTATTTGTTGATGCTTTAATTAATTAATAAAATTTCTTACATTTGATAAAGTAACAAACCCAATGACCACATATCAGCTGATTGACTAACTCGTGCTGATTTACTACTAATCGGCATTGTATTAGTCAATTCTGGTGGAATATACACCATAGAACGAAATGATAAACGAATCGGTTTATCCACAGTGGTAGTATGCATTTGTCCGAGATCAGCCAATGCAATACGTTGTCTAGATTGATCAGTAAAGAAGATATTCTCGGGCTTTAAAAAAAGGGAAAAAAAACAACAACAAACCAAATAAGACACAATGTCATTTAACAGAAATAATAAAAATAATAATATTAAAATTTATTTTTATTTTTTCTAATTTTTTGCATTTAATTTCAGACTTTTTTTTGTTCTATCGTGCTAAATCAGCATCTACATAACACAGTTTATGTAAATAAATGAATAGAGAGAGGCTTTATTCATTTATCGGTTCCAGCTCAATGGTGTGTTCATTGAAATTTACATATTGTTGACCTTTTTAAGAACAACACTTACAATTGTATATTTATGTTTACATTATTAATAAATAATTGAATAACATTTATTCACTGAATATCAATGAATAACAAGATAAATTTTATACATACATACACATGCACATAACTATTGATGCAATGAATTTTTAACAATCTCAAATTAATTCAAATTATCCTCTATTTATTAAAATCAACATCCGAATATGAAGAATGAATAACCGTTTTAGTGTGTAAACTTTTACGATGATTGTTAAGCATAACATGTACAATATTGTTTGATAATTTTGATTATTGATTATTATTATTATTATTATTATTATTATTATTATTACCCTGAAGAAGTTCAGCCAAGATGGATGGAAGAAGCTCAGCTTATTTCAAATATTATAATTCTTGTCAATAATATTCAGTAAACTTGAATGATTAAATCAGAAATCAAAAATAAAATTACATTATTTATATTGACAACCATATAGGTGATTATCAATTAGTAGTATGATAATTATTGTAAAAAAAAAACATTAGAGGCTCTTTAATATGATGAATGTAAGAAGAAAGTTTAAATTCAATGCATGAAATGAATTATAAGACTTACTTGTAAACCAAGATGTACACCACCAGTTTTGTGTATTTTTGACGTTAAATCTAATAATTGACGTAATATATCCGCTGCTTTATGTTCAGTCACTGTAATACGTCGAATAAATTGATGCCATAATGTATCACCGGATGTAACACTAAAAAATATATTCATGAAAAATTTATGCTGACTTCATTTCAATTCATATGAAACATTTAAATATTTAAAAAAAAAGTGATCCAATTTTTAATGAAATAATTTTGAATTAAACCTATTGATCAAATGTACCCCTACTTTAGTCAAGTGAAATTGAATGGACTCAAAAAAACAAACATGTTATAGTCATCATTTCATACGATAATTTGAACAGAATAGAAATGTTCATATGAAAAAAGTAAACAAATTTTAGGTAAAATGAAAGGTTGTAAAGATTAAAATCTATTCACAAACTAAATAGTTCCCTATGTGTATATATAAAAAGAACTCCTTTTTATTGATTGGTTGAATCTTCTTATTTGATGATCAGTCTCATTCAGTAGACGTGTATATGTATCTTGTATAGATCACCTTGATATATTACCACTAAATAACAAATTATTTTTAGCAGAGTTATGATGATATATATAGCTAGTAGTAGAAATCAGGATGTTGATAAATTAAAGCTCTCAAGTTTAGATGTACTTTGATACAAGTATTGGGTACACGAGACAATAGTAATCGATAGTCAGAGACTTTGAATGACATCACTCAAAATCGTTTGCAATTGCTCAAATGCATTCATTCTTTGTGTTCTCTGAAATTCTAGTCTTTTGAATTCCGTTTCACCTTCATCTTTCTATTTTTTTAATCCTTTTTTCATTGCGTTATACTTCTTTAATAATTTCTTCGAACCTTAATCTTCTTCATCATCGTTAATACTTCCACTATCTCTACCATTGTGAGGATTGAACTAACATTTCCATCTCTCTCTGTGATAATGTGGTATGGCAACTTAAACTCATGTACGTATGTACGACGTTCTACTTTGCAGTTGACTGACTGATACATTTTTTTTCATTCTTTTCAAACCATATTTTTAATCAGTATTTTAAACACTGACAATATTACTGAAACAAATATCATTTTGACTTCTTTTATACTGATTTTGTTCATTTTATCTTGTTATACTGACGTAATAATGCGAAAGTGAGCTAACAAACGTTTGTAATAGACTCTATGATGATAACTGACTGATACTATTCATACATGAATGAATGAACAGTTTTATTACTACTACAAATACCTAGAGTTACATTAGTTTTTAGCTACGAATCGTTTAAAAAAATATGTGATTTAAAACTAAATGTACTTACTCTTCCATGACACAAATAGTACGTTTTGCTTCTGTGTAAGCTTCATGTAGATGTGCAAAGTTTTCTTGTTGAATACGTGACAGAAGTTTTAATTCACGTTCGGCTTTCTCTTGTTCCCAGTCAGTGACATCAGATCTAGGTGTATACTTTGAAATATCATAGGAAGCACGTCTACGAATAGGGCGTTCAGTTTCCAATACGCTAACTGGACGTGGAGGTAATTCTGGATAGCTGATGTCACGTTTACCTAAAGCACTAACTGGACGCTTAGTTAATGCCGATGGACTTGTATCTATAATAGTACCTAACCAATAACGACCAGTTGAGCGCTCAGCAAGTCTATAAAGACCAGCATTTTTAGTACTGAAAACAAAAGAAAATAATCATAACAAATCATTTCAGTCATTTATGTTGAGGAGTTATTGTTACACACAAATGATACAGTAAACTCAAAGATAAACTAAAACCACAAGACATGAAGAAACAAAAATTGCAAAGTTTGTAAGTATTTTTGTCAAGGATAGATATATCAATCTGGAGAACCATAGAAAACCAGGAGGACATTAGATAACTGTTTTACCCTGGTTTGGAATTTCGAAGTTGTACTGAAATATACAACTTAATATTCACAAAATTGACTTACGTCAGTGATGAAAATTCTCTTCATATTAAACTGATATCCAGAATTCATGCAACCAAATATTATGTAATTATTCAATTAGCTAGCATTACTTATTACTGAAATAAACTTATTACTATATTGGAAGTCATTCAGAAGAAAATTAAACCTTTTAGCAGTCCTTTTAAATATCCACTGGCGAAGAAAGTTTTAATATTTTAGAGGGCTTTAAATAGTCAATAATAAAGACCTTATTAGTATAGGGTTGTAGATAACGTTGAGTTTCATTGAAATCATGGATCGATCAATGTTAGACAACCATCAGAAACATGGAAGCACTGGATGGCTGTTTCGTCCCCATCAGTAGTGCGCAAACAGCAACCGAACCCTAGACCTTCGGTCTCCCGAAAGAATGATTAACTTTTTGGCTATTGGATAGGCATCACACTGCTTCCCACCTGAAACGTTTGAACTATATTAGTCACGGCATACCTAGAACAGATAATTGTGCTTAGAGATGAGAAACGCAATATAAAACATTATACTAGCTTCAAATTTATCAATTTTACCAGGATATTTTATGTGAACTGAAATTCCATAGTCTGACCAATGTTATGAAGAGGAATAATTCAAGTTGATTTTCATTGGAAAAAAAGGTTGATAACTTTTTAGTTTATCAACGGAATTTAAGTTAGCAGAACTAAATTGTTCTAGATTTTCTCTAATGTAAGAAATACAATTTTGTTAAGTAACCACTAATGAAGATGTGTTTATATTATCAAAAAAAAAAGATTTCTATATCATTCATTTAAAGAACTAGTTAAAACAATAATTATTCCGAATAAATTTTGTAGAAATATTAAATTACCGAGCTAATTCTTCAATAATATCATATCGTGAATCGAATGATCCATCGGTATAGTGACGGAATTCCATATCATTGATATCTAAAACTAAAATTGAATAAAAATCTTTAAAATAATTTCCAGTTTTTTAATTCATGCTTAGACAAACCTGAGAAGAATGAACAGCAATTTGATAAAACTGAAAAAGAAGGCTGAGGATAGAGTGGGTTGGAGACTGTTGGTCGGCGGCTTATGCTCCACTGGACGTAACTGACATTAGTAAGTAGGTAAATTCTCGCTTCTATTACAGTTTAAGTTGTTTATGCCGAATACAAAAATGAATGATTTTAGTTCTAAGAATTCTTAAACTTGATTATTGAATGCACATAAGAGATTGTATACGACATTTATAAGCACTGAATAGATTTAAAGCTTTTACTGATTACTTTCAACCAATTAACATCAAATACACTTTTTTTTCACGCATCAATCAAAATAACTAGTCCGCATACATTAAAAAGAAGACCAGATCTAGCTCACTCAACTTGTGATCAAAGCAACAGTCTGTCACATCAGTTTATATTGTCTATTCCCCAATGAGAATATCTATAACCTAATTTTTGTACGGGAAAACTATCAGCAAATATAACTAGATATATGACTAGTAAATGGTCACTTATAATTGACCTAGATAGTTTGATTAATGTTTAGTGTCGATATATTGTAAATGTGGATATGACTACGAAATCGTAATACATTTTATGTCGATCCTAATGTTCTAGTTTACAAAATATGTGAATCATTGTATGTGAATTACTGGTTTAAAGCCAGTAACTTTGTGTAATAACGGTGATATGCAGATAGGAATTCATTGAACTCCTTGTATGATCAAGATTATGTGAAGTAAATGAAAGGAAAAATAAAGAGATATTAATTCTAAATGTCAATCTTGTTTAAGAGAAAATAACTGTAAACAATATCCAGAAGAAGTAGCATATGAATGAACAGATAAGAGACAAAACAGTTTATTAGTTAACTTTCCAGTATTCAAAACTATTAATTACAGATATGATTCCATTTTAATTTATCCGCGGTTAGTTTCAATGAGAAACAATTCGTTTACGTTTATACAATAAAAAGTTTATTATATAATGTATATACCTTCTGTAAATCGATGTACTGGTAGTTGAGCTGGTTCGGAAGCATCACTAGCTGGTCCTAATCCATGCCAATTTTCTAAACGTATTCTAAAACGATAATTTACACCTTTTCTTAATTGACTACGTGCCATGAAATAGGTTTGATCAGCAGAAGTTGTACCAAGAAGAAACCAGTCATGTCCAGGTTCATCACGACGATACTCCACACGATAGCCAGTGAATTTAATCAAAGATTCTAACCGATCAGTAATCACTGGTGGAGTCCATTCTATTAACAATGTTCCAGGACCATGTGGTTTTACTCTAGGTTTTTGTAGTTGAGCATATGGTTTATCTAAATACAATAGTTGTATATTAGAATCATTAATATTTCAATAATATATTTTTGAGGTTAAACAAAAATACTCAGATAAATTATTTATATTCACAATGGTAATAACAATTTTTTATTGAAATCGTGAATCAATCATTGTTAGATCACCATATGAAGACTGTAAGCACTGGACAGCCATTTCGTCCTGGTATGGGGCTTTTCAGCAAAGAACACGTGACCAGAGCAGCTCAACCCTGTCAGATGTAGGCAGTAACTATAAAATGTCCCGGGCTCGATTCCTGCGACTAGCAGGGGTGGTGGATGTACACTACTGATGAATCCCATATTAAGACAAAACAGCCGTTCGGGGTTTCCAGATTTCTAACGGTGGTCTAACAATGACTGATTCATGAATTCAATAATGATCTTAAACTTGTTCGAACGTTCCAAATCGTCTTTAATAATTGTCTGATTCATCTCATCAGTTTTTGGACACTATAGACTAACTATATCATCCCTAAATGGGTCATCTGACTTTGCATCGACCATATAATTTATTCTATTTTAGTAATCACTTATACATATTTGACCTTCTCAATTATTCGCTTATGATATTGACTGTTTTTATTTGAGTATATGCAGATGGTTAACACGTCTTGGTTTTATTTCTTTGATCATAAACGATGAATAGTGCTTTGTCAGAAGGAATTGGTTCGCTAGGCTTTTCCAATTCATCTCACTTCGTATCTGTCATCTCACTGTTTGTCTGGCGTAAATGAATATCTGAAATATATCTTCCTCAAATACTTTTATATTTGATTTCTCATATCTGCGTTATTATTGACAGGATTAGACGATATGGTTTAGAATCAGTAAATTTTCAATTCCATCTTTAAATTGTGATTTTTTTTAATTCTTCTTTTCACTAATGTCGATCACTTCATATTATATTATACCTTAGTGTTATATCTGTATATGAATACGAGGTTGTAAGCAGCTGGAGAGAGAAACCCTCCGAAATAAAATAAATTTATATAATCCAGCTAAAGTTGTTGTTTGATTTTAGTTAATTTACTAATATAATGCACAAAAAGAATACTAAGTATATAAGATTGCCCATACAGTTACGGTAGATAGTTTTTAAGAAGAATACCCCATAAAATAATAGTACAGTTGTGCTATAGAAATAAGTATCATAAATGAAGCAACAGAAACAGGGCACAAATGAGTTTAAGCAGATATATGATACTTTCTGAAATCATGAATCGATCAATGTTAGACTGAGAGTAAAAGCCTGGAAGCACTGGACGGCAGTTTCGTTCTGATATGGAACTCATCAACAGTGCGCATCCACGACTTCCGCTATTCAGAGGAATCGAACTCAGGGCCCTCGGTCTTGTGCGAGAACGCTTAAACTTTGGGCCACTGAGCCGAAATTTAACGGTGTTAATGTCTGACTTCAATCAATCCACAGTTCTGCGCTACCTCATCCATAAATAACTCTAATCAAAAAGCAAACTTACCAGCGATACTTAAACGCAAATCAATGTAATCTCGACCAGCTTGATTTTGTATCCATAGACGATATAGTCCACTATCAGCTAGATTTAGTTTATCAACAACTACTTCAACCCAACGGCAACCACATGACAGATTTAATCGAACCCGATTTTCTAAAGGTTCAACTGACAAACCAGGTGTCAGATGACTTAAACGTTCGAACCAAACTTTTGTAATCCATTCATGATCTTGTATGTAATGTGAGCCTTCCAATGGAACGCGTAGATACCAGCTGTCTCCATGTCTTAATTCATATTCATGAGGTTGTGCAGCCCATCCAAGTCGGCAGAATCGTGGTACCGCTAAATAAAGAAATAAATCGATTAAACATAGTTAGTTTCGTTAGCATCTTTACTTCCATTTTTCTTAATGACTAAATTAATCATTGAATTTAGAAATAGTGTCCGTATACCATGTAGAGTAACTCGAAAACTATTTGATTCAAGCCATCCATAGCTTACCTATTTTTCCAGTTGTATTCAACTATTTTGAACAAAATGAGCGGTAAATATACTTACACATATAAAAACTCAGAAAACACTGAATTAATTCCTTTTATAAATCTTAATTTAGTATGGAATATCAGTGAAATTTCATTTACATGGAACATTTTTTTGTACATCCATAATTTGGTTGGACTAAGATATTGAAGGTGCAGAAAACGGTTTGATAGGAAAAAATCTCTTAATTTATCTCACAATTTACAATTTTAAGAAACAGAATTGAGCTACCTGTAAGTAGTATATATTTTAAAGCCTATACTGTATTAAGTCAGAAGTGACTAAATGAGAAGACCGTTTGACTATCAGACGTATGCATAAAACTGTTTAAGAAATGGACTCATTTTCTAAAGAGGGGAAATATATATATATATATATATATATATATATTTACGTATCGGATTCGGTAACCAAATAGATTTCCTATTTTAGTCTAGCCTTCTCCCTAAAATAGTCAGTTTTAAGGGTCGGCGCACATCACGTTCAGACCTGGGACACCGCGCATCATAACAGTATAATTATCTATTACCTCCATTGTTTTCTAGCGATAGTTTCAAAGTTGAGTAATATGCTTATAAACAGTTCACTAAACATTTAATACTTATATCTTCTCAATTAACTCAGTTTGTCGAAGTGGAACAAGAAAGCTTCTTGGTACGGGATCTTGTAACTCCGAATCCATATACCTTACTAGATAAATCAAATAAATTTTTACTGAGATCATGAATCTGCCTAAGGGACACACACATAGAAAGCATTTAAGTATTGAGCGGACGTTTCTTTCTAGTTGGAGACTCTTCATCACTGTGCATTCATCACCCGGCAACCAGGAATCTAACCTAGGACCTTTAATTTATATTCATATGTCGCATTATTATTTGTTAAACTAACTAACTGTTCAGGTACTTAGGTAATATGAGCTATGTTCTGAGTGTAACAGCTATCGATGCTACTCTTTTGCTTAAAGTGAAATAAGTGGTTCAGCGTTCGAACCTGAAATATAGAGGATCAGAGCCGGACAACTCGATCACTAAGCTACAGTTTATGGAAGCTGACATAAACCTTTGGAACCTGGATTTCGTGTTGGTTCGCACTTGCCAGGAAAGGATATGTATAATCTTTCAAGGAATTAAACTAACTATGAAATTAGTATTTGCAGGAGTCATGATTTAGATATATAATCCGTGTCTGTGTGTTCGCATGCTTACTTCGCTTACCGCAGCTTATTTTTGTATGACTATAAATGCTTAGTCATCATACCTGACTACATTGTACGCTTTCCGTCCTCACTCCTGTCTACTCGAACAACTGCCTGAAATAAACCCATTCATCCGAATCCGCATTTGGCTTCGTGTTAACGCCGTCGCATAAACGGGGTTAACCTAATCATGGCATACGGAAACTGAAGAGGATATTTATTTCATAGCACATTTAAATGCTTATAAATATCAGAGTCACATCATGGGCCACGAAAGTATATATAGCTATACTGCTTATTCGGAGAAATATAATTTGTTATAAAGTTCAATAAGTACCTGAAACGATCAATTCCCATCTTTCGGATATTGTCTCATAAATATTCCATACACGACATTCTAAGAAGCCAGCATGACTTGGTTGTATTTGTTCAATAGTTAATTCATAAATACCAACACCAATCTGAGCTACACGACAACCAGGTAAAATTTTCTCATCTATTTGAATATGATTTAAATACCTGTATGTAAGTAAATAAACAAATATTTTATGATAAGTAGAAAAAAGAGATTGAAAAGATAAGTTATGCGTTTTTTTTTTATTCCATAGTAGTTATTCCAATTAAAGAGTGTAATTAACTTGTGACTTAATACATAAATCTGAATCTATTTATTGAATTTTGATTCAATCTAATTAGCCTTAAGAAAAATAAGGAAAATTTCACTTATTAGTGAAATGAGATTTAGGATAATATTTGTGCTTTCAATAGGATATTCTTTTCATGTTAGAGCTTTGAATAATTCTGAATTTCATTAAAATCATAAATGGATCATTTTTAGACCAACACCATTAGTAACCTAGGAGTACTAGGCGGCCACTTCGATGTTCTAGTGAGCGGTCGTGATCAGTGGCGTTCAACTGCGTCGGGTGTAAACAGTTACCGATAGAAAACAATCAGGTGCAGTTGCGCGAAATCCTAAGATTGATCAAAGTTGGGCATTAACACTGTTGGACGTCGGCTCAGTGGTCTACAGGTTAAGCGTTCGCAAGCGGGGATAGTCGAAGCATACTGCTGGTGAGTCCTATACTAGGACGAAACAGCTATCCAGTGCCTCCAGGTTTTCGTTTGTCCTGAAATATTAAATGCATTTTTGTGATGCCAACTAGCTTCTACGTCTCTATAAAATTCATAACTTTATTGAACTGTTTAAAAATCCTCGCCGTGCTAAGGCACTAAGAATGTGAACGAAGAATACTCTTTTCAACAAATTCTCATCATGTTCTACAATTATATATCCAATTTATCAATAAAAAAAAAACGGCTAGGTTTAAAGCAAAAAAAAACATCCTTTCAATTTATAGTATACATAAGGTTAGGATTGTTTGTGGAAGAAAGTAAAATTGTGAATATTCATCAAATGTGAATTACAACTCATAAGCGAACAATGTGGTTTTTAATTAGATTGTCATCAGGTTTTGCTCTAATATACAATAATATTTATATGCATAAATGAAATTATTCAATCAATCAAGGCAATGAATAACAACAAAAGTACAAATTGATTAAATGATAACAGATGTACTGGTTATAATAGGAATAATAATAAAAGGCTGAAATCAATGTTACATAATAAGCAGTAGATTAAACAACTTGCAACACTAGACACTGGAATAACATTCATTAAAACCATAGATTACGTAATAAAAAGGTGTACATTTAAAGAAAACAATTTTGTGTAGGCAGTGAAGAAAAGTAAACGAACAGACAAGGAGTAAGAAAAATAATGATCATGTGCTTAAGAGATTAATAGTAATGTTAAACCAATAATAAAAATAATAGTAAAAGTAATAATAATATCTGTGAATAAAGGTAATAAAGACGATTACGTTTGACCAAGTCAAATGCGATCATTCCACAGTTAAGAAAACTATTGGTTACTTGGGCCTGGGGTTGGTTATGGGGTTGAAGAAATTTCGTTTGCACACATAGCCTCAGCTTTTTAATCCGAACAGCTGTTGTTTCTGCCATTTGAAGAGTTTTGAATCAAACCGATTTTGGCAAAAAAATTACTGGTGAGAAGACATAATTGATCTGATCAATTACGTCTTCTTACTGTTCGACTGAAATTTATGAAAGGGACGAATTGTTTTAAAGAAAAATTACTAACCCGATCGCTCTACGAAATTTTTTGATAAATTTTTCGCCTCTAAATTGTATGTGTCTGGACAGGGATTTCTTATTCACTCTTTGTATTTCTTTTATTCTAACTTTTGTGAGTATCCGTCTTCATTGAGTGTATTACATAGGGTATCGAACATAAAGTATGTATTTGTCAACTTTTATACTGCATGAGTAAAAAGCTGAAGAAATATACTCTATCCAGATACTCTTCTCGCTCTAAATTCCTTCTTATTGACTCATTCTCTCGTTTTATTTAAAGAACATCTAAAAACGGTTTTCTGACTACAGTTTCTTGTTCCAATGTAAACTTAATGGTATGATGTACTTCAGTAAATTGCCTCAGCACCTCTAGTTATAATGTACGATCTTTAGAGAGGATAAACACGTCAACTATATATCGACAAGAAAATGACAATTTTCGAATAATCTGTTTCAGTGGACCGTTTGCCTGTTTCTAGGCTGAATTCTTCCAGTTTTCTGAAAACAATTTATTGAAGCCTACTTCTAATTGTGATAACCAATTATTACAATAAACTATTTAGTGATAATCTACTTTCCCCTCCTCCCCCCAGAAAGACAGCAAAATACAATTCAAATACATTAAAGTAATTAAAAATCAGATTATACAATCATCAGACAGTTGAGAGAAAAAAGATATTCTATGATAAATTGACAGAGTACAATAAAATGATCTCATACATGGTACAAGCCAAAACACTACACAGTTTTATGATAATGATAACATTTGTGATCTTTTTCTGTCGACATCAAATGTTAACAGTGCACTATACTATTTCATCTTTACCAGTAATATGGTCAAATTGTACGAAAAGATTGCAGCTCACATCATTTTTTGAAATCAAGCAAATACAACATCAAGTCAATCACTTACCAGAAAACATTTGGTTTCGGTTCTCCTTCAACTTCTACAGACAACACTAATTTTTGCCCATGAACAGCATAAATTATACGATCATCTCTCAAATTGATAAAACGTAATGGAATTCGTTCTGTTTGTAAACAATGAAAAGAATTATCAAATAATTTTTACAGTGAAAAGGATAGTAGACATTAATACAATATTATAACTTCGTTTTTAAAAAGAAAGTTCTATTAAGCAGCTAAACAATGATAAGAATTAATTATGTTGTGTTAATATAAATCTGTAAAATCATTTTAAAAAATATTGTAATTTACAGAGAAATATATGTACGGTGATCAAAGTTCTCTGACAGATTAGATTAAACAATTGTCGCACAGTAATGAGTACGGGCAAGTATGCACTGAAATAACTCACCCTTGTGAAGTATAGGCATACTTGAGACACTCATTACAGCTGTAGAGTCGATATGAAACATCATTGTTTATTACACTGTTAGCTCTCATGAAGTGTGATTGATTTAGGTTAAGTGATAACGTGAATTTCACTGCTGTTTATTGCTGCCACCTTTAGTCTTAAATGACCAACACTGCTCACAATCATTACAAAGAATTTTTTCAGTCTATGTATGGAGCTAAACAGGATGGGTTTGTGATCATTTATCTGTTCTGTAAACACTAATCTTTTGATTATAATCACTCATAGATATGATTGCCACTTTCATGGCCGTCTAGATATCAAACTAACCCATATCACATCAGACGTCACTTTGACGATTAGCTGAATGATTCTGTAGTTATTCACGAGATATCCTCTTAAAAGTTTCGTCAATAATTTGAAAGCGAAGCGGTTTCTATGTTTGGTTGTTTTGTATCCAATAGGATACACGTGAACCGAGCTCGAACTACAGCAGAGTCAGATTCTAGTTATGTGGTGCAGAACAAACAGCAGTTTTGTCCCAGCTGATAGCTATATAATTTATTTGTGTCAGAAACTTAGTAGATTATGGGGATCTTCATGCTTAAAGTTAGTGCTTGGTAAGAATAAACGGTTGTCTTAGCATAGTTGTAATAACCAGTTGTCGTTGTATATTTAGACGGTTAAAATTAGGACACACTGCTTAGTTTCAGACCCAAAAAAGTATCCAACTAAACAGAACTTCAGTTTTAAAGACATCTCAGTTGAATAAATCACGTTCAATAGATTTAATAAATGGCTTCTTGAACTTTCTATTGTTTAAATAACTGAACAAACATATTTAGCTTAGTAGATGAATACAATCAACAATAGCGTGTCCACAATATAATTCACTTATCCTCAAGTTAAATGAGAACTGACCATGATGCTTACTTAAAAACCAAACATGTTTACAATGTGAACTTGAAACTTGTGAAATACTACAAGAAAAGGTTTATCAAGGCAATTAGTATGAGCCTATATATTGAATACTGACCGGTTTACAAGAAATCCACACAAACCTCTGAGATCTGATGAGATGCTAGGCAGAATTAAGATGCAAAAAACATTTTATTACTGTTTTCTTGCAGTAACAATCAAATAAAGTTAAGGTCAACCAGTGAAAATAAAACGAAGATTAAATGAAAAAAAAACACTTTTCTATTACCAATCTTTATCGAATATACACTTACTGGCTTGAGGAATCAATGTAATTGGAGTGAGTGTGACAGCTGGCAAACTTTGTTTATCATCCAATTCAGCAAAAACACGGAACTGCCATTGTTGTTGTTCTAAATCAATTGATCTTATATGTCTTCTTCTAGTTGTCGATGATATACTACTACTAACACTAGTAGTAGTAGTAGGTGATTGACTGAATAAATTATCTAATTTTGTATAACTAATAAAATATTGTGTTGATTTTAATTCTGAGATGATTTTAGTCCAATTAGTGATTGGTTCACCAGAAAAATTGAAACCTCTTACTTCAATTCTGTAAAGTAATTTCTCATCTAAACGATTAGGCATTTCAGGTGATTTCCATGTTAAGAGAATACCTTCTTGAGTTCCATCAATTTTACTGATAGCATTAAATGATCTTGGTTGATCAATCCAGGATATTTTATTATCTTCAATCGAATCAAGATGCCCGAGAGTTGTAAATGGTTTTGAAAGTTGACAGTATTTTGTACTTCGAGTTTTAGTTGATTCTTCAATTCCAACTAAACGGAAATCATATGTTGTACCAGAAGATAATCCATGCACTTCGTAAGATGTATCGGAAGCGCGAACTCTTGCTATAGGTTCCCAAATACTTGGTTTATACTTATTAATGATACGTCGTTCTAAAATGAGATAATATGGATATAATGTTTCTTCATCTATTCTAAGAGAATTCCATCCTAGTAAAGCGGAAGTTGGACCAATATGCAGAACACGTAATCCATCTGGAACAATTCGACCAATATCAAATACTTCATCACTAGATAATCGTCTCTTCGGACTTCCAATAAGAGGTATACTTTCATATTGTAAACTATCCTCTGATGTATGAATCCATTCGGAGAGGAGACCATCATATGAAAGTGAATAGTTAGTATGTTTATCAGTGCTTGAAAATATATCAGCTGATGCTGAACGTATACGAAATCTAACTGTAGCTTGGTTAATCGGTAATACATAATCAGTAAGACGAGTTCGGCCAACTTCTAACCAGACTCTTCGATTTGGTGTTTGTTGTTCAATGATATATTCAATTTCATCATGTAATTTACGTCTATGCATAGTGTCAGTGTAATCTTTTAGTTGTACTGGTTGCCATCTTAAACGATAAACACCACCAGCGCCACCGATCGATTCCACATATAATGGACCCTTAGGTGGAGGAATGATCAATGATTCATAATCACTACCTTCATAACCGACTGTTTTTGGAACAGTATAAGCTTTGAATGTTTCTAAAGGTCGACCAAATAAATCATCTTTATACGGTATAACACGAAATCGATAAGAATGATCTGGTAGAAGACCGGTTACTGTAACACCATGGAATGGATGACGTATTTCAGTTGTATTAATTCGTGTAATTGTTCTCCAACCAGCTGGTTCTGTTAAATCATATAAATCTAGTATATATCCTGTTAATGGTTCATCAACTGGTTGCCAATGTAAACAAACTGACGATGAAAGTGAAGATAGATTTGATGTAGGTTTCACTGTTAAATCACCAGTTAATTTGGGTACAGTAACTGGAGCAAAAAAAAAAGAAAAGGAATTTTGTCATTTAGTAGATTGATAAACCAGTTTTCAAGTTTTAGTAAATTGAAAAAATCAACCTCCATTGAAAAGTTGTGTGTTATCCGTTTGAAATTATTACTTTTATGCATTAGTGTATATTCATAATCATTATTGAAAATTGAACTCAACGTATTTTGTATTGTGTATTAGTTCAGGTTTATAATATATGGTTCTTGTTCAAAAATACGCTGGATAGTTCAGTGATGTTACATGTAGTCAAGTAGACTGATCCTAACACTACTAGCAGTCTGAACAGTTCAATTCTGTATTTCTCATTATATAATAGTTATTTAATTGATTATTTTAAACGATTGATGCATTGTAACAATTTAAACTTTTCGATGAACTATTATACTGTAAGATTGATAATTGATTTCAAATTAGTTTAGATAAAATTATTTTCTTGTTCATGTCAGTCAGTCGGCTACAACGAAGAACTTGTTTTGTACGTATATCAGTTTAAGTTTCTATATCACATTAGCACACAGAGATCAAATTGTTCATTCAATTCTGGTAGTAGTAGTAGTAGTAGTATAGGCAGTAGAAGTATGAGCAGTAATCGAAAAGATTAGGGTTCGAATAAATCATCCAAGAAGGATAATCCAGTGAAATAAACTTTAAATGAAACAAAAGATCATGAGGAATTCAGAAGATTAGGATTTCAGAGATGACAAGCAGTGGATGCACCTACGCCACTGCAGACGATTGTGAACCATGTCAATCGAAGTCTCTAACCATCAGTTACTATTGTCTCGCGGACCTCAACCAGGTAGTCTACACTTAGCAAGATGGCTCAGTTCAGTTGTTAATGACTTCATGGATTTGTGCCATGTTTTGGTATGGCCGCCCCTAGTTTTCTTCCAACCTACTCACGTAAACGTGTAATAGAGTTAACTGCTAGAAATCGATGACTTGATTTTCAACTAATAAATTCGATGATATTCCATACTTTTCCACATATTTTGTCTAACTTACACACAGCAATGACAGTGAATACTTCTGATATAATTTATATACTCAAAGATCATTTATGTAGAAAATTATACTAAAATGCTTATGTAAACTTACTTGCTTTACTTGGTATTTCAAATATTTCCGAATGGATTGCTTCACTAAGGACACTTGAATCAATTGAAGTTCGACTAGTTCTTCCAAGCCTTGATGGTGTTATAGAACGTGCTGAACTAGGGATTTGTCCATAGGACATTATACGAAATAGATATTTAGTATCAGGTTGTAAATCAGTTGCTTGATAAGATGTTTCCCAAGCATTTAATAGAGATAAACGTTTCCAAGTAGTCGGTTCATTCGATGTAGATGGCAATGTACAATATTCTAATACATATCCGGTTGGAGGACAACGTAATGACAGACTGCTTCGTCTACCTGAGAATGATACTGTTGATGGTGGAAGCCATGTTAATAAAGCACCTTTAGTACTGCCGGTTAATAGTGACACTCTAAGATGAGCAGGTGGAGCTGGTATTGCTGTTTATGCAATAGAAAAGGATTTATTGTGAATACATTATTTCAGAAAATAGTTACTTTTAATAAACAACACTTTACATTGTCAAGTCACAGTTAATATTATAACATAAAATGTTAATTTTATCTCTAATTACTAGATCAGATGTGAAGAAACGTTATCAAATGAACTGTGCACAACTTTTCAGTAGATTGCTATAATTATTAATTGCTTGGCTTATTATCGGGTGTAATATTGACCATAGATTTGAGATCTCAATTTCTACATGCAAAGGTTTATGATTGAATAAATTTGTTTAAAAATGTAATTAGATGTTAAATATAAACAATTTTCTTACAAACTGTTTCAAATCATGAAATGTATAGAGCTATCAATAACAAATGGAATCCAATCAATTATTGATGGCTGTATTGTTTTTGATCAGGTCAATGTCGAACTACAAATCGATTACTTCCATCTAGTGATCATGACTAGCTGCTTCAATATAAAATGAAATGAAACATTCATCATGTCAAAACCTTCATACAATTCGTTTGAAATGTTAAAGCATCATGAAAATCTACTCTAGGGCTTTGAATTTTAACAACTATGTTATTGAACAGGCTTTGACAAGATACTTTTTTGAATCCATACAAATAATTTTGGGTAGACTTCAAAGTAATCAGTTGAATGAGTAACATTTTATTTAGTCAGTTAACTTTGACTATGATAACTTTAAACAACCAAATAAATCAACCACAATCTTCTTTTGTTTCATGAAAAGTAAGCATGAATCATCCAAGTTTGCGTTCTTGATTATTTGTTACAATTTTTAAATATTTCGATAATACTGTATTTGTATGTTGTTGTTACGACTCCATCAACAGCAACCTAGTGTAGGAGAGAACAAACTAGATTCCTTTAGCGGAGGTAGAAATCGGGGAGGAGAGCTAGAAGTGGATGGGACAAACATTGAGGAAAACACCCAACTGCGTCATATGGTAAGCCCTTATTAGGAATCTTCAAGGCCAAAAGAAAAGAGGAATTCCAAAGAACATATTACACCGAGCATTGGAGACAGACAGGAGAAGGATCAACAGCAGTTGGACTGAACTAGAAAGGAAGGCCCAGGACAGAGTGGATTAGAGAATGCTGGTCGGCGACCTATGGCTCTATTAGGGGTAACACATGTCAGTAAGCAAAAAAGTATTGTTGTTATAAGGAATTCAATCGATTGTCATGAGAGACATAAATGCTGAAAACATAAATAAAGTATGCTATATAAAAATGTATACACAACATATTCATTTGACTAGTTCTCATGGAATTTGGAATTGGTTCAACTATGAGTAATAGTGGAGCTTATTTTTGCACTTACGTTTCATTCTCTAAAGTTCGGTGATAAAATCTATGATCAAATAATCGTCCATTAATCTACTCAAAAACATTTTATTCTAATAAGAAGATGGCTTACTTTTCTTTTCTATATCCAACTGTGGCAAAAAAACAGGTTGCGGAAGAATCACTGGTTCACTTAGACCATCTCTTGTTTCTGTTAGAACGCGGAAATGATAAGTTTGTCCGAGTGGTAGGCGATTCACGCTTATTTCATACCTACCCGGTACAGATTCAGCACTGATAGCAGCTGGTTGTCGTGCTACAGGCCACCATTCTTGTTTATCAGGACGCCATGATTCTACGATGAAATCTGCAGTGGAGCGTAAGGTGGGAGACATGCCCACTGGAGGATGCCATGATAGTGTTACGCTTCCCAATTTGTTTTCGATACGTTCACCAGCTGACTCGGTAGACACATCAACCAAATGGAAACGCTCAGGAGAAGGTATTATTGGCTGAGGAACAGATGGAACCATACATTGCATTGAGATGGGTCCTGGCAAGCTTACTGTCCTGTAATCACCAGCTTGTAAATGGGAAGGACTCCAGCTGACTATATCTGATTCTATGAATCTCCCAACACCAAAATGACTCCTTGGGGCTACACGAAACTGGTAGCCTTCGAATATTGGTCTTTCTTCTTGTTTGTAAACTGAGCCCACACTAGACCGTGGTCGATGGGGTATTTTTTCGATTTTAGGGTGATAAGTGAATGTTTCTTGACCGTATGGTATGTTGGCTAATGTCTGCCATCCCATATCTTCAGCTTTTCTGACTTGAACAAGGTAACTTATATCTGATGCTACAGGAGGGGTTATTAGTCGACCATCAGTAGATAGCAAACTTTGTCGTCTGTATTCTGGAGCTACAGGGGGCCAGCGTAATTCAATCTGAGGTAATTGGGATTCCGATAGCATTGGGAGCAGACGCGTTTCAAGGCGACCAGAACTTAACCGTGGATACTCAAACCCAGGTGTAGATTCATAAGCTGAACGACTAGGTGGTTCGATTCTTGTTACAAGAGGTGCACTTAATCCAAACTCGTTTTCACCCCTTATTCGATAAAGAAGAGTAGGGGGTACGTGGTAAGCACTTGACGTAATTGGAGTCTCTATCGACCCTCTTCTATATGATGTTGGCAAAATTCGGACATCAGCCGATGTTACTGTGCCAGGAACACGGCCCACTTCGATCCAAGGAGCATCTGGCCTACTAGCTTCAGTAGCTTCGATGACGTATGCGGACGGCATCGACGGTGACTCATCTAATTTGTAAGAACTCTTTTGAGGATGCTGCCATTCTAGATGAAGACCTGAATCAAAGGGAAGAAATTCTGATCGTAGGGGTCCAACTGGTGCAGAGGGTGGCAATGGTCGGTAACTAGCACGTGAAGAAGGTCTACTGAGTTGATCTATCATTGCTGTTTCAGAATCCAGTGGTCTTAAAGTTTCTAATGGACTGCTTGCACCCATTCGGTTGACTGCTCGAACACGATAAAAATAAGGCTGAACGTTAGTTAGAGTACCTGGAAACGGAATCACAGCTGAAGTCGTCTCTCCTGAAACAGATAGTACGGGTATCCATTCATTTGATGTACTTCTCACCGGACCTCCACGACGTTCTATCACATATTCTGTGACAGGTAAACCACCTGTGTCCAGGGGAGCATGCCACTTAAGTTGAATACTTTTTGAGTCTAAATGTGTGCTTGTACGTCTTGGGAATGACAGAGGAGATTCAATCCTTTCCAGACTAGATGATGGTCGTCTTGAATATATTGGAGAATAGGTAGGCAATATATCAATCATTAATGGCCCTCTGGGTTTTGAAGGTACATCTGTTAACAAAGATACAATATCACAGAAGGAGATTTGATTAATTACTGTTGTTTTTTATTATTTTCTAACAAATTTATGTATGGAAAAAATGACTTGTTGCCATAGTTTAACTGACAGACACGCTAATCACGGAAGTTTAAATCTGATGATCTTAAGCATTAAATCAACGATGAAATGACTTATTTACTTCCAGCCATTTGTAATGAACTATTAGATGAGTTTCATAATGTCATCGAAAGACTTATTTAGAAAGAAAGGTAATTTTGAAGTGATTAATTTGCTATGATAATATTTTTTGTCATAGTCATTTATCCTTACAGTATGAGTAGTCTGTGAAGATTATTGAAATCAATCCGTGATACAAAATATAAAATATGCTACAGTTGACACCACCATTCCTTATATTAACCAACTAACAATAATCATGTGATAATTCTAAGAGGTGCAGTGAGAAGCAATGGCTAATGAAGTTTAGATGTGTCGAGTGTGAGAAAAATGTTAACAGAAAGCAAAAGTAGACGGTTGCTGTTCGAAGATGACTACAAGATATCTATCGTTTGTTTCACGTAATCTTAAAGGGTATTATGAAGTTATATTTCAATCTTTTGTTTGACGTTATCTTGATTCAAGTGACTGTGTGCGCGATTCGGAAGTGATTTTTATCACAAACTAATCTGATTTGCAAAAAAAAAGCAACACATTAGAGAACGTTGATCATTGAGAAGCTGTGTTCATTCTAGTTCAGAACTCATTGACAGTACTCAATCATGATACAACACAGGATTGAACAAGAAAGCCTCAGGCTTCAGATAAAATTTGGATAATCAATAATCCATGGAGTTGTAATTTGGTAGTTCATTTACTTAACTTCAATCCACTTATATAAAGTCCTTAAAAAGCCACTTGGATGAATGACCATGATGTAGTCACCAATAACTGAGGTTTAAATGGATTTTTTGAAGTTTGCTTCATAAGCAGTGACCTAAATTGCGAGTGAGGTAGTTAATTATGGATTTTAATAATTAGGGATCGATTTATAAACCTTTTATTTTAACCAATTTGATTTCTGGTAATTTATTTTTGAAAACTGTAATCAGTACTATTCGATTCAAATCCTCTGTTGGAATGTGATCTGACAAAGTGTATTTTGATAGAACAGTGAGAAGATGTAATTGATCTGAAAAATTTATTTTGTTTTAGACATAAGTCCATTGAAAAATGAGTATTTCTGAAATTAGTGTAACAATCCCATTTACTGCCCATCAATTTCCTATAATTTTTTTAATGATGATCATATGTAGTGAAAAACATTTTTTAGTTTATTTGTATGTCCGGGACTAATATTTTGAATGATACCAATTAACTAAAGAAGCTGATACAAACTAGTTTGTATATAAAACTAAAAGTGCAAACAAATTATATGAAACACAAATCTTACCGTAAGGAGGAATGAACTGATACAATAAGGTATCAGTTATAGGAATCGATGGGGCTAAATGACTTGATCGAGTAGCTACACGTAATTCAACACGTTCACCTGGTTTAAGATTATCCAGTCTATATTCTACTGGACTTGAAATCGGTAGCGTCCCCTCCATCAAATCCAGATATTTTGGTATTCCAATAGGTTTCCAGTCCATTTCATTTGGACGTCTCATTTCTAATCGATAGTCCGAAATTCCTTTGTGAGGTAATTTACCAATTAACGCTTCTGTAGGTTTCCATTGAACTCGTATTGCATCCGGTCCCTCTGGTAAAACAGTCAGTGGCTCAGCTGAAATGAATGGTAAAGAGCTTCTTGAGGAGAATCTCCGTGGGCTTGCAGGTTCCGATAACTTTATTGTATCTAAAGTAGACATAATTGGTCCGATTTGGTCACCGCGAACAGGAGCCACACCAATATATATATCTCGACCTTGTGGTAGTAAAGATGATCGAATATGAGTATTAGTGATATTGCTAGGAATAGTTTGGATTTCTTTCCAATCAGAATGGCCCAACTCCCTAGTCAAAACTAAATAAGAATCTGGAAAGCTTTCTAAACCACGTTTTTCCACTGATTTTACACTGGGTGGGCGCCATGCTACTGCTACTTCTTCAGGACTGTCTTTTTCAGCGGTGTATTTGAAAACACTGGCACGAACATCTAAAGGAGCCCGTAGACCAAATTCATCTTTCTCTATTTTGTAAGGTTTAGGTTCGTAAGACGATGACGTAAATATACTTTTTGGAACGGACAAGACTTCTTCAATTGTTTCAGAGTACGAACGTTCAGCCATTCCAGGTATATAATCACCAACAGAACGGACACCAACATGTACAGTTGGTGGAAAATCACTTAGCAATGAACTTGGTATTTTTAAACTTGTCTCGTATAAATCTGTTTTACCTATAGGTTGCCATTTCATTTCATATGGCGTACGACAAACCACTTCGTATCCAGAAATATTAGATGTATCATAAGGAGGCTTCCAATGCAATATTAAATCTTCCGGCGTGACATCTTTATCTCTCTGAGGTCTTTCATAATACAAGGAAGACCTGGGTCTGGTTTCTATTCGAATTGGTCCTCTCGGAGGTGGTAAGTGCAGTGGTAGCTCGTAGTAGTCAAGAGCTGAATGCCTATCAAAGGTGGGTTTAGAAATTGAAGAAGGACTTCTAAGTTCGGGCCTTAAATATATTGGTTCACTTACTCCGAATTCATTTTCGGAATACAAACGAAATTCATAGTCTTTTGGTTCTCCTGGTAACATTGATGCAGACGTATGGCTTTTGGAAAAGAGTTGTGGTAAGCTAATATCCCGTTTTTCAGGATAGTCGGTAAGAGCTGAGGCTGGACGAGAGAGAGGTTGGGTCGGAATCCGATAATCGCCAGTTTGAGGACCGAATACAATATTCCAATGTCTGTCGCTTGTAGCAGGTAGTCGACCGAGTAAAGCCCAGTTTTCTAGACCTCTTCTTCTAGCTTCAACAACATAACCTCTAACTGGACCTACATCATCCATTAGGAAGCTAGGTTGACTCCAGCATAATTCCATCACACGATTAGCAGTCTCTGTTACTTCTTTTAACTTTGATACAGTTTGATGAGTCTGAAGTTGCTTTATTTCTAATGGGCCTCCAGGAGCTGGCGGTGGCAACGCTTTAGTATCTTTTTCTTTAGCTAAATTTGGTCGGATGTGAGTGTTTAGGCATAATGGTTCACTTAATCCAGTGACATTTTGCGATCTTATTCTAAAACCATACTCCACATCATCAAGTAAGTGCGTAATTTCAATTTCATACACATCATAAGGAACTTTTTTAAATGGAATCCATTGTTTAGATTGTGAACTCCATTTTTCAATGACATAAAAATCTACAGGTGATGATGAAACTGACGATGGAGGTTTCCATGATAAGATACAACTGGAATATTCTTTATTAAAATGATCTGTTAAAACAGCTCGGAAATCACTAGGTGGTAAAGGTAATGAAGGTAGACCAGGTGTTTCACGATGTAATGGTACAGTTGAAGTAACTGGTAATGAATCACCAATACGATTAAATGCTGTAATTGTAATCCTATAAACATGAAAAGCTTCTAAAGAGTCAATTTTAGCTGTTAAAAACTTTGGAGAAACAATTATCTCTTGATCATCACCAGTATCAGCATCATAAATTAGTAAACGATAACCAAGTATATCAGAACCACCATCATTACTAGGTTTCATCCAGTTAATTTGAATTGTACGTTGATCTATCTTATGTAAACCGAAAGCAGCAGAAATTTCTACACCCCAAACAGAAGAAGGAACTGTAGCATGTTGAGATCTTGGATAAAGAGGTTTAGCCATTTGGTATGGTGTCCCAATCGATTCTGCATCACGGCCTAAAGGAACAACACGGAACCACCATCCATTTTCATCAGTCGATCGAAGACCAGTTACAGTATAATCTGTAACTTTAGATGGAGCCTTAGCTACAGAAACCCATTTAAAATGAGCAGGTTCCCACTTCTGAATGTCATAAGAGGCTATTTTATCTGAAGCTAACAATCCACTTGGTTCAGGCCATATGAGATGAACAGATGTTGGACCTACTATTTCTCCCCTTAGTTGATCTGAAATAAGAAAGCCGGCTGGGGATGAAATACGTGATAGGCCAGTCAACCTTCCAGTTGAATATAATGAACTTTCTGTGAGATCTCGGTCCAGTTTTCCCTTTTCAAATGAACTAAGTCTTCCTAAGGATGATGGCGTAATCATGCGTTGAGTCATATCTTGAACCATCTGACGCCTAGAACGAATAAACTCATTTACTTCATCAGAACCAGTTTCGACTCCCGTAATCATGGCCAGCTCCAAATCAAAGTCTTCATCAATATCTGCTCGTGGCTCAGTTTTATCACGAGATACCGTGGAAATCGGACGACCTGATGTACTTGGTAGTGTTGTCCATGATCTAGATGGAGGCCTAGATGAGGTCAACTCGACTGGACTCCGATGTAGTCCGAATTCTGTGGGGATAGACTTTCCAATTTTTCCATGGCTGATAATTCTCATCTTATAATCCTTGTCAGGTGCATATGGTGCAGCCAACGATAACTGTCGAGGCGCACTTACTGGGATCTCCATTAATGGTTCCCACCTCTGTTTCTTTGAATCCCAATCTTCTAATGTATATCCTCTAATATCTTCAGCACCTTGACCTTCTGGAGCCTCCCATTCAAGCTCATAACCAAGCTTGCTATCAGATCTGAGCAAAACAGATGGAACAGGAGGTATGTAGATAGCAGGTGTCTTCGAATCTGGTCGTCCTATTGTTGGTGGACTAGCTAACACAACACCCGTTTCAACTGGTTGACTGGCACCTTCATTGTATACAGTAGATACTCGAAACTTATAACTATTATTATGACTTGGTGAAACGGATTGGTGAATATAACTTGTTTGTGTTTGATCATTGATGGGAACAAAATCAATTGATTCCCATTTCCCATTTCGAGATTCTATATCCAGTCGTTCCACTTGAAAACCAATTGGCTTTGGTTCATGTGCTATTAATGGAGTCCATTCCCATGAAACTTGTAATATGGGTTTCACTTGACTTTGGTTTTCAGCTTCATCAGGAGAAATACGACGACCCATTACAAGTTTCGGTGGAACTAAATTGATATTTTTTACATAACTATCATCAGCCGTAAGTGGTAAGCCAACCCCTTCCTTATTCACAGCTGATACACGGAAAAAGTACTCTTTATTTGGTTGTATATCCGTAATAATATTCGACGGTTGAAATTTATTTTCAGCTCCACAGGCAACAAGTTCGTTAGGTGAGGGATATGGTTTCCAGTTAAATGAACGTCCTTGACGTATTTCTAGTTGATAGCCAAGAACAGGCAATCCTCCTAATTCATATGGTGGTGACCAAGTCAATTCAAGTGTTCCAATACTACCAGGAACTTCACGCACACGTAATGGTCCTCTCGGTGGGCCTGGAACACCTATAAAATAAACAAAAGTCTAGTCACCACATGACCAATAGCTTTATAAAGTAATACTTATATTTCTGTAAATGATAACTAAGATTCTAGTTTCTAGTTATAAAGCAAAGCAAGTAGCTAATTAGTCTGATATTCGTTTAAAACCTATGAGGCTCAGTAGAAAAGAAAGCCTGAAAAACTCAAATTTATCTTTCGAAGTTATGATAATCCATTCAAATCTCACACTGATAACATACAAATTTAATTAGTTGGAGTTAGTAGACACGAGAGCCTGAAACTAGATTTTGTGCTTGTGAGAACTTTTCATCTCAGTGTACACCTGGGATTATGAGCGAACTAGCATTCCCTATGAGATCTGGACTTGCATCATCCGGCTTCAGTACCTACGAGTTTACTCTCAAGTTATTATCTTTGAGACTAACTTCCTGTATGACTGAAATATTTACATTGATTGATCATTGAATGCTGTCGAATATTATCTGTGTTTAGTGCTGGTCAAGCACTGTCGAAACCTGACTCCAGAATCTCTTGCCAGCTGCCTTCAAGTGTTAACTATTTGAACGTAGTGCGTGCAACATCGACTCAATTAGACTAGTGGTTAAATTGCTACTTAATTGAATTCGATCAATAAGACTGTGGAGATGTTATCTCAGAGTACTGCTACACTTATATAAGTGCTCGCAAGAAATAATTGTAATGATATTAACCTAGTTATACACTTGTATCCGTTTCATGTGTTGTTTTCTTGGAATATGATCTTAATTGTTAAGTGAGTTAAATGAAACAGAACTCATCAACTTTTTATCATACAATATTATTTTTTGTAATTCATTGGTTTATTGTAAATTAACGGTTCACTTGTGAGTATATAGTTGTGGAAATTATTGAGCTTCATTGAAATCATGGATGAATCTATGTTCCATGTTTTCAATGGTCTCACATTGATCGGTTCCTGATCTCAGTGGTTCTCTTATTGGTTGATACATTTGTTATGTATCAAGGTCATTACTAGACTGGTCATTTTATGTTTGTCTATGCTACGAATTTGTAAGGGAGCCCCGGAAGAAAGTTCAGAAGAGTCTGTAGAGGCTCAGAAACACCAGGAAACATTTCCTCAACTCATCACTGAACAGAATCTACGTAGGAACGTCTGGAAAATGCAGAACCACGTGCCAGGATTCTGATTGGATATTTAGCCATAGCGATACTGTATTTAGTATGATTATTTAACCTTTGAGAAGTCTAAGGTCATGTGTACCTCTGTGAATACCCTCATCTTTCTGTACATAAACTAATCTTGGAGTAAAGCATCCTTCTCGTAGTTTGCACCATTTCCTATACGATTAATTTGCGGCGTAGTTACTCTGGGGTTATGATAAATTCAGATCCTTCGTTCATTTAGAAGACTATCAAAGTTGTTTCTAGGTTCATCACCCTAATGTATGTTTCTTAACTTGTTAATTACTATTTATTGTGGGACTGTTTATTATTTATATGTATTTGTACATAAAAACATTCCAGGAGTCTAAGAGTTTGCTGACCTTAATCGAACTTGGGCACGTACGTTAGTTTTATTGAATCTAATAAGTAAACCTGATTTTGATTAAAAAAATTTACTACATATTATTAAAAACTTTACTTGTCTGTTTAGCTGGATGCACTTGTGCTTGTGTATCTAATGGTTCAGATAAACCATTCTTATTTTCAGCGACAACACGAAATTCATAAGCAGTCCCGTGCATTAAATATTGCACTTGAAATTGTAATTGTCTTGAACTAGTCAACCCAGCCAATTCAGTTATACGTCCAATTTCTTGCCAACTACGTCGATACATTTCACGTTTATATATTCTATAACCTAAAATCGGACTGCCACCATCACTTGCAGGACTTAACCATGATAATCGACAACTATTATCGGTTATATCAGACACTTCTAATGGTCCTATCGGTTGACTTGGTACAGCTGTAAAAGAAATTACAACAAACTAAATAAAAAGTTATAATAAATTTTGAAAAAAATTAATCACTTTGTGAAACAGTTCAGTTAGTCGTTTAATAGTTAAGAGACATAAAAGTTATCACAACATGACAGAAACATTTGTGAGAGTCTGTCAAATGGAATGTTTTGCAATTCAATGTTTGACGTGTTAGTGTGCACTTATACTAAGGTTTCTAGCCAGCACGGCAAGTCCCAGCTATTGGACAGATTAATTAATCCATTCTCCTTGAGTTACTATTATTCACACATCTTTCGACCTTGTCAATTAGTCGCCTGATTGGTTTTATTTGAATGCCCATATGAATAACGTGCTTCGCTTATCATATGTCTAGCTCACTTTGATCTGAATATGAAATAATTAGTCATTTCTTAGTAAATTGAATGAGCCTACTCACCTTCTCCTCTTCATCTCTTCACTTTTACACTTCACAATCTATTGTCTGTCTGCTTACGCGAATGTGTGAAATAAATCCATTCAAAATAGACCTAATTGTGCTTCTACTTACCGCTGTTGCACAAACGGGGTTCACCTAAGAATGATATACAGAAATGCGATGAAAAATTCATTTCATGGCATATTCAATTGTGTGTCTGAATCGGAGTCGGATTCCGAACTACTAAAAATGTCTTCAAATCAAGATTTGAGAACTGAATGTCAACAATATAAGACTATTAATTTTTGTAATCATCTTATCAATTTTCCTTATATGAATAATTGACAAGCCTAATAATTTAAATTAAATCCATCGGATTCTAGAATGAGTTATTAAATTATCATGAAAGTTGAAATCATTCAAGAACCAGTTGACAAGTTGTCTATATTTCTGTTTGTACAATAAACTTTTGTGACATACCACAAGATATTAGAACAAACATTTGATTGCGAATTTTCAATATTTTTTGTAATTAGTGCTATATATCTATCTATCTACTTGATCGTTATACCCCTGTTCAAAGTCTATAATGTAACACTAATATGCATTAGTGTAGCATTATGGATAGAAATTTTAACATGTCATCATTTTTATTTTGTGCACCGTTTCAATACATTCATCTGACAAAATATTTATTTTCTTTGCTAAACTTGTTAGGAATTAATGCAAATCGTGGAAAGAAAAAATGATCTAGTAGACGAATAACGTCTACAGTATTATTGTTCTTAACATGATCACCGCACTCGGAATGTCTGTTTAGTAGATAGATAAAACAAAGGTGGAAAATTGAGGTAAAACAGTTTTATGTATGTTTTGTTCACTACATTTTAGAGTACAGTGAATAGTTTAAAAAGTAATTCTTAATGAGGGATAAAAATGAATACTAACTTGTGATAGCTTCTGGACAAACAGGCTCTTTAGTAGAAATGATTTCACCTTGACCTGATTGATTCACAGCTGCCACGCCAAAATAATAAAACTGGTTTGATTTCAAATTCCCTACAACCAAACGATTAAGATAATGGTCTAAATCAGCAACTTTTTGCCATTGAGATGTAGCGCTTGGTTGAGATGTTGTTGCTGGCCGAACATATACACGAAAACCATCAATAGCTAAATGATGAGCTCGATTAGGTCCATGATCATGACGACAATCGTGAGGTACAAGCCATTCTACTGTAACACTGTCAGCAGATTTTCCAGCAATACGAACCCAATCTGCTTTGGGTTTACAGCCTGTTGAAAATGTGGTTATATATAAGAATGCAGATATTTACAAAAAAGGTTCAGTACTTTTAAAATTGAAAAACATCTAGAACCTATCAATCCACATCAATATCAGAATTTTCAATATGGACGTCGGGACAAGTTCTGTTGGATGGAGAGGAAACTTGGAGTACTTCGAAAGACACCATCCGAAAGATAATGGTATTAGTAAACAGTTGTTGACAAGATACCATCAACAACAATCTACTGTGGCAGAGAACAAACCAGCAGCTTCCACCTCAAGAATTAAGAAAAAGTGCTGGAGGTGGACAGGACACACATTACCGAAATCACTCAGCTGAGTCGTGAGGCAAGTCCTAACTTGGAATCTTCAAGGCCAAAACGGAAAGAGTTAGACAAAAGAACACACTGCGCCGAGAATTGGAGAGAGTTATGAAAAGAATGAATAGCACTTGGGAACAACTGGAAAAGTGAGCGTAGGACCTGGTCAGTTGGAGTATCCTATTCGATGGCCTACGCTTCACGAGGAGTAAAAGGCGTAAATTATTAAGTACGAAAATCCATAAATTTAATGGAAATGAACGTTTTTATAGCAATAAATGGACACATAAACAATACGGAGCCTGTCTCCCTTTTAAACTGTCACATCACTTGGAAAAAGACAACTTTATTATTAGTTGAGTAATGTCAAGAAAAGAAAATAAGTCAAAAAGTGAAGTATAAAATTACACTATCTTTTAAGAAGTGGAAGATACACAATGCGCATGTTTATGATATTGTCACTAGTTTTGTGCTATGTCATTTAAACATCGATAGTCCTACAAATAACGGTTATCTTGTAAGTTCCGAAACATTGAAACCTACACTTTCTAATGCCGCTTAAACCAACCTTATTTACGAATTCTAGCCATATTATTTTGGTCTGGTTGTAACCAGCTTTTTTCTCACTTATTTTTTAATCAGACGGCCTAGCATGACAAGATAGATGGAGAATGAAATGCGTAAAATGTGTCATTATCCTGTCAGTTGACAAAAATTACCTACCGATTTACCACTTTTAAAAAGTATTCTATGACTGACGTAGGCGATGTTCGCCCGGTAGTTTCAATGTTTTGAGGATATCCATGATAAAATTCCAGTGACCTATAAATTTTTAAATTCCACGAATATACAGTCCTTAAGAACACTGTGGTTCGAAACGTTTTCTTTTACGAAGATTCGTACAGACGATCAAACCAGTAGTCAAACATAAAAGGTATAGCAGATAAATTTTGAGAACAGTCTATTTTTCGAGGAGTATATAATCTAAGCTAAGAGATGTGTAACAGGACGTACCCAAACGTGATCTGGTTAAAATGCTTGAACGAATGACTTCAGCTATAGGGTTTGTCCAGTAAAAAATTATGAGCTTAGAACTAATGTCGAAGAGTTACAAAACTAATTGTCTCAGGGATTTATTTACCACCACAAGTGTTTTCTACATGCAAAAACAACGTTTTACGTCATTTAATTAATACAATTCATTATAAAACCATCAGATTGAAGGACAGGGACAATAAACGATCGAGTTAAATTATCGGCTGTGTAGACATCCAAATAAATACTAAAAAGAAATTTATACCAAGAAAAATACTTCCCTATCTAGAAGTCTAAAAACATAGTGTACTAACATTAGCAATAGTGATTGAATTAATGCTTCAGATAACTTTATACAAGCAAATTTTTTCAAACAACGAATCACTCCAACTTACTATCATCTTCGGGCATTTCGAATGTTTCAGATTCTAAAAATGCACCTGTCCCAACTTCATTAACAGCAGCCACTCGGAAAATGTAGCGTTGACCTTGCATTAAACCAGTTACAAGTGAAGAAGTAGCCAAATCTATTTTTCCAGTATCCAAGTTATCACTTATTTCATCTGTACTGATTGTTCGTTGAGGCCCTGTCACTCTATGCCAACCTGGGGTGTTAGCATAACGCATTTGTAACACATAACGAATAAGTGATAAGCCGCCTGTGTCTAAAGGAGGTCGCCAAGAAATACGAGCTGAACAGTCTGCTCGACTAGCACCCATTTGTACTTCTGAAATATTGATTGGACCTTCAGGTGGACCCGGTGGATTAAATGGACTAATGATTGTGATTGGACGATCAGATTCGAGAAAAGGACCTGATCCTGCCTTATTCTCAGCCCGTACACGAAACTGACATTCAGAACCCGGCTGCAAACTAGAGATCTAGACAAAATGAATTTATGATTAGATTAATACAGTCATGGGAATTTCCGATTTGAACTATACAATTATTAAATCGAATTATCACTTACTACTACACTTGTCTCAGTTGAAGCGCTTTGACGAGTTACGTAAGCCCATCGCGCTTTCTTCTGTTCATAGCGTTCAATTAAATATTCATCAGGAACTCCACAACCACCTTGACCACCAACAATTGGAGGTTTCCACTCCAATTTCACTTGACCGATCCCGATACATGTAGCTTTTAACGGACCAACTGGTCGATCAGGTGGAGTCATAGGCGCACCTGGTTTGTAGATTTCTGAATAAAGCGGCGGACCAACTTTATCGTCTTCATTACGAGCACTGACACGAAAACTATAAATACCATCTGCGATAAGATTTTCGATTCGTTTGTTCAATCCACGCACTTCACCAACTGGTTGCCAATGTTCTCCTGATCTATCGAGGCATACTTCGACTATGAAATCTTTAATTGGAGATCCACCATCATCTAATGGAGCGTTCCAGGTTAAACGAACCGCTCTATCTCCATCTGGTAACATTCGCAACGGTCCTTCAGGCGGTGATGGTTTTGTTACTGGACGTCGGAAAGATATAGATTTGTCTGTTTCTAGCCAGTCACCAGGCCCTTCATCATTAGCAGCTCGCACGCGAAATCGATAAGCGAATCCTTGCTGCAACCCACTGACCAGATAAGAAGTAGAATCAGCCGATACAGTGCCCAAAGGTATCCATCCAGCAGGATTACCAACATCTTTCATTTCAATATAATATCTTTTCACAGGAAGACCACCATTGTCTTCAGGTGGCAGCCACGTAAGTTTCAATGAAGAATCTGTAAGGTCTGAACAGACTAGAGGACCTTTGGGCGCATCAGGAACACCTTAGCCAAATAATTAAAAAGAATACATACTTTAATTGACTAAAACAGCTATCACTAATTTAACAAGATGTTGCTTGTAATAATCCATAAGATATGGAAAACTGTCCAAGACTTAGTACACTCAGCAGAACAGTAGTATGGTTACACTATTGTTACTTTTATTAAATATGCATTTTCACGTTTCAGACAAGATCTTATCACATTTGAAATCATCAATCAAACATTGTTAGACCACCGTTAGAAACTCGGAAGCACTGGACGGCCGTTTCGCTCTGGTATGGAACTCATCAGCAGTGCGCATCCACGACTCCTGTACCTCGCAGGATTCGAACCAGGGACCTTCGGTTTTGTGTGCGGACGCCTAGCCAACAGACCACTAGGCCGGCATCCAACGGTGGTTTCTAACGGTGGTCTAACAATGATCGATTGATGATTTCAAATGTGTAAAAACGCAAACCTCCAAAACTGTCCGAAAAGATCTCATCACACAACAGGATATGACTTAAAATGATCATTACTTAAGAGACCTTTTAGTGGCCCGGAATCTGACTCCGATTTAGACACACAATTGAATATGCCATGAAATGAATTTTCCATCGCATTTCTGTATATCATTCTTAGGCGAAAGATGTGTGAATAATAATAACTCAAGGAGAATGGATTAATCGGTACGTCGAAAGTTTGGGACAAACCACGTGGGCTTGACATACTGGTACGCACTATATTCAACTAAATAAAATCAACTGGGTGGTAGATGCCTGGTTTAATTTGAATAATTAGGGCAAGCTGAACTTTCCTATTGCCATACGTAACATCACTGATAATTCTTGTTTCTTGATTTAACGAAAGTCACACAAAGCATGGCTTCGTATGTTCCAATTATGGTCATACCATCTTAACAACACGTATGTCAACACTTTTTGTAGTAAGTCAGTCCACTATGTTTAAACGTTAGTAGACCGAAATACTTCGTTACTTAATATTTTTGTTAAAAATTACCATTCAGAATCAAATATCGCTGACAATACATATAAAATTCGATCATAGTAAGCTGCAGTCGGATATGAATGAGAACAGATAAGGAATAACTTTCGAGAAATCTCATTACCACAGTCACGTCGTTTCATATATTTGGATGAAACAGCGAAGAGGAGAATGTTTCGAGAGATGTTAGCTGACGTTGATTTCCAGCTGAAGAAGAGATAGTCAGACAGCTACCAGTTTATAAGAATCAAGCTTTATGTCATTTAATTATATGGAATAGTCATAGCAAGGAGAGAGATTATATTAAATATGTATGCAGAATGAAAAGGCTTCGTCAACAGTCGACGATACTCTCATCAACATGAAGGTACGCTTCTGCAAGTACGCTGCATATAATAAATTAGGTCTATCTATTAGTTGTGGATATCCGTCTTTCACCCGTGTTTGAATGATAGAGGTGGATCGTTCACCAAAGCCAGATGGTTGATGACTCATAGCCATGGTTTACTAAGTGTTGTTAATGAGCGAAGCCCATGATTTTACCGTTTGAAAAACATTTAAAACTAGCTCGTTTTCGTGTTATGATCAATTCTAAATGAAACTATTTTTTGTATTCATATAGATGCACATTAGTGTTGACACTTGTTCAACCCATTTTATCATGTATTTCCCCAAAATAACTATGAACAATAGTTATTGATTTTCCAGAATTTTGACTAGTTTTCTCATAGAGAGAACAGTAGTTAGTTGGAAATTGTGCTGATCCTATTAGTTGATTTTTATAGGCATTTGATTGGCAGTTAGATACACGTAACCGATGCTGATTTGATGAATATAATTCGAAACTACCGACTTCCGTTTCACTGTAAAGCCTTGATGAATTACTGATTATAATCATGGTTACTTCATTATAATGATTGCAGTCCTGTTACATTGTGGAGGCATGTAATGTCAAATACTATTTCATCTGATATGCGGTCGATAATGATGTCGTATTTATGGAATCAGGTCATCTGTTTTCTTACTAAGCTGAGAACTAGAAATAAATTACTGTATGTAAATAAACAATATAATTAATTTCCCAAGTCTATAGGACTAATGAACGAGTGGCTCGTACGTCTAGAAATTTCACCTTTAAATCTGTTTCAAACGAACGCAAACGTCTAATTGTCATTAAACACCGATCTAAATGCAAATCATCAACTAATATATGATAATTATAACATTTTTACGAATTTTTAAGGTTTCTGAGCGGCAACATATACGTGACCTTGAACTGGTAATAGTCTCTTTCCTATTTTCCGATCTGTTATGATAGACGATAATATTTATTTCAGTGGGGCTGAGAACGTGTTCTTCATCCGAGTTGATTAAACGTGAGAGTGGTTACATTTATTATAACCAACAACGACAACGCTTCGCTTATATCAATACACACCGACAATTATGGACACACATTTGACTGGAACAATGTGGAAATACTGGGTAGGGGAATGACAAAGGACACTAGGGAATTTTTAGAAGCTCGGCAGTCAGGTTAATCAGCCGTCAACAAACATATCGACAGTGACCCAACTTATCAACCAATCAGGAAAATCATAGGTGACATAGGATCAAGAAACAGATCAAAAGGGAGATACAATCAAAACAAAAGTGCAAAAGTCCCATACTAGGACGAAACGGCCGTCCAGTGCTTCCAGGTTTCTAGTGGTGGTCTAACAATGATTGATTGATGATTTCAAATGTGTAAAAGTGCAAACAACGACAGGTTTGAGGTCAACAGCAACCAATCAAGATCGAGGTTATCAGAACAAGCTAAAGGTCAAATGTGGAGAATTTCGAATGCTTCACTTCTATCTGAAGTTTGTGCTGATGATGTTGTTCAGAAGAAGAACAATTAAAGCTCCACAACCAAAACATCCAGCTCAGAGAATCAAACACCACCACCACAATCATCCACCTGAGCTACAAATCTTCTCCATCATCTCAACGATAGTTCTAATTTATTATAACCCCTTATTTAACTTGCCTAATACGTTTAGAAAATGCTTTTTAAATATAGGTAAATTGATATGAGAGTGAGTTTTATTAATTTCAACATCGTCAAGAAAATCTGTATCAGTAATTCCATATACGAGGCGGTTGGGACATGGTGTTACGCATACCCAACCACCGACTATCCCGAGGAGCAATGTCATCTGGTGTAGGGGTAGGCTGGAAGAAAGCTAGCAGCTGCCAAACCAAAACATGGCACAAATGCATGAAATCACTGACAACTGAATTGAGTCATGTTGGTAGGTGTAGACAACCTGGTTGCGGTTGATAAAGACCGATAATGATTATGAGAAAAATATATGAATAATTTAACTATCAATCAAAATAATAATTTTTTATTCATTTTTTTTCACTTACTATATGGTGATTTAATAACAAGTGGTTCTGAATAAGTTGGTTCACTGGATCCTACATCATTATATGAACTGACACGAAAAACATATTCAATTCCTGGTTTCAAATCCGGTATCCTTACAGATAATTTATCTGCACCAATCAAACGAATAGGATAATTGAATTGTTGTCGACGTTGACCTTCACGTCGTTCAACACAATAACCTAATACTGGTGAAGTTAGTTCTAATGATTCACCATCACGTAATGGTGAATGTCCCCAGGTTAATTCAACTGTTGCACCTTCAGAGTATTCTTTAGGACTTTCAACTACTGTAGCTAATAATGGAGATTTTGGTGGAAGCGGTTCAGTGAGAACAATTAAATGAATTAATTGACTATTTTCACCTGCTGTATTTGTTGCTTTTATACAATAAGTACCTGCATCCGATAGATTGATATTACGTAAATTCACATAGAAATCATCACCAAATTGTTCTATACGAGTTCGACCAAGTGCATTTCCAATTAATGGTTGTCCACTTGCTGTCAAGAGTTCTACATTAGCTTTTGAACCAGAATCAACACGTACACCGATACGTAAATTATTCCCTGGTCTTAAACGATATGTATTCTCACCAATAAGTTGTAGTTGAGGTGCATCTAGAACAGAAGATGAAAAATATGAAATTAATTGTTTCTTATATATATTACTCACAATTTCTAGAATTTTTAAAAATTGAATGCAAAACTATGTCAAGACATTGATAATATTGGATGTTTTATTGAACAAAGCTGATAGAAAGAATACAATTATACTAACCTTTAACAATAGTTTTTTTCGGACGACTGGCTTCTTTAAGGGCAATTACTTCTTGTACAATATCTATAGGTGATTTGTCATCTTTAGATAATTTAACAGTGTCATCTTTTTTACGTAATAATTCATCCACAGTTTCACGGGGTTCTATGAAAAGTTAGAATTTTTAAAATAATGAAAATAATGAACGCATGCTTGATATAGTTTGTTTTAAAATGTTAACTTAATTCCATAATTTGCATTATCAAGTTGTGAAGAATGTGGATTTTCATTGAAATCATCAATCAATCATTCTTAGACCATCAGTATAAACCTGGAAGCACTGGACAGACGTTTCATCATGGCATGGGACTCATCAGCAATGCACTGCTGCTACTAGCAGGATTCGAATCCAGGACACTTGATTTTGTGCGCGAACTTTTAACCTCTTGACTATTCAGCCTCCATCCAACGGTATTAGTGTCTAACTGTGATCAGTCTAAAGATTTTGCGTAACCTTATTCATCGTCTTCGGTAGTTACTGCCTACACCCAACAGGATTGAACTCCACTAGTCATGACTTCTCACCGGAACTCCGAGAATTTCCTCACGAAAATAGTCATCGCAAACATTAGAAACGCAGAAGCACCGAACGTTCGTTTTGTCTTAGTATGGGACTCATCACCAAGTTTCATGATTTCAATTAAAGGTATATCTCTTTAGCTTAAGCTATTATTAGTTATGTAAGTGATATGTTAATTCTCATATCGAATGATTAGTATTGGTCAAAGAAGTATTAGATATATTTAGTTTACAGGCTATGAAAATTGACTGATTATAGTAGAATTTATTTATGTATCCTTCTAAATAGACATTGCCTCTAACACATTTTCTTTTATCGTTTTTCAGTTCTTCATCCAGTTTATAACGAGTACAAATATTTCTTGTCCTTTAAAAGAGTGCTATGACAAATGCTTTTACAATTCACTCAGCCAATAGTTACGAAGGTTCGTACTATTATAAAATGTACACTTCTGAGGAGCACTATATAATAAGGAGCGAAATAAGGCCATCCAGAGATTTCAGATTTTCAATCAATGTCTAACTTGAATCAGCGCTTGATTAAAACTATATGAATTCTAAACTCTCCACAAATTCCTTTATACTAATAAAAAATTATTTTTCGAAAAAAAGGACACAATTAAATTGAATATAAATGAACTTACTTTTCACAACAGGCTCAATCCAATCAGATGGTTCAGATGGTTCACTAAATCCAACTGTATTACGGGCACGAACTCTGAATTGAACAAACATATCTGGATGTAAATCATCAACTTTTAAAGTAGTAAGAGATCGTATTAATTTTGGACTGGCTTGTGTCCATTTTGATGTATATTGACCTTTAGGATCTGGTGTTTCACGTAATTCAACCATATACCCTTGAATAGAATCGTTATCATTATTAATAGGTGGATGCCATTGAATTTTAGCTTCTCTTGGTGATGTACGTTCTGCTGTGACATGAACTGGAGGTAATGGTAAATCTAAACCGGAATAAAAAGAAAAGGAATCACGATATTTAAAAAAAATTCATTGTCAGTTTGATACTCTGTTATCGAACGTATAAATAGACATGTTCATTGTCATCCCATTAGTCTTGGATTCAGTTATTTAAAGGATATACATTCGTATATTGCATGAAACTAACTAATTATTTGAAGTGTATGTACTAACTCAACCCTCAACTGACAGTTTATGTCAGTGCAGTTTGTATTACTCACCGCCCTGTTGATGATAACTAGGTGCGAAACAACTGTTGCTGTCATGTAAAAACTGAAGTCATGATTGAATCCATTGTCGACTTAAACGAATAAACGATTTTTAGATGTAAATGAGCACCCTATCTTCTTACTGAACTGATATGGCTTTTGTAGTATCTTTTTTTCCGATCTATTCCTGATAGGATTTCAGGATAAACTGTAAATACTATCTCAATATAAATGACACCAGTTTATTAATATTCGGTTACTGTTTTAATCTTTCTCAGGAAGCAGAACAACTTATTCACTCACTTTTTAAATGGTCTTCAAGATGAATAACACCTATTCCTAATATTCTACAGGCTTTACAAGAAAGACGTCAATGAGTCACATTAAGGACACATACTAATCCATACGTATAAGTCAGTACGTTAAAGTCAATATAGTTAATGCACTTTGTTTCGTACTTCCCTACACTTGTCACTCCTTGAATCTGACTAAACGTATCAAGAATTTACAAATGTGTGATCAAATATAAAAATAGTTTAACTAATAAAAGCATATTGATCCATCGTAGATCCACATTGTAAAATGTGTTAAACATTTATAGCTTTATACACGATACAGTTAAATTTTTATAGTTAGATTGATATAATCTGGTTTTGTCAATGTCATTTCATATATTTTACCTGTATATGATTTCATCTGATAAGGTGATTCAATTTCTGTTGGATCACTTATACCAATTTCATTCTCTGCAAAAATACGAAAAGAATAAACTGTTCCAGGTAAACAGTTTTGAATGCGTAAATGATCATCATATGGTCCAGTTTGACCAGCATTACACCAATTTGTTTCACGTATTGATGGTGTTCGATCATCTGAAGTGATAGCAATCACTCGACGTTCAATTAGATAACGTGTTAATTTTGAGCCACCATCACTAGATGGTCTTTCCCATTTAACTTCAATCCAATCTTGACCACGAGCTTCAGTTACTTCAATAGACATTGGTGGTTGTGGACGATCATTTAAAATTAATTTTATTGCTGACTGTGCAGCTCCTACTTCATTTACTGAACTGCATCCATATTCACCAGCATCTGACAGTTGTAGATTACTGATAGTCAATGTGGAAACTTGAAGTTTAGGTCCACTTGAAATTCGACTTGTAGGTGTATCATTAATTATTACACGAGAAAATAATTCTGAATCTAGACTTGAATCCACTGGTTTACCATTGATAAACCATACTATAGATTCACAATCTGGAAAAGCTTCACATGTAGCTTTCAGTACTAAACAACCACCAACTCGACCAGTGAAATGATCGGATTTACTTGAAGCACCAGTTACATTATTTGATGCAGATTTATCTAATTCAAGTTGTAAAATAGGTTTTTGAGCTACAATTACACGACATGTTGTTTCAGCTTTACCAGATGGATTCTCTGCTACACAACTAAATAAACCAGCATCTTCTAATTTAGCACGATTTATTTTCAAATTAGCTTTACGTTCCCATGATGAACTTGTTGAATATTTGACTTGATTTCTTATTGGTTTACCATCTTTAAACCTAACAAAAAAAAAATATTATGAATAATGCTTTCTTTATATTCATTTATTTATATTGCAATAGATGTTGCTATTATGACTTTAAATAGACTAATGAATGATCAAAAATCATAAATAATGTACATAATTTAACTATGGAAATAGTAAGGAACTCTACTCTAATTGGATATAACGAGTGGTGTTGATCTGATTTGATTTTGACCAATTTGGTCTCTCGTGCTGTTACGGGTATGAGGGCGGTTGTCACTTCTCGGCTGCCCACACCGTGGAAGGTTGTTCCTTGAGGGACCTGAAAGGAAGGTAGATTAGTGTCGCTCTTAGAGACCTGGATGCGTGACCGCAGAGACTAGGGGACAACTGCATGAGGCCGGTCACGCATGGTCTTTTGATGAAAGGTTTTTTTAGTATTAGCTCCGCTCTTGAAAGCCCTTAGTGGGCACCCTTACCCAAGGAGACGGAAATCCGTGAGGTAGGGTGAGGTGTGACATGTTTAGGGTCGACCTTTTCTAACCCTTCCTTCCTTGTGAGAGGGCAGCATCGCTGCAGATGCTGGTTGTCCGAGGGAAACACCTTACTGCTGTCACACCCCTCTGCAGTCAGCAGTACGACTTCGCCCTCAGACCTTGAGTAGCTGCTTTTAGTCTCATCGTTTTCCAATCGACCTGCGTGGCATGGTAGAAAATTCAGGAACATATGTTCCAGCCAATACAGCTCTGTTGGGTCATCACGATAGGCAAACCCGACCACCACGTCAAGGTAGCAGCTACGGTCGGGGAGTGGTGCTGATATACTTTATTTATTCAATGTATTTTAAAACATATTTACTAACTATATGATCGAATTTATATACTGGCACTGAATTGGATACTCGAACAGCGCACTACACACAGAGACGAGATCACATCAAATCAGGTACATTATTCACAACCGAAATAGAGAACCAGAGTGAGCGACAGACAATACTTTATACTACACACAATTACAAACAGACACACAAAGTGAGTCCACAGTAAAAATCAATGAGAGGAAATGAAATTACATATTTAATAGTTAGTAGGCTGTGTCTGTTTGTCCATACTCGATGATCAATCCTATTTGCTCTACACTACAACATATCAGAATTGTGTTTGTTTCAAGGTTGGTTAAATATAAGTCAGATGACCCAATAAGACAGGATAATAAACACCCACCTTCCTTCATTATCAAACACAACTGAAAATAGGTCTTAAGACTGATCTGAACCTGGACTTTGTGATCCTATTTTAAAGTTGTACACGGTGAATACATGAATTAGTTAAAAAGGACATGAAATTTCAAACCTTTCACACTTGACAATACTGATTTATCATCCAATGGAAATCATATTACTCTTCTGATGATCTTTATTTTTTTTCTGTATTTTTGTCAGAGTGACCTTTCTTTTTAAATTATATGATTATTGAAACTACCATTAGAAACCTGGGAACACTAGGCAGCCGTCTTTTCCTGGTATACGACTCGTCAGCAGTGTGAATCTACGACTCCAGCTACTCGCACGACCCGAACCCTATCGGGTGTAGGCAGTAACTACCAAAGACAGTGGGTGAGGTTGTGCAAAATCCTTAGGTTGATCAGCGGTAGACATTAAAACCCTTGGATACCGGTCCAGTAGTCCAAAAATTAGCCGTTCGTGAGCAATAGTGAAGGTCCTGGGTTCGAATCCTACGAGCAGTTGGAGTCGAAGAAGCTCACGGCTGATGATTCCCATCCCAGGACGAAACACCCGTTTCTAACGGTGATCTAACAATGATTGACTCATGATTTCCATGACAAATAATCATATCCATAACTCTTTAACGAAAAAAACTAATATTTTGTCAAAGCTGTTAAATAAAATCTGCAGTGTATAGTTTTTTTGCATCATCAAAATTGATTAAGTTTACTGAAGTATATTTTATTGAAGATGAATGTGCAGAATTATTGCATTGTTATATTCACTTACCAAGTAACATCTCCTTTCGGTTCACCTAATTGAAAATCACAGTTCAATTCAACCGATTGACCAACTAATACAGTTACATTACTTAGAGGATTGACTAAGCACGGCTTAGATGATTCTAAAATCCAATAAATTTATTCAATAAATAGATTAGGATTAATAATAATAATAATAATGAATACATGATTAGTACACAACAAAATGTATCCTTGAATTTTGGTTCTGATGATGTTGTATAGAGAGAGAAAGAGAGAAATTCACGAATAATTTACGAACGAAGCAATCATCTTAACAGAGTGCTATAATTCCTCCGATAGGAATATCATAACAAAAAAATATTCCTTTTGATTATCAAGTGTTCCGTTTTGGAATTCGCAGCATTATACATACTTTCATATGTTGGACATTTTTGTTTGCTCATAAATTTAACGAAAATCTTCTACAAATAGTCCTTTCCTGAATCAACTAGCCCATAAATTTTTTAACCACACAATAAAGTCTAATAAATCCCCGTATTTTTAAATGAAAACGCGACGTATACTCCAGGTTCCGCTGCTAGACAATAACATCAAGGAAGTTTTATAAATGAAAATAAAATCAAATAATCGATAACTCAATCTTGAGAAACAAACATCTTATTTACATACCAATAGCTTTAGCTGGATTACACGATTCTGATGTATCTGACCATGGTCCTTGACCAGCTGAATTGATAGCTGCTACATGAAATTCATATTGTTCATCGGATTGTAAATGAGCTACAGTAAATTCTAGATCAACTGGCATTTCGCTAACTGTTTTCCATTCATTGGATGAAATAGTCTAGATGATAATATTTTAAAAATATAGAAATGTAAGAATAAAATGAATCAAACTAAATGTACTACACTGTTAGCATTTTTATGTTTTAACAGCTGAAATCCTAAAGTGATCTTTTTTAGACCACTGTTAAAAACCTAGAAGCATTGGATGTCTTAGTAAAGAGCACCTCAGCAGTATGTATGCAGTATGTATGTATGTAGGAACCGAACCCAGGACCTTCGGTCTGGCGCTTGAACGCTTGACCTCTAGATAACTGAGGTTGCATCCAGTGGTGCGAATATCTAGCTACAATTAATCCATGATCTTGAACAACCCTTAGTACTTTAGCTTAGGCAGTATCAAACTAGTTAAATGAGAAGAAGTGGAGTGTACTCCATAGCATAAGACAATCCTAATTCAACACAATTTCGATAATCAATACCAACTAGTATTTTGAAGGTTACAAAATATATTGCTAATTTCTTATTGAAATACTCATCGTAAAATTTGATAAGCAGTAATATACATTTCCATCTTAAAAAAGAATGTTATTGTGAATTAATTCATACTGTGGATAGTAGAAATTTGAAGTCTAGAAACTGAAATGAAATTGTCTTTTTAGTAAAAATTACTTTGTTTTTTTTCAATAATGTGTTATTTGTCATATTCACTAGTCAAAAACATGTTTCTTAAAACTTATCGATTATTATACAAAGAATGATTTAAAACAAATTGATATTCACCCAAGAGAATCTGTGCGTAAAAGATAAATAATGATGGTGAATATGTCACACATATGCAATGTATGACAATGCTAAAAGCCGAAACCTCTGCTTGTATAAGAATCTCGAAGTCAATCACACCAAAAATGAAGGACGATGGAATGTGAAGAGATATTTGAACAAAGGTCCAAAGAGATACGCCTCACGGGGTACCCAAACATGGTCTGATGCCCAGTAAAACTAATGATGTTCGCATCAATGTCGAAGGTTCATAATAAGCTATTCATCTTGGGGGCAGTTGAATATTTCGATAATAATATAAATTATTCGGTAATTCAAGCAATAAAAAATAAACAATCACTGTATAAAATAATGACAGCCAATTTAAAGATTTATTTGTCAGTATCTGTCAAAATCTACCAATGTACGAATGTGTTGTGGGTATTATGGATTAGTCTATGTTGTTGGCATCACTCATCAATAAAGATAGGAATTACGATAATATTTAAAACAATTAGTCCCTTTTGTAAATTTTGATAGAACAGTGAGAAGACGTAATTGATCTGAAATTATGTGATGTATTTGCGCTATACACTTCGAACAATGTGGTCACATATTTACTTGTCAAGACATTTTATATGGAGATTAATAATAGGTCAATTAAATAAAAGTTCAACTGGACATAAGGTGATAATTGTAAATGAAGGGCAGTGAAAATTAACGTAAAGTAGAAAGAATAAGAAAGGGTAGGAAAATTGTCACATTACTCTAGGCTTAAAGGTAAATTCAAGGTTATGACAAAATTGTTTCTGCACACATAAGGAGAGTTCTAATTTTCTAATAGCCAAGGCCTCCATCAATCTCAAAATTCGTCCTTCAACATTTCTATACAATGTTTTGAAGGCTGTCTTGATGTCAATCTTATGCCCTGTCTCAATTATGTGTTTTGCTGTCGATGAACATGGTTTTCTATTTCCAACGCTAATCGGCTCATCTGACGTTAACTGATTTTGAAGCCACTTAGGTACATGTTCCATAACCCTTGATTGCAAAGTCCGATTACTCCTCCCTATGTATGTGTGTCCACACAAACATGTAAATTGATAAATGCAATGGGATGTGATGTAATCATTCGAGCAACGTTTAGGTCTATGTGAAATCATGGGCTTGGTCTTTTCAATGATAATCAGTTTAGCAGCGTTGTATGTTTTCTCTATGGCTGCTTTTACTCTCTGTCTTCATATTAGACCATTTGTTTCATATCTAAATGTTAAAGTGATGTAAACACTTTTCTTCTCAGCAAAACAATAATATTGATGATTTTCTCTTGATATTGTAGGAGCATGTCTTATAGATGACAACAGAAACAAATAACCAGAATAGAGATGTTCTATAGTAAAATAAATCATGTGAAATAGGAAATTTCATAGGTCATTTGCCTAGAGTGAAAACTGACATCGAGAGTAAACTACATGTTGTTTTTATTGCATAAAAACGTTTAATACAAAATCGTACAGTTATGATTGAATTCGTTTTTTTTTCTTTTCACAAGTTTCTATATTCATCTGATACGTAATTATTACACATTCTAATAAAAACTAAAAATAGTTTCAACAACTATAAAGCTATATTCTTATACACAGCTGGAGGTTTCCTATGAGATCAGAGGTACATTATGAACATTGAGGTTGGTTTGGCATCACTTTGGAAAGTTTTGCTAATAGACTACATACGAAGTTGTTCGCAGTGTGACCAATTTCATTGATACTGGTGGTTGTCTTGCAGCATTCTCGAGGTTCATTGTGATTGGGGTGCCATATTAACTCCGCCTGCAGACCCTTCGGGGCTACTGCCGGTCCCAAGCCCGGATAGAGGAGGAGGGGGTTAGGCATGGGGTTGGCGCCCACATCCCAACTAAAAACTAACTTGCCGAAAAACGCTAACCAGAAGAAATAATTCAAACCATTTTAACTCTGCCCTGGGAGTTGGAAGAAGAATCATGACATCTCGTGATGAAAGCCGAGTTCCCTCGGAAGTCACGGGGCCGATGCCTCTTCTTACAACCAGAGCAACCATTAACTAGAAAGGGAAGCCCAGGACAGAGTTGGTTGGAGAAAACTAGTGGGCGGCCTATGCTCCATTGGAGGTAACAGTAAGTAATGGGTGCTGTATTGCATATCAAGATTGAGAATAATAATGAGTTTGATAGCTATGCAAGCGAGATGGGTCAAATTGGCATTTTCATGCTGTACATATTGATTGACATGATCATGGATCGGAAGTAAACACTATATGTATGTGTTGGTGTATATAAATGGTCTGAATAGTGCACCAGGGTGTCAGGTACCTGTATGGTTGTGCTACTACAGGATTGAGCTGTACTGTTCACGTTGAAGTGTTAATGCATGGGCAGTGTCTGGTTCTCCTGAAAACCAATGCAAATTTACCTTTGCCAATTGAAAGTACATTTATATGATTGTGTGAATAAGGAAAGTACTAAAAAATCTATGGCATAACTACAACTAGTCAATGGAATGCGATGAACATTCATTACTTCATCATTAAACATTATTTACATACATATAGAGCGTGTAAACAGAGCGAGAAAAAAAAGTCATTTAAACTTCAATAAATTCTATAGTTTAACTCACTTTATATTGAACAATATATTTCTTCACTGAATCTCCTCCATCATCGTATGGTGCTTTCCAAGTCAAACCAATAGTTGTTTCTGTGACAGTTTTAATTTCAGGTCTTGAAGGTTTACCAGGTACAGCTGAAAAAAAATAGATCACTAAAGTAATCATCGTGACAATAACAAGATAAATTCAAATGTAATTTTGTCATAAAAAAAAGTTATCAGTTATGGCTTTTATTATAATTTGTTATGTTCTAACGAAATCATGAAGCATTCATTGTTAGACAACCATCAGGAACTTAGAACCACTTGATGGCTTTCTTGTCCTGGTATGGGGCTCTTCAGTAGTGCTCATCAATGAGCCGCTGGGACCCAAACCAGGACCTTAGGCCTTGCGCGCCAATGCTTAACATCTAAAACACTGACCCGTCATCCAACGCTGTTAATGTCTAACTTTGATCGATCTAAGAATTTTGGACCGCCTCACCCATTATTTTCCGTAGTTACTGTCTACAGGGTTAGACTCCACTGGTCGCGATTTCTCACTAGAACTGCGAGAATTTCCTTACGAACCTAGTCACGAGTGAATACTTGGTGAATTGTTTGAAGTAAGACTGTGATAACACTGTAATAACACCAGCTTAGTGATTTAAATGTTAGTCATTCACGCATGAGACCGACGGTCCTGGGTTTGATTCCTATAAGCAGGGATCATAGACGAGCACTTCTTAAGAGTTCCGCACCAGGACGAAACAACCATTCCGTGCTTGTGAGTCTAACAATGACTGCTTCATAATTTCAATGGAAAATAGCAATCCCCATAACAGTACAATGAACAATTTATCATGATAAGATTGTTTCATTCACAGTTATACGTCTTTAATGATAGTAGCAATAATAATAATAATAATTATTATTATAACCGTATTGGTTAAATATCGAGTTATAAGTTATTTTTCTATTCTTTTTATAGCTTTTGAAAACTGTCTCTTGTTTATATTATAAATGTTTGTAATTTATTGAATACATTTTGAGGCTATTTGTTGTTGTTGTTGTTGTTGTTGAGATAATAAAAAATATTCACCTAAATATATATTTTTTGTAAATAATCAACTTTCATAAAGTTTTCAATATTAAAACACCATTAAAATCATTTCAGTGTCATTCAATAGTATGTAATATACATTCATTATACGTTTGTATCAAAATTTTTTTTTAATTTACGGCCACCAATGTTCCATAGAGGTTTTAGTATGGTCATTAAAAAAAAACTAGTCAGTTATGAAATTAGCCAATGTGGTTTTTACGATTTGTAAATTGATAAGTGGTTTTGCTAAATTTTGTTTCTTGAAGTTTCATACATTTATTTCTGCTTTATTTCTTCCAGTAACACCATCGATCAAGGATGAGTTATCATCAATGTTGAGCTGAGAAATATAGATACATCTTCCTAATGGCTTCTGTAGAGATTGATCGTATTGATCGCACTCAGAAGATCTTATTCTTGCCATAGAGAAAACACTCTCATGGTTGCTTGACTAAAAGAATTATCAAATCTATTGGTAACATCATTTTTTTTATAAGTTGTTAGCTATGTTGATAGACAGATTCTATTATATTAAAGAAAACAGTAAATATTACAAATGGATACTTACAGAATGGTAGTTGAGTTGAAATTCTGTGACTTGAATTCGAATATTCCCCAACCATAAAATCAGCATTTTCAGCTGCTACACGAAATTCATAGACGTTATCTGGTACAAGCCCGGTTACTTTTGTCACATAGGTAGATTTAACTTCATTCACCAAAATAGGCAATTTATCCGCACAAGCTCTAACCCAATTACCTTTAAGATTTGCTCTTTTCTCTAAATGATAAAATGTCAATCGAGCACCACCATCTGAACTAGGTGGTTCCCATTTGACTCGACATGAATCTGTGCCAATATCACTTGCTTCTGGTGTGCCTGGAGCTGATGGAGGTTCTAAATATAATATTATAATCAGATAGAATTCAAATGATTATTAACAAGAAGAAATTCACCTCACAGAATTATTATTTCATAAATAATTCTTTATACTGTTAAAGAGTCTCTACATATTTGTCATTTATTTGACTGAAATTTAAAATTACTAAAAAATTTAATACACTGTCATATAGATCAAATACAAGGAATATTATAAACATTTCAAAAACTACATTGATCGTGTAAAATATTTCAATCAGTTGAATCCAACTGCACATGCTAGCTGCACAAATTTACACAATCTCATCTCTTACTCGGAAATCCTCAACTACTATTAGAATACTACTCAGACAACATATTCATATCGGGTGAAAATGTCAACTAGAAATACTTTTTAACAAGTTTCAATAAGAAAAAATATGAAGATGTTTACAGTGAAATTATTCATTTACGTCCCATGACACTGAATTCGACAAAAAGTTGGTGAAATATTTTTTTTTAAGAATTTAATTACTTGAGTAGTTTTCTCATCTGTGAAACTCTCATGTTAAAATTTGTTAAAAATTTGTTAAAATTTGTAGCTCAGGTGGATGATTGTGGTGATGTTTCGTTCTCTGAGCTGGTTGTTTTGGTTGTGGAGCTTTCATTGTTCTTCTGAACAACATCATCAGCACAAACTTCAGATAGAAGTGAAGCATTCGAATTTCTCCACGTTTGACCTGTAGCTTGTTCTGCTAACCACAATAACTTTGTTAAAACCTACACATCCAGATTAACGTATAAAATTATTTAGAAACTTATACTAGATAAATGTTCATCATTTGTAATTCACAAGACACATGTCTACATGATGGTTTTCACTGCATTTTTTCAGTTATAATTTATACCAAAGATGACTAAATTAGAGGATAGTTTACTACAATATGATCAAGTGAATTGCTGCATTGTTTTTATTCATGAATATTGAACCTTGCATAATGTACACTGTTTATTTGATTTTACTTCAACTAACAACACTACATCTTTCCTGATAGTTATTCACATCAATAAACTTTAAGCATGACTCACTACTGTTATAATTAATCAAATTTATTTGAAAAAATTACAAACTCACTTGTTAAACATGGTATCACTATTGCAACATCTGTTTCTTTTGGCTCAGAACAACCTGATTTATTTTGAGCCATAACTCTGAAGAAATAACCTGTATTAGCAGTCAATCCATCAATGGTACAATTCAATTCTTTTATTTGTGAAGAGCCAACTGGTGTCCAACTACGCTTATTCGCTTCACGTTTTTCAACAAGATAACCAATAATCGGGGAACCACCTTCATCTTTTGGTGCTTGCCATGTGAGTAATGCAGTACCTGATGGTTGATTTTGAACTGTCGCTTTTAACTGATGTACAGGTCCAGGAACATCTAGAACTTTCACGACAAGTTCTAAAGTTGCTTTTCCCAGTTCATTAGTTATCTATAAGAAGAAGATTACCAGTCTTAGAATCGAAAATCTTAGTATACATTTTGACTATATAAAAAAATTAACTGTTTTACATACCAGAAGTTTGTAATTCCCAGTAACTTCTCCTGTAACATGTCGCAGACGTAAACATGTTAATCCATATACTGTATCTACCGACGCAATAGGAGATTCACGTTTTGTTCCGATCGGTAAAGGTCCATGGTTGAATGACCAATTAACGTCTGGGAATGGTGCACCCGTATATGGTACTTCAATTACTGTACTTTTACCACTGAGTAATTGTATTTCTAATGGTCCATCATAAAGTATTTTTGGTGGGCATTCAATTGTCAATGTGGCTTCAGTTTTCTTCCCAGTTACTAATCTCGCACTATATACACCTTGTTCATCTGGACTAACCTTTATGAGAGTCAGTCGATGTATACAAAAAGCTTTATCATCTTCACCCAAAACGTTATATATGCATCGTGAAGAGAGATTTAGATCACGTCCATCTTTAGACCATATCAATGTCATACCAGGTCGAGAGAGTTCACATTCAAATACAACATCACATGGTAATTCTGTGATAAATTGATTCTCTAACTGACGAATAAAATCCACATCAGTAGCTTAAAGTTAAAAAAATAAAGTGAAAAAAAATTCATTAAAATTGCCATTTATTCATTTTTATTTCCCTAAAATTTATACATGAACAAATAACTGACATTAAATATTTATTTATGACAGGTGATTGGAAAAATAATTAGGCGTTTTTCTAAACTAGTAGTATTAAGATATCATAAAAATCCGATTAGACTAAGATTAAAATGTAAATGTCTATGCAATGACTAACTTTTACTTCACCGGATAATACCTTTATGTTATTTACTCTAAAATAATTAAGTTTTTACAGGCATAGAAGTACGTAAAGTTAAAAACTCTTTAATCGGACGAAATTCTAAATTTCATTCAGCGTTAAGCTTAAACTGAGGCGATGTTAAATTATGAATTAATCATTATTAGACTACCATTAGAAGAAACCTGGAAGCACCGCTGGATGACTGTTTCGTCTTGGCATGTAATTAATTAAATCAATTGAGATTAGTGATGATGAAAGGCATTCGTGAAGTGTTTCTGTGAAATAGTGCATTGATGGAAGTCACATCAGAATATTCTTCTTCTAAATACTGATTAAAGTTTTAGCAAAACTATTGAATGGAATATTCTAATGGAAAAGATGATGTAGTCTAAAATAGCTCAAGTTGAATCTATTGGATTGTTGTTTTGAACACTATTAACCATTTGGAAAGCAATAAGAAATATGAACTTATTCAATGCAAACGTAACAAATATTTTACACAAATTTCAAATTCAATTATTAATACGAGAACTCCATAGTAATTTATAATATATATATAGACAGTCGCATCAAATTATTTGATTCTTGACTATTATGAATCTGTTCAACACTAGATGAACATTGACGATAGATAAATAAACAAACATTGAGATTCGATACGCTTAAATCATAGAGATGGAAAGATTATTTTTTACTATTTTTGGTTATTAGGATAGAAATTGAAAATGAAAGTGTAGATAAACCAACCTGATGTGATAGTCTAGTGTGGGACTTTGTGTAATGAGCGAATTCTTAGTTGGCTAAGATTAACAAAGTGATGTATTTTGGACGTTAAGATGTGTTTAAGTTTTAACGGTATCAAGATGACTGTTCTATACATAAATAATTCCATTTATCGCTTAAAATGATATCATATTGAATTGACTTCAATGCTCATGATTATTAGTAGATTTGTTTAAACAATCAAGCGGGAGTATTGCAGTTTAAAATAATAGAGCGAATACCGCTGCTATACTTATACATGAATCTGAACAACTCAGAGTGTAAATCGATTACATATCATTTATCAGCATGAATTATTCACTTAAATAATAATGCTAGACAGTTGACATATACAAAATTGAATGCTTCCTTATACAATGTACGACATTCACTATCCTAATAAATCTTCTTTTAAATCCATAATGTTTAAACTGAGAATTAAACATACTGTAATAATATTTTAGTAACCACTTTTTTTGTACTATAAATCTCTATTTATCAGTCCTACTAGAATCGGTTTTTAGACGACAGTGTTCGTTATATGTATAAAAAATTTCCAAGAAACCGATATCGGAATGTGATAAGAAAAATGTGCAAAAACATTCAACACTCTTTAGAAACTATGTATAAAGTATTCACTGTCAGTGGTCATTTCCTAATTATTTTCATATTCACTATCATTATTTTGTAATAAATGTACAACTTTCATCAATCCACATTCTTACGAAACCTCATCCATTGTCTTTGGTGTTCAGTACTTCATACCCGAACAGGGTTTTACTTCCCTGGTATCGACTTCTCACTAGAACTCGAAGTACTTACTAGTGAGCACATGATAATTTGCATGATATCATTATACCGGGATGAAACGGCCGTTCGATGCTGCCAGATTTTTAATGGTTGTATAAAATTTATCGTTTCATTATTGCAAAGTAACTGAACAATCTCTAAAACCCTATAATGCAAATTACCATGCGCTCACTAGTGAATAGCTCCGTGAGAACATTGTCTCCAAGTTCTAGTGTGAAGCAGTGACCAGTGGAGTACAACCCTGTTAGGGTGTGAAGCACTGCTCATCGAAGACAATGGATGAGGTTACGCAAGACCAAGGATTGATCGAAGTTAGACTTTGATATCGTTGGATGCCGGCTCAAAGGTCCAGGGGTCACTTGTTCACACGGAAGGTCCCGGTTTCGAATCCTGTGAGTAGCGGTAGTCATGAATGAGCACTGCTGATGAGTCCCATACCTGGACGTCTAGAGTTTTCAGGTTTCAAAGGATGATCTAACATTGATCGAATAGATAAATGTTTAATTTCAACTATCTTTGCAATGACGTTTCCTACCTTACTGACTTAAAATCAATAAGTCTGCATAAATAATTATATTATTCAATAATTATAACTTACCTGGACGAATAGGTCTACTAGGTTCAGATGGTGTGCTCAAACCAGCATCATTAACTGCAATCACTCTAAATAAATAATCTTGTGCTGGATTTAATCCAGTTAAACGAGTTTCATTAGCTGAGCATAAATCAGACGAAGTAGATTTCCATTTAACTGAACCAACTTCACAAATTTGTACTTCATAGCCTTTCATAGGTCCACCAGTACCTTCATTTAATGGTTGTGCCCAACGCAATTGAACTGCACCATCTGCAATTACTTCAACAGTTGGTTGGCCAGGCTGATCAGGCTTATCTTTATGAATAAAAGAAGATTATGCAGTTATAAAATATTTATTATTTCAAGTATTATACACTATCAATAGACTTAACTGATCTTATCAAAAAGTGAGTTCTTATTTCTGGCTATATAATTGCTTTTTTAAAGTGATGATTATCACTAAGCTTGAAAACAAATAACATGACAAAAAACACTTAACATTTTCTATCACCTTCAAAATCAGTTGAGAAAATATGATGTTTAACTCTTGGTATGTTTTATGTCCTTCTATTGTAGGCTACATGTTTGGATTCATAAATCAATACGTTCCGAGTGCTATTTATTAGATTTTGCTATAAAATGATCGTATTAAGACCTCATACCCCAGTAAGCGGATGGAATATATGTATAGTATTGTAAACTCCTTGAGAAAAACAGTTACACTGTTAGCTATACAACTTCAAAAGCCTATAACTTTTCGATTTTGATTTAGATCGAAACACTTTTCTCATCGTTCATTTGCTTTCAACAAGGAAGTTTTGCATAATGAATTGACGATTGTCTATCAGCTTATTCATTTTAACTATTACGATATCTGCCCACTGGGATAAAATCAACCGCATGGTAAATTTATGCGTAACAATCACAAGGTAATATCAAGGATATTGACAAGCTAAGAGAGTCAAATCCTTAACATATCTAAGGTTAAATCCATTGAGCTTGTTATGCCACAACATTTATTTATTTTATACATTTGACGACAGTATCAATCAATGAGTAGATGGAGTTGAATTTCCTTTGACAATTTCATTGCTTCATGTTTTATGTATTGCAAATCTTCGAACACATGAATACATCATAATTCTAGTGTTTATACAAAATATGAGTTGTTAAACTTTCCATTCTGATCAAAACAATCATTTACTGACATTATTAATATCATTATATTGCATATTTGTTCGTAATATAAGTAGTATTTTATTTATAAATACTTACCAGAACCTTTTTTAACATCTATCTCTATGATATTAGACGGCGAACCTTTTCCAGCATCACTGACTGCCGATACACGGAAGTAGCAGATACCATCTATCATAAGCATGTATAATAAATAAAACGGAAAACAGAAATGAAAATCAATGAGGCAGAAATAAGAAGTATTTTTTAAAAAAGATAACGAAAGTGATTTTGTAAGTGAAGAGGGCTAAAGGAGATCGAAGAATTTTCAAGTTTTTAAATAATGAAAAATAGTCTGTAGGTTAAGTGGTTGAGCATGAGGCCGTAGATTGTGGGTTTGATTCCTAGTTATGGGAATGTGTATGTTGATTACTGAGGAGTCTTATACACGAACGAAACTGTCGCTTGGTTTCCAATGGAGACATAGCCCAGATCATTCTGTAACTTAAGCCATGAAAAGTAAACATGGTTTTGGAAAAACAATGCAGCCGTACATAAATAGGCTAGATTACCTCTAAGATTTGGAATAATTCGCATTGTATCAGGAGATTCAGGTAGTCTAATCTCAGACCAAGTAGTATCTTTTAGAGATGAAGATTTTTCAACGATATAATTCAGAATGTTAGCACCACCATCTTGTTGTGGTGGTTTCCATTCTAGGTGAACTTGTCCATCTTTATCAGTTGTACCACTTAAATTCCTTGGTGGTCCAGGCAAATCTAGAATGTGAAAGTAATTCGAAAAGAAGAATGTTAATTTTTATGCATTAAGAAACTAATATTATGAACAGTTGAAACACAAATATCCTTTGAAAGTCCTACAGTGAAATATATTTTGTAGTGACTAATAGTAATCAGCAAATAGTATATGTTTCAGTCAATATGTAACTTGTCACTTAGATGTACTTGTATCACAGTGTGATAATTCGAGTCCTGTGAGTAGCAAGAGTCGTTGATGTGCACCGTCAATGAATATCATACCAAAGACAACCAGTCATATAATGCTTCTAGGATTCTAATGATGATCTAACGATGATTGAATTATGATTTCAACATAATTCTTTTGTGACTTGAACTATATCCTCATGGCTTTAAATTTTAGACAGTTATTCATTAAACAACTGAAATGATCATATGCAAAATACATTGATTAATTTGTATGAATTAAAATTTTAAGAAAATTATGCGTTGTCAACTTACTGTGTGGAGATTTAACTAAAAGTGGACTGTTAGTAGCTTCAAATTCACCAATTCCTTGTTTATTTTGAGCTGCTACTCTAAAAAGCATATATTTCTCAGATGCCAAATTAATAATATCATAAATACATCCTGTAGAACCATCAGATGCTTCGTGTACTGGAAGATTACGTGTTACTGGTTCCCAATAGCCAACACTAGATGGTGTCGCCATATTGCTTTTAACGACAGCTTGTTCTATGACGTAATTTACTAGTTGACTACCTCCAGTATCTGTAGGTGGTGACCAATTTAGATGAACGGAAGTTTTTGATAAATTTGTTGCAACAAGATCTCTTGGTGCACTTGGTAAACCTGGAAATAATTTTTTTTTTCCAAGAAAAAAATTACAGTCATAAAACAATATTTTGTGATATTATCATTAATTAACATATGACTGCTTAGAATTTACGCATAGAAGACATAATTCATGTAACGTTAATAGTCGCTCACGTTTCTCGATGAATAACTATTTAGTTGGCTATCGGTTTATATCTATTTTTTTTGATGATTATCAAACCCCATAAACTGATACAAATCTAATATCAAAATGTTAACGGGTTTTTTTTAGTTACCACATAAGCCTTAATGATAGTTGATTAACATGACACTAAAGATTGTCGAACTTTTGATGCTCAAGATTTCATTCCCAGTATTTGATATTAATTACGTCTAACCAACGAGATCAAAATTAAGCACTATACGATGATGTGTTCCTTACCTAATACAGTAACATGAAACTCAGCACGAGCTTCGCCACCACTATTTACAGCTGTTAAAATATATGTGCCATCACATGATCGTGATATTTTTCTGAATTTCAATGAGATTTTATTCACACCATCTTTGTCAGGACCAGACGCTTCTGTTTGTGCATCACTAGGAATTGAAGATTGTTCATTGCTTGATTGGCCGCCAGGAATAAATTTCCAGTCTATTTGTGGTGATGGTTCACCTTCAACACTAACGGGTATAGCATGCTTTTGTCCAACGACTATTTTACATGTTTCCAATGTTGTATCATATTTCAATTTTGGTGGTTCTGTGAAAAGCATAATATAGATGGAAACAATGGATTAAATTAGATTCTTTATATAAATATCAAATTAGATTATCAATTTGTTTGAGATATTATCTAATAGACAAAATAACTGTTAATTCTGACTACTATATTTTTATGTTTTTCTGTACTTAGTTTCTTTCTGTGTATAAATTATACTATCTAATAATATTCAGTAACTCATACACTTTCAATCATTTTTGATCAAAAATATTAGTCCTAGTCCTAATTCGAGTTTAAATATTGATGGACTTAATTTATCCTAAGTACATAAAGACTATGGCTTCGCATTTTCATAAATTTATGCTGTTCACATAATCTTTTGTCTTTATTTATATATCATGGTATTATTATCAATAGTGTTGTTTTGTTATTTATATGCTAAGTGGATTCACAATTTAGTTAGTATTCATTCTTATACATTTTTTGATTGATTCACCTCATTATTTCATATATTAACTAGTATCTGACAAAGCATTTCATTTAATTCGTAGTTACATTATCATCTACATTCATTTTGGTTGTTAACCTTATAATTTAACTTGCAAAATCTGTGCAAATTAACATTACACATTGAAATTTCAAACATTAACAATTTAATTTTATTTCACAATTTAACCTGAATCATCATGTTTGTAATTTCGAAAGATGCATTTGTAGTAAAGGTGCCTATTTTTATTTTGGATCAACCCGGACCTTTATCTGTAGGATCTAAGGGGAATTTTTTGAAAAGCAGAATATTCTTTATTGAACGACGTTGGAGGAAACGGGTACCTCAGGTCGTTTACCATTGGTGGAGTTTTTTTTCTCTGAAGTGGCTGGTGTAATGGTGGGGCTTTCACAGTCTTTATTGATTAAGATCGTTTATTTAAGTCATTTTGTTTGATGTGTTGTTTCGTGTAGTTTGAACAAATTATTTTGTAGATGATACTTTAAGTTGGTTCTTTTATCATTTCATCCTCTAACTTGATTGAAATGATTTCGTTGCATTATGTGTCACATGCTTCATTCCAAAAGGTATTGTAGTTTATGATATGTTCCACGTAGGATGATCTATTTTTTATACTCGTTTCTAAGTATACTTAAACTATTATGGGTTCACCTTAGCCCAATAACGAGAACAAAACAATTAACCATCGTCCAGGTAGGCTACTGTGATCCCTTGACCAAACTGTACCAGCAAGAAGTCTTGATATAGTGTAGAAAGTGTATTCTACAAACACCCAGCCAACACATACCGAATCCAAGCACACAAATCGCGTTTATTTATACTCCGTAGAGACATCCTTGGGTCAGTCACAAAAATAGAGCACTGAAATAACACAGTAACCAATCACAGCCAAGGATTTTCCCGATGGGAAATGTGATCTCAAGGTCAACTGATCGGCCCATGAAATATATCCAAAATAAAGATATTTATCAAACGAGTTCTGGGGATCTAACACTCCCAACAGTCAGTCAGTTAGCTACAACGTACAACTTCGTACGTATGTACATCAATTCAAATTGCGATACCACGATAGCACAGAGATGCAATTATTGATTCAAATCCCATAGTGGTAGAGGTAGTAGAAGTAATAACGGTAATGGAGAAGATTAGTGTTCGAAGGAATTATTCAAGAAGTATAATCCGGCGAAATAAATTTAAGAAGAAAAAGATAAAGGTGATGAGGAATTCAGAAGCCTGGAATTCAAGATAACAAAAAGAATGGTTGCACTGGCGCCATTGAAAACGATTTTGAGCCATGTCATTGGTGACTATCATGTTGAGGACCCTAATCAGGTAGTCTACACCTACTAACATGGTTCAATGCAGTTGTGTTTCTACATGTGAATTGTTTAATCTAATATGTGTATTTTATTTTTGCAAAGAATTTTTAGACAGTATAGTGAAAATATTTAATTCATAATAATCAACCTACTTGGTAATGCTGGTGTTTTCACTGACGAACGTGTTTCAGTAGGTTCACTTTTCCCAACTGCATTGATCACTAATACACGGAAATAATAATCTGTATTCGGTGCTAAACTATTAGCTGTTTCTTTTTCAGTAATTGGTATTTCAAACTTTGATAGATTACTGGGAATTTTAAATATATCATCAGCATCAGATGAACCATCTTTAAGTGTTTGCCATGAACGATTTTTTGAATTACGATATTCCAATTCATAATGTGTTATTGGATTGTCTAAATCTTTTCGCGGTGGTTTCCAACTAATCACCATATGAACTCGATTCATACTTGGTTCAGCATTTAAATTTTCAACTGGTTTCGGTTTATCTGATTAGTAAAATGAAAAGTTTAATCTTAAAAAAAATTCACTACAATTGTTATATACATGCCTTTCAGATGATAAGTCATGCATTATTACATAATAAAAATACATGTTCAATGGTGTTCATCCTTTTGAATGAACACTACGGTAAGAAAATACCTATCAATATTTACCGAAACTTGACCAAATACATTGAAACTTCTGACTGTTAACTTATTTCACGCCGATTAATGTGAGGTTACAGGTTTGGAATTGAAAATTAGGAAAACAACTATCACATCATTCGAAAAGAATAACAATTTTACTAATTATAACTCAGTAACTAAATGTGTATCTTTGCATTATGATTTGAACCAATAATGTTGCAAGAATTTATTATACTATCAAAATGATAATAAATAGATTTATAATCTGAAGTATATGTGAAACAAAATTTCATCGTGCAGTCCCGTTTAGGATCGGAAGACAATTATTATTACGTCAAATACATTTAGCTACAACATATTTGATTAATATTCATTCATTGTTTTATCTTCTTCTAAACAGAGAAATGTGTGACATTACATGGTTTTAACATGACTTCATTTCACAATTGTTCATGGGTTCACGCACATGACCAAAAGTCCTAGGTCCGAATCCTGCTAGTGGCAGGAGTCATGCATGCACACTGCTGAGGAGTCCCATATGAGGACGAAACGGCCGTCCAGTGCTTCCAGGTTTCAAATAGTCATCTAATTATAATTCATTCATGATTTCACTGATAAACAACAATCCCCATAACTCTATAATGAACATTTGTTGATTTTTTTCACTGACGACAACTGAATTCAAGTAACTTCTAGTACATTGAAACTTATTGAATAATAAAATTGCGAATCATTGTGGATTGATAAAACTTTTTTGAATGATGATTTTAATACTTTTATTGAAAATTAATATATCAAACTATCATAATATAGCTGGAAGCAATTTTTGATTGATTTGTGGTTAGTCTATACAGTTTCCAATGTACCTTTAAATATTTTGTTTAAATTGAGTAAATTTCACAGTCGAGAAACTAACGATAACTTGACATGTTTTTCAGTGTATTTTTTTGACGTTACATCTGGGTGTCGCCTCTTCTTGAAAATAATTACTTTCAGAGTATACAGTTTGTGTGATCGAAAAATTACACCATTGAAATCAAAGTTCATTTATCATTTATAATCAGTAGTGTGTGTCAATTCGCAAGCTCAACTTGACTGAACCAAACGTTCAAACTTCAAGTCATTTATCTTAATACAACTCACCAGATAAACAGTGTTTTCAGCTACCTGAGATGTTTTATTAAGAATTAAGATTATGCAAGAGCTGTATGAATATTAACTCAGTAATGATTATGTCAGTTGTGTAGATGAATACTTGTAACGCATTTGAAACTTTACTCTACCCACTTCCAGTTTTGGTTATCTGTTTGTGTTGATTCCATCCTTGCGTTATTTCTGTCGGTTACTTTCTCTGTTAAATGTAAGCGCATTCTGTGTGATTACTGAGTCGTCGGCTCATCATTTCTCTAGTTCCTTCCTTTTCCAGATAACCTCACACCCGACTCCTCAGCACACAATATATCTACTGGCTAAATGCAAACTTGCCAAAGGCTGAAGTTACGTGTCTTTCTTTTGTAATGAGTACAAAGAATCTACAAAATTTCTTAGACTAAAACAAAAATAAAATTCTTCGTATTTAAGTTTTTCGATAATTGTTACTATTTCCTACTTAAAAATTAATTTCAATTTAATATATTACTTAAAATACTTTTGAATAGAAGTAATTTAATTAAATCACTTACCAATAACAATAAGTTCACATTTCCAAGTTAACTTTCCATGTTCATTTTCAATGATAGCAACTAATTGACCAGTATCATCTTTTTGTACACGTTGTATAGATAATGATGTTAAACCAGCTACTATGTTGACTTGATAACGTTTCGTTTTATCCGTAACAGGTATGCCTTGAGCTAACCATTTCACAGTAGGCTTTGGATAAGCTTTAAATGATACTTCAAGTACACAGTTTGAACCAACATTAACACGACGTGTATGACTTTCTTCAGTATCTTCAAGAAGCGTCGGTGGAACTAAACGTTTAATATGAAAAAGCATGATGAGATTATCATAAGTTTTTTGAATAACTAATTCTATTGCAATCCTAATTTTGCTTTGTGCAAGTAGGTTAAGACGAAATTGGATTTATTCTTCTTTTTTAATCTTACAGAAGTCAATAATATAATTAACTGGACTGAACTGTAACTGCCTATCTTGGATTAAGTTATCCCGATCACAGAAATCACGTAGGGTGAATTTTAAAAATCGACAGTACTAGGAATGTTAACTATTTTGCAATTTTTATTGGAAGGTTTGTATTAATGTTTTTTATAAACTGAAATAACCAGTGACTCAAATTATTCTGATAGAACTACGTTTCATGCACCAATATTTCCCTACAATCTTTTTCATTTCAATTTCTCTCCAATACATATATAACCAACTTTGGAACCTGATCTTCCCCTATGCGCGAGTCACATTTAGGTCTTAACTGCTTGATTGATAAACAGTCAAAGATTCAATGATCAATAATCAATTTTTAAAGTCATTTTATTCATTAGTCAAAATAAGCTCAAACGGTAAATCACTTTCCAAAATGAAGAGTTCACCAAACACAGATTATGTCAAGAATATTCAAATAAACCTGAATTCCTCATATCATGGTTCAGACTCACAATGAGTTTTGTGATTTACAAAACTTTCTCAAGAATAATTCACCAATAATATTTAGTGCTAATAAAGCATATAACGAAAGTAACCTGAAATCTAAAATAATCAAATAGGAAAATTTACAAGTCTAGTTAGTTTTTATGGTGAACAGAGGTAAATGATTATTTTTGTAAATTTACAACAAATATAAATAAAATATCGATGCAAAAAAAATCAGACTACTGTTTGTCTGCTACTAAATTACAACAAAATTTCATAGAGAAAACGAACTATTTATATCATGAATCAATCATTCCTAGGCCACCATTAGAAACCTGGTAGCACTGGACGGCCGTTTTGTGGATGCGCACTGTTGATGAGTCTCATACGAGGACAAAACGGCCATCCCGGTGGTACTTCCAGATTTCTAGTAGAGATCTAACATTGATCGATTCATGATTTCAGTAATATACAACAATCTCCATCATTATATAATGGAAAAAACACCTTATACTTCTGAATAAATTAACATATTTCAGCATTTTATTGCTTACTTTTAGCTTCCACTTTACATTGTGTTTTTAATTGTTTATAATTCAATTCATAAACTCCCATATCTTCAAGTGTTGTATCATTAATAACTAAACGATAAACAGTTCCTTCTGGTGAGAAATCAAATTTTTTGCCTAATGAAATTGACTTTCCATTGTGTAACCAAGTTACTCGACAATCAGGTTGACTTAGTTCACATTCTAATTCAACTTTTGTTCCAGGTTTTGGAATTTCATCGAAACAAACATTATTCAAAGGACGAATAATACTGACTTGAACACCTATGTTGATTGAATTTTTAGTAATTTTTGTAAATAAAAAGAACAGATAAATTCAGTTAAGTTTTAAAAGTAAAAATCTTTTAATCATATATATTGATAATTTATAAAAAATATTATGTATGAATAGCAAAATTATCATCACCTAACGATATTTTTCTCAAATCGTAAACATTATTATTTATGATATTTGATGGGATGATGAAAAATTGAAGAATCCATTTGTTAACAATGTTATTTATGAATTGAATCTAGTGCTTCAGTTGTCAGATAATTTGGATACAACATTTACAATTTCAAAGTAATGGGATCATAAAATCAAAACTTGAGTAGCAAGTATGTTTGTATTCATCACTCCACTTGGGGTAGGTTGTTAGTCATCATTTAATAAGATAAATGTCAGACAATTGTATGCTTTACATCATTAACCAATAAGTGAGATTGACACATACGTAGGAGGCATATATGACATTTTGACAAAACGCAAATCGAACTTTATTCCATTCTATCTAATTCTAACCTTCACCATCCCGTTAGCTAGTCGTAGAACCGAGTCCAATGTATCTAAGTCAATCTTACGATATGTTGTTACTTATTCAATTAGTTATAGCATAAAATCACCCATCATAGAAGTAGTTTGAAATACAAACTTTTGTAAAAGGTTCTTTTCATTTCAGATTCTAAAAGGTTTATGAAAATATCTATACCGCTATGCTTCGGTTTATCATCGAATAAGATGAGTATTACATCTAGATTTATTGAAATGTGGAGTAACATTCACTAAAGAAGCAATCAACATATATAAATCATAAGACAAGTAGTAAATGCTTATGACCAAAGAAACCGTAGTTAGTGAATAGCTTACCAGGTGTAACAGGTTGTGAACTTTTTGAAGGTTTACTTGGTCCTACACTATTCACAGCAATAACACGAAATTTAAAAGATTTGGAACTGTCCAAATTTTTCTCGATTAATTCATAGGACTTTTGTTCACCTGAAGATAACAGACATTGATCGACACGATCTATTTTTAAAGTATCCACTTGTTTCCATATTTCAGTGCCATTTTTAGCATCACACATTTCTATTTGATATGATATAATTGGACTGTCACCGTCATTTGTTGGAGAAAACCAATTAATTTTTACTGAATTTGTATTGACTGGTGTAACATTGTCAAGCTTTGGAGCATCAGGAGGTCCTGAAATGAATGGATAAAGGCTTAAAGAGAGACTTGAAAGAGTGTAAAAGAAAAAACTGAGGAATAGTGAGGCACTACTCATAATATGAACCAAAGATTATTATCTATAATTTTAGAAATAAGCCTCCAAAGTTGATTACATCAATGTGACAATTTAATCAATCAGCAACAACCACTGAGTTGTAATAATAATAATAAAAAATAAATTTACTATCATATTGTGTGCTCTGATGATCGATTATAGGTGCTAAACAATCCGTTCCGATATCATCAATCAGAGCACCGTACAGACATACCAAATGCTTACGAGTATATCTTATCTCCTCTTTGATTCAAAAACACATGTGAATATATATCCAAGATATAAAACCAGTTAGCAACAACGTAGAACTTCATACAAGAAACTATGAGCCATTCAGTCAACCATGTCAACTGTGAGATGATGATATGATCAATCAGTTAGTCAGCTGCAATGTAGAACTCGGAACTGATGTAGATCAGTTCAAGTTGCCATACCACAATAGCACACACGGATGTGGTTATCGATTCACGTCCCATAGTAGTAGATGTAGAAGAAGTGTTAGTGGAGAAGATTTGGGTTCAAACATATGACTGGAGAAATACAATCCAGTGGGGTGAATTTAAACAGATTTAAAGAACGGTCATGAGGAATTCAAAAGACTAGAATGTGAGAAGTGACAAGCAGTGGATTCACCTACGCCACTGCAGACGATTGTGAACCATGTCAATCGAAGTCTCTAACCATCAGTTACGATTGTCTCGCGGACCTCAACCAGGTAGTCTACACTTAGCAAGATGGCTCAGTTCAGTTGCCAGTGACTTCATGGATCTGTGCCATGTTTTGGTCTGGCCACCCCTAGCTTTCTTTCAACCTACTCCTACACCACATAACTTTAATTAGTATTAGGTATTTAAATCCAAAGGAAGACGAATACTTTACTTGGGCTACATATTTGTTATAGCTCAACTGATACAGAAATTTACTGTACCATATCATATCATATTTCAAGCTCTTATAGTATCTTAGACCAACAGACATTCAGTTTTCGTAGTATGTTTGCTTATTGTACAATATACTAGAAATATGTATCACTCGAATGCTTAGTAGCCGACTTCCTAATCCCTTACCGGTTCTCAGATATTTTCGTCTCTTGGATCTCGAGTGAAAAGCACGAGGTGAGAAGTTTCCGAAGTTTCTTTAGCTTCAGAAGATCTTTTCGAGGAATTATTGAGGCTTCTTAATAATATCATGCAAGGTTGAACCAACCGCAATGACTGGATTACTCATCTAATCTATGTCATCGTCCACATGTCCCTGTAAGTCTAGTTACCTCTAAATAGATTAATTTATTTATTAGTTAGGAAACACGACATTTCTTCTGCAATAATGACCATAAGAAAACTTTCAACCGAACCTATCAGCCACAAAGGATTGACATGTGCAAGTTAAGAGTTTGGGTAATATGAGACACTGCTGGTAAGTCCCATACAAGGTCGCAACGGGCCATCCAGTGCTTACAGGTTTCTAATCGTGGTATAACAATGATTAATTCATGATTTCAAGGCAATATGAGAAAGCAACTAAAACAAGTATTCAAACATACAATTACGAATCATTATCAAACGCATTCCAAGTTAGCACAACAAGCTATTAGTTAGTTTTGGAGAAAGTTCAATAGCTTTTCAGAGCATTATGATAATGATGTTTAAAAGGATAACAAAAAAACTGACAACCAAACTATCCAGCTCAGTGACCATAAAACACTTCTATCATCTGTACAGTCGGAGCTACGAATATTCAAAATCATTGTTGAAAATAAATATGAAGGAAATAGAAAACCTGAATTCTTCTTACTTACTTGGCAATTGTTTTGTTTTAGCTTTAACAGGATTTGAGGATTCACTTTTTCCAGCCAAATTAGTACAACTTACACGAAATTCATATTCTGTATCCGGTTCAAGTTTATCAATTTGTACCGTACTAATCGGTTCAAAAGTTTGAGTCTTCCATCTAAATATTAAAAAATTTAATTATCAAAAATTGAGATAAACTTATAAAATGATTTTCTTTTATGATAAATTTACGTAGTATACTTTTAGAGGATGATTTTTTAAGTACAAGAGACTAATAAATTTCACCTTCCTTTATCTATGATATCAAACTCAAAAATAAGTATCAACAAAATCCTATAAGTTGCACGGATTGACAAAGAAAAAGCAGTATTTTTACAACTGAAAAACATCTAGAACTCTAATTAGCTATCAAACAACACGAAAGACAGAATTTCCAATACAAACGTTAAGACAGTTCTTTTGTATGGAGCAGAAACTTGGAGAACTACTACAGCCATCATTGAAAGAGTACAAAGAGTTGTCTATGCAAAATTTGTTAGACCCATTGACCACAGACCATGAAAAGTAATCAACTGTGGCAGAGAACAAACCATCGAACCAACTTAGGACGAAAGAGTTGATGTGGATAGGACTTACATTACGGAACTCATCAAACTGCGTCTCAAAACACGTCCTCACTTGAACTCCTCAAGAGGCAGACCAAAGGAAATATTAAGTCAACAATTCAAGGCAGGCATCAAAAACGAATGGATAGCACTGAGCAACAACTAGTAAGGAGAGCCCAGGACAGAAGAGCTTGGCGATTGTTGGTCAGTGGTTTATTCTCTACGAGGAGTTATAGGCTTAAGCAAGTAAGTAAGAGTTATCTATTTCACATTAATTCGTTTACAATCTCTAATATTAAATTATTTAAATCAAAAAATATATATATACTTCATTCAACAGAGATTATAGAAATATTTTGATAAGCGTTTCATTAATCAACATTAAATATATAATTATTTTAATCAATATTGTTTTTAAAAATTATTTACCTTGATACATTTTTAGGACGATATTCAATAATTACACTAGTAATTGGCGCTTCAATATGAGTAATAGGTAATGTGAATTCTAATTCAATAGTTGAATGATTTATCGGTTTAGCAGTAAGTTGTTTTGGAATTTCCGGAATATCTGTGCCATTGAAACAAAATAAACATAAAGTTATAACATTTTCATTAAATTTTAATAACATAGGTAGAATGTTGGTTGGTCTACAAATCTGTAAGTTAAGAGTCCAGCTGTACTACCCAGTATTTTGTATGTTCAATTTACTTGAAGCATGAAATCCTGTAAGTCTCTAATGTACAGGACAGTTTTTCACTAAAGAGATAATAGGAGTTAGTATTTATAGTAAATTTTAATTGCGAATCGATCATCGTTAGAGTACCATTAATACCTAGAACCACTGGATGGCCGTTTCGTCTTGATATGGTAGTCATCAGCAGTGCGCATCAACAACTTCTGCTCGTCGTGGAGATCGAACCCAAGACTTTCGGTCTTGCTCGCGAACGCTTAACCTCGCGATCACTGAGCCGGCATCCAATGATGTTAATGTCTAACTCTGACCAATCAATGTATTTATCGCAACCTAACCTATTGTCTTCGGTAGTTACAGCCTACATTCTACAGGGTTGAATCAATACAATTTCACCTACTCTCATAAATTAAAAATTGCCGTGATGAAAATTATCCTTGAATTGAACAAGTGTTCTTATAAAATCTTTATATGTGATTAAATAATTTTTTCATTAATCAAGAGAAATATTTCATGGGGTCCTTCATATTTCATTTTTATTCTTTTGTAAAACTATAAGTTGGGAATTTCAAGCACTTATCACTGTTCAGTATTAGTGCATGAGATAACAAAGATACATTTTTAATGATCATTTAATTAGCTATTTTGTATTCTCACAGTCGAAATCACAAAGTGATCTTAGCTAGACCATTATTAGAAACAAGGAAGCACTGGACGGTTGTTTTATTCTAATATGAGACTCCTTTGCAGTGCACATCCACAAACTCCACATGTGAGAATCCAACTCAAAACCTCTGGTCTTGTGCATGAACACATAACGCCATAAATCAGTAAGTTGGTATTCAATGGTGTTATTGTCTAACTTCAATAAATTCATGATCTTGCCTAAGCTTGATCGATTTCCTGCAGTGGATGGTTGTCTTCTACCCAACACGATCTGAAGCACAATATTTATGGCTTCTCACTAGTGCTCAAGGACTTCATCTCGAAGCTGGTTACTAGTGATGATATGGTTATTATTACTGAATAAGAGTCTCATAATAGAACGTAAAGTTCGTCCAGCTCGTACAGGTTCCCAATGATGGTCCAGTTTGGATTAATTTTATAATCTAAACAATGAAACTGATACAATCTCCACGATTCCCCTTTATTGCTATTTGTATTTGTTTAGCGCGTATATGTTGAATCTAATAATCACTTTGTTCTCATTTACTGTGAATATCAATAGGAAACAGATAAATTTTGTTTATCATATTTCCGATATTTGATTTTAACTACAAATCGACTATACATGTACAACGATGCTGTCGCATGTCAAATTACAATTTTTTGAATAAACATTTGACTATAATAAAAAGAATGCCGTACATCGGCTTTTCTAAACAAAGTAACTATTTGCTTTGATTATTATTCTGAGAGTAAGTAATAGTAGGGTCAAATGAGTATGACAAAGCCTATTTAACCGATACTTAACTGTTCTTTACTAATTTATTAACACTAAAATGAACACCGAAATGTAAGTTTATGCATCTGATGAAGCGTTGACAGGATTTCAAAACGTTACTTTTGATCAACTCATTGTTTTTATTTTTTTTAATCTATCGAAAACAATATGAATGAGAGTTTTACAGATATTTAGGATATAATAGTTTAATGTTATACAAAATCAGAGAAAAAAAATGACAAGATACTTGTGCAGTTTAACTAACCATAAGGAGATTTCATTGTCAAACCATCGGAAGTTTCTTTCCGTGGTCCACTTCCACAATCGTTAACTGCAGTAACACCAAATGAATAAGTGGCTCCTTCAGTTAACCCTTTGATACGGTGTACAAATTGTTCGTCCTCCTCAGATGTCTTCGATTTCGAACTAACGTTTGCAACTGACTTCCATTCCTTAGCTTGAGAACGTAAAACACCTCCAGGTTCAGGAGCCAGCTGACGTTGTTCAATTTTATATCCTGTCACTGGGCTACCACCATCATCTTCAGGTGGTTTCCACAGAACAGATACTTCTGTAGGTGACTCAACATGTGCTTCTAGTGACATTACTGGGCCAGGGGCTCCGAGAACACGTAATGTTATAGTTGCTTTAGCTTCTCCATATGGATTTGTGATAATAGCTTCATAAACTCCAGCATCAGAAACTTGTACTGCCGTAAGGCGAAGTGCTGCTTGGGATTTTAAGTCGTTATCTGGAACAGTTCGTTTTGTTGGATCAGGTAATGTACGACTGCCATTCCAATACCAAACAATACTAGTAGCAGGTGGACAAGAAGTGAATGGTATTTCTATATTACGATTACTTCCCTGAGAAAGTACGATGGTATCAGAGAAATTATCTGGTAGACAAAGTTTAGGTGGCACTAAACATGAAAGGAAATAAAATAATTTAATTAGATCCTTGGATCACACAATACTTTTACAGACATACATAGATAGATTAAAGGTAATGAAAATAATTTTGGTAAACAATCTTTAAAAATCATAATTGTTCAAAGAAGGCATGAAGAAAATATTATTTGTTGAACGGTTAATAATGAAAATGCGAACTCCTGTTACTTAAAATCATCTGTTATTCTAGTTATTATTACAATATAATTGTAGTTGATTGTCTTTTTTAAAACTAAGTAATATAAAATTATGAGAGTCATTATGCAACTTATTTATTTATTTAAACACATAATTATTAGTAAAAAGGGTCATCTAGATGAATATGTGCTACGCAAATCATTGAATATGTTTGTAGCCTAGGATTCTGTCAGAGTGCCAAAACCGAAGCCAGTAGTTTTCTTAGACAACGACTTCCTGAGCAGTTGGCCATCAAATCTGATCCATAAGGCAAAGGATCAACGTCGGAAGATGTTAGTCGGTGATAAATAATAGGTTCTTACACCATTCGTCCCCTCTCAGGATCGTGGAGCCCATATGCACTGTCGGTTTGGGATCAGGATTTTCCTACTCTTATAGCTGGATTCTCTGTACAGACAAACCTAGTTTAAGCGCCGCACATTCGCTTTTTATCCTCTCAATTGCATCGACAAAAACATACCATAAGAAGGCAGTGAGTAGGACTTTACAAACAATGCGTATCCAAGTGAGAGCACTTGGAGAGGAAGAGCAGAGTACTCCGGAAAACTCTCAAATTTAAAATGGAACATTCATATTTATTTATTTTCAGTTCTTAATGATTCTTTAAATTAACATCAATTCATAATTTTTAAAAAATGTCCAATATATTGTGTGTAGTATTAAAAAAATTCCCATTCCACTATCTTATTGAATAAAATCCGGTAGATAGTAAACGATTGAGAAAAAAAACAAACAAACAAACTTACATTCAATTGTAAATGTTGCTTTTGACTCTAATTTATCAATTTTGATAGAATATTCACCAACATCATCTAATGTAATTTTGAATATTTCTAATATTTGTATATTGCCATCATCGACGAAACGATATTTTCTTAAGTTTGATGTATCTAAACGTTTACCATTAGAAAACCATTGAACTTTTTGTGGTAATTTTGAAAGATGACATTCAAATTTAATAGTTTGTGGGATTTCATTCAAATGAATTGATTCTAGTTCTTTCGTTATAGTTAATGGAGCATCTAAAATTAATCAGCAAAAAAAAACAGTAGTTAATCATTGTGCTCTGGTAGAATAATGTTTATTCCATTCAAGAACACCTCATACTATAGTAGGGATGAAGAGAATTGGTCAATTTTTGAGCTTGCAGTCCTTTCCTGGTTCAACAAAGATGTATACACCCATTAACTGTATGTATTTCTATTTGGTTCAGTGAAAAGCTTCTTATACATTCTTAGTCTTTTACTCTTATACAATCAGTTATGTTGAGTGTTAGGAAGTATTGAATATATGACTGAATGAGATTGATAGATCATAATAACATTAGATAATTCAATCAACTTATAAACTGATACCTGGATCATGGGCCATAAAATGTGTATTACTGAAATCATGAATCAGTCATTGTTAGACTACCATTAGAAACCTGGAAGCAATGGACGACCGTTTCGCCTTGTATGGAGCTCATCAGCAGTGTACATCCACAACTCTGGGCTTCTACCAAGACTCGCTACTAGCGCTAAACTTCAGATTGACCAGAGTTAAATATTAACAGCGTTGGGTGCTGGCTCAGTGGTCCAGGACCGAAGGTTCTGAGCTCGATTCCTGTGGGTAGCAGGAGTTTGGTGGTCTAACAATGATTGATTCATGATTGCAATATTGAACAACAATAGTGAAAAATCATAAAACGTGTTCAATCATTGTCGAAATTAAAAACAGTTAGTAGTTTTTATAAATTTTGACAGAACAGTGAGAAGACGTAATTTATCTGAAAAATGTAAAGTATTTGAACTTTTATTTAATTGACCTATTATTAATCTTCATATAAAATGTCTTGACAAGTAAATATGTGTGACCAGATTGTTCGAAATGTATAGCGCAAATACATCACATAATTTCAGATCAATTACGTCTTCTCACTGTTCTGTCATTGTGAAAATGCTGTAACTTTTGATTAAAACTTGCTATTATGTATGTAGCTCGTTTCTTGTACAACATTTTCGCTATTTGTAAAAGGACCTTGTAATGTTTAAGTCTCATGTCAATCGATCAACACATAATCTGACTTATTATAATTATAAAATAATTGAAAATTTTTAGTGATAACTCAATCACAATGTGTAGAAATTTTTATTTCCAACATTTCATGACTTAATATAAATCACTTTTTCAGTGCAAATAAATAAATAACCGAAATAACTGAACACAAGCTTAAATAGTAAGAAGAAAATAAGACAGAATGTTTCTTCTAGTGTAGTAAAATCCAAATCATAATAAGTTTGAATGTCATGCTCTTTTCTCGGTCAAGATGATTCTGTATGAAACCTTAAAGTGTTAATTGTGTGTATGAAAGAGGGTAAGAAAGAATATGTAATTTGTAATATGACGTAGTGTAATTGAAAATAGTAATAATAAAACAAAATTTGTGCGTGTGCAAATAATTATGAAGAGAATGAATTGAATAATATATGTGGTTATTTGGATGTAGAGTTCAGGTTAGATGAATAATTTTAACCTTAGATCCAATTGAAAGAAGAGGGATTTTGCATTATATGAAATGCTTCGGATACTCATTTCTCCTTTTTGGTGAAAAAGCTTTTCGTGTATTATTATGATAGTTCAGAAATACAACTCATTGGAATATCACCAAAAAAATTATAATTATATCATTATTATTAACTTCCCACCTAATGTTAAATCCAACTTATAACTTGGTTCAGTTAGGAATATGATTCTACACATATTGATACGACCTAAGTATATACACAGGATTTTATATGACTTGTAAATTTCTAATGTTCATAATGAATTTTGCAATACATGTGACTGAAATCCAATCTACCTATATATAACCTGTGCAAGAGTTCAAACAGTTATTCAGACAACGAGAAGCGTGTTAGGTTCATATGATTTTGATGTCCTGGAGAATCAGGTGGATGATTGTGATGAAGTTTCATTCTCTGAGCTGGATGTTTTGGTTGTGGAACTTTCATTGCTATTCTGAATAACAGCACCAGCAAAAACTTCAGATAGAAGTGAAGTATTTGAATTTCTTCATGTATGACTCTTAGCTTGTTCTGTTGACCTCAATCTTGATTAGTTGTCAGCCGATAACAAAAATCATAGACACACATTAGGATCAAGAAACAGATCAAAGGGGGGTGGGTACAATCCAAACAAAGATGCAGACAACGACAGAATTCAGGTCAATAACAATCAAAAAAGATAGAGGTCAACAGAACAAGCTATGAGTCATACATGGAGAAATTCGTATACTTTGTGATAATGTTATGCAGAAAACCAATGGAAGCTCCAAAACAGGCAGCATTAACACTTTTAAAGATTCGCATTGTGAAAATTAGAACAACATATATAAGCGAACACTATTGTTTCCGATTAGATCGTCATCAAGCTTTAACCAATCAAGGCAATTTAAGTCAATAATCACGATGAAATGAAATAGACTGCCTCACTACACATAATAGGCAAAAGTACAAGTTGATAGTAGTAAGACAGGTGTACTGATGATAGTAGTAGGAAAAATAAAATACGATAACAAAAGTTTTATCAATATTGGATCAAACTTGGATAAAATAGACTTAAAGTAATCATTACAAAACATCAAAACCATTACGTAATAATAAGTGTCTAAATAATTAGATAGTGAAGAAGTTAAGCGGAAAGAGGCAGAAAAATACCAACAAATAAAAGATGTGAAAATAATGCTAATAATAGCAAAAAAGACCTTTTGTTTGCTTAAGTCATATCCGGCAACGGAAGAGATAGGGGTATAACGAATTTCTTCCAAACAGATAAAATGGGGTTGAATGTACGAATTCCTATGGCTTCTGCTATGTGTAGGAGACGGGATCGAACTCTGTTGGGAAATGATTGAGGTATACGATAGATCACCCGAAAAGACCTAGACTTATCTACAATATGACCATTATCAACTAGGTATGCTTCGTTTGGGTAGACAGCGCTGGTCGACTTGAGAAGATCAACGCAAGTTTGGCTGCGTTGAATGTTCTACTGATTATTCTCAATAATCTGTCCTGCAGGCCACATCTCCGCCGAATAGTAGTTTAATAAATAATGGCTTCTTCCGAACGGTCGAAGTCTCCGGCTTCCTCTTTTTTTTTGTTATCAAGTCAACCAAATGATGGCATGGAACAATCATCTGCTTTTTGGCACTACAAAACTACCAAAACTTGATCCGGTTTCATTACTATGAATATGATAAATACGTAAGAGAAGTAAGTATACAGAAACAAAAAGTTGACCAAAACTTATTGAATTATATTGTCAGCTGTAGTTGTACAATGAATTATTGGTTAATAAATTTATAGAACCTACAATGATTTAGTCTTAGTGTTAATCCTATTTGCATAAAAATATGGTTAACATACAAGTATTAACAATGGAACAGAAGCAGAAGTAGAAGAAGACGAAACACAACTAGAATGATTACCTTTTTTCAAACAAATTCTTTCTGATGGTTTTGATGGTTCACCAACACCTTCCTTATTTACTCCACGAACACGAAATTGATAACGTGTTGAACTATCCAGATTGTTTATGTCTAAATTACAATCATCTGGTTTAGTTGTCTTTCCGATTTCTTTCCATTCATTGTCATCATTTTCACAAACTTCAACGATATAGTAATCTGCTCGTTCAAAATCTTCATTTACAATACCAGGTGTCCAAGTTAAATTGATACTTGTTTCATCTAACGGTTTGATGGTTATAGGACCTGGTTTTCCTGGGACTTTGGGAGCTAAATTAATGAAGAAGTAATTGAAAAAGTGTTTATTAGCAGTTGTTTAAGCAAAATACTGAGGATTCGCTGGTCAATCACTATGAGCAACAACCTACTGTGGAAAAGAACAAACCGAATTCCAGAAAAAGAAGAAATTAGGAAAAAGTACTGGATATGACATACACTGCAGGAATCACCCAACTGTATCACAAGACCAGGCATCACTTCGAATCTTCAAGACCAAAGGAAAAGAGGAAGACCAGAGAACACATTTCGCCGAGAAATGGAGACAGATACCAGAAGAATGAACAAAACTTGGACAGAACTAGAAAGGAAGGCCCAGGACAGAGTAGGTTGGAGAATGCTGGTCGGTGGCCTTTGCTCCACTACGGGTAAAAGTGAGTAAGTAGTTAAAGAATACAAGTCGCATCAATGTTTGAAGCAATGTAAATTTTACTAAAATTAATTGATTCGCTATGCCAATCATATGTAAATCCAATGATGAGTTAAGTATACTACTGATGGGTGTATGATATTCACAGTCAAGATATGGCTTCACTTTCAAAATAAAGAAACATGCAGCATTAATTTGTGAAGGGAGTAAATGTGAATTAGTTTTACGCTTATGTTGGATTCAGTATGGCTAGCAAAAGCTTCTATGATTTCCGAACCAATTAATTTTCATTGTACATCACATAAAAAAATGATTGTAATTGAATAATCAGGTATTTTAATAGACAGATGACTTAGGTGAATTTGACGGTAGTTTTTTTTTAGAAAATGGCTAATAACAGATAAGAAACACGAAATCAGTAGTTGCTGGGATATTTCATAATACTTAGGATACACCTTATCGAAATTGTTTCATTCACTGAAATCATTTACTTATTTGAATTTTAACATTTTCACAAGTGACTACATTCACAATAAATGAATTAAGCCAATTATTGTATCGAATTTCTAGAAAATATGGCCATAACTCTATGATGAAAAATTATAAAATGTGCTAACTAATGACTAGCTTCGTGAGGAAATTCTTGGAGTTTTAGTGAGAAGCAGTGACCAGTGGAGCTTATTCCTGTGGTTGTAGATAATATCTACCGAAGACAATGGGTGAAGTTACGAAAATTCCTTAGATCGATCACAGTTAGATATTAACACCATCGGATGACTGCTTAGTGGTGTAGATGTTTAGTGTTCACTCACGAGACTCCAGCGGACAGGGGTCGCGAGTGCTCACTGCTGAAGAGTCCCTCACTAGGACGAAACGGTAATTCAGTTCTTTCAAATTTATAATTGTGGTCTAACATTTATTGATTCGCGATTGTAATGTATGACAAAACCGCCAAGCTGGATATCATTTGTCATTCATTCCATAGAAATTAGTACTAATTGATGTATTTTCCATAACTGTAGAACACAAAAATTGACAAGTACCTTGATAACCTTTGAAATATCTCCGTCCACAGATAACAGTTTGAATAAAAGACCGGATAAATCAATACAATGTAAAGTGACTTACGTTTCATTAAAGGTAAACAAGATTCGGACGGCGGACTGAATGCTCCTTTACCAGCTTTATTGACGGCACATACACGGAATGTATATTGCATATCAGGAGATAAACCGGTTACTGTGGCTATTGGCTGGACATTAGGTTCAAATGCAACTCCTGAAGTCAGTGAATTCCATTGTGTACGAGAACCGTAGGTTGATGTACGCCGCTGACCTTTCACAATTGGACGTTCACTCATGCTTTCAATAAGATATTCCGTAATTGGTGAACCACCATCTGAAGATGGAGGTGTCCATTCCAGTGAAATGCGACCACTTTCTAATATTGTAACTTGAGGTATTCCTGGAGCTTCAGGTGGATCTGTGTTAAAAGTGAACAAGAAAACAAAGCGATAGTATTTTCATGCACACTTGAGTTATCATAATTAATGTATTCCCTGTATCTTATAATTTCATCCAACTAAACAAATAAACTAGTTCATTATAAAATAATGATAAAAGCATAAGTAGACTCAAGAAAATCAACTCACCAAAAGAATATTTCATTAAAAATGCTTGACTTTCAGAAAAGGCGGAATCACCAACTTCATTTCTTGCACAAACTGAGAATATATATTGAGATCCTAGTTTAAGACCATCTATCAGCGTTTTCAATTCTTTTGTTACACAAACATTAACTGGTTGACTTGAATATTTCGTTGCCTCACGATAATTAACAACATATTCTAAAGATTCATTTTCACTTATATTAATTGGTTTATCCCAATTAAACATAACAGATTTTTCGGTAGCATCAGTTATGGTAAGATTTCTTGGTGGAGATGGTTTATCAATGACAGTGACATAAATTGTTATGGCAATTTCACCGAGATCATTGGATATTGTAACTTTATACGCTCCACTATCTTCACGTTTAACTCGACTCAAAGGTAATGTAGTTAAACCAGCAACAATATCCGGTTTAAATCTAGGCATTTGTTCCTGAGTTAAATCTGTACTCGGTGCCCATGTCCACTTAATTTTGGGTTTTGGTGAAGATGTAAATGGAATTTCTAGGATTTTTGAACTGCCAGCTTTTAAAGTGATATGATCTTCAAATTGATCAGATATTGGAATTGTTGGTGGAGCTGTAAACATTGAAAACAAAATAACAAAGAAAATGGTGTGTGTATTGTTGAATAACTGCATGACAACATCTTAAATAATGTGTTACTTAAATTCATCACAAATCTATCTCGTATTTCAGCTATCATTATTCGATTCATTTAAAAAAAAATAGGTGTATAGTTTGATAAAAACTATTTGTTTCTTCAGATGACATTGCTGAACATAGTTTTTTTATCAAAAAATGTCATTATCTCACTATAAAAAAATTCATTCACAGTAACAATGCCTTGGTTTCGTTCAGTAATGTAAGTGTCTGATAAGTAGTAAGAATCGGAGTGTTGCCCAGAAGTTACTGTTGAAATGAAAGGTATCGCATCCGGATGAATGATGTGATCAAAGTGTTTTGAAGATTAGAGGACAGATATGTGAAAGAATAAAGCCAAGATTCTGTTTGTTTTGCAAATGTGTAGACATTTTGCTAGTAAACTGTGTCTTCATGATATAAATCATAAATTCCACCTGATCTTAACATATTCGTTCATTGGATAGATCAGTAAAAAAAGATAACTTGTTGAACTGACATATAATTACACAGATGTCATAGTTCCTTTTCAAGATATAACAATTTATTCTGTCGTAAAAACTTAAGCATACATTTATAATGAATCATTAAAAACATCATACATAGATTAGGAATTCAGTCATGCAGTTGCTTCTTTTTTTTCTATACAACTATAGCAAACTATCAAACAACAAATAGAATTGAAATCATGAATCGGTTATTGTTAGACCACCATTAGAAATTTTGAAGCACTGAACGTCCGTTTCTTCTCAGTACGAGACTCATCAGTCGTGCGTATCCACGAACCCGCTCGCAAGAATCTAACCCAGGATCTTTGGTCCCGTGCGTCGACGCCTAACCTCTGCGTAACCTCACCCACTGTCTTCGATAGTTGCTATCTTCACCCGAAAAGGTTGAACTGTAAAGGTCACGGTTTCTCACTATAACTACTAGCTGGCCGCTAGTAAGCACACTGTATGATATTCATTGTCGGATGAAACGGCCATCCAGTGGTTCCAGGTATTTAATGATGGTCTAAAAATGATCGAATCATGATTTCAATGGAATAAAACAATCTCCATAACTCTATAATGAACATCAAACTTATCTTTGAAAGTAATTAACTGGAATAGCCGGTATTTTGATTATTATAGTCCATCATCATCATCATCATCATCAATAATAATAATAATAATAATAATTACCTTTAATTTCTAATTTACATTTAGATGAAATATTTTCTACTTGTATTGCATATTCACCAACATCTGTATCGATTAAACGTGAGAACGTAATTGATTGTATTGTGCCTTGATCAATAAATTTCATACGATTATCATCTGATCGTATAACTAATGGTTTATTGTCCTTTGTCCAAGCTACCATTGTTCTTGGTTGACGCGATAATTCACATTCTAATTTATATTCAATTGGTTCAATATTAGTTATGATTAAATCTTCTAATTGACGGATAAACTCAAGTACTATTCCTGTTAAACAATGAAACAATAATAGAAAAAAATGAGATTACATGTTTTAAACATTAAACAGGTAGGTGGTTCGATCAAATTTTCATTAACATATCACGAATAAATTTATAATATTCAATGTGCTTCAAGTTAATCAGTTAAGAGTTTAGAAAATGGCTAAAAATTGAGATAGACTTTTCTGTCGCTAATAATTTCACTTGGCTGAATTCGGATATTTTACAAATGCAGGATTATTCAAATAGCTTATGTAACAAAATTTATCATTATCGTATAGGGAGTAGTACTTTGTTTTGGGTTCCACTGATCGTGTAAGAAATAACTCACCATTCACGAGACATTTCGATTACTTAGAACAACCATTTAATGTGACTATCAGAATCAAAATAACAACTATCGAATTAACAGAATTCAAGAGATGAACTAGTATTAAGCTGTGATGTATGCTGGTTGATAAGTCTGTACAATGAGAATTGACATATAGTGTAAGCTCATAACTCAACAACAATACTGAAGTGTTCCGAAATGCTATTAAATTAAATCCTACCACCGTGAAGTTTTAGAAAGATGATTGAAACCGATGAAGCCGTCATATAAAAATGAAAGTGTAAGAGGAAAAAATATAAAGGTAGAACGAGGTTTTTGTGATAAAAAAAATATAGCGAAAAAACTCCATATTTCAATAATTCATTTTGATAGTTGTACAGTGTTGCAAAGTTAAGTTCATAAAGTAATAATTAATTTGGTATTAGAGTATTGTGGATATAGTAGTTTTACCTTGAAAACATGAATGATTCATTGTTAGACCACCTTTAGAAACCTGGAAGCACGACTCCTGTCACTCGCAGGATTCGAACCCAGAACCTTCGGTTTTGCGCGCGAACACATAACCGCTGGACCACTGCGAGTAGCAGGAGTCATGGATGCTCACTGCTAATGAGTCACGTACTACGAAGAAACGGCTGTCCAGTGCTTCCAAGTTTCTAATGATGGTCTAACACTGATTGATTCATGATTTCAAGGTAAAACATTTATCATATTAAAGTGGTGTTTGAAAATAGAAGGATTATATGTAAGATATAGTGATTAATTTATGATCGAACATTAATTTAACATACAAATAAATAATGGTGGTCTAATAATGATTGATTGATAATTTCAAATGTGTAAAAACACAAACCCCCAAAACTCTGCCCCAAAATATCGTAACAGTGCTCACTAGTGACTAGCTTCGTGAGGAAATTCTCGGAGTTCTAGTTGAGAAGACGTGACCGAAGGAGTTCAACCCTGTCGGGTGTAGGCAATAACTACCAAAGACAAATGGGTGAGGTCGTGTAAAATCCCTAGATCAATCAGAGTTAGACATTAACAGCGTTGGATGCCTGCTCAGTGGTCCGATGGTTAGGCGTTCGCGCACAATACCGAAGGTCCTGGGTCCGAATCCTGCGAGGTGCAGCAGTCGTGGATGAGTACTGTTGATGAGTCCTATACCAGGACGAAACGGCCGTCCAGTGCTTCCAGGTTTCTAATAGTGTTCTAACAATGATTGATTGATGATTTCAAATGTGTAAAAACACAAACCTCCAAAACTCTGCCCGAAAAGATAAATCAATCAGAATATAATTGATCAAAAACCTCTTACCTAGTTGGATTGAATTCGAAGGTTTCGATGGTTCACTTGTACCAGCTTTATTAACAGCAATAACTCTGAAATTGTAAGATTTATCAGCGCTCATATTTTCTTTCCTTGGAGGGAAATCTAATTTGCAACCAGTAACTTCATTACCACATATTAATTTATTCCAAACACGACCTTCATCTACTCTATATTCTACGGTATAATAAAGTGGGGCCGCACCAATAGATGTAGTTGTTGTTTCAGGTTCAGACCAGTTCACTGTTACAATTTGGTCTTCTGGTTCAGCACATGATGGAGATACAGATGCAGTGACATTGATTGGAGCAGTTGGAGGTCCTAAAGAAAGTAACAAGTTCAAAAGTAACAGGGATGGAGATTTAATGATATATGAAATATGTCTATCATCATTAAGCGGATTATTGTTACTTGTAATTAATTTGTTGATAAAAACTAGTTTAAAATCTTGAAAATCTCGATTCGTGACTTGCATGGTCAAGTGGTGCAATTTTTAATTTGTACAGTAAACCTTTTAAATTTATAAAGCAGCTTTTTTTAAAAACGTGAATTAAATTAGATCATATATTACAGATTGAATGGATTTAAAAATAATGTTTCAAAAATCCAACATAATATTCATAAATAGTGTGTTTGTTGAAAAATTACGAAGTAGTACCAAATGGAATTGGAAAGAAGTAAGTTGAACACACATTAGGATTAATATTTTGAGAACAGGAAAAGAAAATACTTATATCTAATAACATATAGTGATATTCAAAAGGTTAATGATCATTAGCTGTACATGTTGATTGAAATGCTGCATAACAGTGTAGATAACAAGAGGTGAAAAGATTGTCGAACTTGTGAACAGATAGATAGTTGAGTATTGGGTTTGCAAATCACACAATAATTAAATTATACTAAACATTAAAATATTTGACTTGCTAAACTAATTACAGTTGAAAGAAGATATGATCTTATCATCAAATTGACTCAGTTTAAGAAATAAACATGTTACAATCAGTATTTAACAAAATACAATGTTTAACCAGTAGCAGTGTTGATTATTGAAACGAGTGAATAAATTTCAGCAAGTGTTTGAATTTCCAAGAAAAAAGAACAACAAGCCGAATTTCAGGAAAAATTGAATAATTAATGAGACTCACCGAATTTTAGACTAGTTGAAACCGGTTTCGTCTCTACAAACTCTGATTGACCAACATCATTCTTTGCTGCCACACTGAAAACATATGACTTGTTAATCTGAAGATCATCAATCCTCATATTCAATTCACTCGTTGTACTCACTGGACGACTAGCACGTTGACTGGACTCACGCATCTCGACGACATACACCAACAAACCATCAACATCACTACCACTCGAAATTATGTCCCTTGATACACCAATGAATTCCGGCTGTTTCCAACTCAACAACAGACTCTCACCACTGTTCTCGCTCACTTCAAAATCACGAGGCACAGACGGCTTGTCAATCACAATCATCTGGATCGTCACTGACACTTCACCCAACTCATTACTGATCACCACTGTGTAATCACCAGCATCCTCACGCTTTACCTTACTCACAGGCAGTGATGTCAATCCCGACACCACATCAGCTTTGAACCGTGGAGTTTGCACCGGTCCCAGTTCCCCATCAGGTCGACGTCTCTGTCTCCATCTCCATTCAACTTTTGGTTTAGGACTGGCAGTGAATGGTATTTCGAACACCATGGCACCTCCAGCCTTGATGATGACTCGATCGGAGAAGGAATCGGATAGTCTCAATGTTGGCGGCACTGTACATATACATAGAACATGTGAATACTTACGAATCAGAAATCAAAATAATAATTTGAACATAAAAGCGTCAATCTATAACTGTTAGTCACACCTATGTTGTTTGGAATTGGACTTAAGTACCTTGAAATCAGGGTGCTATTAAACAAAAATCTCATAAAGTAAACTTTTTGGTTGAACTGGTCTCAATGTGAGGTTTACAATTGATTCGATAACTTTAACCTGAAGCCTTGAACTGGAACTTTATTTATTGTGAACTACAAGTAGAAGACTCAAATATCTTATCAGCATCACTATTGAATTTTATAGTCTACATCAAGAGCTGAACATAGTTAGACAACGATTTAAAGCTAAGGAGCGCTGGTCATCTACTCCGTTCCAGTGTGCAATTCTTCAGACTAACAAAACTACCCCAATGGTAACGTAATCTAGAACCTTTATTCTTCGAACAGTAGGGGCTGAACATTTAAACCACTGAACTTGCACCAAGTGATTTACGTATCCACTCTGAACAATCCACAATATCGTGCAACAACCTTACAGTGGTAAAATGTCTCCTAACAAAAATGGTTGAACTCTACTGGTTGAAACATCTCTTTAGCGCTTCCTGGTTTTCTCGGTTGTCTAAATGATAGCAAACAGTAATGTAAACTGAAAAGAACATCACAATTACTGGGCAGCTTTGTGCTTATTATTTCAAAACAAATCTAAATAAATTTCACTCTTTTATTATATATCATTAAATTCATTTACTATTTAACGTTTATTGAATTATGAAAAGAAATAAGAACTATAAATCTAAGAATTTCTACTGGGTGAAATCCAGAATTAAGTCAAATTTCTTATTGATATAACCAATATATATATATATAGCGTAAATGGATGGCGGTTGACAGTGGAATTTACGATGTGTATTTCATCATATTTAGAACTTGTCGACTAGATGTACCTGAATCCTAGAACTGGTGATCGCCTCGAGACTCGAACTCAGTACGTCCGCTTTATACGCCATCACGTTATCCACTTAGCCACTGGGCTGTGAAGTGGGATGGATAAAGCGATGGTTTAGTGGTGTTAACTTTAGTTGTTAGTCACGAGGTCTGGAGACCTTAGATTCGATCGCTGGTTGGACGGACAACACCACATTCCCGAAACGTTTTCTGATAGGACTGTCTGGTACCTCCTAGTTTTTATTTGTACGTTGTCTAACTAAGGTTCGTTCGCGAAGTTATGACACACATGACCTAAGTTTCATTGGTAAATATTTCGATAGAGAATTTCGTTTCTTACTTCGAGCACTAGTATATAACTCGTGCAAAAGAGTATTTTAAGACAGAATAAGAGATTTTAAGCAGTAAATATATGAACATACCTTTCATATCTAATCGGCATTCACTGGATAACTTCTCTACACATAAACTATATACACCTAAATTATCATCCATCAATGAAGTGAACTTTATGCGATGAAGTTTTCCATTCTCCAACTCCTCAATTGTCATATAATCTGGAAGACGACCAATAGGTTTCCCGTCTTTCAACCATTTTACTTTTTCACGAGGAGTTCGAGATAGTTCACACTCAAGAATGATTGGTTCGTTCGTTACTTTGTCAACAGTCAAGTCAGTTAATGGTCGTAGAAATTCGAGTGGTATACCTAAAAAGTGAAAAAGGGAAGAGGCGTGGAATATCTTTGATTTATGTAGATTCATTTCCAATCATTGATGAGTAGCATATTGTACACGAAGGAAGGAAATTCGGTGTACAAAGTGTTCTTCAGTAAGAACTGGATTTGAAATGTTATTGTTTGTAATATACTTCAATTACTCTTCGTGAAGAAGCTTTCGGAGTTCCAGTGGGAAGTCTTGAAAAGTGGAGTCCGACCCTGTCAGGTGTAAGCACTAACTAACGAAGACACATGGGTGACGTCGCGCAGAGTTCCACAGATTGATCAGAGTTAGACATTAACACCGTTGGTTGCCGGTCGAGTAGTCCAGAGACCAGGAGTTAGCGCAAGACCGAAGGTCCTAGGTTTGAATCCTGCAAGTATCAGGAGTTGCAGATGAGCACTGCTGATGAGTTCCATACCAGGATGAAACGGTCATTCAGTGCTTCCACTATTCAGTGGAGATCTAACAATGATTCATTCATGATTTCAGTGTAGAGTTAATATAATTACTTCCAGTTTATAATCATAAACAACCTTCTTAAATTAAACTGTGAAAATTATGATGAAACATTGAAATGAACGTATTAGCTCATATTTATAATTTGAAAGAAATAGAAACTTTGGATTTTGGCATGTTAATCTATTAGGTATCATCACTATTCTTACAAATAAGAAACCAATTTCATTTCAAATCACTTCAGAATTTTAGGATAAACCATGGAAAAGTAAGAGAAGATTCAACATTAAAATTCTACCGCAAAACATATTCTGGTTTGGTGTATCATGCTACCGTTCTACACGCAGGTTCGAGGAAATTACAGTGCATAGCAGTATGTCGTAAAGGTTCACTCGAGAAAATTTACAGTAGTCCATCTGTCAGTATTCTTTATCAAACAATCATGAAAGGATTTAATGACTAAAGTGAATTAGGCAGGTGTTTTTCATCAGAAATTCAATAAAATTTCTAGCTTTGGATACATTTGACAGATAAGTGCTAAACCATATGAATCAAAGAAACAGTAAGAATGACCAGTTCTTCTTCGTTGAGAATATTCCCTAGTAAACTGCAATTAAAACGATTGGAAGTAATCACTGGTAATTGTACATCAGCAGCTAGAAAATAAAACAAGTGCAACGCTTCATAAGCCGACAAGATATCATACGAACAGAAGGCTTCAAATATATTACGTTTAATTGAACCAGTGGCAACAAAAAGATAGGATAATAATTTATGTCAAAAAAACAACGTCTCATTCCACGATATACGTCATGAATATTTATGATACGCTTTAAGTCTATACAAAATTTAGTATCACCTGAACACGACTCAAAAAAAACAAGATACTTCCAGAGTATAATAAAATATATTTTTGAAACCATGAATCGATCAATTTTCGACCATCATTAGAAACCCGGAAGCACTGGACGGCCGTACCGTCCTGGTAATGAACTCATCAGCAGTGCTCATCCACGACTCCTGCATCCCGAAGGATTCGAACCCAGGAACTTAGGGATTAGGCGCGAACGACTAACCATCGGACAACTGAGCCGGTATCTAACGGTGTTATTGTCTAACTTAATCAATTCACGGAGTTCCGCAACATCATGAACAGTCTTCCGTATTGACTGTCTACACCCAAAGAGGTTAAACCTCTCTGGTCGGGTTTATGAAAATGATCCAAGATTCATCGATTCATCGTTTCTAAAATGCATAATATAACAGTCGTAACAATACCGTAAACCAAACTAAAGATGTGTCATAATATGACAATTTAAAAACATAAAATCCACAACAAACGATCGAAAAAACATCAAAAAAATATTATACAAAATAAAATTCAAGAAACAATCACAAAAATTTATATCGACTCGGAAAAAGAAGGATTTAAAAAAATGCGATTGAAACGCTTGACAGCGACTGTGCGCAAATTGACGATATTCATTTACAACTGAAGATTCGGAAAATCACTACCACTTCAAACTAAAAATTATCTCGTCAGATGAACTACTTTCTGTTGGTAGTCATTCAGTTGGAAAAATGACGTAACCGAGAAGTTCAGCAGTTGGTCCCATCAGGAAGTTGTTCCACTGAATGGATGGCTACAAGCAATTCTTCTGTCCATGCAATATCAGTCATCGATTATCACTGATGGATCATTCTTACATATGAGTCTAATTGGCAGTGTGAAATGATCACACTATTACTAGTTACTTGAGAGAACATGTTGGGGATACGTGTCGATTAGTATATCCCACTCTACAACTCAATCGCACCTGATTTGAACACGTTCATCTTGGCGAATATATAAATTAAAATAAAACAACCTGAAAGTCAGTGCACATAGATAGATAGACACACGCACACACACGCAACACAAGTGATGTCACTTACCTAGCTGAACTGCGTTCGATGGTGAAGAAGGTTATTCATGCGTTTCATACAAATCCCATTGTTTTCTAACTCTTCCTTTCTTGATCTTCCCCCATCTTCTGCTGCCAGACATTACGTTGACACTGACGTCATATACTACTTATGAGTAGCTCGCACCAATTCTTCTGAATTTCTAAGTCATACTACTGATTGAACTGTAGTCGTTTTTAAAACGAAATAAAACTTAGTATTTAAAACTTAAGTAGATATTCTTTTGGCAACTATTAATATTGAAAATAAAGCATAAAAGAATATGCGTTATGTGAATGTTCAATATTACATCAACTCTTTTTAGTTGATATTTTGACGAAGTATAATTACACATTGAAATCACCAATGAATCATTGTTAGATAACCATTAGAAACCTGGGATCACTGCACAACCGTTTGGTCCTGGTATGGAACTCATCAGTATTGCGCATCTAGGAATCCTGCTAATCACAGGATTCGGACCGATTGACCAGTGCCGTGAGGAAATCCTAGGAGTTCTAATGAGGTGACGCGACCGGTGGATTACAAACATGTCGATTGTGGGCACTAACTGCCGAAGATAATGGGTGAGGTCGTGCTAAAATCCTTAGGTTAATTAGATTTAGACATTAACATCGATGGATGTTGGCTCTTTGATCCAGAGGTTAAGCGTAACCTCATCCACAGTCTTAGGCGGGCACTGCTTCACACGACAGGGTTGAACTCATTTGTTTAAGACTTCTCACTATCAGTCGGCGAAACTTCCTTACGGAGCTAGTCACTAGTGAACGTAAGATTATTTACATTACAGGGTATTGATTCCCATACCAAGACAAAATGGCTGTGCATTGGTTCCGCGTTTCTTATAATGGTCTAACAATGATTCGTTGATGATTTCAACATAAAATAACGATCTCCATGAAGCTAGAATGCAAATATAATAATCATAATCATACTCAAGCCAAGTGGATAAATTTCTGTATTCTCTATATAAAATATTTATTTGTATTGCTAGGATATTCCTTTGACATTCTTTTAACGAGCCACGAACTACTTTTAACTTTAAAAAAATGTATTCAGTTCAACTACATATTTAGTTTAATTTTACTACTGACATTCTGTTACGCATGCACGTAAACACGTTATTTTGATATGCTTGAACTATTACGAGTTTACCTAAGTCGGAAAACGAGAGCGAGGATCGAGGATCCGGTGACACGATGTGCTATTCTAATCCGAGCGTCCCAAACCCCCATTGAGTAAAAGAATAAGACTTGATATGAAGTAGAACATGTATTCTACAAGCATCCTGAAAGTACGAGGTCCGAGTCCAGAAGAGGATGAGGATCCTAGACTAGAGATCCGGGTCCAGGTCATAAAACGTTACAGATTATGTATAATTATACATTTAGGTCGAATAGGAAACAACACTCAAGTCTGTAACTTTGACAGTTAGGACGACCAATCGGAAACAACATCGAAGTACGTGACACTGATAGCTAGGACGACCATAATATTGACCAGCAAGAATTTACCAATAGAATTAGACTTACAAAAATAATTCTCTTAGGATATCTGATGCATATACTGACACCTTCGGAGTATTATTGTTATTATTATTATTTTCCTTTTATTAACAACAAAAGAGACAGAATGTTTGGACAGATTCATTGACCTAAAGGAAAAATAATTTACATAACTAGGAATTTTGTATATGGTTAATGTTTATTCAACAACACTGTTCTGTTATCTTTTTCAATTGTAAATACCAATGTTATTTTACCAAAACTTCAGTGATGATTCACAAGTTTCTTTGAAATATCAATGTTGACAACATTGTTCTTTTCATAAGTGATTCATTTGTTTTGATAATTAAAGTGTGTGTTTTATAGAACAACATGTTTCGATTGATATAGCTGACATCGTAGCCTTGGTTAATCATAAAAATAAATTTACAAAGATTTATCTCGTAGTGACTGAGAAAAAAATGATTTTTCTAATATATCTATCTAGAACGACTTTAAAAATTGAGCGAAATTCTAGCAGGTATAAAAAGAGTTCAATAATCGGCTCCTGAAAGAGGAAAAAGGGGTGAAAAATGTAAAGACACAAATTTTCAAGTGAAATTTCCAAAATAACGATCATATTATTGGTTTCTTAGAAATTCGAACATCCCTCACAGAATTATTTAGCTGTTTAGTTCTAATTTTCATCACAAAATTGCATAAATTGTTGAGTTATGCTGAAATCATGAATCAACCAATGTCATAACACCATTAGTTCACAGTAAATTACCATGTGCATATTGGTGATTTTCTTCGGTGGGGACGTTTCTCCCAGTTCTAGTGAGAAGTCTAGAGTAGTGTTGTTCAACCTTATAGGTTGTGAAGCAATGCTGACCGAAGATAGTGAATGTGGTTGTACAAGATTGTGGATTGATCGAAGTTAGACATTACACAGTTGAATACTGGCTCAGTGGTCTAGAGGTTGAGCGTTCACGCGCATAACTGGAGGTTTCGGGTTTGATTTCCGAGTGTGATACTATGGATATACACTGCCGAAGAGTCCCATACCAGAACGAGACAGCCGTCCAGTGCTTCCAGGATTCTAATAGTGTCCTAACATTGATCATTCTAATTTGACAGTATTTGATTCTTTGCTACCATGATATACGTAACATAACACAAGATCTTCCGTCTTATCTAATTAGCAAATATCATTCTATGACGAAAATTATCTTTAAATTAGACTAGAGTACTTACAACAAAATCCGTAACACATTTGACGAAGATAAAAGGAGAATTAGGCAATATTCTATCATATTTTCAGTTTATATATCTCTTGAAACCGTCCAAGACTATATCACACATTCAAATATCCGTTCAGATTAGTTGCCTCCGGCAAAACAAGAGAATATTTCTTTTTTTTTAATACCTAGAACACTTTACACTTACACTGTCAATTTATCATTGATTATAGGAACATGAAAATTTAAAACGAACTGGTTTATTAGAACCATCACATGATCTGTTGAATTCAGCTAATAATTTATTGGAATTACTTGGTCGTATGTCAAGTCAAACTGGACATTCAACGTCTACATCAAATACTAGTCCTGGACATGCAAGTATTGAAGCACGTGAACATGTGGCTGCAATTACATCAAAAGCTGGAATGGCTAGAAAACATGCCGAAGATGTATGGAATCGTGTTGATCATCTACTTCATTTAAGATTAGCTGTTGTTTCAATGGAAGCAGAATTGGACCGTATTGTTGATTGGTTTGTCAAGGTAATTAATTCATATACTTTTGAAAATCTACATTCTTATCATGAATTTATCACATATTTCAAAGAAAACGACAATCAGAATACATTGAATAACCAGAATTGTTCTATCTAATCATCGCTTTCAGTAACAACATGTTACATGATTACATTTGCTAGTGATTGTGTAGGTTGTGTTTAGAGAGAAAAACAAACATGAGTTTGGAGGTAGGAGTTAATTGAGCTATCACAGTTATCTGTGGATCAGTCATTACATAAAACATTGTTACGTACAATAATCAAATCTTATGAGAATAGGTAATAATGTGCAAATGTGACTGTATAACAATATATACTTCAACCAAACTTTATTATTTTCTCTATTTTAGACTGGTGAACCTCGTTTTTCCGATATACAAGTTGGAACAAGCTTATCGGAATGTCAAACAAATCTAGATAGATTAATGATATTAACAGATGAAGTACATGATTTACAACGTGCCCATTCATATTTAACACAAAATCTTCATCAAGCAACAACTACAGACTCATGGCGTAGAAAACGTGAAAAAAGTGTATCTGAAATATTACGTGTACAAGAACAAGAATTAGGTATCCATTCTACATCATTGAATATGAATGTTGATAATGAAATGGAATTACAAAGTATTCATGATTCTGATACATGGCGTGTAACACATGGTGCATATTCTGAATTAATTACACGATTGAGAACTACAGAATCTTATATTTTGGAATTTTTAGAACGAATTGAAAACAAAAGACGTCAATTACATACTAGTGTAATTTATTATAGTGAAATCAATGTGGTAAGTTTGAAATGTTCATTTTTAATTATTGAGTCAGTTGATTTTCGATTTGAAGAACCGCCCATAAATGATTGTTGTTAGTGTTGAATTTTTAAAACACTACGGTACTTTTGGTCATAGTGAAAAAATTACAAGTCTAATGTACAGATTCACATTATCAAACTTCATTAAAACTGTAATATATCTTGAAAATCAAATCTTTTTTGTTAAGCGTATACTAGTTTCTATCATGATTGTTCTTTAATTAAGCACACACTAACGGGTTCAAACAAAAAACTTCTCAACATTTCATTTGACACATTCTTCCTAATAAGTACTGATATATTGATGAATAGAAAGGTTTGTGTAAGATTGGTTGGAATTTTAGAGATTAGGTTCTTGTGAGCTACTTCTAATTATTACAGAACAATTTACAAACAGCTTCACGTTCACTCTAATTAGAATTTACCAAGGAAACTTACAGTTAGAGATGAGAGTAACTCCCAAATTATGTATTAAAAACTCATTAAGGAAATAGTTCATTTCTAACTTTTCAAATAATTACACTGTCTTATTAACTATTGACCTGAAATAATTTCGTTTCTTTTTCACCAGATTCTTAGTCAAATCTATCAACTTGAAGCGGATATGAAAAAAACACGAGATCTTCAACAGATTGGATTAGAAGAAATTTATTACAATAGATTAACTGATATAGAAGTACGAGTACCTGGATTAAAACAAACATTGAATGAATTAAACACCAATTATAATGACAGAATTAGAATGTCGAATTTAAGAACACAACTTGGTGTTATAGTAAAATCTGGTCCTCATGAATTTGAACTCAATTCCGTTGCAGCAGCTTCAATAAATGGAAAAATGCGTGAAGTTGATGAAGGCATTGCTAGATGCCGAGATTTGCTTAATCAACATAAGGAATTAAATATAAAAGTGCAAAAACGTGAAGAAACAGAATTTCGTCTGAATGAAGTAGGTTATGAGATTAACGTTTTTAGCTGGTTACTTTCTGATTATTACAATTACATTGATCATTCCTAAATATGCTGAGCAAATTCTACTATATTTGTACTATAGTTGTTTAACTACTTATAAGTAGTCAAACAAAATGCAAAAACCAAACACTAAACTAAATTGTCACTAATTTTTCTCTATTCACTTTTGTTTCAGCTGAGCATGTGGTTAAGTCAAAGGATCTATCGTTCGCTTGTGGAACATGGAAGGTGTGGTACAACACTTGAACAAGTAGCTGATTTTGAAGATGTACATCATCGTCTTCAACGTGAGCTCCAATCTAGAGAACCTGAGTTAGAAGAATTGAGAATAGCGATTAGTCGATTATCTCCAACTTCTGGTAAATCAAGCTCACAGGTAACCTTCAAATTATTAAATCTTTGGCTTTTCTTTTTAACTGATTCCAAACGATGGTACATTGTATTTACCTGGTTAAATATACTTTATTCATTAAACTCAATGAAACTCAATGAGTTTGAGATAATGTTATTAGTATAGTTTAATTTAAAAAATCAATTATCCAACAATGTGTTCAGCTCTCTGTAAATTCTACGGTATAACTGACTTAACTTACCGTACTTTACATTAATGAATAGTCTGTTACAAATATATTGGTTTTACTAATAGGAATTCGAGATAATGACAATTATATTTTAACCAAGGATAAAGAGTTCGAGTTAAAAAATAATATTTTACATTAATCTTAGCTTGAAGTTTTCAAGATGTACTTCAGTCATCGTAAAGATTTACACAGTCTAGCACTATTTTAACATTCCTCTGAGAGATATTTCTGACATTAAACATGACTTAAGCACCGTTGTCTAATTCGTCAATCATATGAATCATCAACCATATTACAAAAAATCTCATTTATTCAAACAAAATAACCAGTTGATAAATAATATTTTTAAAAATTGTTATTAATGGCTAAAATCTAATGTTTTTCTTCCATCAAAACTTATAACTATCGAACGGCATGTTTTTGCTTCGATTTCCTATTTGTAGGATCGTTTAAATGAACTATCATCTTGTTGGACACGTTATAGGCAAATTATTCAATTACGATTAGAATTATCTCATCAATTCTCATCTTTATTAAAACGTATACGTGAAAATGACATACAATTTAATGCAACAATTCAGAAAATGAATGAAACTGATAACATGAAATTAATAACTACTGGTTTAGATTTTCATCCAGATTGGATAGTTGGTAGTTCGAATACACCACAAATAGCTGAACGTATACGAAATGAATTCAATATGACTACAAGCAATTTAGAAGAAGAACAAAGTGTAATTCGTCAATCCATTAACCATGTAAGTATAGCAAATTAATATATTGTTTAAGTGAATGCCTATTACTGAAGTCTGTTAACGCCAATGGAGCATAGGTCGCCTACCAGTATTCTCCAACCTACTCTGTCCTGGAACTCCTTTACCAGTTCTGTCCTATTTTTGTTCATTCTTCTCATGTCTGTCTCCATTTCTTAGCGTAATATGGTCATTTGCCTTCCTCTTTTCTCTTGACCTTCAGGGTTCCAAGTGATAGCTTGTTTTTTGACGCAGTTGGGTGCTTTCCTTAATGTGTCCTATCCACTTCAAGCGCTTCTTCCTGATTTCCTCCTCAGCTGGAATCTGGTTTGTTCACTCTCACAGTAGGTTGTTACTGATGGTTCTGGTCAGTAGATACTTTGTATTTTGTGTTGACAAATGGTAATAAACACTTGTATCTTCCAGATAATGGCTTTTGTTGTTTTCCAAGTTTCCACCACATAAAGTAGAACTGTCTTGTTATTTGTATTGAAAATATTGGCTTTAGTGTTGGTTATTAGTTTCTTCGAGTTCCAGAATTTTTTCAGTCGAAGATACGCTGCCCCTGCTGTGCCAATCCGTGCCTTCATATCTAAATTCCTCAACGACTAACTACAGCGTCTCACATAATTGATCCTTAACATCCTCACTGTTTTCGTTGATAGGAGCGCAGCACTGAATAACATTCATTGTAACCCTCTCTTTCTTTGTTTTGAGGGAGGCTTTGATGATGCTGAGTCCATGGATTCCGAACCTATAAATGTTTTCTGTGCTTCTTTGGATAACATAACTGCAACTCTTTGTTTATGTGTGGCGTTTTCTTCTTCATGACCAGAGTATAACAGCATTTCTCCTGAAGCTAGTCTTTTTTGTCCAAGCTGCGTCCCCACTGAGCTAGTCACTAGTGAGCATATAACAATTTGCATGATAGAGTTGTGGAGATTGTTGAGTTAAGAATCAGTCCTATAGCATAAAAATATATGCAGATAACAGCATAAATATAGCAAGAATTATAAGAAGATTGCAATTCGATATGAAAATGTTTGTAGTTTACAAGAATTTTGTTTATATATGTAAGTATATAACCGAAGAAAATTTTGAAATATTTCATTCCATATAATATGGAACAGTTTTGATAGGTTTTCTTCAATGTCAATTAGCAATTTTTCTTTTCGACAATATAGATTACTCAAAGAGCTGATCAAGATCTTCAGATAACTGAAACAGTACATTTTTGTCAAGTTCAATTAGAATTAAATAATAAACGTTTAAATCAATTACGTAATTCTTGGGATAATTGTCAACAATTATGGAATCAATACAAACTTGCTCAAGAACAATGGAAAATATTTACAGAAACAGCTTATCGTGTAAGTTTTTTTCATAGAATTGAATGAATATTTTAATGACTGAACAACTAATCGACATTTTAATGATAATTTCCATCATTACCTGATAACAGCTGAACAACTGTAGGTGTGTATTTCAGAGTAGTGTGTACACATATAACTGAAATCAAAAGCTCAATGTTTGTCATAGTGTATGATTTAGTTTAAGGTTGATCAATTCATGGTAAAGTCCATTTAGTCAAGATTTCATAAAATCACTTCAGAAGTCTATTTTGAAGTAAGTTATTATTCAGCTTGTAAAATAACTACTCAGAGATTTCTGTTACTGTTACTAGTACTGTAGGGAATATCAATTTGTAGTGGAACAATCTACAAGTAAAATTAATTTACTCAACTAAAGAACTAAATAATCAAACACTATTTGTTTTTCGCATTAATCAATATTTACAATGCTCTAAACCGATGTGAATACTTTAAAAAATTCAAAACAGTGGTTCCCTTTGATAAATTTGAATAGAGAAATGAGAAGACATATTTTGTGAGATAGTACCATTTCGTGCTTTCTCGTCAGTCACATACAAGCAACATGTTATTTGTGTAAATACAGTTTTGAAAATAAGGTCAAAATTTCTTATTTAGCATGACATTCACTCACTAGAACCATGGTAAACAAAGGTCAACATACAGTTGTTTTTGAACACATAAAGTTGGACTTTTTCGACCAATCAAGATAGCTTCGAGTAGTTTCAGTGTGTGTGGGTTTTGATGACATGTCACAACTCTAAAGGCTGATTTTGGGTCAATTTGATGACCACTCATCATTAGATGTTTTGCAATGGACGAGGCTGGGTTTCTTGATCGATTTTGAGATGACGGGCTAGGTTCATGAATCATAGATTTGATTAACCATTTTGGAATATGTTCCCCTATCCTGTCTTCCAATCGGCGATCTGTCCTACCTGAGTAACTTTCTCCGCAGTTACATGTGAATTGGTAAATACAGTGGGATTTGGACTGAATCGGTCTTGGAGACCTGGTTGGGGTAACTGAGATCGATTGAGTTGTTGTGATAAGCCTCAGATTAGCTGCATTGAAGGTCTTTTTTATTGCAGCTGCAGTCTGTTTGGTTGTAATTTTCATGCAATGATCACCCTTGAAAGGTAACTGTAGGTACACTGGTTTCTTGGGCACATCAGTTGCTATCAGCTTCGTCGTAGTTGTGTTCTGATGACCAATAAACGTTTCGGGATATCCGTTTGATTTAAGTGTCTTAGTAATAAGCTTGAATTCGTCGTTCAATGTATCAGCAGTGCAGATTCTACTTGCTCGAGCGAATAAAGTTTTGACAACAGAACGTTTATATTGTATGGGGCAGAAACTAGTGAAGTGGAGGTACTGTCCCGACCAGGTGGGTTTGCGGTGTACTTTTCGTCTGATTGATCCGTCTGGACGGCGATGGAGCAGGATATCGAGGAAAGCTAGTTCATTATTCTTTTCTTCCTCATAAGTGACTTTCAGATTCGGGTGAATCGCGTTCAATAAATCACTGACTTCATTAATATCTTTAGAATGTGGTAATATGACAAGAATATCGTCGTGACTGACGAGAAAGCACGAAATGGTACTCTCACAAAATATGTCTTCTCATTTCTCTGTTCAAACTTTAAAAAATTGATAAGAATCATGTTAATGCTATGAACTATGACTATAAATGTTTCATTTTATTCAAGCGTCTGATGATTCTTAGTTTATTGTTATTATTGTCAAAGAATTCCTTTTTAAAAGTTATAAACATGTGGTCAACTGCATAAACATAATCTCTATTATATTTCTATAACAATATAGTTGGATGAATCAATAACATCATCACTATCACGTATGTCTAGAACACCATTATCAAATCAGCCACATGAACTTGCTGAAGCTCTAAGAGTTCATCATAATGAACGCAATGAAATTGATCATTTAACAATGAATTTAAAAACAAAAGCTCAACAATTAGGAAATATGATTGGTGCTCAACCAGATGATCATGACTATAACAGTCAAGGTTGGAGATTTATTGAAATACCGAATAAATTAACTTCTGGTCTACCATCATCAACTATGGGAAAACGTTTACGTTCAGAAATGTGTTTACAATTAGCTGGCTTAGAAACAAGATGGAAAGCATGGGATAAAGCATGGACATCTAGAAGTATACAACTGGAACGACGTGGTACACATTTCAGACATTTAACAACTATTGAAGTAAGATTATTTTAATATAAGTTGTTTGTTTAATATTTTTATGTTAAAACTTCTAGCTGTATTTTTTACTAAATAAACATGCATTAGTATAACACGGTTTATATGATTAATATATTAAAAGAAGTTGATTTCATTTTTAAAGCCCCATTGAAATATATCCATGTGTGCATGCACTGAAAGCGAGTGTCAGTTGTAGTCAATTCATTCTGTTTCCATTAAAATTGTTATATGAGAAAAAAATGAAATAATATAAAGATAGCAAATTATTCTTTTATTCGTAGTATGTTTTTAAATCAGTAAGTCATTAACAACTGTAAATCCAATTCAAAGTGTTGTTCGATTGAATACTTACAGTTTATGACATTGAATAGCAATTAATGTAAGATTAAAAATGTGATTGCTGTGAATATTCAACGTAAAATATCTAAACTGAACTTTCCATTATAGACTTATGGAGATAGATTATGGTCATCATTGAAATTGTGAATCAATCATTATTAGACTGCCATTAGAAACTTACAAGCAACGGGCAGCCTTTTCGTTCTAACATGAGACTTTTCAGATGTTCGCACCCGCAACTCCCGCTACTCACTGGAATCGAACTCAAGACCTTAGGTCTCAAGCGCGAATGCTTAACCTCTCTAGCAGTGAGCCGGCATTCAACGGCGTTCATGTCCAACTTTAATCAATCCAAGGTATTGCGCAACCCCACCAATTGTCTTCAGTAATCACTTCCTACCCCTGACAGGGTTGAATTCCACTAGTCACTAATTCTCATTAGAACTCGGACAACCTTCCTCACGAAGCTAGTCACTAGTGAACACATAATAATTTACAATATAGGGTTGTGGAGATTTGTTGAGTTACTTTGAAATAATGATGGTCTAACATTGATCAATTCATGATTTCAAAGTAACTCAGCAATCTCAACCACGCTATAATGTAAATATTAAAGAATCGAAGGTGATTTATTATTCACAACTGAATTTCAAATATTTTAGCACCTTTTTTTTTTATTTGTCCGACCACAGGCTCAATAAAACACGAGACATTTTCCTGTGGACACAATTGATCAATATCTTCACAGTCTAAGCAATGTCACTGTTCCTTGATCCGATTCTCATCAACTTATGTGTAATTTATGTAATTTTCTTTTGTCCACTTATTTAATTTGACTAATAAATCATTTTTTAAGCCTACTATTTGTGTGTATTGTTCAGTTAAAAAAATAATAAATACCAGCATTACCTTATGATACAATAAATGTAACTGATTAGGATAAAAAAAAAATCAAATTTATTATTTATATTTTCTTTTTCAAGGAAATAGAAGCGGAAATTATTTTAGCTGAGAAAAAATTACAACAGATTATGGGAATGGTCTCATTAACTGCACCATTAGCACTTGTTCAAAATGCTGACAGAGATCTTAGTCAAATTGAAGCTGAATTACCGGTAAGTTAATTTTAAAATGCATAAATTTAAAAACAATTAGTCCCTTTTATAAATTTTGATAGAACAGTGGAGAAGACGTAATTGATCTGAAATTATGTGATGTATTTGTGCTATACATTTCGAACAATCTGGTCACACATATTTACTTGTCAAGACATTTTATATGAAGATGAATAAAAGGTCAATTAAATAAAAGTTCAAATAGACATAAGCTGATAATTGTAAATGAAGGGTAGTGAAAATTAACGTAAAGTAGAAAGAATAAGAAAGGGTAGGAAAATTGTCACATTACCCTAGGATTAAAGATTACCAAGGTAAATTCAAGGTTATGACAAATTGTTTCTGCACACATAGGGGGAGTTTTAACTTTCTAATAGCCAAGGCCTCCATAAAACTCCAAATTCGTCCTTCAACATTTTTATACAATGTTTTGAAGGCTGTCTTGATGTCGATCTCATGCCCTGTCTCAATTATGTGTTTTGCGGTCGATGAACATGATTTTCTATTTCCAACACTAATCGGCTCATCTGAAAAAAATTTCGCGTTAGTTTTGACAATGTTACACATTCTGAAAATCCAATAGAATGAGTACAATTACCTGAGAGAGAGAGAGAGAGAGAGAGAAATCCTAGTCACTGTTTCATTTGTTACATTAAAATACACCAATATTAAATTATATCTGTAATATTGAGAAAATTAATGTGATCTTTTATAATTTCGATGAATCTGTACTAATTGAACAATATAAGCTTTAATGCTCACGTGACGTCGTCACATCATAGTGTACAATAAGGAAATAAAAAAATTAAACATATATCTGACATTTTATTTTGAATTCATCAGTAGTTAGCTTTTTTTTTACCAAATTGACATAAGGATTACCAAATTTGATATACAGTTAAATAAGATATTGAAAAGTAAACAATATCATACTGTCCTCAGCATAAATACGATAAATTTTAATAACATGTGGTTTAAACACTGAATGACTTGAAATCATTGTGTACTGCATTGATTAAAGGCTAACTAAACAATAAGTCTTATTTAACCTTGAATTCTACAAGCCATAACTAGTTGATGCATACAGTCAAATGACCTTTCCATTGACCGAATAATACTGTACAATGAACGAGATTCTTTTTAATTTCTTATCTAAAATTAATACAAAGATTTTGAATCTGTTTTCTGTTTACTCTACTTTCCCAGGTTTTGCACAGTCGAATACGTTCTAGTGCCCCAGACATGAAATTACAATTAATTCAAGGTGAACCATCACCGACGGAATATACTGGAGCAAATATTGATTTGCTAAATGTTTCAAAACGTCATGAACAACTGGAAACACGTTTAACAATATTCACACAAGAAACTGTACGATGTCGTACTGAAATTAGTTTAACTCTACGTTTGCTGAATGCTGTGGATATGGCACAGAAAGCTTTATCACAGATAACATTTAGTTTGAATCGTATTAAACATCAACTACCAGAGATTTCTGCAGAAAATCGTTATCAGATGGAAGAGATACGTGTTGATATATCAGAACAAATTAATAGAGGGCGTGTACTTGCTGATACACATATACCAGTCTTGGAACAATTAGCTATTCAATATCCACGTCGTAAGTCTACATCTAAATTTTAGATCATGGATCATTTAGATCATGTAGATTATTTGTGAATAAATATTTATTTCGAGGAAAAAAACTTTTCACTTCTGACTATTTATTTTTAGAGAACAGATGAATATCACGAAACACATAGTTACAGTGCCCTTCTAATTAAGGAATAACCAGGAATCAATAGAAATAACACACCAGGGCAAAACCGACCAAAAGAAATGAACCTAATGATCAATGAAATCACCAGAAATTGTATTGTTTTTTTCAAAACAACTGGTTAACTGAATACTGAAGCCTATAGCTTTAAACCAATATTCGTAGTATCCATTACTAAAAGATTTTGTATATATAATAGAGAATGGTAATGATTGGTTAAATCTACAGTTATCCTTCATCATGTATAACTCATGTTTAAGTTTGACTTGTTTTCTAAGTTAACACCTCATATCATAACAGTATTCGATCAATAATAAGATTTTTGCATTATTTTAGATTATTCATCATTATTTTTGCAATAAGTCATGTTAAATGATTTTTAAATTTCTTAGCCCAACATTTCACTATTTTACATAATGATCCTATGTGATTATCCTCTTTTTACTTATTTTCCTAAGCTATGGAAGCAAAACAATATATACAACCAATTATCAATGAATTTCAATCGTCTATTAATAATTTAACACAAATATCAGATGAAATACGTGTAAGAACAGAACAATGTATTAATTTACAACGTTTACATCCAACACAAGTCATTGATGATCAAATCAAATCAACATCACTTTCTATGCCAGTGAAAGCAAAACCACCGTCAATTATTAAACCATTGGAAAATATAACTACAGAAGAAGGTAAAAAGATTATTATGGAAACAATTTTTGATTCTGGTCTTCCACCAGGTAAGTAATCTATTCATTGCCAAAACAATTTACGAATAAAGCATGAATCAGAAATATTACAGAATAATTTAAATTTATTTGTTTATTTCATTATTTGCATTGTGGGTTTGTGAAAATTGTTAGGTTACACATTTTCGAAACCATAAATCGATCAATGTTAGACCACCATTAGAAACCTGGAAACACTGAGGAGTCCCGTACCAGGACGAAACGGCCATCCAGTGCTTCCAGGTTTCTAATGCTGGTCTAACATTGATCGATTCATGGTTTCAAAAATGTATTTCATTATTTATCTTTAACTACTGACAATTTTATAGTAGTATGAATATCACAAAAATCATTACATGTATACATAATTTATGTACAAACTTGGTCGTGATGTGATGTAGATGCATAAAATATAATGATTATGAAAGATTTCAAACAAAATTTAAAATGTTCTTTCCCTAGTATTCGAGAATATAGAACTGAGAACAGCTTGGTAATAACATTTTTAGTATTAGAATAATGATGTCGCAGAACTGAAAATACTTACGGAGATAAGACAAAATAAGGAATTTGAATACAGTCGATAGAATTAATCTTGCGCATCAGAACTTTTAATCAGGATCACTAAGGCAAAGCATGAGTGATAACTTAGTAGTTTTGGATACTCGTTTTACTCGTTTTATAGCAGTACAATGTTGAAAATTTGATGAGGTTGTACAAGATCGTGGAATTATCAGACTTGGACATTAACACGGTTGCATGCCAGCTCATTGGTCTAGAGGTTAAGCGATCAAGCTAAATCATTTTGTTTTTCTGTTTATTTTAATACATGGTGTTTTAATCATTATGTTCAGTATGAAAGTAATTTTCACTACAAACTGGGATCTCTTTGAGAGCAGAAAATGTTGACTGGCTGTATTGTTCTAATTTTAGATCATGGGATAGTGACAATTTATATGCCCTCATTAGGGCTGCCGCGTCTATCAATAGTGAGTTGGATTCTGAAAAGTTCCTAATTAAGCATTGCCAATAAAACAAGTAAAAACTTGAAAATAATTGCTAATTTTATTTGGTTGAGGAGCTGAAACTATTTCGATACGAGAAAGTTAGTAATCATTGATGAAACTAGACAAATAAATGGTTATGAAACATTTAACAGAAGAATATTAATGAGAACTGCTTTAGTCTGTTGAAAACTAAACAAACTATGTTCGATTTACACTTTATATTTTCAATGAACAAACATAATTTTAGCTGTACTAGAAAAAGAGTAAACAAACTAAGTTGATCATATGTGTAATGCATTGCATGTTTCAGGCTTGATCAAATGTTTTAATATTCAGTTTATGAATGATCACAACACTTTGTTCGACAATTAACTATGTGTACCTAAGAAAGGTAGAATACGCTACCAACTAGGCGACAAATATTTTAGGTGATGTATTTATTAAACAAATTCCATAATCATAAATACTATTCACACAGAGATAGGAGATGAAACATTCAATTCTTTACTAAACTATTGTTCTTCAATTTATTCTTCCATAGATGCCAACCCCTATGATATTAATCAGCTACAAGTAACTTGGTACAAAGATGGAATACCTGTAGTTACACCAGATTATGAAGTCAGCTTAACACCGAATAAGGCAAGTTTGAAAATATCTGAAACTTTAAATGAAGATAATGCGATATTCACATGTTCTATCAGTACACCATATGGTAAAGCTGAGACAAAATGTACTTTAAGCATCATTGAAACACATAGTCCAATACCGGTTAGTGAAGCTTTAGTTCAACCAACTCAAAATGTAAGACAACAAAAACCTATTCGTGAATTGGGTGAACCACCTGAATTTATCAAGTAAGATTATATGTTTTTACTTTCATTTTTGTTTAACTGAGGGTGGCTAATTATTGTTTAGTTAACAATCAATAATAACATTAGTATAGACAATTACAGTGTTTTGTAATGAGTAATTTATTTCTGAGTCATAAATAACATTCAACCTAGTGAGCATTGCTAAAATTATGCAAAACATAATCAAGTAGTGATTATAACTGACTATTTAACTTTGAGTCAATTGGTTAAGATCATTTATTCCACTGAATAATATATCAAGTTACTGTAATAATAAAATATGTAAACACTTTAAAAGAAAAACAAATGTGATAAATGGTTCAGTGTTAACGAATTATAAGGTGAAAAAACTACTATCGAATGGTGAACTGATTAGATTAACTTTGAAATCGTGAACTGATCAACGCTGGACCACCATTTTAGATACCTTCGAACAATGGACGGTCGTTTCATCCTAGTATGCGACTCATCAGCAGTGCTCATCCACGACTCCCTTCACTCGCGGGAATCAGACTGGGAACATAGTATCTCGCGCACGAACGCTTAACCTCTAGAGGACTAAGCCGGCGTTATCCAAAAGTCTTACTGACTTGCGTGAGCTATCCACTGTCTTCGGTGACCACTGCTTTACATCCGAACAGGGTTGAACTCCACTAGTTATGACTTCGATGAACTTCCTTATGGAGCTAGTCACTAGTGAGCACATGATAATTTGCATAATAGGGTCTAACAGTGATCGATTGATGATTTAAAAGTAACTCAGCAATCTCAACAAACCTATCATGTAAAATGATTAGATCAAGTTACAAGAAATTGACAAACAATAAAATTAATATCTTATCAAGTAATTCTAAAATATTTAATAGAAAATTGACACTTCATCAACAAAAGTTTCATCTAACTTATAAAAAGTAAATCAGGATTGACCAAAAACAGAATTTTTACTAGTTATTGGCTTTTAGTGGTTTTACTTGAAGCTAAAGTGAAAAATTTTAATGACAGTTGAACATTTGTGATTGACAGAACTATGTTATCAGTCTAAAGAAAACTGGGACATATGAGATCATTTGAACTGTGAGCATAAAATGACAGAATAATAACACACTAATAAGCTTACAGTTTACAATAAGTTTAAAAAATTAATTACGAGAAAATAGATGCAAAACTGAAAAGTTTATCAGTATGAGCCAAATAAAAATCTATGTGATAATCAAAGCATTCAGTTTACAAAAGATCAATGGTACTTTTCATCGATTGTTAATTATCACAACTGGCTGTCCATCTAACATTCTGTCAATACCTTTGTTGTGAGCGAATCCAGATACCAGATTGACTATGCTCACCACTAAATGTTCCATACGGTCGCGTCACGAATATGAAAACAAATCCATGGTCCAATGTTTTATTTAAGGAGACTATAGGCGTTACATCGGGAACAGCAAATAGAGAAAAATGGCAGCAACGCGAAGAGAACGTTGCGCGCAAGAAGTGCTTTTTAGTACAGTTAAACAAAACGAGTACAATAATGTTTATTTTTCACAAATCGTATTTTCTTCGTAGAAGCGTTCCACTACACCATATTTTCTATTCAAGTTGGCATGGCATCAAACTACTTTGTTATTTTACATTTAAATTCTAAGATAAATCTGACTACAAGTTTAATTGATCAGTGAAATCTTTTTTATGCATAAATACAATCGTAGATTTGGTGACATGAGTTCTGATCTCAAATATTTTGTTAAGGTCCAACTCACTCTCTTTCAAACTAAATGCGTTGTAGGTTTTCTGTGTAAGAGATTGTCACAGCTTTTAGTGTTTCAGTATTTAACAAAAAGAGAAATCAGCACAATGAATGCAGTAATGATTGTTTTACTATTCGAAATTGCCTTACATAAACAAATGCTTGATTATAAACTGAAGTACATGTTTAAATTTTTCCTTTTCACACAGATGAAATCATCCTTCCATATTTTACAATATGTTTTAAGTATTATCATTTATATAATTAAAAAAAAAGATGAGTTTATTTACTTAACTAAATTCTATTCTGAGCCAACATTTCATCTAACATAATCTTGATGAGTGCCTGTTCAATCACACACAATTCGTTACTTAAACATTCAGAAACTTTCATTTTGAAACATGTAGAAGAAGAATAATAACTGCTGTAACTCTTTTTGTTATCCGTTTTTTACTAGCAAAATTTGGAATATATGCCATTTCAGTTTATGTTAGGTTATTTTTCCAATGGACAAATGATCATAATATCTGTATCAGTTTTCATTGGAGAGAATGTGTCTCATCATAAATGTTGACAATTTATGAGAAATATTCTCTAATCATATTTTTTCTGATACATATATAGTAGAAATATTGAAGATGTTGTAACATTGACAATGTAACATTTACCAATAAACAGTGTCTATGTAAATGATAAACTATGAATGAAACATTTTTTTTTCTTTCAAAAAGTATACATTATCTATACATTTTCTAATGTGTTTACTTCATGTTACAGACACCTACAATCGATGCGTATCAATGAAACTAGTGAAATTGTATTAGATTGTCAAGCTGTTGGTTTACCTGTACCATTTTTATCATGGTATAGAAATGGTCAATTAATTGATCATAATCCGGATTTTAAAATTACTCAACTAGCTGGATCAGGAATATTAAGGGTAAGAAAATAAACAATATGGATGGAGTATGGTGAATGATTGATATTTTTCTTCATTTTATTGAATAAATATTATGCTTGACTAATCCGTGTTGATTTGTATTTAAAAATTGAAATAAATTCAGTGAAATGATTAATAGGAAGAAATAAAATAAAAGAACTTACTAATGTTATCAGTGATGTTAAAAATTAAAGGGCAGGTTGTTGTTTCTCTCGTGCACAAACAATCGAATGTGGATGTTGTTGTAGTTGACCTGGATGGGGGATGAACTGCCTTTTAACGTACATGTTGATTATGTTGTTCAGTAGATACATAAACACTTCACAATAAATCTATCCAACCTAATGATCACAACAATTTTAACATACTTCATTCTAAATCACCGGAAAATCAAACATGATCTTGAAGATTTGATAGTCTGATCGCAGAGCTTGAAGGAATACTTTACTGTCTGAAGTCGTTCATTAATGTTCATTTTGCCCTCAGATCGTTGCGTTGAAATTCATTCGGCCAGAATAATGTAAGCTTTCTTTGTGCTGTGTATGTGTTGTTCTAATCAAACAATTTTAATTTCTATTTTTGTTTTTTTTTTTGCGATAATAGATTCCACAATGTCGTCTGATGAATCATTCAGGTGAATATTTATGTCGTGCTACAAATCCATTTGGAGAATGTTCAACAACATGTCAAGTGGATATCAATCCTGCTCAACCACCAATAATTATTCAACCATTACAAAATGTTAATCTTAAAATTGGTGATAGGCATAAATTAACAGTTCATTATAAGGTGAGTAGTAAATATTAGTTAATTATCATGATCCGTGTATAAAAGAAATCAAATTACTACTCAGTATTTCAGGCGAATAGAATATAACTAAATATTTATCTTATTTAAATAATCAAAGAGAGATTTTCTATCATTGATAACATCATCATACAACAAAATACTTATAATTTAAGAAAGACCAAATATTTGTTTCGATCCGGTTGGAAGTTTCTTAGCATAATATAACATATAACTTACATATAATTTGACTTGAGCTGATCCTTGTTTCAACTTCAATCAATATTTACAATACACTCGAATTAGCACTTAATGATCTTGGTGCGTTAACCATACAAAAATACTGTATCACCTTTAGTTCCAGCTGTCCTACCTACCATGGTACATACAAGTGTATCACTAATCAGTTTAAAATAATTTCTTTTCATAATCATACACGAAAATAATAAAAACATAAATGTTTTGGCGCCAGTGTTGATTTAAGAAACGAAGTAATACATCATTGGATATGCTTCAACTATTACGAGTTTACCTTAGTCGGAAGACGAGAGCGAGGATCGAGGATCCGGCGACATGATAGGCTACTCTAATCCGATTGTAGCAAACTCCCAACTGAGTAGAAGAACAAGACTTGATATGAAATAGAACGCCTATTCTACAAACATCCAGAAAGTACGAGGTCCGAGTTCAGAAGAGGATGAGGATCCTAGACTAAGGATCCGGCTCCGGGTCCCGGTCATAAAACATTAAATAACCAGTCCAATAATATGCATTACATAATGATAATAATAATAAGTTTTCCTTTAGAAATATGTATTTCTATTTTTTTTTTTTTGAGCAACCAAATCATAAAATAACTTTCTATTCATATTGTTGAATAATAATTCAATAACAGTGTTATTTTAGTTTGTTTTTCTAAACCAAGCCAGTATTTTCATTTCATATATTTATTATTGTTATTATTATGCGATAATGCAAATAAAAATACTAATCACTAAAATATAAGATTATTTCTGTTGTGATATTAATGTTCATATACAACTATTTGGAAGCTTTCTTCTGCCTGTTTCATACGAAAATTTGTAGTGTGTCGATTTACTGCGTGTTTTTAAGCTCGGTAATTAACTCGTCCAGACAATCGTTACAAAATTAGCGTCTGACGGTTTATAAATCAGAGGGTGAACACAAAGTGTTGAACACGCTTATTTCTGATACACCACAAAGCGAAGCGGAGAAACGGCGAATAAAACGAATGAAGCGACGTGAATTGGAGAAGGCTGTTGAGCCAACTCCTTGGATTACAATGCGAACGAACTGGCGAAGGAATCGAATGAACAAGCGAAGCGCGTTGTAGAAGACTGATGAGCCAACTCAAAGAAATAGGGCATAACTAACAATATATAGTCAGACAAAAATAAGATAGACATGTGATCAATGAGATGGGCATTCATGAATAAAAGCGACGAATAGTTGACAAGGTCAAATGACAAGTGGACACGTCATGTGAGCTCATACAAACCAGACAATAATAAGAACAAATGGTACATATAAATTGTTGCAATACAAATGGCTTGGTTAGGTAAATTAATCGAAAGGACTTAACCAAATTAAATGTAAGCGAACTCGAATATATCTGGAGAGAAGCACGGTATCAACTGGACAGTTAGGACGCAGCTGGACGATCTGGACTTCGCAGATGATCTGGCTCTTCTATCGCACACGCAACAACAAATGCAAGAGAAGACGACCAGTGTAGCAGCAGCCTCTGCAGCAGTAGGTCTCAACATACATAAAGGAAAAAGCGGAATTCTCCGGTGAAACACAACATGCACCAACCAAATCACTCTTGATGGAGATGCCTTGGAGGACATTAACACCTTTACATATCTGGGCAGCATCATCGACAACCAAGGTGGATCGGATGCAGATGTGAGGGCGCGGATTGGCAAAGCTAGGGCTGCATTTCTACAGTTAAAAAAATATCTGGAACTCCAAACAACTTTCAACCAAAACCAAAATCATGATTTTCAATACAAATGTGAAGACAGTTCTACTGTATGGAGCGGAAACTTGGAGAACTACCAAAGCCATCATCCAGAAGATACAAGTGTTTATTAACAGTTGTCTACGCAAAACACTTCGGATTTGTTGGCCAGACACGATCAGCAACAACGTACTGTGGGAGAAAATAAACCAGATTCCAGTGGAGGAGGAAATCAGGAAGACGCGGTGGAAGTGGATAGGACACACACTACGAGACAAGCCCTTAAGTGGAACCCTCAAGGCAAAAGGAAAAGAGGAAGGCCAAGGAACACATCACGCCGAGAAATAGAGAAAGACATGAGGGGAATGAACAAAAATTGGACAGAACTGGAAAGGGAAGCCCAGGACAGAGTTGGTTGGAGAAAACTGGTGGGCGGCCTATGCTCCATTTGGGGTAACAGGCGTAAGTAAGTAAGAACTCGAATATATGCGGAGGCACTACAAATTTATTGCTTTTATACTGATTCGATTGAATAAATGATCTGAAAATAACTAAACAATTTTATTTTATTTTGTATTTTTATCATGAAAATTAGTGAATTTAAAGCAATTTCTTCTTTTTTTCCTAGTTGAAACTTGTTTCTTTAGTGTGCTAATGTACTTATGTCGGTAATTCTGATATTTATTTGTATCAGTCGTATGTACCATTATTCTAGAGATTAATATCATACTTAGAAGAATGTGCTTTTCTCACTGTTAGACGTAAATACACGCAAACGAAGAACAGCCTTTTTTTTCCAATAAGTTTTATGGAGATCGTTGTTTGACATTAAAATCATAAATGAATCATTGTAAGATCACCATCAGAAACCTGGAAGCATTGGATAACCGCTTTATCCTGGGATGGGACTCATCAGCAGTGAACATCTAAGAATCCAGCTACTCGCATGATTCGTTCATGATTTCAATATAAAACAGCAATCTGCATAATAATATAATGAAAAAATCAGAACTTTGTCCACTAATGACTGCCTTCGTGAGGAAATTCTCAAAGTTCTAGTGAAAATTAGTGACCAGTGGAGTTCAGCCCTGTCAGATGTAGGTAGTAACAACCAAAGACATTAACATTGTTGTGTTCCGGCAGAATAGTCCGGAGGTTAGGCGTTCGCACGCAAGACAAAGGGTCCTGGGCTCGAATCCTGCAGGTAGCAGGAGTTCTGGATGTGCATCTTTGTCGAGTCCGGTTTCTTCCAGGTTTCTAATGTTGTTCTAACAATGATTCATTCATGATTTAATGTATAAGAATGTTCTATTTAATAGCTTCGCAAAAGAATATCCAAATTTGATCAAAAATATATCTTCTTAAATTACATTTGAACTTCCAATTATTGTTGCAATGAATAAAGCACTTAATTCAAATCATTTTTTAAAATGTTTGTCTACAATAAAGAGTGAACTTCCAGTTGAAGTAGAATGGTATCATAATGATAAACCGATTCAAGGAGAGGTGGGTCGTCGACGTATTACAATGGAATTTAATAATATGGTTAGCTTACATCTTCTTATGGTAAGTTTTGTTCGTAATTAGACTTATTTACTTTTACAATCTTCACTTTTTTTGTTTAAGATGCCATGGTGTGCAAGGTATCACTAGTTTCGTGACGGTTGATATCCAACTTGTTCTTAAACTTTATCATTCGCTGGTCTAGGCAATCCTCACCGGATAGCGCCGGACGGTTATAAATCATAAGGTAAACACGAGGGGTTGAATACGTTTATTCTTGCACACCACAAATACAACAGCAGACCGCAGACATGAAATCGATATGCGAGTGCCGGAAGGCAAGCAAGCAAGTGAATGAACGAATCGGCATATGACATGAAGTGGAAAAGGCTAGTGAGCCAACTCGAAGAGACAAAGCATGACTACTAAGAATTTATAGTCAGGCCAAAATAAGACAGACCTGTCACAAACAAGAAAGTCATGCACACATGAAAAAAAATCGACCAATGATTAATAAGATAAAAAGACAAGTGGGAAGAGTCATGTGAGCTAGACATTGAATGACTCACTACAAGGCAATCATGGAATATTGTTGGAAGAATGTCCCGATCAAATTTGAAGAAAAAAAACATTTTAGTCAGAACCATATACCTTATAAAAGCTAGCTCTAAATGATTAATTTCATCTTAGTTACTCAACATGGCAACATGCATGTTATCTCATTTTGTGATCTCATTAGGTGACTATATGCATATTTGTTGACATATCCGCAAAATACAGGAGGTCAATGCTGTTATCGTTTGAAAGATATTATGAATCAGTCTGACTGACTTCTTACAATGAATGAATATACCATTCAATCGATACATCATACTATACAAGGGAGTTATCTCAAGCCATTGTTATAATCTGAATTCTATACTTTTGTTGTTTCAACTAAAAAGGATTTCATCTTTGACAAAACAATAAAATCATAGTAGTCTGTTTACGAAGATTAAAAGATAACATTATCACTTTTATTTTATTTCAAGATGATTAATAAATTGCTTTTGTCTAGATAATGATTATCTAACTATGGGAAGTTACTGACGAATGGTCATTCAGTTCGCATATATGCTTACAGAAATCTACCTGTTTAGGAATGCCAAATAACTTCTGTGTTAACTGACACAAGCCACAATGTATTCTATTTTAAAACCATAGGTTTCGTCTCAACACATTTTGATTTTCACCTAAAAGCGTGTATCTTAGGACCTACATTCTTCTCGTTTGTAACTAATGACAATCGTCAATTTTTTACAAAACTATAAGTGTCAGGTACACCAGATATATCCTAACGAAAACACACTTGATGGAGATACCATGAAGGATGTAAACACCTTTATATATCTGGGCAGCATCACTGATAAACAAGTTGGATCTGGCGAAGATGTGAAGGCACGGATCGGCAGAGCAAGGGCAGATCTAGAACTCAAAACAACTGTCAGCCCATACCAAATTTAGCATTGTCAACACCAATGTCAAGACAGTTCTACTCTATGGGGCGGAAGGTTGGAGAACCACGAAAGCCATCATCTAGAAGGTAAAAATGTTTATTAACAGTTGTCTACTCAAGATACTTCTCATCCGTTGAGCAGACACTATCAGCAATAAACTAATGTGGGTGAGAACAAACCAGATTCCAGCGGAGGAGGAGATCAGGAAGAAGCGGTGGGAGTGGATAGGACACACATTTGGGAAAGCACTGACTGCATCACAAGACAAGCCCTCACTTGGAATCCTCAAGGCCACAGGGAAAAATGGAGACAGCAAAAACATTACTTTGAGAATCGGAGACAAACTTGAGAAGAATGAACGACCATTGAATAGAAATAAAAAAGAATGCCTATAAGAGAGCATGTTAGCGAACGCTGGTCGGCAGCCTATGCTCCATCAGTAGTAACAGGAGTAAAACTAAAACCATTACTATCAGAAGGCATGACCTCCTTCATAACCAAAGATATATCTTATTTAAGAATGACAGGAAATTGTGCTAACACAAGAAATTTCCATTTTTTTTAGGCTATCTTTAAACTCAGTTCTTTTAATGATTATTCCATTAGTCTGTGATAAAATGGCAACCTATTTATACTGAAATGTTTTTATCTCAACCAAAATATTTAAAAGTAGTTTATTCCAATTTTATACGAAATGAAACATATTCATATTCTGAAAGGAATAACTAGGAAGATTTTTTGCGATTAATATCTAATAATACCTACTGTTTATTTTTGTGTACATGATCAATTAAGTAATATGTAAATTCTAAGCATCAGTATTACTTGAATGCGAGAAAGAGAATGATTTTTTACAAGATGATACAATAGTAACAGTGAGCATCTTGAATTATTTTACCAGTTTTATTACATTTATTACAATCCACTCTCCTGTATAATTATTTTTAGGTTTCTGATTTAGAAGAAGGAAAGTACAGCTGTACAGTTCGTAATTCAGCAGGTTCAACTTCAACAAGCTGTAATGTTACTGTTCAACCAATCGATACAAATCAATCTTTATTACCGTCACAAATGATGCATCGACTACCAGCTTCACGACGTAGAAGAGATGTACAATCTGATTTAGATGAAGTATTTGAACCAGTTAAAATACCACGAATAATTCAGTCACCGACTGCCAGAGTCATAGAAGAACAAGTGACTCCAGTCAGTTCAGTTCAAGAAGTTTATCCGGATACAACTTCGAAATATAATCGAAGAGCTGTTTCAGTACCACCTACAACAACAGCCTCTATACCTTTAAGGTGAGTAAACTCATAATTGCCACAATGCAAACTTCCACACTTGATATGAAAGAGTGAAATGAATAAAGCCTTAATGGTTTTTCAAAGATCTACAATAAACTGTACCATCTTAGCCCACAGCAAAATAACTTGATAGAGTTTTAAATGAAACCATTCAAATATGTAATATAAGTTCACAAATTAAGCCATGTAGCACATATTTATGTCAATTAAAATATATTACCAAGTTATACAGATTTTATTCGGAAGAGTTCAATACTTTGATCAAATGATGAGATTTGAGATTTTCAAGAATTATCGTCTATTTACTTTGTAGTTTATTTCTCCATTAATCTAATAACATTCATATTTCATGATTTTTTTTTCAATAAAAATATTTAAAGAATACAAACAAATACTACACAATCACGCCCATTATCAGATTATGGCAGACCACCACAATTTATTCAACCATTACAAAATGCTGGAGTGAATGGATCGGAAAAAATCAAATTAGAATGTGAAGTTACCGGGCTTCCTGCACCACAAGTAAAATATTCCTTTTCCTTATCTGACTCACTAATGATTTTTACAAAAGAAATCTCATTTCCATTAACATATGAAGTGATTTTTTTTGGAAAACAAAAACCTCACTACTCACTAGCTCCATGAGGAAATTCTCGAAGTTCTATTGAGAAGTCGTGACCAGTGGGGTTCAACTTAGTCGGGTGTAGGCAGTAACTACCTATAACAGTGGGTGAGGTTGCGCAGAATCCTTACATTAATCAGAGTTGGACACTAACACCATTGAATGTCACCAACGCAGTGCTCCCGAAGTTAAGTGTTTGCGCGCGAGACGCATGCTCCTAGGTTGCATTTCTATGAGTAGCAGGAATCGTGTATGTGCAATACTGAAGAGTCCCATACTAAAACGAGACGGCCGTTTCAGATTTCTAATGGTGCATCAACATTGATTGACGCATGATTTCAATGTAAAACAACGATATCCATAATTATATAACGGGAAATCTAAATTATATACTTTATGTTGAATTTTCATAGCATTCACACTTAATCTTACTTTATTGCTATTCGTCATTTTCATTTTTCTACTAACTATGAGAGTTCAGACAAACAATTTGTAAACACAGGATTGATCGAGTTAATCAATATTTAAGTTTATGATATTATTCTAAAAGTTATATCCTATTCATGAAACCTAAAGGTTCTGAACTCAACCCCTCGGTACAGTGTACTGAGAAGACTCATCTTAAGATGAAACTAAATGTGTAAAGCTTTCTCGTTCATAGTGGTCATCTGGTTCATCTGAATCACTTGAATATACTATGTTCAAATGATCTAGCCACTGATTTTAATAGGCTTCAACTGTTTATAGTATTAGCTATAACCTTGTTTTTTCATTGAGTCAGTATTCATATGTTATAGGAAAATCGCATATTAAATTCAAACATTCTATCTAAGTAATATGTAAGGACGAGAGCATCTTAAACCCTATATTTAATGTAATAGCTCAAAATTTTATCTCATAAAAACGAGAATAAAATCGACAAGCCGATTATCGAAAAATAATTTCAATGATAATAGTAAAGTTACTGGTTTCTTTAACTTAATTACATTTTCGATAGGTCAACTTTCATAAGCTACTGCTAGCGAGTCAGTAGTATGTTGCGCGAATGATTAAATTTTATAAATAATGTCATAGTAATCTTCTGTTTCATGAACATTACCGTAAAATGTTTTTGCACTTTAGCACACTTTTACATTTGTGCGTCCCGAATTCCACTGTTAGTCACCGTCCATCTTTGGTTATAAGTATTTCTGTCACAATGGCAATATGAAAACAATCCGCAATGAAATCCATACAGAAGCCAAAAGAGACTTATCATTTGCAGTCACAAACATCGTTGAGAAGATTGAAACAACGAATACCAATGAATATAATTCAAACGTACTAAAAATGATTTACTTACTAGACAATAATTAAACAACAATTTATAAACATTAAAGTTATAAAATACCAGACTCAAACTACACATTTTGTTGAGATTAAAAACAATTTAAGTAAACTGTTTCATTGTCTTTACTATGTTTATTTATCAAGGTTACTTGGCTTAAAAATGGTATCCCATTACCTCAATCAAAATCGTATGCAACTAAAGAGATTGGACAATATTATTGTTTAGTCTTTTATGATGTATTTCTTGAAGATCAAGGTGAATATACATGTGTTGCTGAAAATCCTTATGGAAAAGCGTTTAGTTCATGTAGAATGGATGTTGAACGTGAGTTGTACTTTAGTTTAAGAAACATTGTATTTTTACCAAGTATACAAGTTGAATAGTTTCGAATGAACAAAATAACATCGGTTACTAAAATTTATTGAGTGTGCTTCAATCGTTTTTACCCACAATCGGTATTACTTTCAAGTTACTTCATTTTTTACTGAGTTACATAACGAAAATACAGCGGCTTATCCATTGATTGATCAGAATAATACACTACCGCAATTAGATATCAGTTCAGTGGTCCAGTGGTTACGTTTGCGCGCGCTAGACCGAAGGTCCTGACTTCGAATCCCTCGAGTGGAGGCAGTCGTTGATATGGACTACTGATGAGTCCCTTACCAGGATGAAATGGCTGTCTAGTGGATGATCTAACAATGACTGATTCACGAACATAATGTAAAACAACAATCTCCATAGAACTATAATGCAAAAATCAAAAATTTATTCGCCTAAAAAAGATATTTTTGTGTGTATAGCGAAGTTCGCTCTTTGATTTTAATCCCGTAACGTTTAATCATGTTTTATGCCCACAATTAGTGGAAAGAATTAGCATTACGGGGTTGTGAAGATTGTTAAGTTACACATTTTTGAAACCATGAATCGATCAATGTTAGACCACCATTAGAATCCTGGAAGCACTGGACGGCCGTTTCGTCCTGGTATGGGACTCATCAGCAGTGCGCATCCACGACTCCTGTACCCCGCAGGATTCGAACCCAGGACCTTCGGTATTGTAGGCGAACGCCTAACCATTGGACCACTGGGCCGGCGTTCACGCACAATACCGAAGTTTTTAATGGTGGTCTAACTTTGGTTGATCCATGGTTTCAAAAATGTGAAAGGAATTAATCAAGCTTTTCTTAACATGCGCTGGTTGTGAAATGACTATTCTGTAACAAAAATTTCTCAAGTTTTTCTAATGGATTAGTATAATTCGTCCGACAAGAAAAAGCTCGTGTTAAATGCTACAAAAGATGTCATCGACAGGTTACGTAATTATGTATAGGCATCCAGCGCTTCTAAGACAAATTATATCCATCATTATAATATGACATATTTAGTGTTATTTGTTATTTGATTAACCAATCGGAATGGCTCCAAAACTTTTCAATGATAAGGTTATGTGTTCACTTGGCTGTATTGTGGAACTTACCTCTACTTAAAGACAGTAGTTAATACTAACTACCATCAGCTAGAGGAGTACTGCTCATGAATCTTGGATTAAAAAGAAGATTCTATTCATAGCATTTACTGACTTCAATTCAGCATGAATTACGTGTCTATTGCAACTGAGTAGTTTAGCGAAATTGTGTACATACATTACTTAAACATATACTTTGAGAAATATATACATGTATAGTTTCAATTTTATTTCCCTACTTATATATATATACAGCGATTCGTACAGATGAACAATCAGCTGATTGTGTACCAACGTTAGTGAAACCATTACCGCCAAATTTATCTGTTGCAGAAGGTGGATCAGTTGAATTAACATGTCAGTTCACTGGTAGACCGTTACCTTCCATAGTATGGCTCAAAGATGGTAAACAAACACAATCTTCAACTAATTTTCAGGTAAGCTTTTTTAAAATATAACATCTGAGTATAAAAGCATATTATTATATTTATAATCCGAAAGTAGTAGAGTAACTTTTTTAATAGTTATAAGACGAAACATCATGACTGAATCTCAATGTCATCACGAAGCTCTTTTAAGGTAAAATGTGCTTCAATTAAAACTTGGAAAGTGGAAAGTAGTCATCCAACAGGAATTCTGTACAGTTTAAAGACGATCGAATTCTTCTATAGCTTAAATCTAACCCATTGTTAAGGTGTATGAAGTCAGTCAATCATTTAGTTATTATCAAACTGAAGCCTAGAGTTAAATGTCTCTGTCCAGGCACGATAAAATGTAACTAATAAAATTTATAGATAAAAAGTCAACTACATTGAAGAAAGCCAAATATTATGAATAGGGTTCGAAAAGTGGAATTTGAGATTCAAAGGACTATAAAGAATGGATGCATATTTGCCTATGTGGACAATTCAGAACCGATGTTGCCGTAAGTCTTTGACCAACAATCGCGGTTAACAATCGGTCTAAATCTTCCAATATACCTCAGACCAAAAATTCATAACGTCATTCACTGTTGATATGTCTTGTTTTAGCTATCCCATAGGTTTCTTCTAATCTAATTCTGCACTAGCAAACATTGCACATCGAGATTGGTAGTGATTAACAATAAGTAACATTTTACTTGACTACCTTAATCTATAAAGATTCATAACTCTACTGACCGACTTGCCAGATGTACCTAATATGGCATGTTTAACGACGACAATGTTCACGTGAAAAAAAAGTTTTTTATAGGATATCTGTAACAGATTAAATAAAAATGAGGATAGAGAGTAGTCCTGACAAACGCCAGTTTATTCTGGTGATTGGGCGCCGTAAATTTTGGCCTGACCAATAATGTCTGAGTAAAAAACCTATACACTAGAGTTATGTAATTCTTCTGGTCAATAGGTCTTGTAAAATGCATTCGTTTACTTATGTTTTCAATATTATGGACAAAGATTAATATTAAATTCACTAGTAAATATCTGACTTAAAAAAATAGAATCTGATAAGTAATTGTTATTCTAAGTATGGAACTTCAGTCAGACGTTGCTCGTGCATCCTGAAACCACCAAATAAGCAGTGCTGCGGTTAGGAAAAGGGTACTGTAGTGAACGAGAACACAGGTGGGGCAGCCGGATTGTGTTTAACGAAAATTACAGAGTTACTCAGTAAAATCGGAAAACTATATCGTAAATCGTTCATCTCGAACTGGACTGTTCCTGTTGCAAAACATCAATTCATTGTCACTATTCATGCGTTTCATACAAATTCCATTGTTTTCTAACTCTTCCTTTCTTGATCTTCCCCCATTTTCTGCTGCCAGACATTACGTTGACACACATCATATACTACTTATAAGTAGCTCACACCACAGTACTAGGGAAGGATGGCAGGTGAATAGATCAAGTAGCGAATTGACATCAGTTGAAGTAGTTTGGACATGTGTTATGAATGCCCAACCACCAAATTACCTGACGAGTGATGTTGTCTGATGTAGAAGGAAGCTGGAAGGAAGATGGGGGTTGACAAACCAAAACGTGGCACTAGAGCATGAAGTCACTGATAACTGGTCTGAGCCATATTAGTAGGTGTAAACTATCCGGTTACGGTCTGATAGAAAATCGTAACCGATGTTTAAAGACTGTGAATGACATGGTTCAAAATCGTTTGCAATGGCACAATTGCATTGAATGTTTGTCTTCTCTCAAATTCTAAACTCTGGAATGCCTTACGACTGTTTTTTCTCTTATAAATTTGTTTCACGGGATTAAACTTCTCGAATTATTTCTTCAAATCCTAATTTTCGCCATTACCTCTAATAATTCTACTACATCTACCACTATGGAATTTGAACGAACGATTGGATCTCTGTGATACGGCAACCTGAACTAGTGTACGTACGTACAAAATTCTACGCTGTAATTGACTGACTGATGTATACAGAAAATCTGCATTCATTACACCTAATAGAATTGTGAATAGAATGATACTCCAACTCTTGCCATTGATGATTTTTTTACCAGCTATTGTTATTGTTCAATTTATTGATTGATAGATTGATTTAGTTCAACATATAGCTGCTATGCATAATAGTTTCGTGAATTAACTTTAGAAAAAATCTTTTCTAATTATACCTGTTGTAATTATACTTTTGTAGACATTTCAAGATGCTGGCTTCGCTCGACTTTATCTACCAAAAGTTGAAAAAGATAAGTCTGGTTTATATGAAGCTATCGCAACTAATCCATTAGGTAGTTGTTCTACCACAATGTACATGGAAATACTTCCGTCTATAAGAACATCGATCGATTTATTGCCATCAATTTCACCAGTGATTAGTGGAAGTTCACCAGAATTTACACGAATATTCAAGTAAGTTTTATGGATAAATATTTAATCAAAATAAATAGATTGATAAATAATACTGTGTGTATTTATTTCTATTTGTATACATGATATTCATTATTTGTTTTAAACATATTTTAGAGATGTTTATATTGAATCTGAACGTTTAGAAGAAGTAGTACTTGAATGTTCAGTAGTTGGTGTCCCAACACCGATAGTATACTGGACACATAATGGAACATTTATCCAACCGAATGACCAGCGTTTTGCTATTGGCCAAGGACCTGGACCGAATGATCATTTTTTAGTTATTCGACGACCAGGACCAGAATCAACAGGTAATTCTATATTGTTTTTCCACTTATTATACAAAGTACTATTTTTCATATTTTTCCGTAAAACTATGATTTTATTTCGATACCACTGAGCCAACATCCAATAGTTGTAATGTTAACTTCTGTTAAACATTTTATAAGAATATGAATTAAGTACGTCACTGAATTTGCTTGAGGGCAAAACGCATTGTGTTCGAAAACTTAACGAAATTCCTATTCCATACTGTCTGGATTGTTATAATAACATGATATCCTGAAGAAATGAAAGCGACTTAAATATTTTTGAAGAGCCACCGTTATTAAAATATTCAGGGCATAGCAAAATCAAACAACACTCGAATAGCTTAAACAGTTTATTTAAATTAACGTAAAGACCGCAACCTACGGCTAACGATATGTACCCAACTGAACAGATAATTACCTTAGCTAAAATGAAGAAAAAATGTTACATGCTACATAGATATCGGTTTCTTCATCCAGATTTTATAGTATGCTTAACTCATTCGTGAGCTGCCTATTGAAGACATATTCTTCTTTTGTTTCTGATAGTTTAAAAAAATACTTTTCTTTATTTATCCATAGGTCGTTATCAAGCTATAGCAGAAAATGTTCATGGCAGAGTTACCTGTTCAGCATTTATAAGTCCTATTGGTTACAGTCAAACAATAATTAAAAGACCTCCATCTACGATGAGTTTAACAAGGCACACATTTAAACGACAAACTTGTCCTCGTGAAACATCATTGCCACCTTCACCGGCAAGTACTGCTCCAATCATTTCGCCACAACCATTTCCCACAGTTCAGTTAACTTTATCACCAACACGATTTCAACGAGAAACATCAGCTCCACCGTCACAATACTATTTAACAAGACACCATTTACAAATCAGACCAAGGCAACCAACACCACCAGTTCAGCTTACTTTTTCGTTACCACGCAAAGAACAATCATTAAGTCGAACAGAGGTAAACAAAATTTAAAACAACTAGTCTCTTTTATGAATTTTGATAGAACAATGAGAAAACCTTACTGATCTGATAAATATGGTGTATATAAGCTAAACAATTTATATTAAAATTAATATAAGGTCAATTAAATAAACGGTCTAGTAAACATAAGGTGATAATTTTGAACAAAGGAGAGAGAAAATTAACATAATGTAGAAAAAATAGGAAAGGGTAGGAAATTGTCATATTACCCTGGGTCATAAAATGGCTTAAAGATTACTAGAATAAATTCAAGGTTATAACAAACTGTTTTTGTACATATAAGGGGAGTTCAATTCACGAATAGCCAAGGTTTCCATAAACTTCGAAATTTGTCCTTGAACGTTTCGATACAATGTTTTTAAGGCTGTCTTGATGTCAATCTGGTGTTTTGCTCTCGATGAACATGGTTTAGTGTTCCCCACGTTTATCGAGTCATTTGACGTAAACTGATTTTGAAGTCATTTAGGGTCATGTTCCACTAACCCTTTATTAATTTTCATATAAAATGCCTTGACAAGTATATGCGAAATCAGATTTTTCGAAATGTATGGCGCAATTTTTTAGTGAACAAAACCGTTTAAAAAACACTCAAAGTTAACTGTTAAAGATTTACCTTTTTTAACACTGAACTAACATGTTAAATCTTTCTTTGTATATTGAAATTTTGCCATATTGACAAATTCCGAACAGTTTGATTCCATCCGGTAGAAAGACAATCAATTCGAAATTAATCAGTGTTTAATAATTTTGAAGTCAATGATATTAGTGGATAACATTTAAATTATGGACCAGTTAAATGAAATTAAATCACATAGTAATGCAGGAAACGTTTCAAATCTCATTTCTCATTACTAATCAATACTGACCGGTTTTCGAACATTTTCACATTACTGTAATAAACTGAATGTTATTATTTTTCACGTGCATAATCCATTCAGAGATTGGAACATAATAAAATCTAAGTATAAAATTTCATTAATATTCACACTGTGATCTTTAATTGCATTGACGCTTTTAGTTATGTTAACAATTTCAACATGAAATGATTATCTCTTGTGTTAAAAACATTTCATCGTGGATAACCAACACTACTGATGGATATAAATTTATGGAAAATAATATCAAAATTCTAATAGAGGAACATTTATTATGAACATTGTTGTATATTTTAACAGCTTAAGTATTGGCTGGAACATCTGTTTCTGTAGGTTCTACCAAGCAAGGTGGGTCGACTGGAGAGCGGTAAGACCAGAAGCAAAAGCTTAAGTTCCGAGAGTTAAATCGTACTCCCGACTGTAGAGAGTTGTGGCAGCAGCAAGATGTTGCCTTAAGACAACCAGCCTCTGCAGCAACTCTGCCTTCTTACAGAGGAACATCGGGGTTAGGGACTCTTCAGTAATCCACGACCCTTGCTACTCTCAGGAGTCGAGTCCAGGACCTTCAAGCTTACACACGGACGTTTAATTTCTAGAGCACCGAGCCGACATCTAGAGGTGTTAATGTCTAAATTTAATCAATATAAGGTATTGTGCAACCTTACACATTGTTTTTAGCAGTTACTCCCTAGGCTGAACTCTTCTAGTCACAACTTCTCATTAGAATTCAGAAAATTTCCTCACGGAACCAGTCCCTAGCGAGATTGTTGTTTTACATTGAAATTGTCAATCAGTCATTCTTAAACCACCATTAGAAACCTGAAATCACTCATTAATTCACGATTTCAATATAAAACTTTAAAGATGGTCATCTTTTTGGCATATAAGAAAACGAAGTCTGAGACCTCTTATCAACAACCATTGACGGTTGTTCGTTAATTTGAGTAGCAAGTAAATACAGGCAACTAACATAAAATATCTTTGTGGAACATTGAATCCGTGAACATAATGAAACAGCTATATCTACAGCTATATACCAGAATCTCTTTTACTAAAGTGAATTTAATTAAGTATTATATCAACATGGAAATTCACAACCCAGGTAAATCATTTTAGGGGCGTTAAGCTTTCTGATTTATAAAATATGAATCCAAATAAGACAATATCTTTAATGAGTAACATTTAAAATTTTATATATCTTTATGCCATGATTCGTAAACTAATTCTCCCTTCCTTTAACTTACTAGATAATACGGCCTATTGAAAGTCAATTAAAACTACAAGGTCAAGTAAAGCATTATAGCAGTACACAACATTTATATAAAAAACAAATTACACCAATTGTACCAAATATTGAAACACGTTATTCACGACGTGTTGCTAGTCAACCACGACTTTCCCCAGGTTATTCATCAGAAGAAGAACATGAGCATAGTATGTCAGTTGTACCAATGGTACGTCATTATAAAACTCGTATGGAACGAAATATGGTAGCTAGACCATATATCATGTCTGGTTATAGTTCTGTAAAAGAACACAAACGTACTCTACATATTACACCAATGAGACGTGAATATCAAACATCTTTAGAGCATAATATACCAGCTAGGCCAACATTAGAAAAAGGTTATGTAGCTGAAGAAGAACGTGACTATGAAATGAATGTAGTACCGATTGTACCCCATACGGATTATAAAACAGAATTGACAACTGATATTTATAGTAAGCCAGAGCTGACTCCAGGTTATACTACAGAAACTGAGCATATTCGATCAATTGTAGTTACTCCATTAGTACCAGAATATCATACAAAAATGGAACGACAAATAACAAGTCATCCAATTCTCGAAGCAGGTTATTCATCAGAAGAAGAACATGAACATAAATTGGATGTAGTGCCTATGGTTACTTCATATAAAACGGAACTGAACGCTGATGTAGCTTCAAAACCAGACTTGATGCCTGGATATGCTGTTGAAACTAAACATCCTATTAAACTTGAAGTTACGCCTATAGTACCAGAATATCGTACTGAATTAGATACAAAAGTTGCTAGTCATCCATATTTAGAAGAAGGTTATACATCAGAAGGTGAACATGAGCATCAAATGGAACTTGTTCCATTAGTACCTGAATACAAAACACAACTATCAACAGATTTGTCAGCTAAAACTGATGTGATTAGTGGATATGAAAGTCGATTACATTATGAAAAAACCTATCTCATGGAAACGCAATTAAAACAAGTAAGTTACTAGTGTTTTACATCAAGAATAATGTATTAATTTCAAAGTTGATCTTAATTAAAAATCTTTTGATATGATTTATGTAATATATATTTGTAATGTTACACTCCGTAATCAGATTCAATTAAAGATTAAATAAACCTAAATAGTTATGATAAATGTTTGTTTAATCAGTTCAGTCGTATTCTATCATAACTCATTGGTATGTGTAACATTGTCCATATGGAGATAATTGAATTTTTGAAGATTGAATAAATGAAATTAGAATACCTGGTTGATGCAATGGAAAAGGTATGTTACTACTTGCCAGGTATATTTTTGCAAGGCTGAAATAAAGTAACTTTCATGTTATTCAGGTTGTATAAGCAAACAAGTTGATCTAGTGTGCTATTTCGGGCATGAGGGCGGTTGCCACTTCCCGGCTGCCCACACCATGGAAGGGTATCTCTTGGAGGACCTGAAAAAGAAGATAGATTAGTGTTATTTTTAGTGACCTAGCAGCGGGACTCCTGAGCCCAAAGGAAAACTGCTCAAAACGAGTCACACAAGGGCCTTTCTATGAAAAGGTTTGGAAGCGTTATCTCGGCTTTTAAAAAGGCCTTATCGACGGAGATAGACGTCCGTGGGGTAAGGTGAGATGTGACATTTATGAGGTTGACATTTTCTAACCCTTTCCTTCTATTATGAGAGGGTAGCATTGTTGCATGTGCTGACTGTCTGAGAAAATTACCTTACTCCTGTCATACCCCTCTACAACCATCAATACAACTTCACCCTCAGAACTTAAGTTTCTGCCTTTAGTCTAACCGTTCTCTAATTGAATTGCCTCGCACGATAGGACTTAAAGGAACATATGTGTTCCAACAAATATATTTCGGTTGGGTCATCATGGGAGATAAACCCTTCAACCACATCGAAGTAGCAGTCAAAGTCGGGGATGTTTGAGATAATATAATCTGATCAATATTTCCATGATAATGTAACTCTTTTATTCAGAAAATCTGTATTCATCATTCTAAATTGTTTTCACCACCATTCGTTTGATATAATGCTAACATTAGTTCAAGATATATTCTCCACTCTCATCTAGAAATTAATTTCCTGTACTGTTACAAAATACAACAACAGTCAGTAAGTTTAGTAAGTACCAAGAATTGTAAGATATTTTTTCTAACTTTACAGCCTAAAAATACACACAATCGATTTTTTTCAAGAAATTTATTAATAATTCAATTGACTTTTTTTTTGTTTACAAAAGTATGAATCGGCTATTTCAACTCATCTACCAAGTAGGCTCTCATTAACATCAATATTTGAGTCAACATATGAACATGCAACAAATATGAATATTGTTCCTGTTGTACCACAAATTGAACATCATACAAGTCAATTGATGACTGATTTCTATGCTAAAGTATGTTGAATATATTTAATGTTGATTTTTCAATATAGAAAGTGACTATGTAAAATGATGTTTTTTATTTGTCAAAAATAACAGTTAAACTAATCAAAATTAGCTAATCATCAAAAATAACATAGTCTAAAAGAGCTAATAAAAAGTGATAGACTATTATCTTATTCTATTACTGAAAATTATGTTTAAACTAGACACATTTCTCTAGTTAAAATCATATCATTGGAATTCAGTATTCAATTGTTTAGTGATTCCAACTAATTCTTGACGTAATACGGAAAGTTATTACTTCTTTCATATGGGACCTAGATCACTTCACTGTTGAATTTAACTTGTCGTTTTGTGGAGATAGTGCTTATCTGATTCAATTAAATTGAATAATTTAGAAAGTTGTCTTTTTCAGAAACGGTTGATAGCTGAATATCAGAGTTTACAATTCATCTAAACTATGAGTGAACACATTAGTATTTGTTTCATCAAGCAAAGTGTTTTTTTATTTTTTTTCTGATTAAAAAATCCTCACTCACCTCTTGACAGTGTGTTGAAGTAAAACCTTCAATTTTCAATACATTTTTAGTCAGAAAGACATTATAAACTGGAATACAATCGTCAGAAGTTTTTTGAAACACTTATTTCTGTGTACAATCGAACACAAACTGTGATAGAAGCGTAGTTGAGTAGTCTTACTCTATTTTATTTTGTTACCAGCTCTTGAAAAAATCTTCATTGTACACTTATTTTCTAGTACATATTCAGCCGCCAATGTAAACTGTTTACATATTTTTAATAACAATTTTAATTTATTGTATTGTCTATCATTTTTACTCTTCCAGTACCGTCCAGTTGATGTAATTGTTGAAGTGCCTATTCCACCAGAGTTTGTAAAACCGCTAACGAACGTAGTGGCTGATGAAGGAGCATGTGTTATTATAGAAGGTCTTGTCAATGGCACACCAGAACCTAAGATATCATGGTACCGTGCTGGACGTCCATTATCTGATGGTCCTGATTTCCGATTAGATTATACAAATAATCGTGTACGACTAACACTCAGTGAAGTAAGTTTTGTTTAGTATTAATTGTAAAAATAAGTCTGTTGGTACAAGTGAATTTCACAGTTATTTTTTTTAAACATGTTATATAATGTTGTTTACAGGTAACTAATTATTTCGCTTCAAAAATTCAATAAATACTCAAAGTTTATGTCAAAACGTTTAACCTATTTACGTAGAACATTTTGAAAAAATCTCACGAAATGAATAAAAAATTAAACCAATACTGAAATTTTTGATGTTGTTGTTGAAGACTGTTGAATTTTTATTGTTTATTCCACTGACCGATTTTAGTTAAACAGTCAATGAAAACCAAGAAGTATTCACTAATGTTAATCAATGATGCAAACTATCAAAAGTAATATAATGAGAACTTTTGTTCAAATTGGAACATTACAACATTTTGAACATGGAGTTTATAGAAGGCATTAAAAAAAATGATTCAGAAAAGTTTTAGTTACATTATTACCACTTGTACTAAAAATAAATGAACAATTAACAGGAATGGATGCATGTTTAAACAAATCAATTTAGCGCACATAAATCAATGTTTAGTTGTAAATACATTTTTAAAAATAGTTTTAATTTCAACTAAATATATTTATAACATGAACTGTATTGATTAACCTCGTAATATTAAGTTTGACTGAATAAATATATCCATAGGCAGTAACTACCAAGACAAATGGGTGAGGTCGCGCAAAATCCCTTGATCAATCACAGTTAGACGTTAAAACCGTTGGATGCCGCCAACTCAGTGGTCCAATCGTTAGGCGTTCGCGCACAATATCGAAGGTCCCGGGTTCGAATCCTGCAAGGAGCAGGAGTCGTGGATGCGCAATGCTGATGAGTCCTAAACCAGGACGAAACGGCCGTCCAGTGCTTCCAGGTTTCTAATGATGGCCTAACAAAGATTGATTGATGATTTCAAATGTGTAAAAACGCAAACCTTCAAAACTCTGCCCCAAAATATCCATAAGACTTGCAATCTATCATAAAGTAAATGAAGTTCACAAATTAGTTTTAACCCAAGCCCTAGACTGCCTAACATTTTTTAAGGTGGTACATTGACTTATTTCCCGTAACATTTCATTAACTGTATTCCTAAATACATTTGAATTAAATTCAATGTTATTACATGCATCCAACTGAATAAAAGTCGTATTTAAGAGATAAATTGTTTTTTATTTTTTCTACGAAAACAAATATACAAAAAGGCATTTCCTGATGATGCTGGTGAATATACTTGTGAAGCTGAAAATATTGCAGGTCGAGCACAAAGTACTGCAAACTTAATAGTACGTGGTCGTTTAATGACACCGAGATTTATTAAAGGACTTGAGAATCAAGTTATATACGAAAGAGAGTCAGTTCGATTGATTGTAAAAGTAGATGGGCATCCACCGCCAAAAGTTACATGGTAAGATTATTTACATTATTTTAATGTTATGATATAAAAAATCAATTCATTTTGTTAAATTAACTAACCGGTTTATTTGAGAGGTTCTAAACTGCTGTTTTCCATCAAAAGCAACTTTGAAAGATAAATAAAATCATTTAACCATCCATTATACAACAATGAGAATGAGAATAGAAGGTGAATCTTTTAAATGATCAATGAGTGGAATTTAGTTATGTGATACAATAGTAGTCAATGTCTGGTTTTAGGAAATGATTCGGTTCTTGTAATTTGCATCTAAAACTATCACCAGATTAATCGAATTTTTATCGAAAATTCGTAAGTGGTTTATTGGCTATGTGAAACTTTCTAAGTACAGCTCATCAATTTGGTAGCCCATATTCTGACTTCTTTTCGTACGAATGATTGAATGTGTGATGGAATAAATCATCCCTACCATTTCTGTTTATTATACTTAAGCAAACCACATTTGTACGATAGTGGTAATAAGAAGCCAAATACAGATTTACGGATGAATCTATTTCATGCAATTGGCAAGGTCAAAAGCTGAGACAAGCCATTTGGGCTCGACATATTTGTACATATGCTACAATGGAATCAATGTACTAAATGATGCAACACTTACAGTAACTGCATCCAATAATCAACTACTAACTAAGGAATGAAACGGATACTTATCAATCATACAAAATAAAGTACCATAATAAATTGCGAACTGATTAAAATTGAAAAGTGTAGATCATTGAATTTTAACAAAATAAGTCGATAGTCTTTTGTTTGTCATTATCGAAATGACTTCTGGAAATTTTATCTGAAAATTCATTGTTTATTTGTGTGCTATGTTTGCTCGATGAAGTGAATAGTCATGTAAAATAACATATTTGAAATTTTTCAGGACTCGTGATGGTCATGAAATAACAAGTTCTCCTAATTACATACTTGAATGTGAAGGTGACGGTATTTATGCACTCAGTATACCTGAAGCATTCTTTGGAAATTCTGGTCGTTATGCTGTAGTTGCTGAGAATCCAGCTGGGAAATGTATTTCTTCTGGTTTGTTAACTGTTTTAGGTAAGTTGTTGTTTGTTTATCACCTCTCTTGAAATTATCTGAATCAAAGTTAAGTAAACAAAATGATTTTAAAATGCTTATGCTGACGATGATTTACAACATAAGTGTGTACTCTTAAGTAAAATGATGTGTTCTCAGCTAGCTGTTCATCGATCGAAAGTGCGGGTTCTCGTAATTTTATCCAGAATTTCAACGTGTAAACTTTGCCGATAAAACTAACAAATCATCAATAGAATTGTCAAAAAAATAATAATTGAATCCTACTAAACTGTTTAGTTGATTTTTACAAGTTATCAATCATTTGCATGAGTTCATCAGGGTTTAACTTTTTAAATCAGGTTTAGTATAAGTTTTTACATATTTGAAATGACCAATCAATCATTGCTAGACCACTATTAGAAACCTGGAAGCACTGGATGGCCGATTCGTCCTGGTTTGGGACTCATCAGCAGTGCTCATCCACGACTCCTGCACCTCGCAGGTTTCGAACCCGGGACCTTCGTTATTGTGCGCGAACGCCTAACGATTGGACCACTGAGTTGGCGGCATCCAACGGTGTTAATGTCTAACTGTGATTGACCAAGGGATTTGCGCGACCTCACCCATTTGTCTTTGGTAGTTACTGCCTACATCCGACAAGGTTGAACTCTGTTGGTCACGTCTTCTCAACTAGAACTCCGAGAATTTCCTCATGAAGCTAGTCACTAGTGAGCACTCTGCCCCAAAATTAGTATAAGTTGTCAATCTTTAATATTATCTTTGATATTAAGCTAACTAGGGTGAAGTTATCATGCATAACTTACAGCTCACTCAATTTACTACTCTATACATTAAAGTGATAATCTGATCAGTTTTATTTAATTAAGGATAGATTGACTTAGTGTATCCATAACTTTCTAAAAGCTTAAAAAAACAAAATCCTTGTTAAAATTTTTACTGTTAAACACATTATTCTAATTAGGTCCATGGGTTGAAGTAAATATAAACCAAAAGAATTTAATAATGATAATAATAGCTATTATATATTACACCAGAAATTTTCTATTTTATTCAGTATTCTCAACTAGAATCTATTTAGTAAAAGATACAAAGTTACTTTTTTCACCGAATGTGATAGTGAAATAATAAATCAAATGTTCTATTCAATAATTAATTCGTAAAAACCAAGAAGAAACCTTAAACAAAGTTGCTCTTATTTGTATTAACAACCTCCATAAACTTCAAGATTTACTTACATTCTCAATTATCCTTCAAAGAAGTATAATTGCAAATTCAGAACAATTACTCATTCTTATTGAAATCGATCATCGTTAGACTACCATTAAAAATCTGGTACCACTGAATGGTCGTTTCGTCCTGATATCGGACTCATCAGCAGTGAACATCTCTTACTCCCGCTACTCGCAATAATCGAACTTAGAACCTTCGATGTCGCGCTCGAACACTCAACCTCTGGAACACTGAGTTGGCGGCATCCAACGGTGTTAATGTTTATCTCTGATCAATCTAATGTTTTGCGAAACTTCTAACAATGATAGTTTCAGGATTTCAATCATAAACAACAATCTCTACAACTCTTCTAATGAAAAGTTATTAATTATTGTTTTTCTTTTATCTTAACTCCGTGTGTTTTCAATCTTTTTTACAGAACCAGAAAGACCTTATCCTCCTGAAATAGATAAGTTGTGTCTGAGCCAGTTAACAGTGCAAGTAGAAGGTTTGCAACAAGTTCGAATACCATCACCAGAACCTCAACCGCATCCAGAGAAACCATATTTCACAAAGGTAGGTCAATCATATGAATAATTGCTTATTGAATAAATATTTACGATTCATGCCAACTGCGACTGAACTGGAGTTACCGTACTATAATCGACAAAACTTGTCCCATGTACATCAATAAGAATTCTCATCTTGTTTGAGCCGAAACATGTATTAAATTCTGGATTTTATTCGCCCAAACATAATTTGTACGTTTTTACTTCGAAAAAGAACTTAGTTTTACCATCATGGTAGCGCGTTCAGAATATCAAGCAATATTTGACCCGAATTTCGGATTCCTCGTGCCTACTTGCATTAAATAGATGAAATTATCTACTGTTTTATCAGATTCATAGATAAATTATGTCTTAGATAGAAAACTCTTGACAACGATGAACATGAATCTTGATATATTATTTAATAGAGCAGTGTGTTTCATATTCGAACAACGTCAAGGTTCTAGCAACTTTACTTCTAATTCAGTTAACATAGCTCACTAAGCAGCAATTCTCCTTGGATTAATTGATCGCTGCGAAATGTGCCCTATGAACATAAAAGACAAATAGGTGGTTGTTAGGACTTGACTGAGCTTGTTCTTTGTGGATTATAAAATCATAGGATGTTGATATACGTACAAATCAAATCTGGCAGCGTTACAAAGTTCTCATCAAATCTAAATCAAAAACCCATCCAATAACAAACATTAACAATTACTGCTGCCCTACTTATGTCCAAGTAACCTTTCCCAGTATAACAGAACATGACGGAGTGAGAAATGTGTTCAAAGGAAACTTCTAATCACAAATAACCAAACTAAAATCATAAGTAATAATGGTTAAATTCATGTTAGGTACTATTATGAAATTTACACTAATTATAATTACTTCTAACGTACGTCATTTTGATTTCAGATCTTCAGTCCAGAAATAGAAATATATGAAGGTGAACGATTGGTTTTAACAGCTGAAGCTTGTGGCAATCCACTACCATTCATTAAATGGTGCTTCAATGGACAATCTTTAATTGATAGTCCAGATCATCAACAAACTCAAACTGGACCACCTGTGTCCGATGTGAATGAATTACAACCTCATCCAGTAGTAATGACGGGACATTTAGTTATGAATGAACTATTCCCAGAAGATTCTGGTCTTTATACATGTATAGCTGAAAACATAGCGGGTCAGGCAGAAGTTATGGCTAATATAAGTGTTTTAACAAAACGTAAGTTGTTGAATAACATCTCCTCCTAATACACTATACACCATATAGAAGTATACAGAAATTGTAGTGTTTATGTGATTTTGTTCATGGAATCTGTCATTATTTGCAAAAGGTTATTTGGTAGTTTCTATGACTGAATCGTTGAAGTAAATTCTAAATCTCATGACAAATTTTTTTTCAAAGATCAATATGAATTTAAACTAGTCAAAAATAACAAGAAGCTTTGCTGTCATTCAAATTTTGTGAATGGAAGTAATCATTTAGTTTTTTCTAATGCCCTTCAAAGTGAGCTTTGGTTTAGTCTAATAACAAATTAATAGCATTTTCTATTCTATCTATTATATGGACACAGAATCAGAGATTGGAAAACAGCTGCCAACCAACTGATTTGATTTGATTGGTTTACACTTGATTAGTGGATAACTTGAGATACCTTAAAGAATGTTCATTATTTTTCTAAAGTCACATTAAATTGGTTTATATTGATTTTGGTGGGGTTTCATCCACTGATATGGCTGCTTTCATTTTAAAACTTTTCACGGTCTTTCTGATCAATATCATCAGCGCTAACTTCAGACAAAAGTAATCTATCCGAAAAATATATATATCATCGATCAACAGCAACGTAGAACTTCATACGTACGTACGTACATCAGTTTCAAGTTGCTATACCACATTAGCAGAGAGATGTAATTATCGATTCAAATGACATAGTAGTAGAAGTGGTAAAGGTATTAGCAGTAATCAGGGAGAATTATATATATATATATATATATATATATATATATATATATATATATATATACATTTGTTAACTGTATCCTGAAAAATATCTATATATTTCGAAATCGACTCCCCAACAGAATGAAACTATATACTTTATAAAAACCTAATCTTTTCTATATAAATACCTAATTTTATGATATTTGAAGTATTGTCAAAAATCCATTTCTTCAGGGTTAAGAAGCTTCCCTTTTAGTTTTAATTACGACTGAGTCAATTCACGATTACTTATCTTCCTTCCTTAGTGAGATAACACATGGCGTTACAAAAATTTCCCTCAAACTTAGATATAATCATACCGTTTCAAAAAGGTTTCTGAAAACGTTTATTACTTATGATAAATAATATACATGACTGATAAAATTATTGAAAATTATCATATGCTCACTAGTGGCTAGCTGTGTGGGAAAGATTCTCCAAGTTCTAGTGAGAAGTCGTGACTAGTGAAATTCAACACTGTCGAGTGTGAAGCAGCGCCCACCGAAGACACTGAATGAGGTTGCGCAAGACTGTGGATTAATTGAAGTTAGATATTAACACCGTTGGATGCCGGTTGAGTGGTCCAGAGGTTAAGGTCTTGGGTTCTATTCTAGCGTGTGGTGGTCGTGGATGCGAACTGCTGATGAGTCCCATACTAGGAAGAAACCGCAGTCCAGGGGTTTCAGGTTTCTTGTGGCGGTCTAACATTGATCGATTCAGGATTTCCAAGTAACACACCAATCTTCACAGCTCTATAATGAAAAAATAACAAAAAACATAAATTACTTTTCAAGCCTGCTATACTGTTCCAATTCATGCTTAATAATTATTTTCTTTTGTTCAATAAAGCCATAAGTGATACAACAAAACGAACCATTCAACCGCCGGAGTTTGTTAAATTCCCAGAATCTCCAGTCAAAGTTCATCCTGATCAAGAATTGATTCTGGAAGTGGAAGTTAAAGGTTTACCTCTGAATTCACTAAACTGGTATCATAATGGCATAATAGTACATAATAATCCAAATCAATTCATTCAAAATATACCGAATACAGGGATTACAAGATTGATAATTGGACAAATTCAACTAAATGACCAAGGAGAATGGTTAGTGACAGCTACAAATCCAGCTGGTTCATGTTCGAAATGTCTTCAAATTATATGTGAAGAGCCTATGTGAGTTTTCTTAAGAATTTTAATTACTGAATTATTTGTTATGAGTTTATTTTTATCTTTTCTATGAATAGAAAACTAAGAATATCGTAATAAATAACCATTCAATCAATCAGTAAGTATCTAGATCTAAATGACCAATTCACTGAACACCTGATTGACTTGTTTATCAAAGTATAATGTGTAATTGATGAACGGAGAAGATTTCATAATGAATTTCTAAAAGCAAACAAATCTAAACTAGCTAGCACCATCTTTCCGCCTAATTATAATTTTTTGTTATACATTCAATTTTTCCACAGCATTTTATTAAATCGCATTCATTTTATGCTTTAATTTAAATAATAGTAGTCTCAACTTACTTGTCTTCAAATGGATCTAATAACCAATATCTTTTATTTCGCGAGCTAGTATAAAATAAATGAATATTTTTGCGCTGGATTTTTGTTCTTTCGTCACGGTTCCATACTGATCCTTTCAGAAGATGTATTTATTTAGAGATATAAATCAATTATCTGTAATCGTTGACCACATGATCGCCCGAGTGATAATTATAACAATACCTTAGAAAATATGGTCAGTTAAAATCAGTCATATGATCAAATTAATCGAATCTAGATATCCGTCAGTTTAAAGTGTGTTAAAAACTAATAGCTATTCTTGAAAAGGTAATATTTACCGAGTTTTGAGAAGTGGTTTTTTTAAATCTTTAGTTATTTAAAACTTTCAAGATTAAATATTTCTAAATGTATTTATATGTGTGTAATTATTAATTTGTAGGTTCATTCAGCCAGAACCAGTTGTTCATACTGAATATGAATTGAAATTAAGTTATCCATCAATGGATGTGATTGATTTACAATATACTGATAAACAACAAAATATATTTATACAACCAGAAATGACTCCACCAAATTTCATTGAACGATTCCCTAGTGAAATTAAAATAAATACAAAAACACCATTATCTATACATGGTCGAGTTATTGGTAAACCGAAACCAAACATAAAATGGTTTAAAAATGGAAAGCCATTATATCCAGACGAAAGAATAAATTATTATCTATTGGTATGCATTAAATGATCTAATTTTTTTTTTTAGTTATGAGGTGAATTAACAATTTACTGATTAATTCCAATAAGTTCATGGTGGTGTTTTATTCTCTGAGCTGAAGCTTTCGTTGTTCTTCTGAACAACATCATCAACACAACGACAGGTCAACAACGACCAAACAAGATCGAGGTTAGCAGAACAAACTACAGGTCAAACATGGAGAAATTCAAATACTTCACTTCTATCCGAAGTTTGTGCTGATAATGTTGTTCAGAAGAGCAACAAAAGCTCCACAACCGAAAGATCCAGCTCACAGAACGAAACACCATCACTATCATCCACCTGAGCTACAAATTTTCCTCACCATCTCCAATAGGTTCATCAACTTTAAAAACCGTCCACTAGTATTAGTCACTTCGTAGTAAATGGTTCCCACCTACGGTGATTTAGAAGTTAAGCGTTCGTTTGTATGGTCCAATGCCACAAAGTTCAATCGCTGATGAAGTTGTTGTAAGTACGTACTGCTGAGAAGTTCCATACAAAAACAAGACAGCTATCCAGTGCTTCCTGGTTTTCGGTAATTATTTGATCAAGATCAATCTGTAAAGTCAAGTAAGGACCATACAGATATCTCTATAAACCTCATGTAATTAAAGTTTATGAATGTATCATGAGTTTAGGAGATAAGATTCGTGTAGTTTCGACTGCACCATAATTCTTTCATAGATTTATTAGAAGTTAAACTTTTTTTTAGTTTGTCAACAATTATCTATGAAAGGATGGAAATACTCAAGATAATTATCATTAATTCCCCAAGTGTTCTTTTAAAATTAAAGTGCTGTGACCCTGACTAACATTGAGAGGATTGCTGTTATCGTTTGTATAATTTAATGGTTGGAAAATGTGTAATTCTGCACTTAATAATCGATAATCGTGCCCACTGGACTAACAAATTCCTTAATTTTAAAACTGAACGATATGAATTCAAAAATGAAGTGTTGAATTCTATTTCTCTTCAGTTTTAAAATTGCCTTGTTCGTGATTGTCAATAGGGAATATAATTAATTACTATTAAAATCCTCCTAAAATACAATTTCGTGTTTCAAATAACGCATGTTTTGTTGATCAAGACCTTATGCAATAATAACTAGTCATAAATCATATTACATATTACATGTTTATCAGTAAGTAAAGTAACCGATGTACAGATGTTGACAATCAAAGTAAGTTATTCAAACTTTTATGAAAAATATACTTAGGCCTGTAATCTTGTGAATGACTTTTTTTCTAAGGACAATGGTGAAGTGGGATTGGAAATCTTGGAACCAACTGAAGCTGATTCTGGTATGTATGTAGCATCAGCAGAGAATCCCGCAGGAGAAGATCATTGCATTGTTAATGTGAGTAGATTTATAAACAGCTTTTGATTTCTTTCACTGTAAAAAACATTCACATATCTATTATGAGTACTATGGGAGATTCTTGTGTTCTTTAACTCTCAACAATTATTACACTTTTCTTTCGATTGTAGCTAACCGTTGTATCGCTACCCAGCGTCGTCCAAACAGGCCAACCACCAGTATTCTGTCGTGGTCCTCTTCCTTGGTCTCCAACGGAAACTGGTCCACTGATCACCTGTCCTGGTGTGTTAAACTTACAAGAAGGTCAGACTGTTCGTTTAGAAGTTGAAGTAATCGGCAAACCAGTGCCTACAGTATCTTGGTTTATTAATGGTCATCCGATTCGTATGGATAAAACGCATAAGGTATATACTCTTAAATGCTAATAATAATTTCAGTATAAAATGAGCTTTTTTTATTTTAAAGCCAGTTTCTATCAGAAATAGACATCTTCAAAACCACTGGTCAATTACATTGTCTTTATTGAGCACACCTCATTGATGGGTAAATTCGACATGCTATCTAAAGTAGCACTTTTGAAGAATCCATAACTCTGAACATAAAATTTTATCAGTATCTGCTATCCACAAATTTCCAAGCTAATATGATTTTCATAAAAATCATGAGTCAATCGTTATTAAACCATCGTTAGAAACCTGCAAGCACTAAATGGCCGTCTCATCCTAGTATGGGACTCATCAGAAGTTTGCATCCTTGACCACCACACTATAATCGAACCCGGGACCTTCGGTTATGTGCGCAAACGCCTAACATCTAGGTCACTGAGTTGACATCTGACGGTGCTAATATCTAACTCTGATCAATTCAAGATATTGCTCAATCCCATACATTGTCTTCGCTGTGCATTGCTTCGCACCTGACAGGGTTCAACTCCACTGGTCACAGCTTCTCACTAGAACTTCGAGAATTTCATCATGGAGCTAGCACCAGTGAGCAAAGATCGATTTACTATTTCAATGAAACTCAACAATCTCCACAACTCTAAAATGAAAATAATATCGGTTTGTTGAAGAACTATCTTAGTATCTGTTAAATGTCTGTAAACCAAATAATTATATCTTCTTTCTTATTTTCTAACTCCTTACCATTTCAGATCGTCCCCATGCGTGCAAATGTATGTTCACTAATACTAGACACACCACTACCTAACACTGACTCTGGTGTCTGTAGCTGTATTGCTTCTAATCAATTTGGTCAGGCTGAACTTCGATTTAATATACATGTCGAAGGTAAACCACAAACTATTCCACAGACTCCTCGCTTCATACAAAAACCTCCTGCTCAATTAATGGTACCACTTAATGAAGAAGTTATACTGTATGCGGTTGCAGAAGGTACACCTCAACCAGTATTATCATGGCATAAAGATGGAAAGTAAGTTCAACACATTGATAAAGTGTAACATATATATTTATAATGGTCAAAGTATATATTTGTTACATATGAACTCGCTTTATTTGTATTAATGACTTATTAACATCAGATAGTATATGATGTATCGAAATAATCTAATAATTTGTAATTTTAGTAGTTAAAATAACTTTTGTTTTAAAACTTAACTATAATTTAGAAAGAAAAAAGGTGAAGGCAACCAAACAAATGATATATTGTATCAACTTGACATTTCAACTATCATGCTAAGTAGGTTAAGGTCTTTGTGAAACTTGTCAAGTATGGACAAAATCACTATAGATGAGAACGAATAATAAAAATCGCTTTTATTATCTAATATGTTGCTTTGAAAGTGTTCATTAATATTGATGTAAAAGAATCTCAGACATAAATTATGAATTCAATCAAAAACAAATAAAAAAATCGACAATGTTCACGCAAAAATTCTTCGATCGATCAGAGTTATACATTAACACTGTTAGATGCCGCCAGCTCAGTTGTCCAGAGGTTACGCGTTCGCGCGCAAGACCGAAGATCCTGAGGTAAACTCCTGGGAGTAGCAGGAGCCAAGCATGCACACTGGTGGTAAGTCTCATTCCAGGACTAAACGGTTGTCTAGTGGTTCCAGATTTCTAATGGTTGTCTAACAGTGATTCATTCATTTCAATAAGAAAAGTGGTTAAATTTTAGTGATCTGTCATTGTGAAGCAATTGTTGAAAGTAATTATGAAATAAGGATAGTTTCTTAGTACTAGTTAACATGTGACTATCTTGATTAGATTAAAACTAGTCAACTAGACACGGAGAAATCCTCTTGTAATTCTAAGTTTAAACAATACAACCAGTATCACTTAAATCTAAACTGGTGACTTGTTCCATTTTACTAGGAAGTGATTTAACCAAGTCGACACCGGCTTAGGTGATCGAGTATCAACTATGTCGGTACTGCCTTTGCCTTTTAGTTCATTTATTTTTACTATTTTAATCATTGATAAAAATTTATCAACTATTTATTACCTTAAGTAAATTTTTTTGGACAATTATATTTTAGATTATTCACTGGTACATCAGATGGTCGTATTCAGATTTCAACAAATCAACTAGAAACAACACTTCATATTGCAGCTTTAAAATCTGAAGATTTAAGCACATGGCAGTGTTTAGCTGCGAATGTTGCTGGGACTGCTTCAGCGAGAACAAAAATTTCAGCACCAAGTAGGTTCATTTTTCTTCAAAACAAAAGAAAATTGTCAGAACAAATATTGTTACATGGTGTATATTGAATTAGTTCTATTAAAGTAACTTATTTGTAAATATATCCAATATTCGCTATTAATTTGTTGTGAAATCAGATCATAACGATCCTGTAGAATACATATAATTTACAACAGATATAAAAATTTCATGTTTCTGATATAGTAAGCCAATAAGAAGTGACCAGATGGGAATATCGTTTGATGACTATCAGAATGTGACCCAAATGACGAATACATATCATTGGTCAACGAATGTCTTCGTTTTATAACGTGACATATGTTTACAGACGAGCAATTGTACATAATGTTCGATAGCCAGTACACAAGATAGAAGGATTTAATAGATTTTCGGAATTAGGTTTAATACCAGATTTCTTTGTTTTCAAATAAAAACATTTCTTATTAATTTTACTTCTTATTTAGTTGAAGAGAAACCTAAAGAAATAGCCCGAAAGTGTAGTATACCAAAGAAACAACCTGAAGGGTAAGAAATGTAAAGTTATTCTGTTTATTACTTAAAACGATTAAAAGTAGTTATCATTCAAGCGAATTTTCTGTAGACACATTAAAGCTAACCAGATTCAGATCACTTTCAATAAAGTGAATCTTTCTGAGTAATATAAATGACATTCCTATAGAGAAGTTTCCTTCTCTGAGCTCATAACCATCCACCTTGGCTGCAAAATTTTTTCATCATCTCAAATAACATCCAATGATTTTGAGAACGTAGTTTCTGATCAGAGCATTATTAATATCACACTTTCGTACGTGAAACTCACTGAAACATAATAAAATCAACATCTACTGTGATGTTTGTCATTAGGTTGTATAAACAGTCACTTCATTATTGTTGTTGAACTAACATCGTTATAACTAATGGGTTATAGGTCGACTGATATTTATAGTATGAAAATGGTTAACGCTTTATTTTATTGAAGCTCTCAATTCGTTAATCTGAAAGAAGTAACATAAAAGAATGCCGTATCTGTTTACGAATTAATACAGTGAATTTCATCCGTATGTAAAGTATTTATTGTTGATTCCTAGTTATAATAGAATACATTATACCATAAACATGTACATTTGAAAGGGTTTAGTAGGTTCCACGATAATGGAGTACGAAAGCTTAAAAACATTCGACAGTTGGATTTCACAAATTTTCAAATTCAGGCAAATGTGTGATATTCGGCCTCAGCTAATCAGTGTTTTATTATTTATGAAAGAATTGTGATTTGGACCTTAAAAGCTTGCGAGAAAATTTATCGTTATTATTATTGTCGAAGTTATTGTTAACTGATTAGGCTAGAAGTTGACCATTTATATATGGACAATATTAAACCGATCATGATAATTTTATTTTTTCAGTCTGCAAGAAATAACCTCTCCTAATCCAATAATTATGTCACCACCACAATCAATATGCATAAATGAAGGTGAAAATGCACGGTTTACGGCTCATATTGTAGCAAATCCACCACCATTGGTAACATGGTATGTCAATGGTCAACCGGTACCTCCCTATGGAGTTGTTCAAAGTCAACAACCAGATAATGAAGAGATACGATATTTTAGTAGATTTGATGGTCTGATTTACTATTTAGATATGCAAAAATGCAAACCTAATGATGCTGGTGAAATAGTGATTGTAGCTCAACGAAGTGATATTTCAACACAAGCAGTAAATGTTGAACCAAATGCTGTTGTCAGCGCATCTGCTAAATTGGAGGTGATACAAGCAGTTGATTTACGTGCACAACTCAAACCCATAGCAAGTAAGTTACAAGCTACATAAAAGTTTGAAATTAATTGTTCTATACAATTATCTTATTTCAATGAAAAAAAAAACATATACTTTCAACAAACAATAGAAGTCATTCGAATAAACATCTTAACTTGTCTATTGATCGGAAACAGTCTGTTTCAATTAAATACCACAATTATAAATTTATGAAAGTCATTGATATGATACCTGAAAAAAAATAGATATGATATTGTCAAAAATTGATATATAGCTCAAACAAGTATATTTTTTAAAAATGTATTTGAATCATGATTATGTACTTTGTAAGTGGGTTAAATTATGGATAGTTCTCTGAAAGATGGTTTTAATCTTTTGAAAGCCATTCCCTAATTCGACTTTTTTTAAACAATCATCTTTGAGCTACATTACATATATATTATTTATGAATTCAAGATATCGTCTATTAAATATACAGTATTATGTTCATTTATAACAGTTACAAAATGTTATTAGTATTCACTAAATACAAAAAAATTTGATATATAAAAATCACTTAACACTTATTGTGTTCTTGTTTATTGTTCAGTAAAACAATAAATGAACCCATAATTATCGCATTACGGGGTTGGGTTGTAAAGATTGTTAAGTTACGAACCCAAATCCGTAAACTGATTGAAGTTAAACATTCACACTGTTAGATACCTGCTCAAGGGTTCAGAGGTTAGGCGTGCTCGCCCAAGATCGAATGTTCTGGGTTCGAATCCTGCAAGGAGAGGGAGTCGTGGATGCGCACTGCAGATGAGTTCCATAACAGGACGAAATCGGCTTCCAGGTTTCTAATGATGTTCGAACTTTGATCGATTCATGACTTCATAATTATTTATTCACAAAATAATTTGTTTAAAGAAACAATAATCGTTTAAATAAATCATTATTGAAATTAAATAGTTATCCACAAAATAATAGAATGTGTGCTCACTATCAGCAGAGGATGAATATTGAAATCGTAAATGGATCATTGCTAGAACATCATTAGAAACCTGGAAACAATAGACGGTTGTTCCGTCCTGATACGACAGTCATCAGCAGTGCACATCCACGTCTTTCGCCTCTCACAGGAATCAGACCCATTACTCTTAGCTTTGAGAATGAACGCTTAACCTCTGTACCACTGAGCCAGCATCCAACGGTGTTAACAACTGATCAATCTAATGATTTTGTGCAACCTCACCCTTTGTCTTCAGTAGTTACTGCCTACACCCAATAGGACTGAACTCTACTGGTCACAACTGTTCATTAGAACTGTGGGAATTCACTCATGGAACTAATCACCAGTGAGAATATTTTATGATTTTCCATCATGTAATCATGGAGATCGTTGTTTTGCACTGAATTCATTAGAAGAAGAAGAAGAAGAATTTTATCGGAATCAATCAGAAGAAACAGTGATACAATGAATTTATCATCTGTTTAATTAATTAATTATTTATTTATTTATTGATGAAATCTGTCAAAATTATAAGAAGTACATTGAATTGACCGACTGAACAACAATTTTAGAAAATATTTAAAAAGTAAAACATTCTGGTAACGATCAGTTTGTATGTTCTTCTTATGCACTTGCATTGATTTTGAAATATACTAACGAAACCAAACAAAATCCAGAAAAACTTTGCCATTAAATTAATAAGAGGATTTGTTTAAACACATTGCAACATAGATAAATAATTTTGTCACCGATTTTTAAAGTTAACTTTCAGTAGAGAACATATGTTTTTGATACTGTAATAAAATCATAAGAACGTGTCCAGTTTTTTACTTTCTCCATTATTGTTTGACTTCATCATTGACGTGCTTTCGGAGACAACACATTCAGAGTCTGACTTAGCAGGAGTTGAAATTTAACCACGACATTCAATTACCAACTCACAAAATGCTAATGATGTTAGCCAAACTTGGTAAAGACACTGACAAAATTCGGAGTCTTCCTTCTCACCACTTTTAACAACAATTCAAGCATGTTCCAGATGCGATTCTTCCCGTCGAAATGCAAAATGTTGCTCCAGAATTGACTTGCATCGTCACTTTAACTAGTGATAGGGAGTGAAGTTGTTGAGCCTGCTAACCGCCTCACTAATCTGGTTATTCTCATCTGTAGTGATGACTTGGTGTGTTACGAAATCTCAACACAGGTACAGAAGGCTCGACTGGCTTTTGTCGACCTGCGTCATTTATGAGGTGGGTGAGATATCGGTCTACCAAGCAAAGGACGATTCTGCTGAGCATCAGTTCACTCCGTCCTACTATATGTCTGCGGAGGTTACTGGTTTTCCTTGATAAGCGTCTTCGAATCATTGTTCGAATATCCTGGTACCATCGAGTGAGCAATTCTGTTGTTAGTAAAAGGGTACTTGGTAAGGTTGGCACATCTATTGGTGAAGTAGTGAATTGCCATCAGTTTTTGTGGGTGGGACATGTGTTACATAAGCCTAACCACCGACTGCCTCGACGAGCTAAAGTCTTTTCATAAAACATAACTCACATTTACAATGTATGTCACAATCCGTTGATAAATCGATCTATATATATTAATAGCTCTAACTGATTATAGTCAAAGTAATATTTACAAAACCAATCTTAGGTGGGGAGTTTGACACAACAACTCGGCAGATAACTGGATACTGAGTTCTATTACAAATAACATATATCTATTTGCATTTCGGTAAAAATTCAAATTCTTATTAAACAATATAAACAAAAAATAAGCATAGTTTCAATTTTTCTTTTTTCAGAACCATCTACTGAAATAATGCCTGAAAAAGTTGTACCAATACAAGAAGGTCCTGTAATGCGTGCACCACGCTTCTTGAAGTTTTTACAACCTATAACTGTTCCTGAATCTTCAGAAATAACGTAAGATTTTATTTTATTCAGAGGTGTATTCCACATACTTCGATAATGAATTGATTAAATGGTTATGCAACAGTCAGTCAAATTCTAACACAATAAGTTGATCAACTCTCGCATTTCATTGTCTTAACGAATTTTATAAAAGGGATTAATTGCTTTAAGAAGTAAAACTCTTTTAAATATATAATAAGCGGTAACTAAAATATTATGGCTGTAAACTTGTAGCGCCTCCGCATATATTCGAGTTCGCTTACATTTAATTTGGTTAAGCCCTTTCGATTAATTTACTTAACCAAGCCATTTGTATTGCAACAATTTACATTGTATCATTCGTTCTTATTATTGTCTGGTTCGTATGAGCTCACATAACGTGTCCACTTGTCATTTGACCTTGTCAATCATTCATCGCTTTTATTCATGTGTGTGCATGCCAATTTCGCTTGTCACATGTCTGTCTTATATTCGTCTCACCATATATTCTTAGTTATGCTCTATTTTTTTGAGTTGGCTCATCAGCCTTCTCCACATCGCTTCCTCCGCTTCCTTCGCCCATTCGTTCGCATTGTAATCCAAGGAGTTGGCTCAACAGCCTTCTCCAATTCACGTCGTTTCGTTCGCTTTATTCGCTGCTTTTCAACTTCACTTTGTGGTGTGTCCAAAAATAAGTGTGTTCAACACTTTGTGTTCACCTTCTGATTTATAACCGTCAGACGCTAATTTTGTAACAGTTGTCTGGACGAACTAATTACCGAGCTTAAGAACTCTCAGTAAACCGACACACTACTAACTATATTACTTAAATTGGAAATACATTCTAAAAAATAAAATCGAACTTGATCAAATAGCCACTAGGATTGAACATGGATTTATGTGTTCATTTTTACATATGTACAACTTCTTACACAGTAGAGGACTATCAAAGAACTATTGAATATAAATAACAATTTCGCTTTTAGAATTAAATATTTTTTTCGTCACAAAAATGAATATTGTGAGAGATAATTTATGAGTTAGTTTAAACCTACTGTAAATGACCCAGTTCTCACAAACATACATTAATATGCTGATTTTGGAGACAAAAATCAAATTGGCAATTTGAAGTATTCTTTTGAATTGTCATCTGATATATTTCATTTTTTAAAAAAAGCAAACTACAAAACTATTAAAATGTTACCTATAAATCATTTTAATTTAATTTCATTTAATTATATTTAGGTTTTCCGTTGAATTTGATGGTGAACCGATACCTGAAGTGATTTGGACACGTGAACAAGTTGATATTGAACATAAAGAAAATTATAAAGTATGCCAATGATTAACATTTCTGATACTATTTACCACTTACGATGTTGTACAGAATCTATGGTTTGTAAATAACAACAGAATCGTAGATGTGTGTTTCATCTTATTTGCTATTATTTAACTGAATGAATCTGAATCCCAATGTTGATGTACACATTGGGACTGGAACCTCGATAATTTACTCTCCTAAAATCAAAGAGTTATTCATCAATTTAAAATAATTTCAATGTGTACAAAATGAAGAGCCAATTAGAATAAGATATTATTGATTAATTCATTGACAAGATTTACATGAACTGCATGAACTTGTTCTGTTTAACACAGCATAATGAATGATATTGACAAATAAATTGTTTCCTTTTTCTTTTGTTTTTTTCACACACAGATAACAACAACTTCTACAACTAGTCAACTTGAAATTTCAAAAGTTCTTTTAGAAGATACCGGAAACTTCTCTGTTACACTGCGTAATCCAGCTGGACAGGCTTGTAGTAAATCAAGGCTTACAGTGACACAAATTAAAGTATCAGGAAAAGCTCCTGAATTCATACCACCATTAATACAATCGCAAATTGTGCAAGCTGGAGAACCAATTACATTTGAATGTCAGGTTAGTATATACTCTAATGTTCTTGTTATATTCATTGTATTGAATTGCAATAATGTCCTACTGAGAATTGATTTTCATTCATAATAATTTTGTAACGGCTAATAAAATGACTAAGTTTATCGATCGGTTAAGTTCAATTGCTCTGGTTGTATGATGATTGTTCATTCAAACCACATCCGTAATAACACAGCATTCGAAATAATGAATATATACATATATATAAGGTCCTGGGTTCGAATCCTGCGGGGTGCAGGAGTCGTGGATGCGCACTGCTGAGGAGTCCCATACCAGGACGAAACGGCCGTCCAGTGCTTCCAGGTTTCTAACGGTGGTCTAACATTGATCGATTCATGGTTTCAAAAAATGTGTAACTTAACAATCTTCACAACCCCGTAATGCAAATTACCTGTGCTCACTAGTGACTAGCTTCGTGAGGAATCTTCTCCGAGTTCTAGTGGGAAGACGTGACCAGTGAAGTTCAACCTGTTCGGGTGTAGACAGTAACTACCGAAGACTGTGTATGAGGTTGCGCAACTCCGTGAATATGATCAAGTTAGACATTAACACCGTTAGATACCGGCTCAGTGGTCTATCGGTTAGGGCGTTCGCGCACAATACCGAAGGTCCTGGGTTCGAATCCTGCGGGGTGCAGGAGTCGTGGATGCGCACTGCTGAGGAGTCCCATACCAGGACGAAACGGCCGTCCAGTGCTTCCAGGTTTCTAACGGTGGTCTAACATTGATCGATTCATGGTTTCAAAAAATATATATATATATATATATATGTATATATATATATATATTACTTTTTAGTCAATATATTTAAGAATAAAAAACAATTAGATCGTCATCAGGCTACTTTACTTTAATATACATGAATATTTATATGAAAATGTTAAACCAATCAAGGCAATTTGAGGCAATAATCACAATGATATGAAATAGATCACGTCACTACGCTCATAATAGGCAAAAGTACAAGTTGATAGTAGGAAGACAGGTGTACCGATAGTAGTAAGAAAATTATAAAATATAATATCAAGAATAAAGGTCAACAACACAACAATAATGTAAAAGGTCATTCTGCGAGACCAGATTAATGTAAGCCTTTGTGTTAATAAAATCATAACATAATGATAAGTAATAAACCAATAATTGTAATCGAATGGTATGAAAAAAAATCGACTGTAAAATTTCCCTACGTATTAAATTCAGCCTACTGACCATGCTATCCTTGTTGTTTTTGTGTCACAGATAACCTGTTTATTTCGAAAAGTGTTAACTGGCTGATCTATATTTAGATTTAAAACAATTAGTCCCTTTTATAAAATATGATAGAACAGTGAGAATGTATTAGGTGAATATGTTTCATCAAATTAACAAATTTTTTACAAAAATATTTTATGTAAAGAATAATTATTTATGATTTTTATTGCACAATTGAATGAAATCTAGGTTACTGGTGTACCAACACCACAAGTTCATTGGGAACGAAACGGAGAGCGATTACCTCTAAAAGATCTTGAACATATACGTGTATTTGATGCACCACCGTTTCATACACTTGTATTATGTGAAACTGTACCAACGGATTCTGCTGAGTATCGTTGTGTAGCAATCAATGCTCATGGACAGTCAATTTGTAAAGCAAATGTTACTGTTGAAGGTAATTTCAAATCAAGTCCTTGTATAAGTTCTGAATGACCATAATTCCAAAACCTCTTTTTTGCATTCTGTTGGTGGCATTTCACTCTGTCGATCTTGAGGTTCTGCGGTAGTGTTCGTCACTGAAAGGATTACCAGAAAAGTACATTATTCATATATGGGCTCTCTAGTCGAACACTACCGCTCAAAATCTTTCACAGATGCCCTCATTTTTTGTCTTCGCTCACGATCTCATCAGCTCAGGAACTTCTCGTTTTAAATTTATTTCACTGGGTTGTACTTCTTGAATGTTATCTTCCAACCCTAATTTTCGACATCACTTCTAGTACTATGGAATTTGAATTGATAATTTTTTCTGTGTGTACTATTGTGATATGGCAACTTGAACTGATGTACGTTCGTATGAACTTCTGTGTTGTTGCTAACTGACGGGCGTTCACTTCTACCAGATGTGTGTCTTCTAGCCGGATATCTTAGTAAATAACTATGGCGTTTGAATATCTGGACTGTGGATCTCGATCTCTAGATTAATCTCAACTATATAGCATAAAAACAGTTATCAAATCCTAAACGGAGTGATCTATAATGCTTATATATCATTTTTGCTCAACCCTAGAAAAATAAAAGAAGGTCGTTGATGGTTTAATTATTTAAGATAGCATTATCAGTTAAGAGGAAATTTCACGACTCATTGCTGAAATCTGAGAGTTCTAAACATGTTGTATTCGAAATTCAATATTGGGATGTGAAAAATAACGTCAGTATTACGATCACTAAAAGAACTCCTTTTACTAGAATCACGGGTCCGATCAGTAGCAGTATACTAGATGTCCACTCTTGTGAAGTCCTTTATTAAATGGCTGTTCATTCCTTTCGGTTTCAAGAGTACCTTTACTATGGTACAAATGGGTACAAATGTCAGTTTACATGTATCTCTTTTGATGATGGATTCTTGTTAATTGATTTTTCAACTTCACCATATTACAAGTTTGATAAAAAAGTTTCCAGGAAAATTTCTCATTGTGTTCATATTTTAGCTCCATTACAAACTGCTCCACAGTTCGTTAAACCTTTACCTACTGGGATATTAGAAGTAAAAGAAGGTGAACGAGTGTTCTTAGAAGTTGAAGTTTCAGGAGAACCTATGCCTCATATCGATTGGTATCATAATGGTCGATCTTTACAACCTGGATCAGTTTGGAACGTAAGTGAACTAGTTTCTTTTCATATTTATACAGATATACTTTACTGAGTAAATAAAATTGTTTGTTTATATCATTTCTAATTATTCACTGAGCTATTTATATTGAAATAATTTGGATTTAACAAGAAATTCAATGCACTGAAGACTAGTTTCTGCCTCTTACTATTAAGTCTACTTTAATATTTTTTATTAACTGAAAGATCTAAATTAACAGTAGAAGACGTTGGGTCTGTGAAAATATCGTCACTTCGTGTTCAAATTATCTTTTGCTTAATATGTACGACAATTTGTTTGTCATGTTTGTCATATGAACTGAAAATTCGTAGTTATACATACTTTACAATACGGACTGACCAGCAAGATAATCCTTCTTTTATCCCTCATCCATTCAAATTAAAGGAAGGGTACAGTTGATTGGCCAGCATTTATGTGAAGAAGTGAAATCCATACCGGATGAAACAAAGTATTTCTAGAGAAGTCACAGTTTAATATCAAAATATGTAGACCTTATCTTCAAACATCCATTTGCCAACATGTCTTCTGGTCTTCAAACTACAAACTTGGATTTGTCAATTATCACTTATCTGATGGGACATTTAAGCTGCACAAATGACCTAGTTATAATCTTGTACAAATCGAGAATCTACAGATCTACAATTTTTATCAAATATTTATCTGTATAATTGTGATGTTTATTATATCACAATGATAGTTATAAAATATGAGAAAAGCAGTATTCGAATGTCAACAAATTAATTTTTAGGGAAGAAAATTTTATTTCTACAGGTACATTTTAAAAGCTACACACAATTAAACATTATTTAGTTACACTGACTACTCGTGAAGCATAGGCCTCCGATCAGGTTTCTCCAACTAACTCTTGTTTCCAAGAGCTGTTCATTATTTTAATATTTGCCTCCCACTCATGGCGTAATGTGTTATTTAGTCTACCTCTTTTCCTTTGCTCTTAAGGATTCCAAGTGAGGATTTGCCTCATGGCGCAGTTAGGTGATTTACTCAATGTGTGTCCAATGTACTTCCAGCACTATTTTCTAATTTCTTTCTCAACTAGAATCTGCTTTTTTCTCAGTCACAGTAGGTCGTTGCTGATGGTTCCTTGCTAACGGATCTGCAGTATTTAGTGTAGGCTTTCGTAGGTTTATAAGTTTCTCCTCGACATAATTATATATATATATATATATATATATATATATATATATATATGACTTATGGGGTTGTTGATATTGAAATCATGGAACAGCCACAGTTAGACCACCATTAAAAATCTGGAAGCAATACCGTGAAGTGAACGAAGTTAGACATCAACACCGTTAGATACCGGTTTAATAGTCCAGAGGTTAGGCATTCGCGTGCATGTCCGGAGGTCCTGGGTTCGAATCCTGTGAAGTGCATGACTCGTGGGTGCGCATTGCGCATTGAGTCCTGTACCGGGATGAAACATCCGTCAAGTGCTTCCAGGTTTATATATATTTAATTCATGCGATAAGGCATTTTGTCTTTTTTTTAATGACAATAATGAATTGATAAGAAATCATGATATTTTCAAAATTCAGGTTAAAACGGACAGATATATTTCTCAACTTGAATGTAATGTAATCTCTATGAAAGATGGTGGAGAAATTCTTGTTCGGGCGACTAATTCAATTGGGGAAACAACGACACAAACAAAAATGGTGATAATCCGAAAAGGTATGTCGTTGATCAAGTTTTGTAAATTATCACTTTTTTTGGTCAGAAATAAGTTATGGTATATTCACAGTCAATAAGACTGTCTCCACTCTATCATGAACCATAGAGCTTTGAAATCAAGAATATCACATTAGTTATTCAATATATTTTCAAATTATTCTCAACATTGAATTTGTCTAATTGTCAGTTATTTTTCATAGAGAACATTTGTATTAAGTGTAAATAGTTGTTGAAATTCTTTCTAATGTTATTGGTTTAACTATCTTCGTCATCATTTTGAATTACCGAAATTTCTCAAAAAAGGACAAACTATTTTAAACTATTGAAATATAATTCAAATTCCTTCTAATTAGATAACAAATTTTCTCATCCTAATACATTTAAATAGCTTAATAATAGAAAATTTACTATACCTCACTACTAGATAATTTTATAGGTTTATTTTATTCACGGCTTGTTTTTCCATTATTAATGCTTCAAATGGTAACCAGTAATTATATTTATGACTTAAGCTTCAGATTACTTGATATCTTGATGTCGGTGTGAATAGGTGATTAAATATATGCAGCACAAATATTGCGATAAACTAACCCGAGCTAAACAAAACGGAGAGTAACTATGACTCTCTTAAGGTAGCCAAATGCCTCGTCATCTAATTGAATGGGTATATTAGGTGACACGCATAAATGGAGCCTTCTGGGGGTTGTGGTGACGGCTACCTCTTCGTGGTCCTGCCAGGCAACGTGGCGCTGTTTACAACGCTGAGGCTTAAAGCCGTTCCGAACGCTTGGTCCAGAATAATGGTAGGTGTTTATGGTCTCAAGGCTGTGGATGCGGTTGGCCACTCTGGGGGATTAGGACTGAACGCCTCTAAGTCTGAATCCCGTCCATCAAGCGTAGGTAAATTCCGATAATGGTTTGAGGACTTGTCCTCTATCATTCCGTAGTAGCAAATAACTTGAAAGGGATGTAGCTTTCGAGGATGATTGAAGGCGACCCTCGACCTTCTGTTTGGGGAAGCAGCCGTAGAGATACTGGACTATTGACGCCGACCCTATGTTGTTGTCCCGAACACTCCGCATCTCGGTGTATTGTGTAAACTGGCGTCGAAGCCCCTTAAACACGGGTCACCAGCTGGGTTATGTGATCCGGTGCTAAAGGGTACTGGACGCCAATGAAGTCTGCCCACTTTTGTGGGATTAACCCAGCTTGGCCGAGTGCTTGCACTTGGTTGAGTCTATGACATCTTCCTCATGGGAGTGTGTACGTTGACCTTGTGGGACAAACTCGATCTTTAGCTTCATGTGAGGTCTGAGGGCTCCGGTTGATTGTAACAGCGCAAGGCAGTTGGAGGCCAGACGGTTGGAAAGGCTGCTGGTTAGTGCACTGCTGAGTGGATCGGTAATCCATTCAGGGTGCCAGGTCTAGCAGGGTAAGCCCGCCTTGCAGCTCATGCTGACTGGGTATTTCGGTTAGTGGATTGGTGGGGGGATCTTGTTGATTCACAAGTGCCCGGATGGGGGCCACTGTTCGTGTGCGCGCTTTTTGGACGTCCGACCTGCTTGCAGACCAAACTGGACAACATGTATATTCCCGACTGGGGCAGGGGTGAATACTGCTGGCGACAGTGAAAATCCTTGTGTTGCCTAAAAAGCAGCGATGTGCATGTGCAGCGGGCTTGTCGGTTAACCAAGCAAATTGAGATAAACTAACCCTAGCTAAACAAAACGGAGAACAAGGCTTTTTGTCTAAATCATCTTTCACAATTGTTAATTTTGTTTGATGATTTATTATAGTATAATAATAATAATAATAATAATAATAATAATAATAATAATAATAATAATAATAATAATATGCTTGTCTTCAAGTTTAATAAACATAATTAATAGTACTGAGTGAAAATTCACCATTCAGTGTACACTAAGCAGAGTAAATTTAAACTAAACAAATGTTAAATAGAAATTCTATCGAGTAACTCTTCATTCGACTGTAAAACAATTATTTGTTTCTTTAAATTTTATTAACAGAACCAGAGCTAACACCACCAGTCTTTCAAAAACGTCTCCAACCTCGAGTCAAAATACCTGAGCATCACACTGTCACGTGAGTGTTTTATTATTGAGGTGTAGAATTTGTGTCATCATTCTTCCATTATAGGTTATAAATTTCCTTAACGTCACTATGATTCCGCTAACTCAATTGGTGTTTGTATTGCTTGATTGATTGTTTACAAATTACTTTCACCTGCCTCAGTTTGCTTGCAAGGACGCCTGGCATTATTTTGTATTATTCAAACTCAAAAATTACGAAAAGATTTACAAAAAAATATAAGACCATGAAGTAAATTACAGTATGTACATAACAAGGATTTTTGTGATTCAAGTCTGAATAACGCATTTGTCCTTGATAAACAATAATTGGTGTATGTAAAAAGATAAAGCAATAGTCAATGTGTGTAACTTACAGCTAAGGTTATCTTCTTGCCAGACCTAAGGTCCCGGGTTCGACTACCGCGTGTTCAGGCTATGGATGAGCCGTGCCGATGAATCCCATTCATCGCTTCCGGGGTTCCAATGGTGGCCATGATTTCGATGCAACTCAATCATCTACAGAACTTTATATTGAAATTAACCATTTTGTTGTGATTTCATCTAGTGAAACAATATAAAATACACTAAATCTAGTATTGTATACCTTGATGATCGATTTTATATGCTAAACAATCCATAACCATATCATTAATCAGAGAGTCATAAAAACGTGCCAATAAATACATTTTGTATCCTCTTAAACTCAAAAATTCATGTGAATCCATCAACAAGATATAAAACCATAATGAACTATGAGTGGTAATATTAATATGTAGATACATAACTGTAGTATTTCTAATACAAATCGAATCAACAAGTAATTTCTGAACAAAGAAAAATATTTCAACACGTTATTAATCAAATGAGAGCATACAATTAAAATGATACAAGACTATCATGAATTCGTTGCTTAATAACCAATAGAAATAAGATGTTAAAACAGATACTCTATGAAATAGTTTTCCATATATCATTCTAACAGGTTTGTGATGATACATTAATTTAAACAACACCTAATCAACAATGAGATTAGTTTAATAGATTAATGAATGATATATTCTTTAAACAATATGTCTAAATCAGAAGTAAATAAATTCAGCCTTAATGTATCAACACTTTAAAGAACTCTGTACTACACTTTCATACATGATCACGACTTAATTAATGAGTTTCACAGGTATCATTCACAAAGTATGACTTGATGATTTCAAATAAATTAGGCATTGAGTAGATAGTCAATAATAAAAATTATCCTAACAAGTAGAAAAGTTAGAATTTTCTGACATTTCGTAACCTTATAATCTGGTAGAGCTTGAATAATCCCAAATCAAATCGACAATATCAATATATGTGGTCATCAATGACCATCGAGTCGATATTAAAAATATCGAAAATAATGTAAAAACCTTTTTCAAGTACAAATAAAAGCGAGTAGTTGAAGCTTTCCATTTAATGCTAAATGTTACTGCGTTCAATAGAAAAGAAACTTTTATTATCCATCTAATTTGGAACATTCATCCAAGCTACCAGATATATAATACTTTTCATATCTCATGTTATTATCATAGATACAAATCCAGCTTTATTCTTTCAGTTTACAAATATTGCATGCAAACACACAAATACACATAAGTATAGTTGAGATAAATCACCTTGGCTGAAGTGACATGACCAATGACTTGTTCAAACCTGCTTTTGTTTTAATTGACTCTGCTAAGTATTTTTATTATGTTCCTTTGTACTATTTAAATTTATTTATTTATTCTCTCAATAAGGGGTTTACATTGAGTCATGAAACATCGGAAAACTTTAACTTTTCTACTCGATGGGATGCTACAAATATTATGTATTATAATTGATTATCATTTACAAATCTCTAATTTATGTAAAATGTAATTTCTGATGTATGGTTGAAACAAATTTTATAGCGTGTTCTTTTTTAAACTATGTAGTCAATTGAGTGTTAGACCATTCCAACTAGGACATTAAATCTTATATAAGTAAATAAGAATGACTGTTCAACAACCTTTTTTACATATTGAAATATTTGAAATAACATTTTTTTCAATATTTAGGTTGGAATGTTCAGTCAATGGATATCCGAAACCGACTTTACGATGGTTTCATAACGGTGTAGAGTTTGAACCAGTTTTATTATCATCCCTTTCTCACAAAGCGATGGCTAAAAAAGAATTATATGTTGATGAGGCAACTCATACATATACACTATACATACACGATTTAAACGCTTTTGATATTGGCGAGATTATGGTACGTGCAGAGAATGAATTCGGTGTGACTATGTGTAGTAGTGTATTAGAATTAGAAATTGTTGATGGTAAAATTGTGAAACCACGATTTATTCGTCAACCACCAGAAAGAATTGAATTACAACCTGGAGATAGTGCTAGATTAGAATGTGAAGTTGAATCAGAACCACCTGTTGCATTTAAATGGTATTTAAATGGATTACAATTGGATCAATCAACTAATCAGTTCAAATTATTTGAAGATGTAAATCGTTCCACTCTTTTAATTCCATCTGTTCAACGAGATATTCTTCCTAGTGAAGTGACTATTGAAGCTGCTGGTCAAACTGGCACAAAAATTGTGACATCTTCCATTTTAGTAATGACAGCTAAAACAGATGATTTAACAGCGCCTGAACCACCTGAATTACGTTTTAGTCGACAACTTCCACCAAATTTAGCCTACAGTGAAATGGATGAATCAATAATTTTGGATGTAGAAGTTGACAAACCAGAAATATCATCTGTTGAAATACCTAAACCTACATTTAGTTGGTTTATGAATGGAATCGATATATTTTTATTACCACTGGAAAAGAAACCTGAACGTTACAATATTTCACATGATAATCCTTGGCATAGTCGATTAACTATTAATAAACCTGGTACATGGGATTTCGGTGAAATCACTTGTATGGTAACACGTTTAACTGATACAAAAGAAGAAAAAATTTATACCTCATGTAATCTTGAACTTACTTATCAACCAGTCAAATCAGATGAAACATCTAAACCAATTGTATCAAAAGTTGAATTTGCACCTCAATTTATTCAAGGTTTACCAGAAAAATTAACACCAGAAGTTGGTTCAACTGTAGTAATGGATATTATATTAAAATCAAATCCATTACCTAATGATATTCAATGGGTAATAAGTTCACCACTAACAGCTGAAAGATTTGAATTTTTCGGTCCAGACCAAATGGATAGTGATAATGTTGGTGAGGATGCTGAAACAACATTACATTATCGTGCTATATTACACGATTATCAACCTGATAAAGATGATCATACAATGTTACAAATGATTGCTATATCTCCATTAGGACAATCTACTTCAACATGTTATATACAACCTAAAGAACAACAACAAACTGTCAATGTACAATTTGATAAAACATTAAATTCACAATTAGAAGTTGTATTAGATCAATCATTACAATTAGAATGTTCTATAGTACCAACTACTATACCAGTTGAATTTCATTGGTATGTTAATGATTCACAAATTACTCCTGAACATATATTATATGAAATAAAAACTAATGAATTTACATCAATTTTAGAAATTCCTAAAATTAATTCTGAAATGTTAGGTACTATTAGTGTATCAGTATTTCATCCTTATGGTGAATTAAAAAGTTCTTGTGAATTATATACTGTATCTGAAGTTCATCTACCTATTGTTGAAGATTCAATCACTGAATTGCCATCAACACCAGAAATGCTAACAATTGAATCCAAAATAAATGAACAAGAACATGAGTTTAGTTTTACTAAACCTGTTCGTTATGAAATCCGTCAAAATTCAAGTGAAGAATATATTCTAGAGTAAGTTCAATTAATGATTTGTCTTTACAATTTCAGAATATCACTCTTCAAAATGTTCGATTAAATATACTTTGTGTGTAAAAGTTTAGATGAAGTGGCATAAGATAAATTCAGGTGTACAATTGTTAGACTCGGTTGTTGAAGTTTGTTTAACATTGATGATTTCCTGTATGTTGTTTGATAGAACTAAGTTGGTTAATTTCAAAACAAAAATGTCAGTTGACTCTTCAATATGACTGGAAAAGTGTTCTCAATTCAACTGTTATCTATTTTAATCGAATCATATTCTGTAGTGAAACTTAGGACAGTAGGTGAAAATGTATTTAGAATACTTGTCTAACTTATCTCATTTGAGTAGGGTTAGCAAGGTGTTCAAGTAACATTACTTTCTTCTTTAAAATTACAAAAAATATAACCATAAGACTGTTCTACGTATATTGTTATCATCACTGAGAATCGATATTTTTAAAATTATCCAATAATCCACTGTTAGGAGATTGATTTCCGTCTAATTGGTAAACAACTAATCTTTCACTTTATTATGTTTGTATGTTGACTTCATCACTGGTTAACTTCACTAAGGACACTATTGAGGACTAGGAAGGCTGGTTCATGGGACTACTCAGAAGTAATCACTTACTCACGACCTTCATTTTTCACAACTTAAACTTGGCCATTAAAGCAATCAAGTCGATGTTTGGTGATATAACTCCAACTGTCGAAACAACCATCCAGTGCTTCTTGTTTCTAATTGGTTCTCTGATTTTGTACATTTTGCTAAAATACAGTATGATTAAGTAGTTATTTGTTGAAACAGCCATCCCATCAATCAATTACTATGGTTGGAACGGATTCAATTCTCCTCAACTATGGAATACATACATATATACATACATACAATCGATATTACAATGGATACAACCATACAAACCCACAAATACATTGTCATACAAGCTACATTGGAATAAATGGCACTTAATTACAAGTAGGAAAGTAGATGAAACTGAAACTGTTAGTATACATACATTAAGTACCCGAATAATTAGTGAGTAAACGCTGCAAATTCGAAGAATTGTAAGACTTTTCAACAATAAAAGTAATTTCAGGCAAACGTTGTTGATTATTTACTCGCGACGATTCCAGTATACTTCAACTCGTATGGTCGACGCATTGCCCGAAACGTTTTTCGTAGAGATAGATTACATGACCATAGTAATAAAGAAATACCAAGCAAGTATTAACCGGTTCATTTTTACTAAAATGCCTTTTTCCATCATCTAGATTAACCAAATACTTTCTTCATTTGCTGATTCAGTATTATTCAGTAATTAAGTATTTCTAGAAATCGGTGTGTATTTTTAAAATCAAATCGCATGATTTTATTGCATATTTTATTTTTCAAGAAATGTTCCCTCGATGTATTTTGTTTATCTATCATTAACCTTGTAGACTAGAATGTCAGTTGATGACAGACCAACAACCTTTATCTATCAAATGGAGTCATGAAGGTATTGAATTAAGTATGTCTGATCGCATAGAACAGGCCTACGAATATGAAAGTGGTTTAGCTAAACTTATCATACACAATGTTACACCTCAAGATATGGGTGAATACACTTGCATTGCTACTAAAGCTACTACGGCAACTGCAAACGTTGAACCAATACATAAAACGATAACTACAAGTACAGTTGTGGATATAGAAGGTATGTTACAGAATCAGTTCTCGTTCAGTACGTAAATATTTAGCATAAAATATTATAGAACCAATTCTTGAAAATTAATTCGAATCTGGTCTCGTAACAACCTCCGTCAGCAAAATAACATTTAAGAATTAGACGTGTTCAGTCGAACAGATGTAGTGAAAAGTCGTAAAAAATATGAATAACTGAAACCAATATTAATGATCGTCAGTAAAATAAATGATTTTCGAACTATCATTAATATAACATACGATATATTGAATATGAGTAAGTGCAAGCGATCAGGTTGAGGTGCGAAATAACTAATAAATAACTAATAAAGAGAAATCAAGTGTTCAGTGTCCATAAATGTTCTAATCTGGTATGTTTTGAGTCGACTACGCCGACGATTTGAGAGATTTCTCAGTCGAACTTGTAGCATAGACAGTAGTTTATAGGACTAATGAACTGATGTGGTGACTTTTGATAGACATGAAATTTGCATTGATACGGACGAATTTGGATTATTGGCATTTATTATTGGCCTTTATTATTATTGATATTCTGAAATGTAAATATTTGTTATGTCACAAGTTTTTGATGCCTGTAAAATAAATTCGAAATTAATGCTGAAAGTCAGCGAAATGACTAACTGGCATTAATTCATTTGACTGAGGAATGATTGAATACCTGTCACTGCATGATTGCTCTTCTTGTACAGACTGACTAAGCTAGCTGACACAGCTTGCTGGTAATTGTTGGAACGTGATAATTGTAGTAAAAGTGAAAGTTGCGTACATTTGGGACAAAGAAGATTTCTTATAAATTATTAGTTGATTAAAAATGGTGGACCGATATTCATTGGATTGATTCACTAAACCTTCTAATCAAATGGAACTGGTGGAAGAGTGAATCTCAGCAAACTGCATTAAGAAACACTTATTATTAAATCAAGGAAGACAAAACAAAGTGTGATAAAGTACTATTCCGAAAGAAATCAAAGCTACAAAATAAGACTAAGAGACTTAAAATGTAAACATTGATATGCTCACTTGAATACGATGCAAAAGTATGAATCGGATTTTGCCGAACTCTGTTAATGTCTCTTCCATCATGTAATGTAATGTGTAAACGATGTGAATAAGTATCCATTTGTTGTGTTCTTTGTAAATCAGTTCCACAAACAACGGAGATTGAGCCAACAGTAACTGAGAAGGTTCTCACCTTCTTACAACCAGTCACACCAAATGTCCATATCGTGCAAGACCATAAGGATCTTGAGTGAGTTGTGGTTTTATGTTTCTTTTTATTTTTTTTATTTTTTTTTATTTTTTCGATTCATGTAATATTGATGACGATGATGATGATGACGTGATATTATCGATCAATATGTAGTGTTAAGAAATTGTGGTTTGAAGAAACCCTGGTTATCATTTGTGTGTTTGACTAGTGAATGTGAATTGTAAGGAGAAGAGTTGTTATTGGAACGATGATTGTGCTGTGAGTGAAGATGATCAGTTGAATTGACTAGAATTTGAAAGTACTTGGTTCAAACAACAAAAACAACACGAAGATCAGATGATAATATGACCAACTGAACTGAACTGAACCCCGAAATGACCTGATCTGTACAGCAATGATATGCACAACAGCTGACAGAACAAGTTTTTGTTGTTGTTGTTGCTGTGAAATTTGTGAATGATACATTTGATAGGAGTGAGAATAAATTCGAGTGAAAATCTCTTTGATTGGATGATAAGTTGTCGCTACCAACTATTCATGCGAGTAATTGTTCAGAATTGGATAGTTTACTTGAAACATAAACAGTACAACTGAACAAACAATGCAGAAATGTGTTGAATGGGGTGAGTAGGTGCAGTGTCCCGATTGTATTTCGTGAGTGTATACAGAGTTCATGGTACATGTGGATATTCGTTGATGTTAATTTTTACCATGCACTTCGAATCTAACATTCATCATTCGACTATGTGAATTTCAATTTCATAGATATCAATCTATGTATCTATTTATCTTATCTATCTATCTACCTATTAGGATATGTGTGTCGCACAGTACATGTATGATAATGAATTTGATCTCAACTGAATGTTGATAAATGAAAAACTGCGAATGCACTGACTTTTAGATACCTAGTTTCATGTTACACTGTTATAAATGTAACTGTTGATAAGATGATGTGTTGAAACATAAATGACTATTCATTCGATTGTGATATATTTATTTGTAGATTGGAATGTCAAATTCAAGCAGATTTGAAGCCTGTTGAAGTTATCTGGGAAGTAGATGGCAAGGAATTAACTCAATCTGATCGTAATGAAATGATCTATTTTGAAGATCGTGGAATAGCTTGTCTAAAAGTGCATGATGTGGTTCCATCGGATTCTGGTGAATATACTTGTAAAGTTACTGGTCAGGTGATTGAAGCTGAGACCAAACAACAAATGACTAAAACCATTTCATCTGGTTCAATTGTTACAATTGAAGGTGAGTGATGAAATAGACTAAGACGTGGTGATATGAAGCTGAAAAGAAGAAGTGACCTAACAACGATATCTAGATTCTGCTATTTTTCTAGGTCATTTGAACTTGCAGAAAAATGTGTTTAGTTGATTCAGAGTACAAGAATGACTAACTTTCATTTTCACAATTTGCGTTATAAGAGAGATTTCACTGAGGATTATAAATGAGCGCGTTGAGTGATGGTGATGATCAGTGATAATTCTGCGTATGCTGGATTACTCACGTGAGATAGTACCAGTAGCCACTTACTTATTATCTCTCCCTTTCTCCTATCTCTCGACACCATGGTTGATTACTGTTCTTGTAATAGGCTGACAAATGGAGTGGTTGAGAAAATGTGTATTTTAGATGGATGATTTTGATGGAGTTTCATTCTCTGTACTGGATATTTTGGTTATGTAGCTTTTATTGTTCTTCTGAACAACATTATCAGTACCAACTTCAGATAGAATTGAAGTATTGGGATTTCTCCACGTATGACTCGTTTCTCGTTCTGTTGACCCCGATCTTGACTAGTAGTTGTTATTGATGTTGAATTTGTTGTTGTGTGCACGTTTATTTTCATCTGTTGCTTGATCCAATGTATGTCTACGATGTTTGTGATTGGTTGGGAAATTGGGGGTAATGTCGATGTGTCTGTAGATGCTGATTGACTTGAGTGCCAACTTCTAAATATTCTCTAGTGTTCTTTGTACTCTTTCTATCTAGTATTTCGACATTGTTCCAATTGAATGTATTTCCATAGTTGTCCGTATGTATTGATATAGGGGAAGAAATGTCATGGAGTTTGACCGGTAGTTGCTGTCCACGCAGATGAAGCTGGAGAGGACTACTATTTTGTTGTATGTAGTGTTTTTCACAGTCAGAACAGTTTATTTTGTAGATAATATTTGGTTTTTCTTCTTCTGTCAGTTTGTTCTTTGGTTTACATGGGATTGATTGAAGTGATTCTGTTGGTTTGCATGCTACACCTATTCCAAATAGTTTCAGTAGTCTTGCTGCAATTTCCGATGTCTTTTATATATGGTAGGATGATCTGGTTAATAGTTCCTGTACTTGATTTTGCTTCTGTTGATGGTTTCAGTTGATAATTTTTGATGAAGTTACGTGAATAGCCGTTATTTTGGAAGATAGTTATGAGATATTTTTCATCGTTTTTTGTGCTTCATGTGTGCTGTAGCGTGATTCCGCTCTCTTGAATAAAGTTTGTACGCAGTTAATTTTGTGAGTTTGATATGCTCGTCAATTGATATGCTTGAAATTATTACAAGTTCACCTTACTTGGTAAACGGATAGAAGACAAATGACGCAGTAACACGATAAGCTATTCTAATCCGTTTATCCCTAGCCCCGCTAACTAGATCAAGGAGTCTTGGTAAAGTGTAGAGAATGTATTCTACAGGCACCCAGAAAATATGAGGCTGCTAAGCAGACAAACCAAGCTTATTTATACAATGATGGCAACGCCCTTGGGAGAGAGCCACAAGATAGCGTACTAAAACAATCCATCAACCAATGACAGTCAAGGGATTTCTCGAGTGCGAAATTTAAACTGAAGGTCAACTAAGCAGCGTCTTATGCGCGAAAACATAAAAAACAACATCAAAATTTCAGAAATCAATTACAAAATTAGGACCTCTCCCAAGTGCGTTCTGAGGATCTAACGGCGCCAACGGAGGTTCTTGGGTTGTTGTTACTGTAGTTGAGCCTCAGATCTGTGTGTGTTGGCTTCCGAAATACCTGAGTCTCCAGTTTTCCTGTGTCAGTTTTAGTGATTAGTACATCAGGTAATAATGGTTTGTTGTTTGATTCCTTTTCCATTGTGAATTCTATGTCGTGAAAGACGTTGTTGATCGGATTTTAGGTGTATCTATTAGTTTGTGGACTGATTGATAAAGTAGTATGGCGTGTTCAGTGTCCATAAATGTTCTAATCTGGTATGTTTTGAGTCGACTACGCCGACGATTTGAGAGATTTCTCAGTCGAACTTGTAGCATAGACAGTAGTTTATAGGACTAATGAACTGATGTGGTGACTTTTGATAGACATGAAATTTGCATTGATACGGACGAATTTGGATTATTGGCATTTATTATTGGCCTTTATTATTATTGATATTCTGAAATGTAAATATTTGTTATGTCACAATTTTTTGATGCCTGTAAAATAAATTCGAAATTAATGCTGAAAGTCAGCGAAATGACTAACTGGCATTAATTCATTTGACTGAGGAATGATTGAATACCTGTCACTGCATGATTGCTCTTCTTGTACAGACTGACTAAGCTAGCTGACACAGCTTGCTGGTAATTGTTGGAACGTGATAAATGTAGTAAAAGTGAAAGTTGCGTACATTTGGGACAAAGAAGATTTCTTATAAATTATTAGTTGATTAAAAATGGTGGACCGATATTCATTGGATTGATTCACTAAACCTTCTAATCAAATGGAACTGGTGGAAGAGTGAATCTCAGCAAACTGCATTAAGAAACACTTATTACTAAATCAAGGAAGACAAAACAAAGTGTGATAAAGTACTATTCCGAAAGAAATGAAAGCTACAAAATAAGACTAAGAGACTTAAAATGCAAACATTAATATGCTAACTTGAATACGATGCAAAAGTATGAATTGGATTTTGCCGAACTCTGTTAATGTCTCTTCCATCATGTAATGTAATGTGTAAACGATGTGAATAAGTATCCATTTGTTGTGTTCTTTGTAAATCAGTTCCACAAACAACGGAGATTGAGCCAACAGTAACTGAGAAGGTTCTCACCTTCTTACAACCAGTCACACCAAATGTCCATATCGTGCAAGACCATAAGGATCTTGAGTGAGTTGTGGTTTTATGTTTTTTTTTTATTTTTTTTATTTTTTCGATTCATGTAATATTGATGACGATGATGATGATGATGATGATGATGACGTGATATTATCGATCAATATGTAGTGTTATGAAATTGTGGTTTGAAGAAACCCTGGTTATCATTTGTGTGTTTGACTAGTGAATGTGAATTGTAAGGAGAAGAGTTGTTATTGGAACGATGATTGTGCTGTGAGTGAAGATGATCAGTTGAATTGACTAGAATTTGAAAGTACTTGGTTCAAACAACAACAACAACAACAACACGAAGATCGGATGATAATATGACCAACTGAACTGAACTGAACTGAACCTCGAAATGACCTGATCTGTACAGCAATGATATGCACAACAGCTGACAGAACAAGTTTTTGTTGTTGTTGTTGTTGCTGTGAAATTTGTGAATGATACATTTGATAGGAGTGGGAATAAATTCGAGTGAAAATTTCTTTGATTGGATGATAAGTTGTCGCTACCAACCTATTCATGCGAGTAATTGTTCAGAATTGGATAGTTTACTTGAAACACAAACAGTACAACTGAACAAACAATGCAGAAATGTGTTGAATGGGATGAGTAGGTGCAGTGTCCCGATTGTATTTCGTGAGTGTATACAGAGTTCATGGAACATGTGGATATTCGTTGATGTTAATTTTTACCATGCACTTCGAATCTAACATTCATCATTCGACTATGTGAATTTCAATTTCATAGATATCAATCTATGTATCTATTTATCTTATCTATCTATCTACCTATTAGGATATGTGTGTCGCACAGTACATGTATGATAATGAATTTGATCTCAACTGAATGTTGATAAATGAAAAACTGCGAATGCACTGACTTTTAGATACCTAGTTTCATGTTACACTGTTATAAATGTAACTGTTGATAAGATGATGTGTTGAAACATAAATGACTATTCATTCGATTGTGATATATTTATTTGTAGATTGGAATGTCAAATTCAAGCAGATTTGAAGCCTGTTGAAGTTATCTGGGAAGTAGATGGCAAGGAATTAACTCAATCTGATCGTAATGAAATGATCTATTTTGAAGATCGTGGAATAGCTTGTCTAAAAGTGCATGATGTGGTTCCATCGGATTCTGGTGAATATACTTGTAAAGTTACTGGTCAGGTGATTGAAGCTGAGACCAAACAACAAATGACTAAAACCATTTCATCTGGTTCAATTGTTACAATTGAAGGTGAGTGATGAAATAGACTAAGATGTGGTGATATGAAGCTGAAAAGAAGAAGTGACCTAACAACGATATCTAGATTCTGCTATTTTTCTAGGTCATTTGAACTTGCAGAAAAATGTGTTTAGTTGATTCAGAGTACAAGAATGACTAACTTTCATTTTCACAATTTGCGTTATAAGAGAGATTTCACTGAGGATTATAAATGAGCGCGTTGAGTGATGGTGATGATCAGTGATAATTCTGCGTATGCTGGATTACTCACGTGAGATAGTACCAGTAGCCACTTACTTATTATCTCTCCCTTTCTCCTATCTCTCGACACCATGGTTGATTACTATTCTTGTAATAGGCTGACAAATGGAGTGGTTGAGAAAATGTGTATTTTAGATGGATGATTTTGATGGAGTTTCATTCTCTGTACTGGATATTTTGGTTATGTAGCTTTTATTGTTCTTCTGAACAACATTATCAGTACCAACTTCAGATAGAATTGAAGTATTGGGATTTCTCCACGTATGACTCGTTTCTCGTTCTGTTGACCCCGATCTTGACTAGTAGTTGTTATTGATGTTGAATTTGTTGTTGTGTGCACGTTTATTTTCATCTGTTGCTTGATCCAATGTATGTCTACGATGTTTGTGATTGGTTGGGAAATTGGGGGTAATGTCGATGTGTCTGTAGATGCTGATTGACTTGAGTGCCAACTTCTAAATATTCTCTAGTGTTCTTTGTACTCTTTCTATCTAGTATTTCGACATTGTTCCAATTGAATGTATTTCCATAGTTGTCCGTATGTATTGATATAGGGGAAGAAATGTCATGGAATTTGACCGGTAGTTGCTGTCCACGCAGATGAAGCTGGAGAGGACTACTATTTTGTTGTATGTAGTGTTTTTCACAGTCAGAACAGTTTATTTTGTAGATAATATTTGGTTTTTCTTCTTCTGTCAGTTTGTTCTTTGGTTTACATGGGATTGATTGAAGTGATTCTGTTGGTTTGCATGCTACACCTATTCCAAATAGTTTCAGTAGTCTTGCTGCAATTTCCGATGTCTTTTATATATGGTAGGATGATCTGGTTAATAGTTCCTGTACTTGATTTTGCTTCTGTTGATGGTTTCAGTTGATAATTTTTGATGAAGTTACGTGAATAGCCGTTATTTTGGAAGATAGTTATGAGATATTTTTCATCGTTTTTTGTGCTTCATGTGTGCTGTAGCGTGATTCCGCTCTCTTGAATAAAGTTTGTACGCAGTTAATTTTGTGAGTTTGATATGCTCGTCAATTGATATGCTTGAGACTAATACGAGTTCACCTTACTTGGTAAACGGAGCGCAGATAAATGATGCAGTGACACGATAGGCTATTCTAATCCGATTGTCCCTAGCCCCGCTAACTAGATCAAGGAGTCTTGGTAAGGTGTAGAGAATGTATTCTACAGGCACCCAGAAAATATGAGGCTGCTAAGCAGACAAACCAAGCTTATTTATACAATGATGGCAACGCCCTTGGGAGAGAGCCACAAGATAGCGTACTAAAACAATCCATCAACCAATGACAGTCAAGGGTTTTGCGAGTGGGAAATGTAAGCTGAAGGTCAGCCAAGCGTCTTATGCGCGCAAACATGAAAAAATCAAAATTTCAGAAATAAATTACAAAATTAGGACCTCTCCCAAGTGCGTTCTGAGGATCTAACGGCGCCAACGGAGGTTCTTGGGTTGTTGTTACTGTAGTTGAGACTCAGATCTGTGTGTGTTGGCTTCCGAAATACCTGAGTCTCCAGTTTTCCTGTGTCAGTTTTAGTGATTAGTACATCAGGTAATAATGGTTTGTTGTTTGATTCCTTTTCCATTGTGAATTCTATGTCGTGAAAGACGTTGTTGATCGGATTTTAGGTGTATCTATTAGTTTGTGGACTGATTGATAAAGTAGTATGGCGTGTTCAGTGTCCATAAATGTTCTAATCTGGTATGTTTTGAGTCGACTACGCCGACGATTTGAGAGATTTCTCAGTCGAACTTGTAGCATAGACAGTAGTTTATAGGACTAATGAACTGATGTGGTGACTTTTGATAGACATGAAATTTGCATTGATACGGACGAATTTGGATTATTGGCATTTATTATTGGCCTTTATTATTATTGATATTCTGAAATGTAAATATTTGTTATGTCACAATTTTTTGATGCCTGTAAAATAAATTCGAAATTAATGCTGAAAGTCAGCGAAATGACTAACTGGCATTAATTCATTTGACTGAGGAATGATTGAATACCTGTCACTGCATGATTGCTCTTCTTGTACAGACTGACTAAGCTAGCTGACACAGCTTGCTGGTAATTGTTGGAACGTGATAATTGTAGTAAAAGTGAAAGTTGCGTACATTTGGGACAAAGAAGATTTCTTATAAATTATTAGTTGATTAAAAATGGTGGACCGATATTCATTGGATTGATTCACTAAACCTTCTAATCAAATGGAACTGGTGGAAGAGTGAATCTCAGCAAACTGCATTAAGAAACACTTATTATTAAATCAAGGAAGACAAAACAAAGTGTGATAAAGTACTATTCCGAAAGAAATCAAAGCTACAAAATAAGACTAAGAGACTTAAAATGTAAACATTGATATGCTCACTTGAATACGATGCAAAAGTATGAATCGGATTTTGCCGAACTCTGTTAATGTCTCTTCCATCATGTAATGTAATGTGTAAACGATGTGAATAAGTATCCATTTGTTGTGTTCTTTGTAAATCAGTTCCACAAACAACGGAGATTGAGCCAACAGTAACTGAGAAGGTTCTCACCTTCTTACAACCAGTCACACCAAATGTCCATATCGTGCAAGACCATAAGGATCTTGAGTGAGTTGTGGTTTTATGTTTTTTTTTTATTTTTTTTATTTTTTCGATTCATGTAATATTGATGACGATGATGATGATGATGATGATGATGACGTGATATTATCGATCAATATGTAGTGTTATGAAATTGTGGTTTGAAGAAACCCTGGTTATCATTTGTGTGTTTGACTAGTGAATGTGAATTGTAAGGAGAAGAGTTGTTATTGGAACGATGATTGTGCTGTGAGTGAAGATGATCAGTTGAATTGACTAGAATTTGAAAGTACTTGGTTCAAACAACAACAACAACAACAACACGAAGATCGGATGATAATATGACCAACTGAACTGAACTGAACTGAACCTCGAAATGACCTGATCTGTACAGCAATGATATGCACAACAGCTGACAGAACAAGTTTTTGTTGTTGTTGTTGTTGCTGTGAAATTTGTGAATGATACATTTGATAGGAGTGGGAATAAATTCGAGTGAAAATTTCTTTGATTGGATGATAAGTTGTCGCTACCAACCTATTCATGCGAGTAATTGTTCAGAATTGGATAGTTTACTTGAAACACAAACAGTACAACTGAACAAACAATGCAGAAATGTGTTGAATGGGATGAGTAGGTGCAGTGTCCCGATTGTATTTCGTGAGTGTATACAGAGTTCATGGAACATGTGGATATTCGTTGATGTTAATTTTTACCATGCACTTCGAATCTAACATTCATCATTCGACTATGTGAATTTCAATTTCATAGATATCAATCTATGTATCTATTTATCTTATCTATCTATCTACCTATTAGGATATGTGTGTCGCACAGTACATGTATGATAATGAATTTGATCTCAACTGAATGTTGATAAATGAAAAACTGCGAATGCACTGACTTTTAGATACCTAGTTTCATGTTACACTGTTATAAATGTAACTGTTGATAAGATGATGTGTTGAAACATAAATGACTATTCATTCGATTGTGATATATTTATTTGTAGATTGGAATGTCAAATTCAAGCAGATTTGAAGCCTGTTGAAGTTATCTGGGAAGTAGATGGCAAGGAATTAACTCAATCTGATCGTAATGAAATGATCTATTTTGAAGATCGTGGAATAGCTTGTCTAAAAGTGCATGATGTGGTTCCATCGGATTCTGGTGAATATACTTGTAAAGTTACTGGTCAGGTGATTGAAGCTGAGACCAAACAACAAATGACTAAAACCATTTCATCTGGTTCAATTGTTACAATTGAAGGTGAGTGATGAAATAGACTAAGATGTGGTGATATGAAGCTGAAAAGAAGAAGTGACCTAACAACGATATCTAGATTCTGCTATTTTTCTAGGTCATTTGAACTTGCAGAAAAATGTGTTTAGTTGATTCAGAGTACAAGAATGACTAACTTTCATTTTCACAATTTGCGTTATAAGAGAGATTTCACTGAGGATTATAAATGAGCGCGTTGAGTGATGGTGATGATCAGTGATAATTCTGCGTATGCTGGATTACTCACGTGAGATAGTACCAGTAGCCACTTACTTATTATCTCTCCCTTTCTCCTATCTCTCGACACCATGGTTGATTACTATTCTTGTAATAGGCTGACAAATGGAGTGGTTGAGAAAATGTGTATTTTAGATGGATGATTTTGATGGAGTTTCATTCTCCGTACTGGATATTTTGGTTATGTAGCTTTTATTGTTCTTCTGAACAACATTATCAGTACCAACTTCAGATAGAATTGAAGTATTGGGATTTCTCCACGTATGACTCGTTTCTCGTTCTGTTGACCCCGATCTTGACTAGTAGTTGTTATTGATGTTGAATTTGTTGTTGTGTGCACGTTTATTTTCATCTGTTGCTTGATCCAATGTATGTCTACGATGTTTGTGGTTGGTTGGGAAATTGGGGGTAATGTCGATGTGTATGTAGATGCTGATTGACTTGAGTGCCAACTTCTAAATATTCTCTAGTGTTCTTTGTACTCTTTCTATCTAGTATTTCGACATTGTTCCAATTGAATGTATTTCCATAGTTGTCCGTATGTATTGATATAGGGGAAGAAATGTCATGGAATTTGACCGGTAGTTGCTGTCCACGCAGATGAAGCTGGAGAGGACTACTATTTTGTTGTATGTAGTGTTTTTCACAGTCAGAACAGTTTATTTTGTAGATAATATTTGGTTTTTCTTCTTCTGTCAGTTTGTTCTTTGGTTTACATGGGATTGATTGAAGTGATTCTGTTGGTTTGCATGCTACACCTATTCCAAATAGTTTCAGTAGTCTTGCTGCAATTTCCGATGTCTTTTATATATGGTAGGATGATCTGGTTAATAGTTCCTGTACTTGATTTTGCTTCTGTTGATGGTTTCAGTTGATAATTTTTGATGAAGTTACGTGAATAGCCGTTATTTTGGAAGATAGTTATGAGATATTTTTCATCGTTTTTTGTGCTTCATGTGTGCTGTAGCGTGATTCCGCTCTCTTGAATAAAGTTTGCACGCAGTTAATTTTGTGAGTTTGATATGCTCGTCAATTGATATGCTTGAGACTAATACGAGTTCACCTTACTTGGTAAACGGAGCGCAGATAAATGATGCAGTGACACGATAGGCTATTCTAATCCGATTGTCCCTAGCCCCGCTAACTAGATCAAGGAGTCTTGGTAAGGTGTAGAGAATGTATTCTACAGGCACCCAGAAAATATGAGGCTGCTAAGCACACAAACCAAGCTTATTTATACAATGATGGCAACGCCCTTGGGAGAGAGCCACAAGATAGCGTACTAAAACAATCCATCAACCAATGACAGTCAAGGGTTTTGCGAGTGGGAAATGTAAGCTGAAGGTCAGCCAAGCGTCTTATGCGCGCAAACATGAAAAAATCAAAATTTCAGAAATAAATTACAAAATTAGGACCTCTCCCAAGTGCGTTCTGAGGATCTAACGGCGCCAACGGAGGTTCTTGGGTTGTTGTTACTGTAGTTGAGCCTCAGATCTGTGTGTGTTGGCTTCCGAAATACCTGAGTCTCCAGTTTTCCTGTGTCAGTTTTAGTGATTAGTACATCAGGTAATAATGGTTTGTTGTTTGATTCCTTTTCCATTGTGAATTCTATGTCGTGAAAGACGTTGTTGATCGGATTTTAGGTGTATCTATTAGTTTGTGGACTGATTGATAAAGTAGTATGGCGTGTTCACTGTCCATAAATGTTCTAATCTGGTATGTTTTGAGTCGACTACGCCGACGATTTGAGAGATTTCTCAGTCGAACTTGTAGCATAGACAGTAGTTTATAGGACTAATGAACTGATGTGGTGACTTTTGATAGACATGAAATTTGCATTGATACGGACGAATTTGGATTATTGGCATTTATTATTGGCCTTTATTATTATTGATATTCTGAAATGTAAATATTTGTTATGTCACAAGTTTTTGATGCCTGTAAAATAAATTCGAGATTGATGCTGAAAGTCAGCGAAATGACTAACTGGCATTAATTCATTTGACTGAGGAATGATTGAATACCTGTCACTGCATGATTGCTCTTCTTGTACAGACTGACTAAGCTAGCTGACACAGCTTGCTGGTAATTGTTGGAACGTGATAATTGTAGTAAAAGTGAAAGTTGCGTACATTTGGGACAAAGAAGATTTCTTATAAATTATTAGTTGATTAAAAATGGTGGACCGATATTCATTGGATTGATTCACTAAACCTTCTAATCAAATGGAACTGGTGGAAGAGTGAATCTCAGCAAACTGCATTAAGAAACACTTATTATTAAATCAAGGAAGACAAAACAAAGTGTGATAAAGTACTATTCCGAAAGAAATCAAAGCTACAAAATAAGACTAAGAGACTTAAAATGTAAACATTGATATGCTCACTTGAATACGATGCAAAAGTATGAATCGGATTTTGCCGAACTCTGTTAATGTCTCTTCCATCATGTAATGTAATGTGTAAACGATGTGAATAAGTATCCATTTGTTGTGTTCTTTGTAAATCAGTTCCACAAACAACGGAGATTGAGCCAACAGTAACTGAGAAGGTTCTCACCTTCTTACAACCAGTCACACCAAATGTCCATATCGTGCAAGACCATAAGGATCTTGAGTGAGTTGTGGTTTTATGTTTTTTTTTATTTTTTTTATTTTTTCGATTCATGTAATATTGATGACGATGATGATGATGATGATGACGTGATATTATCGATCAATATGTAGTGTTATGAAATTGTGGTTTGAAGAAACCCTGGTTATCATTTGTGTGTTTGACTAGTGAATGTGAATTGTAAGGAGAAGAGTTGTTATTGGAACGATGATTGTGCTGTGAGTGAAGATGATCAGTTGAATTGACTAGAATTTGAAAGTACTTGGTTCAAACAACAACAACAACAACAACAACACGAAGATCGGATGATAATATGACCAACTGAACTGAACTGAACTGAACCTCGAAATGACCTGATCTGTACAGCAATGATATGCACAACAGCTGACAGAACAAGTTTTTGTTGTTGTTGTTGTTGCTGTGAAATTTGTGAATGATACATTTGATAGGAGTGGGAATAAATTCGAGTGAAAATTTCTTTGATTGGATGATAAGTTGTCGCTACCAACCTATTCATGCGAGTAATTGTTCAGAATTGGATAGTTTACTTGAAACACAAACAGTACAACTGAACAAACAATGCAGAAATGTGTTGAATGGGATGAGTAGGTGCAGTGTCCCGATTGTATTTCGTGAGTGTATACAGAGTTCATGGAACATGTGGATATTCGTTGATGTTAATTTTTACCATGCACTTCGAATCTAACATTCATCATTCGACTATGTGAATTTCAATTTCATAGATATCAATCTATGTATCTATTTATCTTATCTATCTATCTACCTATTAGGATATGTGTGTCGCACAGTACATGTATGATAATGAATTTGATCTCAACTGAATGTTGATAAATGAAAAACTGCGAATGCACTGACTTTTAGATACCTAGTTTCATGTTACACTGTTATAAATGTAACTGTTGATAAGATGATGTGTTGAAACATAAATGACTATTCATTCGATTGTGATATATTTATTTGTAGATTGGAATGTCAAATTCAAGCAGATTTGAAGCCTGTTGAAGTTATCTGGGAAGTAGATGGCAAGGAATTAACTCAATCTGATCGTAATGAAATGATCTATTTTGAAGATCGTGGAATAGCTTGTCTAAAAGTGCATGATGTGGTTCCATCGGATTCTGGTGAATATACTTGTAAAGTTACTGGTCAGGTGATTGAAGCTGAGACCAAACAACAAATGACTAAAACCATTTCATCTGGTTCAATTGTTACAATTGAAGGTGAGTGATGAAATAGACTAAGATGTGGTGATATGAAGCTGAAAAGAAGAAGTGACCTAACAACGATATCTAGATTCTGCTATTTTTCTAGGTCATTTGAACTTGCAGAAAAATGTGTTTAGTTGATTCAGAGTACAAGAATGACTAACTTTCATTTTCACAATTTGCGTTATAAGAGAGATTTCACTGAGGATTATAAATGAGCGCGTTGAGTGATGGTGATGATCAGTGATAATTCTGCGTATGCTGGATTACTCACGTGAGATAGTACCAGTAGCCACTTACTTATTATCTCTCCCTTTCTCCTATCTCTCGACACCATGGTTGATTACTATTCTTGTAATAGGCTGACAAATGGAGTGGTTGAGAAAATGTGTATTTTAGATGGATGATTTTGATGGAGTTTCATTCTCTGTACTGGATATTTTGGTTATGTAGCTTTTATTGTTCTTCTGAACAACATTATCAGTACCAACTTCAGATAGAATTGAAGTATTGGGATTTCTCCACGTATGACTCGTTTCTCGTTCTGTTGACCCCGATCTTGACTAGTAGTTGTTATTGATGTTGAATTTGTTGTTGTGTGCACGTTTATTTTCATCTGTTGCTTGATCCAATGTATGTCTACGATGTTTGTGATTGGTTGGGAAATTGGGGGTAATGTCGATGTGTCTGTAGATGCTGATTGACTTGAGTGCCAACTTCTAAATATTCTCTAGTGTTCTTTGTACTCTTTCTATCTAGTGTTTCGACATTGTTCCAATTGAATGTATTTCCATAGTTGTCCGTATGTATTGATATAGGGGAAGAAATGTCATGGAGTTTGACCGGTAGTTGCTGTCCGCGCAGATGAAGCTGGAGAGGACTACTATTTTGTTGTATGTAGTGTTTTTCACAGTCAGAACAGTTTATTTTGTAGATAATATTTGGTTTTTCTTCTTCTGTCAGTTTGTTCTTTGGTTTACATGGGATTGATTGAAGTGATTCTGTTGGTTTGCATGCTACACCTATTCCAAATAGTTTCAGTAGTCTTGCTGCAATTTCCGATGTCTTTTATATATGGTAGGATGATCTGGTTAATAGTTCCTGTACTTGATTTTGCTTCTGTTGATGGTTTCAGTTGATAATTTTTGATGAAGTTACGTGAATAGCCGTTATTTTGGAAGATAGTTATGAGATATTTTTCATCGTTTTTTGTGCTTCATGTGTGCTGTAGCGTGATTCCGCTCTCTTGAATAAAGTTTGCACGCAGTTAATTTTGTGAGTTTGATATGCTCGTCAATTGATATGCTTGAGACTAATACGAGTTCACCTTACTTGGTAAACGGAGCGCAGATAAATGATGCAGTGACACGATAGGCTATTCTAATCCGATTGTCCCTAGCCCCGCTAACTAGATCAAGGAGTCTTGGTAAAGTGTAGAGAATGTATTCTACAGGCACCCAGAAAATATGAGGCTGCTAAGCAGACAAACCAAGCTTATTTATACAATGATGGCAACGCCCTTGGGAGAGAGCCACAAGATAGCGTACTAAAACAATCCATCAACCAATGACAGTCAAGGGTTTTGCGAGTGGGAAATGTAAGCTGAAGGTCAGCCAAGCGTCTTATGCGCGCAAACATGAAAAAATCAAAATATTTGTTATGTCACAATTTTTTGATGCCTGTAAAATCAATTCGAAATTAATGCTGCAATTCATCGATATTTTCTGTTTTATTTGTCTATTGTGTTTTTAAAAGTAGTTTGAGGTGCTTGACTTGTTTAAGATTTTCTAATGTACGCCTTAGCTCTATCATATACTCGAAAGTTTGTGATTTAGTTTGTTGTATACTTTATCTTATAAGTCAGTTATTTGTAATCGAAATATTCGATGATAGATAGAAAGATCATTGTTTTTAAAAAAATAAAATTCTTGTTTTTTCAGTTAATTTCATATCACTAAATTAATCTTTTTCTTTTGTTGATTGAATTAGAAGTCGTGCAGAAGGAAGATCAACTCATCCCACCGATTTTCGTTAATGAGTTAACACCATTAAACATTTCTGAAGGTGAAGAAATCTACTTAACAGCTACTGTTAGAGGAAATCCACAACCCGTGGAAGTGATTTGGAAACATAATGGAAATATAATTAACCAAGATGTGACTGATGTTGTAATGTTTTATACACCAGGAACAGGGGTTTGTGAATTGACAATATCTGAAGCATTTCCTGAAGATTCCGGAATTTATTCCGTTGAAGTACAAAATACTCTTGGTATGGCGATTAGCCAAACAGAAGTAGTTGTGCAGGTAGAGGTAAGGAGGGAAGAGTCTACAAATTTAAAATTGGAAGATCAGATAATAGATGTTGATGATGTTTTGAATGTTGTGACTGATATTTCAGATGATAAAGCAGTTGTATCCACAGTTGAAGATGTAGAGATAAAAAAACAAGAAGTTATTGTCGATATAGTCCAAACTGAGAAAACAGAAATGTTTTCACCTGTTGAAACACTACCAGAAATGTTACAAGCAGCGGTTTATGAACAAATACTGGAGGAGACTGAATACGAGATAAGCTTGGAAGAACCACTAGAAACGAGTGGCGATGAGTTATTCTTTGATGAGGCTGTACCACCAAACCGAGCAGTTGTATTAGATGTTCTCATACCGCACGATTCTATAAGCATTGATGAGACAAGCATAAGTGTCGAAGAAGCTCCAAAAGCACACTCAATACCAAGTGTAATTGAAATTTCATTGCGTGAAGTTTCATTAGCATCAGTCTCAGAAGTCAATGTCATAGAAGTGAAAACCATCCAAAAAGAATCAGTTGATATAAACAAAGAAACAATGAACACTAACGGCACAAAAAACAGAAATCTCCTCAAGCAAAGAGCAAGAAAGCAGCAAAGCTACACCAATAAAGGAGCAGCCGAGTGAAGTGGGTGTGGCAGTTTCCGAAACGCCGGTGGAGGTGGAGACGGCTGAGGTGGTGTCAGTGGAGGAGGTTGTGGTCGACAAAGCCCCAGTGGAGTCGGAGACAGTCTCGGTCCCGGTGGTGACAGAGGTGGAGGTGGAGAAGAGCGTGTCCACAGTGACAGAAGACTATGGCGTGGAGGTGGAACAGGTGACTTTGACCGTGGCTGAGGTGTCGCCTCGTATGGAATCCGTGACCTCCTCGGCTGAAGAGCGTGTTGTCAGTGAGGCTGTTCCACTGGAGGAGGCGGTGTATGATGTGGACGAAACGGGAAAAGTCGAAGCCGTCACGCGTCTCACCATTGACGCTGCTGCTTCTGGTGTCGTCTCTTCGACCACTCCTTCTCTGTCGGACGTTGTCAGTGTTGAAGAAGTCTCTTCCGAGGCGAGTTACTGATATGTGCATACACACAGTGCACAGCCTTAGGCTTAGTGGCATGGCAAGTTCTTCCGCTTCAGTGGGTTTTGAAATAACTGGTGAACTTTTCGAGAGTTTGTTGTGGAAACTGTCAGATGTTGCGCCTCATATTGCATGCATGTCCCGTTAGTTAACAAGTTGTCTAGCCCCCTTCTTCAGTCTCATCTCTTAACACACATCATGCTTTTGCATTGTATCGGTGTTTAGATAAATGTGAATCTGAAACGGTTTGTTTCTTCTCTGAATTTTCGTGAGGCGACATTTCACTTGTGATTGATTGTTCATCTAGTGACTTGTGGCCTGTTCACCTTGCGTCTGTGTTGGTGAGAGAATGTATTTGTTGCTTAGCCCACATGACTCCCATTGGTTTGATGTTGTGTTTGAAAAGTGTTTGTGTGTGCGTTAGTGTTGTTGTTGTTGTTGTTGTTGTTGTTGTTGTTGCTAATGATATTGGTTGAAGTGGATTTATTGTTAGCAACATGGGTAGCATTGAGTGGATTGTGCACTGTGACATTTGATTTTTCTGTGAAGATTAGCTCTGTTGCATTTGGTCGGTAGTGTTAGTTGTCATTTCCCAAATGTAATATGTTGACTGATTCAGTGATTGTGAAGCTGAGGGATAAGCTTTTATTGAGTTGTGTGTGATTTCGATATTTAAGTAGGGGGAGTATGTGTAGTCACGTAATCGACCGATGAACGAGTCTCGAGATATTCGGTTCGAGATGATGGCTGTTTGTGCTCAGTAGTTGTGATAAGCACGAGCGATGAAGATGTTGACCTGTTAGAATTGTTCCATGACTGATGCTGTCATGTTGTCTTTGTGTTGTGGCGAATAGATGTAGGACTTTTGACGACGACCAATGGGTATGTTTAGTGTCGGTGGTGTGTCTGTGGAAGACTTGAAGATTAGAATGTGATTTTGTTGATATTGTTCTGTGTGTGAAGAATGATGATGAGGACGGCTTGTTGTGTGTGTAATAGCCTGAAAGAATGACTGGTCTGAGTGTAATTCGGTGTTGCAGAGTTGGATACTGAACCTATTTTCGCATGATGTTGCCCCCAGTCTGTTGCACTGACAATTGGAACTGCATAATTCCGGTGAATAATTTGTGCGTGATAGCACTGGGTTGGCGTTGGTTGTGAGCGACGCCTGTGAAGTTGACTGAATCATGAGTGATAAATGTTGTTCTGAGTTGATTGCCAGGTGAATATGTAAGCAGTGATTATAGAGGTGTGTTTTGAGGTACAATGTAGTGTTAAGCAATACTTAGTATTTACAAGAGTTATGTGTGGTACTTTCGCATCCTGTCGCCTCCGTGAGATGTCAGTTTGATCTGACCGCTTGAGTTAGTTTCCCCGAACGCTGGTACTTGAGAAGCATACGTGACATTCATGATCTCGTTCTTTTGTATACCAGCAGGTAACGGAAGCCGGGGACACATTGACCGTGAAGGCCGACGAGGTTATTGTTCGAGAAGGGAAGGAGTCTGTGTCACAGACCATGGATTGGGTTTCAGAGGGTGTGAGTGAGTTGGAGGGATCCGACCGTCAGGATAGTGCTCGTGTTGTGGAGCAGCCGAGTGAAGTGGGTGTGGCAGTTTCCGAAACGCCGGTGGAGGTGGAGACGGCTGAGGTGGTGTCAGTGGAGGAGGTTGTGGTCGACAAAGCCCCAGTGGAGTCGGAGACAGTCTCGGTCCCGGTGGTGACAGAGGTGGAGGTGGAGAAGAGCGTGTCCACAGTGACAGAAGACTATGGCGTGGAGGTGGAACAGGTGACTTTGACCGTGGCTGAGGTGTCGCCTCGTATGGAATCCGTGACCTCCTCGGCTGAAGAGCGTGTTGTCAGTGAGGCTGTTCCACTGGAGGAGGCGGTGTATGATGTGGACGAAACGGGAAAAGTCGAAGCCGTCACGCGTCTCACCATTGACGCTGCTGCTTCTGGTGTCGTCTCTTCGACCACTCCTTCTCTGTCGGACGTTGTCAGTGTTGAAGAAGTCTCTTCCGAGGCGAGTTACTGATATGTGCATACACACAGTGCACAGCCTTAGGTTTAGTGGCATGGCAAGTTCTTCCGCTTCAGTGGGTTTTGAAATAACTGGTGAACTTTTCGAGAGTTTGTTGTGGAAACTGTCAGATGTTGCGCCTCATATTGCATGCATGTCCCGTTAGTTAACAAGTTGTCTAGCCCCCTTCTTCAGTCTCATCTCTTAACACACATCATGCTTTTGCATTGTATCGGTGTTTAGATAAATGTGAATCTGAAACGGTTTGTTTCTTCTCTGAATTTTCGTGAGGCGACATTTCACTTGTGATTGATTGTTCATCTAGTGACTTGTGGCCTGTTCACCTTGCGTCTGTGTTGGTGAGAGAATGTATTTGTTGCTTAGCCCACATGACTCCCATTGGTTTGATGTTGTGTTTGAAAAGTGTTTGTGTGTGCGTTAGTGTTGTTGTTGTTGTTGTTGCTAATGATATTGGTTGAAGTGGATTTAGTGTTAGCAACATGGGTAGCATTGAGTGGATTGTGCACTGTGACATTTGATTTTTCGGTGAAGATTAGCTCTGTTGCATTTGGTCGGTAGTGTTAGTTGTCATTTCCCAAATGTAATATGTTGACTGATTCAGTGATTGTGAAGCTGAGGGATAAGCTTTTATTGAGTTGTGTGTGATTTCGATATTTAAGTAGGGGGAGTATGTGTAGTCACGTAATCGACCGATGAACGAGTCTCGAGATATTCGGTTCGAGATGATGGCTGTTTGTGCTCAGTAGTTGTGATAAGCACGAGCGATGAAGATGTTGACCTGTTAGAATTGTTCCATGACTGATGCTGTCATGTTGTCTTTGTGTTGTGGCGAATAGATGTAGGACTTTTGACGACGACCAATGGGTATGTTTAGTGTCGGTGGTGTGTCTGTGGAAGACTTGAAGATTAGAATGTGATTTTGTTGATATTGTTCTGTGTGTGAAGAATGATGATGAGGACGGCTTGTTGTGTGTGTAATAGCCTGAAAGAATGACTGGTCTGAGTGTAATTCGGTGTTGCAGAGTTGGATACTGAACCTATTTTCGCATGATGTTGCCCCCAGTCTGTGGCACTGACAATTGGAACTGCATAATTCCGGTGAAGAATTTGTGCGTGATAGCACTGGGTTGGCGTTGGTTGTGAGCGACGCCTGTGAAGTTGACTGAATCATGAGTGATAAATGTTGTTCTGAGTTGATTGCCAGGTGAATATGTAAGCAGTGATTATAGAGGTGTGTTTTGAGGTACAATGTAGTGTTAAGCAATACTTAGTATTTACAAGAGTTATGTGTGGTACTTTCGCATCCTGTCGCCTCCGTGAGATGTCAGTTTGATCTCACCGCTTGAGTTAGTTTCCCCGAACGCTGGTACTTGAGAAGCATACGTGACATTCATGATCTCGTTCTTTTGTATACCAGCAGGTAACGGAAGCCGGGGACACATTGACCGTGAAGGCCGACGAGGTTATTGTTCGAGAAGGGAAGGAGTCTGTGTCACAGACCATGGATTGGGTTTCAGAGGGTGTGAGTGAGTTGGAGGGATCCGACCGTCAGGATAGTGCTCGTGTTGTGGAGCAGCCGAGTGAAGTGGGTGTGGCAGTTTCCGAAACGCCGGTGGAGGTGGAGACGGCTGAGGTGGTGTCAGTGGAGGAGGTTGTGGTCGACAAAGCCCCAGTGGAGTCGGAGACAGTCTCGGTCCCGGTGGTGACAGAGGTGGAGGTGGAGAAGAGCGTGTCCACAGTGACAGAAGACTATGGCGTGGAGGTGGAACAGGTGACTTTGACCGTGGCTGAGGTGTCGCCTCGTATGGAATCCGTGACCTCCTCGGCTGAAGAGCGTGTTGTCAGTGAGGCTGTTCCACTGGAGGAGGCGGTGTATGATGTGGACGAAACGGGAAAAGTCGAAGCCGTCACGCGTCTCACCATTGACGCTGCTGCTTCTGGTGTCGTCTCTTCGACCACTCCTTCTCTGTCGGACGTTGTCAGTGTTGAAGAAGTCTCTTCCGAGGCGAGTTACTGATATGTGCATACACACAGTGCACAGCCTTAGGTTTAGTGGCATGGCAAGTTCTTCCGCTTCAGTGGGTTTTGAAATAACTGGTGAACTTTTCGAGAGTTTGTTGTGGAAACTGTCAGATGTTGCGCCTCATATTGCATGCATGTCCCGTTAGTTAACAAGTTGTCTAGCCCCCTTCTTCAGTCTCATCTCTTAACACACATCATGCTTTTGCATTGTATCGGTGTTTAGATAAATGTGAATCTGAAACGGTTTGTTTCTTCTCTGAATTTTCGTGAGGCGACATTTCACTTGTGATTGATTGTTCATCTAGTGACTTGTGGCCTGTTCACCTTGCGTCTGTGTTGGTGAGAGAATGTATTTGTTGCTTAGCCCACATGACTCCCATTGGTTTGATGTTGTGTTTGAAAAGTGTTTGTGTGTGCGTTAGTGTTGTTGTTGTTGTTGTTGTTGCTAATGATATTGGTTGAAGTGGATTTAGTGTTAGCAACATGGGTAGCATTGAGTGGATTGTGCACTGTGACATTTGATTTTTCTGTGAAGATTAGCTCTGTTGCAT